CTCTTCTCTTCTCCCCTCTTCTCTTCTCCCCTCTTCTCTTCTCCCCTCTTCCTCCCCCTCTTTCCTCCCCACACAATGGCCGCCGCCGCCGACGACAGCGCAACGCCCCTCCCCAGCACCACCACCACCCACGAACCACCCAGTCTGCCCACTTCGCCGCATGCAAAACGCACCCGCGTCATTGACGATATGGGGATTGGTATGTTGCTATGCCCTGTGGAAACAGCAAACTCCCTCCCTCCCTCCCCCCTCAATATCCCCCTCCCCAAAAACAACCACATCTAACCCCCCTCCAGCCCCCCCAACCCTCGAAGTAAAACTCCTCTCCCCGCACGCCCGCGCACCAACCCGCGGCTCCCCGCACGCCGCAGGCCACGACCTCTACAGCGCCCGCACGACCACCATCCCGCCCTGGAGCCGCGCGCTCATCGCCACGGACATTGCCATCAGCGTGCCGGCAGGCACGTATGGGCGGGTAGCGCCGCGGTCCGGGCTGGCGGTCAAGCATGGGATTGATACGTTGGCCGGGGTGATTGATGCTGATTACCGGGGGCCGGTGGGGGTGGTGTTGGTTAATTTGAGTGGGGAGGGGTTTGTGGTGAGGGTTGGGGAGAGGGTGGCGCAGTTGGTTGTTGAGAAGGTATGTTGTTTTCTGGGTTTGGGTTTGTGGGGGGAGAGGGAAGGGGGGGATAGGGGGTGAGAAGGGGGTGTTTGGTGATGTTTGCTGATTGTTTGTGTGGCTGCAGATTGTTATGCCTGAGGTTGTGGTTGTCGAGGCGCTTTCTGAGACGGTTAGGGGTGCGGGTGGGTTTGGGAGTACGGGGGGGTTTGCGGGTGATGGGGCTGGGGTTGGGGCTGCTTAGATGTGTTTACTGGGGAAAAAGGAGGATGTAGGATATGGTGGTTTGGACGAGTGGTGGTCGGCGCATAGGATGGGATGCGGAAAGAGAACGTTGGCTTCTGTCGCGCTTCATTCACGCCACGAATGACCACGAGCGAAGAGCGTCGTCGATGCTACTACTAGAACTACTACGACTACGACTACGACTACGACTACGACCACTGATGCAATGCATGCGTCTAATCTACAGAAGTGTCTATCTTGTATGCTCATGCGTGGACCTGACGATATCTATCGCTTGGTGCTTCTCCAGCATATACAGTACAACCCCCCTTTTTCACATCTCTACCCCTGTCCTCCTCCAACACCCACATCAGCATCGAAATCAACATCAACATCCACCGCCCTCGCCCGAAACCTCTCCACACCCGGCGGCACCCTCAAATCCTCCACATTCCTCACCACCTTCACCTCCGCCGCCCGCGTCCTCGCCAAATGCCTCGCCCTCTCCACCCCCTCTCCCTCCCCATTATCCCCATCCCCTTTCCCACCACCACCACCACCCCTTTCCCCCTCCCTCCCCTCCCACCCCCTCACCCCAACAGCAGTCTTCCCCAACACCGCCCCCATACTAGCACAAACCCGCTCACACGCCCTCGCAAGCGGCAATCCCTCCCCAGACCGCACCTCATCCCCGCTCTTCCAGCTCCGCACCCGCAACAAGCCTGCCTCCGCAACCGCCTCGCGCAGTCGCGCCACCGCAAGCGCGGCAAACATGTCCCCCGTGCCAGAGAAGAAGATTGGGTATGCCGGCACGTCGATGCGGAAGAGGCGGGGTTTGTGCGAGGTCGTGGAGGTGGAGCCGATGATTGTTAGGGTTTGTTGTTGTGCTTCTTCTTCTTCTTCTTCTTTTTTTTCTTCTCCGGGTTCTGCGTCTGTGGTTTTGTATGTGCTGGTATGATCAAGCCGCAACGACGTAATGACTACATGCGGCACGCCATGCACGCGATGCAGAACGTGCACGGCGCGCGCGAGAGAGGACAGGTCGGTTATCTTGGTGTCGGAGAGGAGTTCAGCTTCGAACTGGTTGGGCAGGATGAGGTCTGCGGAGGGGAGGAGGGCTTTGTAGGCTGGGACGCAGGCTTTGGGGACGTATAGTCGGCCTTGGTCGCCCATGACTGGGTCGAGGACTATGCAGAAAGCAGGTTAGATTGGTTATGTGTTTCCAGGAAGGGAGGAAATGAATAGACGGCATACCCCAGAAGAACCCACCTGGCCGGCGCGCGCCGAGAAGTCTCAGATCCCGTGCTATCTTCCCGACTGCAGCGACGGCATCGGCACTGGGTATGTAGCCGCTCAGCAGGACGTCGAAGGCGTCGTTGAGGCCTGATTGCGCGAGGCCGGCGTACAGGTCGAGGATCTCGTCGGCTGTGGCTTTGCGGCCTTTGAATTGCTTGTAGCCTGTGTGGTTGCCTGTAGTAGTGCGGCGCACGCTGGGTCAGGAGCTGTCTTTTTTCTATGGTTTGTTTTGGGGGGGGGAAAGGGGGTGTATTGTACTGTAGTGCACGGTGTTGATGGCGGTGACTTCGCAGCCCAGCGATTGCATGACGAATGTCGCCATTGTGTTTCCGACGTAGCTGGGTTGGGTGGTCAATGAGGGTCAAGATTTCTGGGACAAGGAGTTGGACTCACCCGTAGGCTACCTGCGCAGGTCAGTATGCGTAGCGACGGAAGGGCAGCTCGCGCGTTCTTACATGACTGGCTATGGCTAGGACGCTGGTTTCGGGGACGCCTGGGCTGGACATGGCTGGACAAAGTCCAATGCTCAATTGATCGTTGAGAGAGGAGAGCGGTCACGAACAAGACAGACAGAAGAAATGATGTGGACGGCGGAACGTGTGTGCAGGAATAAAGCTAACATTATCTGATCAATCATTTGACTCGTGTGACGTGACGTTGGTGGGGTCGTTGAGGTTGTATGGATCTTGGTGCCCCGCGCTAGTCTTATGACTGCGAGCGATGGGTTGGGTTGGAGGATACTATATATCTCCAATGACAAAAATGAGGCTAAAGTCCTGCGTCTCTCACCACTATCGCCATCGCTAGGTCATATCTGGGGCTGCTGCAGACGACCAAGGATTGTATCAAAGGCCGGACGGTCATCGTTCTAGACTTGCACGAAGCCTCATTGGCCGAGTCGACCATTGATCCCTCATTCATCATCGCCAATCTACACAAAGTTTGTTAGCCAAGGATCAGGAGCAGGTCCACAGGTCGTGAAGCGTACCTTTGGCGCAAGATAGAATCTTAGATAGCTGTTGCTGGCCAGACCGTATTCTACTAGAAGTGGGACTTCGTTTGACAGGCACAGTTTCACCTGCCCCGACAAGCCACTGGCTTTGCAGAAGTTCACCAGGTATTTGAGAGAGAATGTGAGCGCGACAGGCTCAGTCAGGTCAATCTCAACGTTGTTCTCGGGCTTGTCCACGTTGGTGTGCGACCGGAGCGTTACGGAGCCTGAGCCGATATCACCATTACATGAAAACTTCACACCCTCCTTGGTGCACTCAATCGCGACTGCGTGGTGATATCAGCAGTCATTCTTGCCCGTTCATCGACTTATACACGTACCAGACTCCGACAAAGCCATCAGATCTCTGCAAATCTTCTGGAACTCCGCCGACGGCATCGAGATGTTCGCGGCGTACTCAGTCTCCGGAATGCCGAGATGCTCTTGATCAATGTCCATAAGCTTAATATCATACTCGCTCAGCCGATCAGAGTCGGCGCTCTCAAACACCAAATTGACAACATCGGGCGCGTCTTCAGCCTTTAGTGTCAGGATGTCTTCGCTGTTCGCGCATCGAAGCACTTTTTGGAGAGACGTCAGGTTGATACCCAGGGCTATGTTGCGGTCGCACCGGAAAGGGGAGAAGCTCTCGGATTTGAGCATCATCGACACGAGTGCGACGTGCGAATTGTCCATGGCCTGCAGCGCTATCCCGCTATCATTACAGTCGAAGTTACAGTCTTGTACGAGGTCTTTGATGGCATCGACAACCTGTGACCTGTCAGCGTAGGTCTAAATGCTCGCTGTCGGTATGGCTGACCTTTTTCAGCAGGTTGGCCTGCTCTAGTCTTGCTTCAAGCACTGCATGGTGGTCAGACGTGGATGCGGAGCCAAGTGACAGGACATACTCTTGATTACTTTTCAGTGGCTAAATTGATTAGAAGTCTGCGTATGAAGTTGTGGGTGTAGAACAGACAGTGGAATTTGGGAAGAAATGACGAACCAGGAAGTGTGGGGTGCTTGCAGCGAGCGCGCTGCGGAAGACGCGACGCGATTGTTCAATTAGACGTGAAATCACGCTAAACCTCAATGGGGTTAAACTACTGCACCGTATTCTGGGAATTAGTTAAACATACTATTCACTTGTTCCATCGCTAGCTTGATCAAGAGAATTGAATCAGAGTGCCTTTGAGAAGAGCTAGATTTCTTCACAGTTGCACAGACACGAATGTACGAGAGTACTGACAGTCAGATACAATTTTCATTTGCAACTCCCTTACCCTGGAATGCTCCTATGTCAGGCTTATCGGAGAGTAATGGTTTCGATCTGCCGCTCGAGACGTTTGATGCCCAGTTTAAAGCTATGTTTCTCTTTCGTGGAGTCATAGACAGCTTCGCCATCCATCACAGAGGCAATGTAGATAGGTCCCACGACATTGTAAAATCCGTCCCCAAGCGGCCTTAGTATCATGGGCATAGAACAGCCATAGATTATCCAGGCCTCATCTACGATATCATCTGGCAAACAGCAGACTAAAGTCACGTTCTCGGCAATGCCAAGCGCGTGGCTTTGGAGAAGCACGATCCGGCCGGTCAAAATGTCTGATCTGCACATGTAAACATACATGAGCCGCACTCCGCCATTGAAACTCTCCTTGTCGAAACTACCGTCCTGGTCAGCGGCCAGGAGATACTCCTGCAAGTTATCCATATCCGTACCACGAAGACTGGCCTCTCTGAGGCGGTCACGGAACGCCTGAAACGCAACAGCGAAATCACCTCGATACATTCGGAAATAGGCTTTCTCGTCCTCGAAAGACTTTTCTTTGTATTCGGTCGAGGACCGATACATGAGCGTATACAGCCATTGCGCTGTTCCAAGGATCAGATCGCCTCCAGGAGACAGTGCGTCTAGATGATCAAATATGTCAAGGATCTTTTGTGCTCTTCCATTCACTGGCGGATAGGCGAACCGGAGTCCGTCGAGTTTGATTGCTCGAACCCGCATACACCATTCGTCATCTTTGAGAAAGCGATCTCGACCCAGAGGACAAGGCCTCGGGCCTGAAGCTTCATGCCGAAATGGTTCGAATTTGGACTTAGTGAGTAGCCCGTCCATCCAATTCGGAATCCAAGTCGGCAGAAAAGATTGATAAAGAGAGCCATTAGAACCGCGCCACTGGACCTGGTCCGAACAGCGTCGTACATATGGGAGGTACTCGACATAGTTGTGTTTCTTGCAGCGATCTAGAGCGTATCTGAAAGTTCTTGCTATAGTCCAGTCATAGTCCCCATCGGCAAGAAGAGGATCGATGTCGTGCGCCAGCCCATACAATGCAAAAATACGGTCTCTTGGGTCAGATGTATGAAGTTTGCCCAGTTCGAGAACCAGATTCAGGAGACTTCCTATATATGGAATCGGTCCACCCTTTGAATCGGCCACGGCAGCTGCTTTCATCCAATCTCGGTAGTCGCGCCTGTACGAGATGAAACTTTTAGAGGGTATCGCAAGACTCACAATGTGTTTCAACTTCTTCTCCCATCTGCTATTCAAAGCATGTCGCTCAGGATCCTTCGTCGGACTCACATACTCCGTTTTCACCTCTGCAAGTGCATGTTGAAAAGTGAATAAACCTGTTCCCGTTATGATAGTGCTCTGACAATGCACAACGACATGATTCGCCATTAACAGCTCTTGCTGGGTCCATAACCGAGTCCAATAATCGTCGGCCATAATGCCATCCAGAGGATTCCATAGAGATGGATCGTGTCCTAGCAGTACATGAGCATTCTTTGCAAGGGTTGCCATAGTGATCTCTATTTCTTCCTCCTGTTCTGCAATCGCCTCGAATTGGGCCAGATGCTTGACACATGGCTCCATGGGGTCAAGAAATTGGTCTATCCAGACCCTGACCCATTGAGCTTGTGTGTATATGCATTTTGTCATACCAACGTACATTTTTCTCTCGTCGCTGTCTCGTTGGTTGATGCACAAGTCGCGGATCCATAGCCGAATTGGTTTCTCCTCGTCTCTAATGTCACGGAGGGCTTTCAGGGTATTGGGAGCAACCCCTGACCAGTGATGCCCAGCCGATTCGTTGCTACAGCCAAGTAGGACTCTTTCGCTAGACTTTCCGGCCATATATGACACAGCGTCAAATATCGGTTCTGTGTTCAGGGATACGACGATCAAGTGACCCTCCAGAGGCATATCACGTTTTCCAGGGGCCAATTCTAGTAGGCGAATATCTTTTGCCCTGACATTGATCGGTGAGTACCGAAGCTGCAGGTTCTCTTTCAAACCATCAAGATTCTGTCGACCAAGGTCCTCGTATGAGCGCCACATTTCAAAAGGACTCGGCCAGATGTCGATATCTGGGCTTTCATTTTGCCTCAATGTGACCATTCTTCTCCTAAAACCGCCTATAAAAATTTCCTCCATCAATCGCTGACCCGCGGCATCAGCAGGAGTAAGCATGGGTTCTCTTATAGCACAGGCATGAGCCATGAACTTGTGCACTGCAGCTTCAAATACTCGAACGCCTGCCTTCTCGCGTGGCGCATCCGACGTCCAGATCAGATTCTCGTATATAGTCGCCGCGTCGTCAATTATCTGTTGGCGCCCTTGTTGTGAGTCGAAGAATTCCTGGTAGTCAATGTTCCCCTGTCCTGGCCTCTTCGGACTGCAAACACTTTGCCTCGCCCGGTCATGTGCTTCATCCATCTCCTCGTGGGAATATACACAACTTATAGGGATATCCGTAATAGCCTCTTCAGATCTAGAATTTGACGAATACAATAATACGATTATGCAGCCGGTACCACTATTTTCTAAGATACCCTGCCTGTTAGGACAAGTGAGATGAAAGTTATACATATACGGGTTCTATCCATTTTTCAGCTCTCGACAAGGCCGCACCCGAGCACCCGAGCCCCACTCGCTATATATGCAACTGACCGTTTTGAGTGGGCCAAGAAACAATGCTAGGATTAGTGACATGCAACCACAGGCGCCTATCCGTCTGTAACTTTTTCAGCGCAACTCTTGGCACGCGCGGTGTGCGCAACACACCACTTTTTCTCCTATTCTTAAAACTTACCTTTACCCTAATATCTCTAGAAATAGAACTCTAGGAAGTTTTTTAATAATATATAAATATACTTCTATATAGTCTCTTACTTTCTATATAAGAAAATTAATAAAAAAAATAGATTAATTAGTTATTCTAAGAAAAGCTCTATAAAATAAAGTACTAAGGTATATAGTAGAGAAAATAAGAAAATAGAGATTTTCTCTATTATCTATCTCTTTAAGACTCTTTAGTCTTTAAAATAACTTAATAAATATTCTTTAGGTATAACTAAAGGTATATATAATCTTTTAATATCTTTTCTAATTTTAATACTAGAGTTATTAAAGGAAATATAGGTTTTTAAGAATAAGAGAAAAAGTGGTGTATTACGCGCACGACGTGTGCTAAGAGTTGCGCTGAGAAAGTTACGGACGGACACACAGTCCGTACCTGCCAGTTACCAGATTCTTGACCACGCCGAGGCAAATGGCTAAACTTCCGGAGAATCTATTCCCGGATATTATAAGTTCTATCACACTTGCTTCAGAGTGTATGAGAGCCCAGTTGTAGTCATAGCCTTACAAATTTCTTCGGTCGGTGGCAAGATCCCGACTCAAGTCACGGCTGCTAATTACCCAAGCATTGAACTATCCCATAGGGTTACAGTTTCGATTTCATACTCTCTTCCATTCCAAGTATGTCTCGATGAATTTGGGTCGAGCCCAATAACAGCTTCGCCATCCATGACCCCTGCCACATAAACCGGTGCAATGACTTCATAGAACCCCGTTCTGTGCGGTCGCAGTATCATTGGCATCGGGCATCCGAATACAATCCAGATCTCATCACCATTGCCTGCTGTCTGTTGTGAGCCTTTGACGTAGACCTGGTGTGTTAGACCAAGTAGTTGCCTGTATTCCGTGGTCCCGCTGGTTATAATGAGTGTTCCATCATCAAACATGGCGTGATCTGCTAGCGCGGCGAATATGAACTGCGACTCTTTGTCATGATCTGTCAAGTAACCACTTTCCACAGCGTGGTGCACACGCTCGATCATATCGATGTTATCAGACTTGTCTGGATAGTTGCGAAGAAAGTCGAATAATGCCGTCAGTGCTGCGCATAGTGATCCTTCGTAGTTTTCCAGGCCGAAATTTGGAGGTGTTGCCAGTGCTAATTCTGTCAGATCATCTGTTCTATGTGCCTTATTGATCGCATATGCCAGGGTTTCTCTCCACTGTCTATAAACTCCTGTTCGCAGGACGCCGCCTGAGCTCTCGCGAAGGAGAACGTCCAAGATATCGATCCTAAGTGAAGGGTTTGCTGACAGGAAAGAACACGCCAGATCGACGTGGGCTAGGCGATATCCTCGAATACTCAAGGTCAATTTCTCAATTGATACCGGGCTGGGTAGAGGTAGGAGCTCTCCTGATGCAGTATACAGTTCTGGAAGGAAGGACATGTCCAAGTTTACTGTATCCCAGTTTGGAATCCATGATGGTATCATCGCCTTTCTGTAAAACTGTTGGGGAAAAGCATTGTCTAGAGGCTTATGCCCAGCTTTCCTATCGTCTTGAACTTCATGGTCGCGATGCTCGTTGTCGTGAGGCCTCTTCTTATCGAATTTCTTTCCTAGGACTTCGTTCTCGCAAAGCTCGATAACATGGTTTTTGACACGTAGGGCAAATCCCAAAAATGCAAGGCTACACCTCTTTTCAACGAAGAAACTGAGTGCACTGGCAAAGACCTGTGCTGTTGACCATGATGGATCGACATTGATGTCGTTTGGGTTATAGTCTTTCGCAATGCCGAGCAGACCTAACACGCGGTCTTTCGGCTTCGTTACTGCCAGCGGTCGGCAATTTTGGAGATGATAGAGTAGGGAGCCAGGTTGAATTTTGCGCCACCTATTATCCTCTATAGGATCAGGCATCGCTCGCATGTTCCGTACGACGGCGATAGATTTTGCTGGTATCGGCGAATATGCGATGGCGCGAAAAGGGCCATACCATTGCTTGTAGAATGGTTTCGATTCTGTACTGGTCATAAGCCCCCGTTTGACCACAAAAACAGTCTGTAACACAATGAGGCTCTGTCCACTAATCTCTTTGCTTTTACAATGCAACATCAACGACTTGGCGAACACTATCTCCTGCTGAACCCACAGGCGTTCCCAATAATCGTGCGACATTATCTTTTCGATCGGTGACCAAAACGTTGGGTCGTCTCCCAAGTCCACTCTCATCTCATACTTGAGCATATCCCTGGTCAACTTTGTGAGGTATTTGGGGTGTTTGTCAAGCCTCCATGTTTGCGTCCATACTTTCAGCCTTCTAAAACACGGTGCCGTGTCGTCGATTTCAATATCGAGCCAAGCTCTCACACGGGTAGCTGAGGTATAGATCTGTTCCATAAGCTGTAACTGGTCTCGCTTCTCGATTTCATCGGCCTGGTTGATACAGATAGAATCCATCCATATACGGACCGGGAAATCTTCACGTCGTATATCCCGAAGTGCCTTGAAAGAGGTGGGAGAGATTGGTTGCTCCCAATGGGTTTGAGGCCCGCCTTTACCGGAACATGGTAGATAAACACTTTCGGAACGTGACCATTGATAGGAAACGGCATCGAATGCGCCGATATCGTTAATACAGTGGTTGGTAAGAAAGCCCCGAAGAGGATCTCCAGACTTTCCTGGAAGGACTTCCAGCAGACGCGTCCACATCTGAGCATTCTCAAGAGGTTCATAATATATCTCTAGTTCCTCGTTATAAGGTACTTTAGTCTTAGGGATGACTTCCACCACTGTCTCTGTAATCTCTCTCTCCTCCTCTTCCAAATCCTTCAATATCTCGACGTTACTGTCAATATTTCTACGTGCGATTGACTTAGTCTCAGCTAGTCTCGGACCAGGCTCCTTGAGTTGAATGCTCATATGTCTCCTGAGGTGGTCCTGTTGTGGCAAATGTTTACAATCCCAGTATTCGTCATTAGTAAGCTCTGCGCCTGAGGATGCGTCTTCTTGCTCTTCGTAAAGTCTAGTCAAGGATGAATCATTACCGAGAGAGGCATGGCGAGGCTCACTTAGTGTCGCCGAGGTCGCGAGCGTGGAATCATTCCATTGTGCTTGTCGGGTAGGGTTGTCTCCCATACTTAATAGGTTGCAACAGAAGGGAACAGATACGATAGCTACTCAATGGGGTGATTAACTCTAATGTTTGAAGCAAACTCCGGTTTCGAGACCGCCAGGCTGAGACGATGCGGTTGCTGCTAGTAAGACACTCGCATGCAGGCAATATGAGATCTGGGATTGGGTGCTGTTACATGCGGCTGCAAGAGCTGTCACATTAATCTTTCCTTTCTTGTCATACTGCTGCACAGGTAGGTGTTCAGGGCGTCGTCTAATGCGACAAGCAAGGATTCTGACCATCTGTCATTTGCCTAGAACCTGACTCTCTTGGCATTTTTATTTTTGTGCATTTGTTTTACACACCCCTATTAGATAGTTATTCTACCTCTACTTCTATATAAGAGTATATATATTAGAATATTTATATAAACTTATAAAGTAGAATAAGACGATAAATCCTATAACTTTTTTAACTTACTAATTTATTTTATAATAAGAGAGTTTAATTACTTAGAACAGAGAAAGAAGATAGTTTCTAAGAATTAGTAGCGTATTTTTCATATACCCGTCCCACGCACTTAGGAGTTATAACCTCCTAAGTGCTCCCGACTTAAAATATATATATATACTTTAACGGTACTATATAAATAATATATTTAAATATAATAATACTACTATATCTAGAGTCCCTTATACGTACTAAAATAAGAAGGAGAAGATATAATCTACTATTCGTGACTTTTAGAACGCGAAATTTAGATTATTAGCGGCCTTAGCGCGTTATTATTACGTTATTATTATATAATATACGCGTCACGTCTAATATTATAATTATAGGCTTAAAAATAGGCTATAGAAGTGCCTACTATAGGTAAATATAACTAGAATACGAGTAATTAACCCCTAGATAATGTAAGAATAGGGTTATTGGATAGTAGTGTAGCCAGATGGAACAATGGGGTGTATTCTGTCACAGAACGAATTACTACCGAACCCTTTCGGTAGGAATCCGAGAGTATATATACAAAGGGACGCCGATCTGTCTAGCACGTGACTGTTCACCGCCCTTCACGTCACCTCCTGACCCTGTCAGCTGAGGTACGTGCAGGTCGAGTCCTGCCTAAGGCTGAGTCCTGACAGATAACTAGAAAGAAGTTAACGAGTAATAAATATATAGTATTAGCTATATAGATGTCGCTATCTTTATTTTATATATATATAGTACCGTTAAAGTACATATGTATATTTCAAGTCGGAAGTACTTAGGAGGTTACAACTCCTAAGTGCGTGGGACGGGTAGGTTATCTTCTTAAAACTTCTAAGAATTTTTAAAGAGTCTTCTCTATCTCTTTAGAGTAAGTTTATAAGAATAAATAAACTTATAGAAGAATAAGAATATATTTAATTACTTATTTTATTTACTTTTAAGACTCTTATATACTTAGATAAGGCGTAAAAGTAGAAAGAGCTCCACCCGTCCCACGCACTTCGGAGTTGTAACCTCCGAATCAGAAAGATAGGGGTGAGAACACGTATGCACGAGTGCCTAGGTAGTCAGGTTCTAGGAAAACGACAGATATTTAGGCATAGCCGTCAGTCTCTCCACACACAAAGCGGGGCCACAAAGCCGAGAATTTGCCCGTCTGATGCAAGAAAAGAATGTCATCAGTGGCCTAGGCTTGTCATGAATGCTTTCCTCATGCTTAATATGTTTGCTAATTATTTGATAATGAAGTAGAGATAAGGCCAAGCCACCCCCGCTGCATGTTACCTGTCAAAATCGCAGATACAATATTTGTTTGTCTTGGTATGACTTGTTCCCCCTACTATGAGAGTGAGACTCCTCGTACGTATAGTCACGAAGTTCTCCATCTGCTATTACTCATGATGGTACTTCGGCTATTTTGCAAAGTGGAGATCGTAATTCAGCCATTTCCGTGCAACCACGCCAGCCACGTCAAGGCCAGGCTTTCCGTACGTGAGGGGAGCATAGAAGATGAAGACTGCAAATACAAGGGCAAGAATCGCGCTCGTCGCTATCCATGCTCCAAGAAGGTTTTGACCACCGAGTCTTTCTCTGACAGGCTTGCGGATGGATGCTGTTTTTCTCTTACCTGGGATTACGATTGAAACCTCATTCGAGCTGAGTGGCTCAATATTGAAGATAAACTCAACCAGAGCGCCAGTCACTAGAGTGGAAGCCAGATGGGCGGGCAGATAATGGTGCAAGAAGAGCTGTCGTCCCATGAGGAAGAACGGAAAATAATGAGCTGCCCAAGTCAGGAAGAAGAAGCCGGTGCTATTGTAAATACGTGATCTGGTTCCTGACATGCTTGTTAGCTTCAAAAGGCTTTCGATGGCATGACAGATGTCACTCACTGTCATCTAAAGCATCCATTCCTCTCCTGAGTGCGAGTTGATCTGCTCCAAGGATACCTAGAAATACTGCAAGAAGGGCGCTGCTAAGCCACCAGCTGATTGGGTTTCCCAGGAAATATATCTGAGAGCGAGTTGAATTCTCAGTCCAGAAAGAGACCCCACGAAGGAGAAATGGCCATGCGATTGGAAATGATGCGTAGGGATGACTGCTCGTGAGAGCATTGTTGTGGTAGAACATAGCTCGTTGAAGCTCAAGGTATTTCTTGAGAAATGGCATCCGTTTGGGCTTGCGCGGTTCCCGGATTAAACGATCGCTGTCCAAGGAAAGCGAAGGGATTTCCTCGACGTACCACGTGTTGCTAGACTGCTGGACGTTTTTGTTGCCATTAATTTCTGCTTGCTTATAGGCCCAGTCAGGAAGAGGGCTAGTGTGTGTCCACATGGCTACTCTGGATGTAAAGTGGACGAGTTTAAAGTGTGAAGACATTGTCTTGAACTCCTGACCAGGTTTCGCCCCATCGATCCGAATCTCAAATAAAGTTTCGTTGTGTCGTGTACCAGCGGCATCTTCAATACTCACAGTTGTAAATTCTTGATTCGTTGGGTAGTACGGAGACGCGACGTCATGGGTCAATAGAATGGTATCTGTAACCAAATGACGAAGCTTAACAATGTCGCCATGCTTCACCTTCTGTCCAGTTGAGCCAGTGAGAGGGGACCCGGGAAGGATTTGCCAGTGGTTGTTAGTATCATTGTGAGGGTAACCTGTCACCTGTTGACCTTGACTAGAGATACGTCCGTCATCGTATCGTAGCGGGTATACGTCTGGATGGCTGTGGAGATATGTCTTAGTCTCTTTGTGCCTCAAAGTTAAGTGATCATAATATTCGATGTTGACAGAGCTCATGGTCATAAGATTGTCGCTGAGTGTCTCCTGAAATTCGGGCGTCATAAAATCGTCACCTGGACCAGAGCGGGTCAAAATAGTGAAGTGAACCTGGAACCAGAAGAGATAGAGAATAAAGGGGATTGCAATGAGTCCAATTGCACGAGCAACGAAGTGCTTGGCAAATTCTTGCAGTGATAAAGCGCCTTGTCGACGATTAATGTCCAGCAAGCTCCACAAATCAATAGCAACCGGCACGCCAATGGAGAAGAATGTAAAGACGCCCACGTATTTAGTGGAAATGACACAACTTAGTGCCACGCCTGTGAGGAGGAGCCATTTCCACCATTTCCGGCCGAAGGCCTCATGTCTTTGCTTGTAGAACTTGACATAACATAATACACTGAGTGCCATGGAAAATATCAGTGTCGCATCCAGGAGTATAAGACGAGTTTGTCCAATGTGTGCATTGTCGAACAGCATCAATCCAGCTGCTGTAACACAGGCAGGTAAGGAATAACCAGATTCCCACATGATGAGGAACACTGTTGGTACAGTGAGAGCGCCAAGAGAAGCGGGCATCGCACGGTATGCAACGTAGGGTACATTGTTCGTGATGTATGAATCACCAATGTTGTCAAACAGGAAGTCTCCATCGTAGCCAACCAGCCAGCCAGCAAAAGCAAAGAGAAGCTTCCCAAAGGGAGGATGAACGTCGAAGAAGTACATTCGGCGCAGGTAATAAGACGCAAACTATGTTGACCCAAAGCGTTAGCTCTTGTGTTCGAAAATGGCTATGTCGTTGCATAGCTGCTGTGCCTGTCCGTCCATCGCCGACGATTTATGGCCTACCTTGCCGAAGTGAACTTCATCGAACACTACCTGGTCTGGGTGACCGATGGACCAGAATCGTGTCACGAATGCAAGTACTGTAATGATAGTAATGGCTAGCCTATAGTCCCATTCTGCTCCCTGCGACGGATGAAGCTCTTGCTTGGCCTTCGCAGCTATCTCTACAGCTGCCTCAGATGCTCCATCAGGCACTGGAGTGGTGACACGCTTCTCTTTCTTGCGTTGCCGTACGCTACCAGCGGATTGTGAGGGGGACGACATCGGATCTGGCAGTGCTTGCCTGCTCAAATGGCTATGCGCGCGTTTGCGTGTACGTGTTGTTTAGGGCGTAGGTGAGATTGGACCAGTTGGGGAACATTCGAAGGAAAGGACTAAAGAAGACTTGAGCATAGACCCAACTTGCTAAATAACAGCTTGCGGGAGACTCATACAAACAAAGGCGGATGATTCTGGCGGGAAAAAGAATGTGGTAAAATTGCAAACGAGATAGCTGTACCTGTGTTCGAATGGTGGAAGCAACGGACCCCTGTGTGCTTGCTGGTTGGTGCGTCTTGCCCCACAGCGGATTCAATGATCCATGATGGATGGATTGTGGCTGACAACCTAGGGCTTCCGTATTAACCAGTATAAACCTCATCTCATATTGTCGGAATAGTTAAGCAGCTTCTAACCCCTTCAGTGAACATAAATGTGAAACGTAGAGTCGCAGCGAGTATTGTTAATATAATTCGAGGCATAGTTTTTTATATCTTGGAAGCTTGCTTAAGGATGTCCTTCGTGAGCTCATCTCCAGACTTCCTTTCCTCAGCGAATCTACCTAATTTGATCAATCGGCCTATCATTTCCTCATCGCCGAAGCGCGAATTATGTTCAAATTGCGGTTCCTGTGCGTATGCGACCCGAGCACAATCCACCAGTATGCGTGCAGTCATTCCGAACACTCTGAAACGTGCAGGAGGATCTGACGAGAGATACGTCTTCTCGTTCTTGGGAAGAGTGACCGATTTTGGGTTCACTGGCACAAAGAAGCTATGCATGCGCCAGCGACTCTCATGCCAGTCCGTCCAAGTTCCTCGATACCAATCTGCTGGGAAACCTGCGGCTTCAGCTCCAGGCCTGGAATCTACATCATCACCTTGAGTTTGAGCCGAGGAGTTACTGTGATTACTACTCGCATGCAAGAAGTGCTGGAACGGAGCAGTAAAAACTGCAGCGACTTCTTTTGCATCTAATCGTGGTATCAGCGTCTCCTCGATACGTTTCGACGCGTCAACCGTTTGGCTCCGTGGTGCGTCCGCCTCTGCTCTTGTGGGCGACAGATATGCTACACACGGTCTGACGCCCAACTCGGTCTTTGCAAGGTTTGCTGGAAGCTGGCACAAGTGTTCTACACGAAACGGATATGGCAGTTTGCTGTCCGTGAGCGGTAACCCGATTTCTTCGTATGCTTCGCGTCTAGCGGTTTGAAACGGCGTCTCTGACAAGGAATCGGCTTTTCCTGTGCAGTCTTCTGTCAGCGTTATCTCAACCAGTCTAAGGTTACAATGCACCTCCCGGTAGCGCCGCATGTCCGGCATCTACATTCTATCAGTCAGATTCATTTCCATAGCATATATCCGTACACGAAGAGAGCGTCTTGGATCTCATCGTTAGGACCACTTTGAGATCGCCATGGGGATCTGCAAATAACAGGATGAGTACAGCAGCCCTTCGTGAGAGAGGCGTGTTATAGTATTGTGTCGGTGGCGGAACGTAAGCTCGCAGGCGCGCGAGTGCTTGCTTATGCCGCTGTCAGAGACAAGTCCGGTGCAACTTGAAGCCCGACGGTAGTGGCATGAATACATACCGTAGATGCAGGTGAGAGACTTGCCATAGCGAGAGACACGGTTGCTGCAAGCCATAACTGAGAACTGAATACTCGTGGACGGCGGAGGTAACGAGAGGTGACGTAGCGGTTAATTAGTGTATCCATTCAATGGATGCCTCGGCCTTCCAAGACCATTCGGGATGGATGCTTTACGCCATAAATAATCGGTTCACGCATTCGCACAGTTCGTTATCCGGACATCTACTCTGAAATTTCTCATTCTTGTTTAAGAAATTATGAAGACCTTTGTCTCTGCACCGACGCGAAACTCATGCCTAGATAGTTCAATGAATGTCTTGTAATGGTAATTATATATGGAACATGCAGGTGCAGATCCATATTCACCACCCCTGTCCGATAATGCCCGTTAGCCACTGGAGAACCTTAGGACGCCTGCAAAAGAAATCTTTTATTTGCCAGCGTTTAAAGGTTGTGATACTACCAAGAATTACAAAAGTCCACAAGTCAATCCTTGCTGAATTTTCTTTTGAACCAACTTTTCCTCTTGTCGCCTGACGACTCTCTTCTAGACAGCGTCCGTGGCCTCGATTCGTTGTTACGCACGGCCTCTCCAGTCGTACTAGGACTAATTCCGAGCGGAATATGGCTTTTCCCAGAAGAATTTTTTGGTGGAACTGTAGGTGCAAGAGCATTTGGATAGTTAGGCGGAGAGTAGGTACCTGTTGGTGCCATGTGTAAACACGAGTAATTGGCATCAGGGCCATATTCTTCCATGATAGGAGCACTACCAAACCCAGTAAATGCATATTGATCAGCAGCATCTGCCCTGTTAACGGGTATGTTCCTTTCAATCGAACTATTCTCACTGCTTGGATCAGTGGTATTTGTCCACGGCTCACTGCCACTCCCAGAAACACCTGTGTTGACGGTATCGCGAGATTGTTGGTAGCCTGCATTGGGATACACCGGAGCACCGTTGTTATAACGACCGGCTTGTGGATCCGACATCATTCGCTGGTTATATCGGTTTCGTGAGGGACCAGCTACGGGAGGTGCATAAGTTTGATCATTGTAGTTTTCTCGAGCACCACCATTGCCATTACCGTAACAGCCTCCTATGTTCGAGTGACGGGTCTGCGTTCGCTCATTATTGCCTGTTCGGTTACTTAGCGTACGGGATCTGAATTTAAGACTGAGCAAGTACCGGCAAAATAACTGCTCCTGCGGCTTTGGTATGTACTGGCCGCATCAGGCGCTGTATCTGGAGGAACAATCAGACTGAATCGTGAGCTATGTGGGTGGATCTGTTTGTATACCGGCTCTCAGCAAAGTCCGTCTCTTGTATTCGGTATCGATTGCCGCTTCGAAGGACTTTATTGTATCGAGGGGACGTTCCCAACGTGGTCTTGTTGGATTCGAAAGGTCCGGTTCAGCTACAACGAACAGAGCAAAGGTCTTAGAAAGATTGCGCATGATTTACATTATGCGATACTTACCGATCGGATTACCAAATGTATCAAGGTGGGAGAACGATCGCAGAGGCGCTAAAGTCGATTTCTCTAGAGCTGCAGCTACTGCAAGTGCTGTCAGTACATAGGTCATACTTGGCTTTGGGTGACATACTAGGTTGCGCTTCATTCATTGCCGCATTGGGGTCTGCTTTGCCGGTCGGAGTGAAATGGCTTTTTCGTTTCTCCTCAGCAGTCTCTTTGATGGTCTTAGTGCTGGTCGAGCCCTGCGACTTGTGGCTCTTTTCACTCTTGAAGCTGAAGGTAGACTTGGATCGGGGATGTTGCGGGGGGCGATCCATGCTGGACATATTGGCAGAAAGTTATAATTATAAATAATGAAGTAAGCGGTGATTCCGTGTGTGGGATCGGAAGTATGTAAGGTATATGCGCTCGAAAAGTGAGCGTGTGAGATCCGAAGCGTTCGATCAGAGGTTGGTAACGATGGACCTGGAAGGTTGGTATACAGCAGGCCAGGTTGCGCCAGAAGATTCGTAGTGTAGTAGCGAGCGTAATGATGAGCCTAAACAAAAGGCAGGGTAACTTTTTCAAAAATATGGCAAATATATGCGCATTCAGTTGCAGTTGGCAGGGTGAAAGAAAGACCGTGGTATCTATGGTGAGAAATATGTGTTAGGCGACGCCTGCAAGTAAATGGTCCTCAGGCCAGGTTGGTGGGAGGTGGAGACCTATGATTGCGCATACACACTACAAATGGATGCGCGCCATCTGTGCCGAATAATAGGTATCTACCTGGCAGATCTATTCACTCGCAACCATTACATATTGTTATCGCCACTCCTTTACATTTAACACAGGACCGGATGCTAGCTACTGATGGGCTACTGAGCGACAAGAAAAAAATGCAACAGCCATTAGCGGTTTCATGATGGGAGACAACACCCATGAGCTTCCGAGCGTTGCAACATCTTACATGGTGATAGCCCAGTCCCAGTGATGACGACGACGGTTCACAGCGCATCATCAATACACATCTATCGATAATAGCTGCATGCAAAAGTGGAGCCCTCATTGCACAGCCCGACAGCCCCAGGCCAGTCCCGCCCAATTTTCCTTTATGTACATAGTAAATACCCGGCTGCCCGTCCTGCACTCGATAATGCATGAAACCATGCCTCTTGTGCTCTAGCTAATTCTCTGCCACTGCCCTCGCATTGCCAGCAAATGGACGAGTGTACTGTACCTTAAGTCCCTCCACCCATGAGCATGCGCATTGCCAAGAAAATGTTTCAAGACAGGTCAGACTGGTAATACTGCTGCTCCGTACCCAGAACCTCGATACTCCTCCTATCATCCGATGCTTGATCGAGACGTCTTGTACTTACTATTCTCCACATCAAAAGCCTTTGCCACGAGAGGCCTTCGTCACAATGTCTAAATTCTCAACCATTAGCGATCCAATACGATTGTTACTTTGTTGCTTACCCATTCTACTGCCACACGTTGGTACAATATCGTGTGAACATAGCCAGCGTGCTTAGCATGCCCGTCGTAATTGTTGCCACCTGTGTGCACGGATCACTTTGGGTGGGGGCGGCACCGCCCGGCCAGTCCACTAGCACGAAATCATCTCGACTTCAGCTCACCGTCTAGTATTTAGTGCTTTCTGTACGATCTCCTTCACGCCCTCACCTTTCCTGTACGATACTACGAACAATTGAATTTTTATCACATTCACTGATATGGGTTTCTTCAAGAAGAAGAACAAAGGTGAAGGCAAGAACAGCCCAGTGCCTGAAACCAATCCTTACGCCCAGGACAACTCTTCGAAACCAGACGCGTACCAAAGTGCTTCTACCAATGGTTATGGAAATTTAGGCTCTGCTCCTCCTCCGCCATATACTCACAACAATTCTGTCAATGATGGTGGTTTTAGAACTCGAGACAATCAAGACTATGACTCTTCACAGGCTCGGGATGAAAAATCACCTGTGCCTCAAGGTGGCTACGGAGGCACTCAGTATGGTGGTAATTCTGCTTATGGCGGTGGTAGATATGGCGGAGGACATTCTTACGGAGACTATCCCGGTAGGAAATGACTATCATGGAAACAAAGCAGAATGACTGACCCCCTAGCCGGTACCAATTCGTATGATACGACATCCAGACTTGCTCGTCGTGCAGGTTATGGTGGTTTAGGTGGAGCGGATATTCGAGATGACCCCAATAGAGAAGCCTTATTCGGGAAAGCACCGCAACGAGACCATTCCGCCAATCCCTATGCCTCATCAAGTAACATGCTCGCAGGACCGACGGGTCATGCTGCGAGCGGTGTTGGGCGGAGCGAGCTATTTGGGAATGCAGCAGATCGTGTCCAGCGAAGACAAGATGACCTCGGAACTGGCCATCGAGAATACGAAGACAACTATGATGGTCTTACTGAAGAGCAAAAAGAGGCTCGAGATGTGAAGAGAATTCGTCAAGAAGCAAACGCATGGCGTGGTGAATCTGCACAATCTGTAAAAAGGGCAGTAGCAACGACAGATTCGATTAAAGAAATGGCTGCAGCGACTCGAAAGAAAATTTATGACCAGGGCGAGAGCTTGAATAAGTCCGAGAAAATAATGCATGCTGCAAAATACCAGGTGGAGCAAGCAGGGAACGGTATACACAGACTAGGCAAATTGCAGAGTGTGTTTTCAATAGACCCTGCTACAAAAGATATATCTGCGAAGCAGGTGTTACACATGGAAGGACATGCAAGTGCGTCTCATACTTCTCGCAACACTATGCTAATTAATCCTTGTAGGAAAAACACCAAGCTGAGAAACGCGCCATGAACGAGCACCAACATCAGCAAACCCAATTGAAGAACTCTCAGCCTCCCAAACAAGATACCGTATCCCATGCTCCCAAAAGAACACCCGATCCGAAGTATTTCGTCCCCGATGAAGACGATTCAGATGCAGAGAGACAGATGGCTTTTGAAGAAGGTAAGCGCCTATAATTTTACACAAATGCAGCTGGAGATGATCTAAATACAAGGCTGACCTTTGTTCTAGACATTGACAATGGTCTCGAGCACATGCGGCGGGGTGTTGCAGACATCAAGTTTTTAGGGACCGACATGGGTAGAGAGATTGCGCGACAGAACGAGCATATCGGCAAGATCGACGAAGGTGCACACAAACTCAATTCAAACATTGAGTTGCAGCGCCATAAATTGGACAGTTTCCGATAATAAGCACATGCTACACGTAGGATTCTTTAGCGATGACGAAGTTGATGCTGCATGTCACTGTCCAAGAGGAGGATATCTGAACACTGTAGTGAAGGGTCATACATAGGCTGTATGCTTCTACCGTCCAGCAGAGACTTCAGAGTAGTTCACATAGCTCGCCGACGTTCTTTAGGTCCATACTCAGTCAATAACAACACACACTTAAGATTACACTTCCCATCGAAGGCTCGTTCCTGTGGCCTTGTCTTTGTAGTTGGATTATTCGGTGATCTGTTTCACCACCTCTGAAAGGAAATGTTTACGAATCTGGCCACGTCGACTTAAGCTATAAGTCGGTCCTTTTCTACAGGGTACTAAGTACTATTTATTCACTGTTCACGGGCTGTCGCCATTATGTCTTTCCCTATAAGTTAGTAGCTCGTCACTGTGCGGTCTTTCGTAACTTATATTTCCTATCATACTTATACTATAGACCTACTGCAAGAGGTCAGCTTCCCGATAATAATTAGCTTAATATTCCCATTATATGTACACTATATCTTCATTAGTAGGCTTAGATAAAAGAACTAATAGCTCTAGAATTATATTCTATATCAGCCAGCCTAAGCATCTTAAGTCCATCTCTATATCTTATCTACAATCCTATTATTTTCTGATCCATGTTTGATGTGTGGAAGTCATACTGACTTACCGCTTTATATACCAATACTACTTATAAGATGTTATAAACAATATTTGAATGCGTTCGCCGCTCGCATCTGTTCATAAGAGCTTCGAAGCGTGGCGATGTTTTGACTGCAATGTAGGCTGTATCACTTTTGAGGAAAAGTTTCAGAAAATTGGCTGTAGTGTTAGTTATGAACAGTAGTTTTCTAGACTATGTCTCATGGACCGGCTGGGTCTGTAGAACCTACATTTCTCTCTTGTTGCTCGTGGATCTGTCTGTGTATGTCGCATTAAGAGTCAGGTCCATGGCATCCAACGCGGCCTAATCGATCCACAAGCATTAGTAGACTCAGTACTCTTATCACTTCACGTCAACCGTTGCTTCGATGATACAGACAGGGCTTTGGACACTTTCCATGCAGTGCGATTGGCATAATTTGAGTTATTTGACAGTAACGATTGACACGAATCGCGCTTTGCTTGCTAGGGTCGGTCCAAACATGACTCGGATACAGAATCTTTCGAAACAAAAGTTCATAAGCCCTTGATGCACTATCAATGATCAGAACGTCAATTTTACCTCGTTAAGTGAAACTTTACGCTTTAACACTCTGAAAGATGTTGCACGTGGCGTACCACGGGAGATCCTACTAGCTGCAGCTGTCTCGCCTTCTTTGAGGTCTTCTCTGTCGGCCCCCATGGCCATGGCGTGCACCGAGCCAGACCTCCAGGAATGGTATAGTCTCGTACGGATGATATCGACGAATAGACAATAGAAAAGGCGTTAGAGGGTCGTGAGATTAGGCGTATAGATGCAACGTCGAAGCGAGGTTGAAATCTTGGTGTCCCTTAACCATACCCTTAATTGGGATAGCGTGGCTGGAAACTAATGCAGTCTCTGCCGAGGAAATATGCCTGCAAGTGTCAATGAGATGGAATGTATACGAGGCTGTCATATACACTGCTGTTAATGGTGGGGGTTTACGTCCGAAAGATAGGTCTAGATTGACGACATCGTAGCTTGTAGAGACATCCGATCTTTCACAAGCGGCACAGGTATTAACAAGGCGGGACTTTTTTCCACACTGTCATTCAAGGAAGCTTGGAGTGGCTCTAGTATCTCGTTTCAGCGATTTCAGACAGCCTCGTCAGATACTGATTCGTCATGAACCCTGGGCTGAAGTTGTTTCGGTTCGTCGGTTGTGGTCCTGTACTAAATTGCTAGGTCGGGAGCTTGCTTTCCGCAAACCATCATAAACGTCCAGTAGTCGAAATCGGGGCATTGATATCTGTTGTGGCTTTCCTGCAGCTACTGCATCCGTCTCCGGGCTTAATACTATAAATCACGGTAGGAATTACTCCCAACTTGTAAAGTCCCAGTGCACTCCTGGTCCATCATTTAAAACCCCATCTCGTTCCGAGTTTCCTTATCATCAATATTGTCTTTCAGCTATTCCAAGGCGATCTTCGTATCCCGTTTGACCGAGTAACATGGTTTCGTCTCTCACAAAGACTAGGAACAGGCTTTCTGGTATCTTCAGTAAGATGGGTGGTGGACCAAAAGAAACGCTACTCGTAGCGATCGAATTCCCGGAAAGCAAAGAGTTAGTGGACAGGATGAGAAAGAAATTTCCATATGTGGACATCGTCTGGTATCAGCATGATCCCAAAAAAGGGCCAGTTCCAGAGCGTAAGTTTGGCGTGCGTCCTGTGTCAGACTTGGTCATGCCAGCAACTCCGTTGAGCATTTTCAAACAAAGTGCTAAACTCATGATTTTTCAGATCTGTTCCGCTCCGTAACTATATTAGTCACTATGTTCAGCCTTCCGTCAAAGCTGTCACTGGTGCCGGAACTGCGCTATGTACACTTCTTCAGTGCCGGGATCAATCACATCTACGAACATCCTCTCTACAAAGATTCGAAGATTCCCCTGACGACCTCAAATGGCGTTCATGGGCCTCAGATCGCAGAGTGGGTCGTTATGACGGCGTTATGCCAGAATCATTCTTACAACCACTGGCACGCACTTCAGCAGCAGAAGAAATGGGGCAATTTCAGAGACGTGAAAGTTCGGGACTGGGCTGGTCAGAAAGTCGGTATTCTTGGTTATGGTAGCATCGGCCGTCAGGGTAAGCCATTCGAACTTTTTCATTTCCAGGTTCAGACTGTTGTACAGTACCAGTCGAACTATCCATGATATCCTCTATGTCTGAGCTACGTTCTAATTTTACCCACCATCACGAATTCAAGACAAGGTACAGGACTAACGAAAGCTCACAGTCGGCCGTGCTTTTGCTGCTCTGGGTATGACCATCTATGCATATACCGCCTCTCCACGCCCAACACCATCGTCACGTGTTGACAACGGTTATATTGTACCTAACACCGGCGATCCGGATGGCAGTATACCAACCGCCTGGTACTCCGGCACCTCAAAAGCCTCCCTGCACGACTTCCTCTCGCAAAAATTCGACATAATAGTCCTGACGCTCCCGCTAACTCCCTCAACAACGCACCTCCTCGGCACCGAGGAATTTGCTATTCTCGCATCCCAACCCCATCCACCTCTCCTGAGTAACATCTCGCGAGGACAAATTGTTGACCAGGCAGCAATGGTGAAGGCTCTACATGATGGTGGACTACGAGGTGCATGTTTAGATGTTACAGATCCAGAACCATTGCCGGAAGACAGTGAGTTATGGACGGCAAAAAATGTCATTATCACGCCGCATGTTAGTGGTGGAAGCGAGAAGTATCTGGAGAGAACGTGGGATATACTGGAGATGAACGTGGGCCGGCTGATGGAGGGAAAGAAGTTGATCAATCAGGTAGATCGCCGAAGAGGCTACTGAAGAGAAGAAAAAGGCCAGAGAGAAAACCAAGGTGAGCCCACATGAGGGGCGGAACAGTGCTCGATAAGAGCGATGACTTTGCGTACCAGACTTCATTTATGATGCGACACGCTTGTGAGCATGTATTCATGACATAGGAGCATAAACTGCTATAGATGCTGTACTGGCGATGCCAACCAGCTGATCAGATTCTAGATGCCATAAGTTCAACCCTTGCACCACTAAAATAGGGCCCAGGAGGTTTTACACCGAATGAACGAGTCTTCACTCCTATCTACCACATAGTAGTCTCTCTTCACGATAAAGCTCGTTTACTCCAGACTTGAGCCTCCTCACAACTGACTGTCCATGCTTTCCCTTCTCAGCAACCTCTCAGCCTCCACTCGCCCGTCAAAGCTATACAGCCATCCCTGAAATCCTGGATCCTGCAATGCATTCGGGAACCCACACGTCTCCCTCCCCGTGACTCCGACGCCCCCTTCACGCCTATACGTTCTATCTCTGTCCTCCTGCTCCTTTCCATCCGGCAACGTCCATATGGCTCCCATCTTATCCGTCATCCTCCCAACGAACCTCGTGCGCGGACGTCGCTCTCTCTCGAACAAAGCCAGAGCACGACGCACTTCAACAACAGAGGAACTATAACCAAGCAAATTCGAAAGAAGCGAAGCATCCTCAAACCCCATTGCTGCACCAGACCCAAGAAACGGCTTCATCGCATGCGCCGCATCCCCGACCAACGCGACCGCCAACCTCTCCCCTTCCCTCGCCCGCGCCCATGATCTTGGCACCGACACATCAGCATGATAGTCCAACACAAGCCACTTCAAAAAGCCTGTCCCATGCTCGATCAATGTTCTAATGCGCGGATCCCACGGCGCGGAATACAATGCCAGCAACTCCGCTTTCGAAGCCGGTCTGGGGCCGCGGAATAGCGACTCGTGGATGGCGGCTGCGTGTGGCGAAGCAGAGACGTCTGTGGTCAGGGCGAGGTAGAAGTCGTCTTTGAGCAGGTAGCCTGTGGCCATGGTGTGTGGGCCCTGCCAGATATGGACAGATGGAGGGGAGATCAGGGAGGACATGCCGAGGGCGTGCATGTCCGATACAGACATCAGGACGCGAGTCACGATGAGGCCGCTCCAGCGTGGGGTGATGGGTTGGGTGTTGAGGAAGGTGCGGGTGCTGCTTGCTTGGCCGTCGGCGGCGAAGAGGAGGTCTGCAGTGTGGTATATTGTGTCGTTTGTGGGTGTAGTAGTGCATATTGAGCCAGTGGTAAAATTGGTACGAGAGATATCGACGTTGGCACCGAGGTGGATCTTGACGCCGGCAGATTGAGCAGCGGAGTAGAGGATCTTGCGCAGGTCGGCGCGGTGGATGACGAGGAAGGGGGAGCCGTATTGTTGCTCCATGTCTGGCTCGAGAGAAAGAGCAGCGAGAGGGTTGGGGTCTGCAACGCCATCATGGGTGTTGGATGGCTGTGCGCGGTAGGAGTGGGATACCCAGTAATGGGATGCGGATGATCTGCTTCTGACTGCTTCCAGAAGGCCGAGAGTGTGCAGGACACGGGTAGAGTTGGGTGGTAGAACGATACCGGCCCCTACCTATCAAAAATCATGAGTTGAGGTCTGCTGGAATAGATGCATATGATATATACCTCTTTGAGCTCTACATCACTTTCGAATATCGTGACGTTGTATCCGAATTTTCGGAGGGAGATTGACAGAGCTAGGCCGACAAGTCCGGCTCCGATCACGGCAATTTGATATCCGGATTTGAATCTCTCTGGTGACTTTTCGCCAATGCCTTCCATTGTCAAGTATCTTTTTGATGCACGTCAAACAGTCTTCTAGAGGTAGCCGAAGTTATTACATCTATGTGATCGCTTAGAGTTCAAAAAGTCAGATGGATGGTTACACGACTGAAGTATGCGCCTCACTCGCCGCGGACATTCCAATCTGGCGGGAATCGCTTGTGTACAGGGGCACCTAGCTTGCTATCGCAGGGGTCATGTGAAGTACTATGAAGGTTTGATCATTACGTGTTAGTTGAATACCAGAAGTTCAAGTGTCGGTATTCACATATTGTGCGAGGAGCATCATGGTATGTTTTCCATATGACTTGACCTGGAGGTCTCAATCTCGCTTCGACGTAGTCTGTTTCCATTTCCTGATCCTCCATATGATGCTCGTATATGGTTGCGAATGCATCCGAACATCTGATTGGCTGCATTACATTCGGGCCTGTTGTGGTTACCCCTTCCACAAGCTCCCTTGCTGATCTACAATCGGAGAGCGCTGCATTTGACCGAGTGAGGTTGAGCCTGATCCCGGGCCGTTGCAGATGGTGTATAAGACATACAGGTTTGTGGGCTTATTTGTGGTGTGACTGGTGTTATTCCGGCCATCTAATTGCGTTTGCTGGCTACCACAGAAGTTACGAAAGAGACACAATGAAACCAGACGAAGAAAGAAACAGGACGAGCCGAGTGACCCTCAGATAAGAAACAGATCACAAAATTGCACAAACGTGACACTGACCATCACTGAGGTAAGGGGCGCGACATTTTGAAACCAGAATCGAGGCAAACCTAAGTTGTCTCCTTCTGAACATACATCGGCATGTCGGCATCGGCACTTGCAACGCCTTGCCCACGCCGTGAACTGTTATGGGCAATTTGATGCCAGTGCCATGGCCTTGGAAGTGGAGAGTCGGAGGCCGACGATGCGCCGTGCGTGTGTCGGTGTGAATGAATGCAGAGGCATAGACTACACAACAACACGTCTGTAGTTCCGATGCGTGATGAAGATGAACATGATAGAAGATCACTATGGGAACGAACGTGCTTTTTATATATCTATGTGTGTGAAAAGCTTTGACGCTATACCCGATCCGTTCATTACCTAATCACACAAAAGTAACTGAATGCGAGCGAGCACCGAGTTATCAATAGAATCAAGCATTGAAACACAAAGTATGTCTATGGGATTACGAAATCAAGTGTGTCTGGCGAACAAGGACTTCGAAGACTTCTGAGCGCGAATGTGCTATCTCGAAGGTCCCACTTTCACCCTGGTTCCTGCTTATCGATAGATTGGTTTTGATCCATTGAAGGTTTCGACTCTGTAACCGCCTCGTACGTGGCTGAATCTCTACCACACGCTACCCGAAGCATCATGACTCAATGAGCAGGAGCTCACGTCAATAATACCCTGCATGGGTATCTGGTGTGGTGATAGCTTGAGAGATATCGTCGATCGAGCACACTTGCAAGACCATGCCTGGCTGAAAAATGATAGGCGCTAGATTTATTATTCCACACGTGGCTTTCAGTTCTTCAAAATGAATAGGACTATTGCCTCACGCTCTCGAGACGCAATCTGCAGAGTTTTGTTATTGCAGCTGAGGTCGAGATGTACAGAAGAGGCGTGGGTTAGAGGATCAATCAGTCAGAAGATTTTCTGGTAATGGTAAGGCTAGGTTGCCGACATCATATGCCTTTCGTTTCCGGAGACCATCTGCTGGCAGAATGAGTATTCCTACGTCTCCCCAAATGTATAGTTCGTCACAAACGGATGCGTTACGTCATAGTCACTTACTTCATCTCAACCTTATCCGGCGCATGAACCTTAAGCATTGAACAGCTTGTCAGTCCTGAAGCAAAATATCATAGGTAACCACTACAAAGCCTACGATCATAATGGTATCATCAAAGGACTCTGGTACATGGCGCCCTGTCTACAACGTCCTTCAACACTAATCTCATATCTCAGACATAAAGTCCCTACCTGACAAGGCCACACAAGCAGACAAGGACTTGGCATATAAAGTTGCCGCAAACATCAAACCAGGGCACAAGAGTGGAGAGTCTAATATCAAAGAGACCATAGAGTCTGCTGCCACCAAAGAGGAGAATCTGATCTCGAAACGAACGGTCGGAGGTGACGATGGAGGGGAGTCGGGGACAGCTGAGAGGAGGGTTTAAAGATGAAAGATCTGGTATGTAAGGGGCGTCATGGTAGAATGTATGATACTTGCTATGAATACTTTGATCGCAAACGCGACACGTCTTCCGCTAGTTATCAGTGTATACCATTTACTAATGAGACGATGTGCTCGTCTGAAATGAAATGCTCCATAAATACTCGTTTGGGCCATATTGGATGAAGTACAGACTATGCTGCTACATCGAAAGCCACCTGCTCTCATGCAACTATGCCCAGCACGTTGTCAGGCATTCGTGATTCATCGCGTGTAAAACTCACCAGCACGAGCTCATCCCAAAACCCCGCCTACGCACCCCACAAATCTCCAAACGCCATGCCCTAAGCCGGAAATGCGCAGCCATTCAGATTTAGATGTCATTGTAACCCAGGTAGGTTTTGGGCAAGTTCTTATCTACCACCGCCCACGCCCATGCCCTTCCTGCCTCCCCACACCAAAGCGCCGAGGGATCCTCAGACTTCTGCAATACTCCGTCCTTCTCTAGCGCTTTGATCTCATGGCCGGTCGTGTATGTCAAAAAGTGTTCGCAGTCTTTATCCTCAAGTGCAAGCGCGTTGCCACTAATGCCATGACACAGACAGGGCTCCTTGGTCAGTAGACCTCGTTCTTTGATGCACTCCCGGCCTTTCCTTATTGCGCTCTCGATCTTGTCCTTCAGATTTGGGAAGTATCCTTTGATTTGGTCTAGACTGGCGACCACGCCTGGTGCGCCGTGGCAGAACTGTACGAGGCGGTCTTTGCCAGGAGGTATTGAGGACGGCCAGTTCCCACTGTCGAATTGGTAGCTCAATAGTGCTGCTAGATCAGCTTCAATCTTAGGAGCCCATGTTGGGTCTGTGAGGACAATTTGAGTGATTATGCCAACGGCACCGTGTACTGCACCAACGTAGGCTTTGCCGTGCCATTTCCATGGCCTGGGAGTGTCCATGATTGTGTCGATAACGGCGTCGGCTGAGTCATCAATGAGATCTAGCATTTCTTCGTTGTCGCTGAAAGATCTCCGCACCAGTCTTAGGAAGTAGAGGTAGCCTGCGCCGCCATAAAGCCACTCGATGGACGCTCCAGGCTCCGCAGCAATATCTTTGTAGTTGCATAGTTCTTTTACCGTGTCTTCATCTTTTGCTGTGGCGGCGTATAGCGCAAGAAGCGCCATGATGTCGTCGCTGACACCGCATTTCTCTGGTGATGGACCTGGATAGTCTTTGATGTTTGCTTGTGCTTGTTCCAGATAGGCCGCAGACCAGGTTGTTAGTGGAAAATCTTCGATCTCTAAGTCTGGATAGAGTCCATTGAGTGTCGCAAACAGATGAGCCACCGATGTTGGACCGTAATAGAATCCACCACCCGCTGGTATTTTGTCTGGAGGATACTCTGTCACTAATCGCGTGAGTGAGGCAACGAGTTGCTTCTTTGGATCTCGGCGAGCAAGCGGGGCATCATTCCTGAAAAATCGTGACTTGTGTGACATTGCTGCAGCTGCTTAGCGTGCTAACCTGACTTGTGATAAATTGCAGATAGTTCTATGATTCGACGTTGTTATGCCTGCCTCTGGTCTGTTGTGCTAGTTCCTTTGAGAGTGGTTTTGATGTTGAAGTTCAGTAGGCTGAGACTGTGGGGCGGCGCGAAGTGACGTAGCTTGGTCAGACAGCTGACAGGCGGGATGTTTGCAAGTAAGGAGGTGAAAGGCTGAACTTTCATTCCAATGTTCAGTCGGTGGTCATTATTGACCCAGGCTTACTCAGATGCTGTTCTTATCTCGTATGTACTACGACATCCGCAGTAGCAACATGTATGAGAGCTCGAACAAGGCTTGGTAGGGGGTTTGATTCAAGGTTTCTAGCGGGCCTCAGGTGTCTTCTTTGGTGAATCACATAAAGAAGATGCAAGCCTAGTGCAGTCCTTGAAAGGGGAAGCATATATACGCATGTCATGTTCATCTAACCCTGCTTCGTCTGGATCTCTTGACTTCCACCTCTTCCAACTTTATAACCTGGTGCTCTTCAGGCTCGAGGGATCTTTTTAATTTCTTTTCAGCCACTGTAGTTGTTTCAATGTCTTCGATTTTGATCTTCCCATCTGCTTCACCCTTGATTATCTCTGCCTCATCTTTCACCTCCACTTTAGCGACAAGCCTCTCCGAGAACGCCCTGAGATCGGCAGTAAAGAGCACCGAGTGTGCCCAGCCTGCTTCTCTGCCCCAGAGTTGCCGGAAGCGATTCGCAACGGCGTCATATGTAGCCTTAGTCAGGCTACTATGCTTCCCCTTTCCAAATTTGTAATCCCGCTGGGCTATCTGCCAGACGTGTGTGTCAACAGGTACTGCTTCGCCCCAACCCAGTCCCATCAAACAGACGCAATCTGCAACTTTGGGCCCAACGCCTTGGAGCTCCAAAAGCTGTTCGTGTGCATGCCGGTATCCTTCTCTTCCCCCTTCCACCAGCTCTCCGGTGGACTGCTTTCCCTTAAATGATTTGGCGCTTTCTGGGTTTCTGAGGCTGTCCAACCAGCCAAGTTCCTTCTCTTTAGCCACAATCTGTGCTGTTCGATGCAGATACTTTGCCCTGTAGCCAAAACCTAGATCTCGCAAGTGTTGTTCGACTTTCGGTCCGACAAGCGCTTCGGGGGGTGGGAAGTCGTGGTAAGCTTGAGTACCGATATGTCCAATTAGCGGCCCATAATTTAGGCACAACTTCTCCACCATCTGCGATATCCTCGCGATGTTGTTATTGCTACTGCAAATAAATCCTACCAGAGCCTCCCAAGCATCTTGTTTCAGTATCCGTACTCCCGTGAACTTTGGCGCCTTCTTCTTGAAATTTGAATCTGCCGAAGCCCATTGCTCATATAATTGCGTAAGATTTGGTTCGAGGTTCAAATAATGCTTTAACAGCTTCAAAGTATCATCCTCCTCCACTGTAGACTCTGCTACCGAAGCCGCATGCGAGTAGGGAGGTGTAGGAGGAGCGAGAGCAGCGGCAGGAAAAATGGCTCGGTAGTGAAGATACTCGGGGTCTTGACGGAGGGACAGTATGCGACCATGCAGCGTACATGACCATTCATCATCGGCCGATTTGCGCCATCTGTATGGTCAGTCATCTTCAGTGAATGGCCCGCAACTGAAACGTACCTGAACGATTGGCCACATCGTAGGGTTGTATTGATGCAGAGCTCTGACAAACTGACCGGCAGCTTCTGCCACTCTGTGATGCGAAAATTGCCCATTCTGACCGTATGAAAGGTAGGAAAAGCAGCAGAAGTAAAGAGACAGGGGAACTTCTCTCAGGCTTTTGCGCGTTAAACGCGAACGCGCCCTAAATCATTTTACATGCCTTAGGCACCAATCTACCGAAGCTAGAACTTCTCTGGATCTTCAAAGCTCCGAGAGCCTCATTGTTCAGTCTTTTGTAAACATCACAACCGCCATACTGCTTTACAGAAATCTTTAATTGATATCTCGTGCAGGCCTGTTGTACTACTTGACATCTAGACGGCAACTTGTCCAAGCTTCTAAGCTTGCTGTGCGCAAGGACTGAGTTGCGAAGATGAATGGCGGCGAGTCCTATGGCGGTGGCCGAGGTAAGTATCTTACAATCATGGCTGTGCAGCTACTGATTGCAATATGTTATAGAACGACACGGCTCAGGTCGCGATTATGTATGGTATACTCTCTCATATGCTTCGAAACTGGGCTAATCTGACAGAAACCGCGCGGAGACCGTGACGACCGCCGCGACCGACGTCGCCGATCTAGATCTCCCAGACACGGAGGGTCAGGTGGAGGATCGCGCAGAGACTACGAGGTAGATACGTACTCTTCAAGTCGCGACTACAGGGAGCGTGAACGCGAGGACAGGTACGCAGGTCGTAGCGACAACAGGCGCGAGGAAAGAGGCGGTTGGGGTGGTGGCCGTGACAATCGAGGAAGCAGACGCGATGATGGCGATCGTCCTCCACGTCGCGATCGTGGTGATTTGTTCGATGATAGAGGCGGAAGAGGCAGAAGAGAACGTGGTGGCGGTCACGAACGAGCCGAGCAACGACCTCGTAGTGCCAGCCCGCCCCCGAAGAGAAAGGAGCCTACACCAGATCTGACTGACATCGTACCGATCCTTGAGCGCAAGAGAAGATTGACTCAATGGGACATTAAGCCTCAGGGTTATGAGAATGTCACCGCGGAGCAAGCGAAGCTATCTGGAATGTTCCCTCTGCCAGGCGCACCGCGTCAACAACCTATGGACCCAAGTCGTTTGCAAGCCTTCATAAACCAACCGTCCGGCTCCGCCACGTCATCTTCGCTGAGACCATCCAACGCGCGACAAGCAAAGCGATTGTTCGTGTACAACATCCCTGCATCAGCGACTGATGAATCGATTGCAGAGTTCTTCAATCTCCAACTCAATGGCCTGAACGTCATACAAGGAACCGATCCTTGTGTCAATGTAGCCATTGAACCTAGCCGACAATTCGCATTATTGGAATTTCGCAACACCGAAGATGCTACGATGGCACTAGCACTTGACGGCATCTCGATGGAACCAGACGCTATGGATACTAGCAATGGCGCGTCCAATGGCAAGCCTTCAGGCCTGAGAATCTCTCGTCCGAAAGATTACATTGCGCCAGCACCGGACGCGGATGAGGAACCGCCCCAGGAAGGTGTCATATCCAATGTTGTCAAGGACAGCGCCAACAAGATTCTTATCACGAACATTCCTGTCTACCTTAGTGACGATCAAGTCACCGAGCTTCTCGCTGCCTTTGGTGTCCTCAAAGCATTCACTCTTGTCAAAGATACAGGCACAGAGCAGTCGCGAGTGAGTTGTTACCCTCGCTCCGTTCAACGTACCAGGTACAACACTAATCTTTGCTTTCTAGGGTATCGCCTTTTGCGATTATGTCGACCCACAAGCCACCGATGTCGCCGTCGAGGGCCTCAACGGCATGGAGCTTGGCGATGCACAACTCAAGGTACAGCGAGCTAGCATTGGTATCACGCAAGCATCTGGTCTTGAGATGGGTGTCAACGCCATGTCAATGCTCGCCGGGACTACCTCCTCTGAGCTTGAGCAAGGTCGTGTCTTGCAATTATTGAACATGGTGACGGCTGAAGAGCTCATGGATAACGATGAATACAAGGGTGAGTCATGTGGTCTTCTAAGTAACTCATCTAGCATACCAGTACTGACACATTGCAACAGAAATCGTTGAAGATGTCAAGGATGAATGCAGCAAGTACGGTCCCGTGCTGGACATCAAAGTCCCTCGCCCAAGTGGTGCTCGTCAAAACCCCGGTGTTGGTAAAATCTTCGTCAAGTTTGACAAGCCAGAAAGCGCACAGAAAGCTCTTGCGGCGCTCGCAGGCAGGAAATTTGCAGACAGAACTGTTGTGGTGACGTTCTTCGGAGAGGTATTCACCATCTACCAATCTTTTTTCCCCTCTCCACAAGATATGCTAACTTTGTCCCACAGGAGTACTTCGACATCAACGCCTGGTAGAGCTGCCGTCATCCCGGATTCGATGGATCTTGATGAACTCTACGTCTCCTGCCTTCCCCCCCCCCCTGTTTTCCGTTTCCATCCAAATGTCCTCCTCCTTCGTCTCATTCAAATGGTTTTGTCGGGAAAGGCGAGGAGGGGTCCCTCTCCGTTACGTGTAGTTAAATATTTGTTGTCATTTGGAAAATCAAACTTCCAAGGATCACGGGGCCTTTGTATTTGTATCGCGTGCACTTGAAAAACAGTTCGGTGGCGGACAAAGAAAAGTTTCCAGTCGAATGCCATAATAAGTCGCGTCTGTGCTTTTTTTTGACTGAACGCTTGGTCCTTTCTTTCACCATCTGATCGGGTCTTAGTCGTCACTTTTCTGAACTAACTATCGAGTAGAATCGGCTATGAAACATCAGTGAAACCTTGAGTTATTACCTTCAAGGTAGTCCCGAAGAATAGTCGTTCACCTAGCGCGGTGGATCTTTCCGGAACAAAGGAGGAGTAGCTAGCTTCAGCTTCTTCGAAACATCATAACACTCCCCCCGCTCGAAGGACAAGATAATTGCGCTTACTGCTAGGGAAAAGTTTCACGTTGTGTATGAAGATGGGTTCGTTTACTGCTAAAAGACTGCCAGGAGAAGCCAGGAGAAAAACCGTATTGTATTGATCGTCACGCACTGCGCCATTCCAGTCCGGATACGCTCTACTCTCAAGTATCGACACTAGAGCAGCTACTTTACTAATTCGCCCATATGTCATCCTACGCCGCGCTCCCATCCGCAATCTTCGTGTCTTCCGGCTTGCCCACGCTATCCCTCCTCCGCTTCTCCGCCACGGCCAATTCGTCAGCGCCAGGTGTCTTCGGGATCTCTGTCAGCACGGCCGGATCACGCAGGCGTGCCTCACGCTGCTCTGGTGTTTCTTCGGCCTTCTTTTGCGCAAGATTTTTGTCTATTGATGCAACGCTGCCGCTACGCGCTCGCTGGGTTTGGGGTGATGTGGGTGTGCCATCCAGTTCGACTGGTACGCTGTTTATGCTTCTGGTGGCGATGTCGATGAAGGGCTGGCTTGCGGCCGCGGATGTCTGGGATGGTGGTCAGTCGGCCAGCAAGCAAGCAAAGCATGTAGGTTTAGGGAAAAGACGTACCGTCTTGTGCGGGAAGGAGCCAGAGCGAACAACGGGGGAGATGGGAGGAGCGGTGTCGTCTTTGGATTTGGAGGAAGGGGGCTCGGAGGGTCTTACGGTGAGTTGTTCTGGCTGTGGAGGCATATTGACCTTTGTCGAATTAATGTGTAGACGAGCGACTTTGTGATAGTTGAGTGTCGAGTATTCCTGGGCTTTGCCTATGTCTAGAGTCGATCTAGTATCTGTATCCCCGCCTTTGTGTACTAGTTCATGTATATCTGTTCGGTTCTTTAAGGCAGCTCTTAGCCTTGATTCCAAGAAGTCTCAGGTGCCCCGTACGGCTGAAACCTGGCGGGACCTGACGCTGGTGACGCTGTAGGATCCCAGGCGCTTGACAGGCTGAGAAAGCGCTAGCAATAGGTGCCGGGCGCCTTGAATACCTAATCTCGTCTCGTTAGTATCTTCCTTGCGGGCAGGCAAACACGCCGGTTGGGCACGGGAATATATAGACTGGCGTACCTGTGGCTAGTGGCTGAAGTCAGAGGTAGGTCGTAGCTGTGCGGAGTGCTGTTGATGGTTCGAGTGGTCTGATAGAAGCTGTACACGAATATAATAATCAGGACGTAGTTCGAAAAAGTCAATGACAAAGTACAGCCTTGTGGTGTGGAGATGAGATGTCGGGAAGCTATTACTATGCTGGAGAGCAAACAGAACAAAGTGGGGTTAACGGGTTGAAGGGTCCTTTGGCGGCGGCTTCTAACGCTAACAGTGGCTGATAAGACTGATGCCACTCTGTCGATTCCTGCCTTAAAGCCTTAGAGCCCTTGAAACCGAGCTCTTGGCGTATAAACACTTCCTGACTTCCTATTGTGGCGTGAAGTGCCGTGCTGCTATTTTCGGCAACCACCTACATGCGCACAGACATCTTGAAACGTATTATGACATCAATTGGAAAATCTGAAAGCCGTATTGAAACGCCGGGTCCGGCTCCACGCCAAGCGCCAAAGTGCCGGTATGTTCGGAAAATACGCCGAATCCATGAAAAACCCCTTCCGAGATGTTACAACTTTCTGTCAATGAAGAAGCCTGCAAGACCCAAACCATAACACCCAGTGCTCAAATATGATACCACGATCATCAGACCGATATAGACTTACAGCCACTCCGGGCTCGGCGCCATTACTGTACTCGTATTTGGTGACACCCGGTCATCCTGCAGCGCAAGAACCTTGTGCGGCTCAACGAGCCCTAGTACTTTGATACTCTTCTTGAGCTCTTTCTGACGTCGCGCATCTTTAACTCTTTCTAGAATGCTTTTCCTCGGCATTTTATTCGGAACATACTTTGGGCTCTTTTTTGGCTTTGGAGTGGTGGGCCAACTGTCGAAGGCGCTGTATTCATCATCTTTCTGCCTCGACGAGAATGAACTTGACGAAGCCGGCTTTGTGCGACCATACGAAGTCTTAGACGGTTTTTTCCTGGGTTTGTAGAGCGCGATCGAGAAGTTTTCGCGAGAAATTAGTGGCTGTGAGCCTGAGGAGCGGGATGGATGAAACATAACACTGGAGCTAGCACGTCTCATTTGACGTTGTACTTTGGTGACAGTATTGGCAGCTGATTTGGATATCATCGTCGTCCGACGTTTGATTTGCTTCGCAACTTTCTGAGCCGATGTATAGGAGACCTGCCCGGAGTCGTGCATTGTATTGGAAGGGGTGACAGGTAATCGAGGAGATTCCGGTGTGCGAGGAACAAACTTTGGCAAAGCTGTTCGTGAACGTGAGCCTACACTAAACGACGCAGCCAATGGCGACGAAAGTTGTTTACCAGTTCGTGGAAGTACCAGGGGAATCATAGTCGCACCTCGTTTCTTGACCAGTCGAGTCTCGGCTGGGTTGCTCTGCCTTTCTGGTTTGAGAGACTGAGTACCCCTTCGACCTTGCCGCAGTGTTGGTATTTGAAGCTGCTCAAGCGACCGATGCCCGTTAGAAAATGGGTAAAGTTTGGGATGAAAAGGACTGTAGGGTGACGACACTTTATATGCAACACCGTAATTCTTGCCATGTTCTGGTCGAGATGTTCTTACATTAGAAGCTTCGCGGTTTCCTTTTTGTACCGCTAGGGTCCCTGCAGAAGGGTATCTCTTTGGTACTTTAGCACCCATAGATGTCTCGGAATCAGAGCCTTTGTAAGTTGAAGATGGTAACAAGACTGGCTGACTAGCGTTCAAGCGGAATGCTGTTGAGTTCTGTGCTGCTGCTATAGCTCGAGTGGCTTGACTGGATTCCATGCGGGCAAGCCGCTCGGTAGTCTCAATGGGCCTTATGAAGTCTTCCGGTGATGGAGACACAACCAGCTCTCGATATCGTTCGACCATAGTTGCATGACCGACAGAGTGCTCGCGGGTCTGGCACGTCCTGTCAGTTATTTTGGAGGAGGCACCATCATCACCTTCCGGGTCGTCGGCAATGCTGGACATCCTGGCAACGAAGCTTCGGCGTCGCCCTGGTACAGAGGACTGAGTTGGAGTCTCCGTTTTAGTCGTTGCAAAGTCCGCCCTAAGCAACGATTTCCAAGGAGGGGGGCCGAGCAATGTATCAGCTTGTGCGTCTCCCTGAGCATTCGAGGCAGTGACCGATTCTGCAGGCGCTGGTTCTGGGGCCTCGAGAGTCAAATCAAAGGACTGTTTACTACGTTCTGACGACGGTGTGGACGATCCGCTCAGGAATGTTGCGTGTTCAGGCGAAGGACTTGGCATCAACGGTTCGAACAGGCGAGGAGTTGACGTGCGCGTTCCAGAACCTGCTTCGTCCTCAGATGACATGCCAGGCCCTATGACGACTGCGGAATGATTGCGCCGCTTCTGTGATTTCGGCGAATGTGCCTGTCTCTTCCACCATTCTTCGGCCGGTGTCGTTGGCGCGGCGGTGCTGTAGATACTTGACGAGGACGATACCGGAAATGGTGCCCTTAGGTGTCCTGGGGACATTGGGATACTCAAAGGAATAGGTGGTAGAGGCTTGTTTGGGTCAACGGGTGGCAGGGACAGGTCTTGATACCATCTAGCTGAATCAACAGCGACCTGCATACCTTTCGAGGTTTTGGCGGGGGAACGAGCAGATCGAGCGACGATATGAAGCTTTGGGGAGCTTTGTATCAATTTCCTAGGAGGATGAGAAGTAGTGGTAGTCTGAGTTGCCATTTCAGAGGACTTCTCTAGTATTTCTTTCTTCGGAATTGTAATTGGGGGTTTGCTATCGAACAAAGCGATGCTCTCGAGGTGGGACATAAGTCACGAGAAGACGTCCAGATGGCCGAATGCGACCAAGAAGACTACATACCAAAGTGGGCACGGTCCATGACTTACTCCAAAGGCACGGATGAGAATGATATGTTATCATAGACCAGGCGAAGCCAGCGATGCGCACAGTCGCTTCAATGAAACAAGTTTCTATAGGCGCTTGCCATGATACCCCAGTATAAGATGGTTGAAACCCGTGGTATGGTAGATAGTATGCGTATTCTGACGATTCGTGCGCAAATGTGGGATCATAACGATCACAGCAATCACAGCTTCTGGATGAATCATCCGCGTCGACAGGCCATACGCACGACTCATGGACTTTGGATTCTCGTCGGCGTTAACAGTATAGATTGCTTTGCTGTCCTCTGTGCGCACATAAGTCGATAAGAGCCTCGTGCAAGAAAAGGCGCGGGGGCTTTGAGAATGTGACAGCAGGGCCGTGCAGATCGCGTAAGGGTCGAAAGCGTGGGCATGACCAGGATAGATGGTAAATGCAAGTCATGGCTCTGGACTATTTTGTGCTTTCTCCGGGGCTATTTGCTTCTTCCTAATTTTCGCTTTCTGCATAAATAGTCGGGCCGGTACTGAGTCTGAAGGATGAAAAGCAAACGAAACGTGAGATAGGCCGAAGTGAATTGTGAGGCCTTCATCCATGCCACACGATTAACCAATGGCCATGCTTGGGGATGACTCGGGAACGATGTATACACAATATACAGTACAGGATACGTTGTACCGGAAACCTCGGCACCGTAGACATGCTTGACCGTACGAAAACAGTCCACAGTCGGACTGCCCTCAAATTACGGATTAGGTGACGACACGTTGGAAGATGCCAGGAAGAGCCGAGGACCTTGGTTATCGAAAGTGGAGGCGACGCAAGGGATATGTGCGTACGGCGTGAATATGGATGAGGATGTGGATATGGACGTGGATGTGTATGTGAATATCTCTCAAGGCGGAATGAAATCCTCGAATCCTCGAAATTGCGATGAATCCGTTCCCACTTTGAGTCTTTAGATCTAAGGTTGCTTGCTACATGATGGAACCTGGGCCCACTACACATTCCACGCTAGTCCGCTTCTGGTTCTTTGGCGTCTGATGTCCGATATTTGGATACATGCCTTAATGCCTTAGGCTTAAAGCTTAGGAACAGCCTTGCATGGACATGCCGTCATGACGTCGACGCGATACACCGCGATACACCGTGAGGTCTTACCTACGCGTTACCATCACCTGCACACCGGCAGTTCCTACAAGTAAATTACTTGCTCCCACCGTATCCACTCTCAGTCGAGTGCGTATCACTCTAACCTTGACCCTTGCTACCAACAATGTCCAAGAAACATACCTTAGATGGCTTCTTTCAGCCAGCCGTTCAAGCCAAAAAAATCAGATTGACAGCCTCTTCTGAAACGTCAAATCATGACACCTACCCGTATTCAGTACCAAAACTGCCTCCTGAGATCACCGAAATCCTCTCCTTCTCACCAGCGGACGAAGGCAAACTCATAAACGACAAACCAGATCTGGATCTTTACTATTTCTCACCATATGTGTCCAAGGACATTGAGAAGGAGCTCTTCAGCTTCCTAAGAGAGAACCTCTTCTTCTATCGCGTCCAATATAGCATCAAACGAGGGCCTGTAGAGACTCAGATCAATACACCACGGTATACAACTGTATTTGGAGTAGACGAGTCATCGACTTTCGGAGCAGAAGGTCATTTGCTAGATGCACAGTCCGGGAAGCCAGTTCCTCGAGACCGATACAAGTGTAGACCACGACCAATTCCAGACTGTCTGGAGACCCTTCGAAAGATAACTGAAGGCACCACTGGTGAGAAGTTCAATTTTTGCCTCGTGAACTACTACGCGAGCGGTAACGACAGTATCTCTTATCATAGTGATGATGAACGATTCCTAGGCCCAAATCCTGCAATCGCTTCATTCTCGTTTGGCGTGAAGAGAGACTTTTTGATGAAGCATAAACCAGCAAAAAAGGATGGAAAGCAAATTGAGATCGATTCAAAGCCCATAAGGTTTGAGCTGAAATCTGGAGACATGATACTCATGAGAGGACCCACGCAATCGAATTGGTTGCATAGCATACCGAAGAGAAAAGGAGGTGATGTTGACAAAGGTAGGATCAATATCACCTTCCGACGTGCTATGGTGAGAGGTGGCACAGACAATTATTACCAGTATAATGTGGGAACTGGTATCGCTTTTCGTTGGGATGCTGTGAAGAAGGATATGGTCCCTTGGAAGCACGATAGCCACTCGTAGAGGTGCTGAGGCAACACCACGCCACTTATGGAAAAAATAAGCTTCATTCGCTTCAACGACGCCATGACATTTATAGAGTGAGCGGTATGTCTTGAATGAACACCAACCAGTCTTCTTAGCCGTAAGAAGCATAGCGCCAGCGCATCCAATCCATACTCTGTAGCATCTCATGAGGAGAATAACGGACCGGAAGGTGATTTGACGGCAGATTGCGCTTTGACTATGGCCAGCTGTTCGCTCCTCATCAACCGTGTTCTTGCGAGTACTTCCGGTCGATTGCTAGAGTATCGGGTTTGATACTGCCTTGATCCTTGACCTGCTGTAAATCGCCGGTGCCTTATCCCTAGACTTCGAGGAAACAATGTTCGGAGTGGCCGTCGCATGATGCACACCATCAAGCAGACTGACTTTGAAGTTCGAGAGTCTCATACTCTGGCAGCGAGATGCCAGCGTCATGATTTATGTCTTCGTTGAGGCGGATATAGACGGCGTTAAGAACTCTGATCTTGCTTCATTCCCATCCCATCGCGTAAGCTGTGGTCTGAGTCACAGTAGACCTGATGAGCTGGTAGCGATGATGATTAGACCGAAAGTTGGACAGCCTCATGTCTATGTGGTTCATTCGGGACTTCTAATATCTGGAGGAAGGTCAGATGAGGTTGGATTTCACGTTCATATGCGGGGTCTTGGCGATGCATCTGAAAACCTGAAGCTTAACCTGCTGCCGCCGCGCAGCCAGAGATTAGAGGGGGCTGAAGACCGCCCTCCATCTCTGCCTCATGTATCCTGTCGTAACCATTCCTCTATTCATATTCCACGAATCTCTGTCTATCCGGGGAATCACTGCTCTTATCGTCCGATCCTATAAGCACCACCACTGCCCGCATTCGTCGACTCTGCCAAGCCCTCCGCTTTCGACCATCAGCTTGAATCGTTAGCAAACCCATTGCCACACAAAGCGCGTAACGTACGGATTGATCGCTGTTTTCCAACAACACACCAACATCGTCATTGGTCAGGCAAGAGCAGAGAGTACGATACTCATATAAGGTGGAGCCTGCGCTTCAAGTAGAACCTGACAGCCAGCTGCCAGGAGCAACAACAGGGCACCAAGACGAGGCTCGAGTGAGCAGCAGCTTCCACGAAAGCAAGCCCAACGGGATCTGTCGATGAACTTATCGATTTAGATTGCCTTAAGAACAAAACGACGTATTTGCGACACAAAAGGTTGCAAGCGCAAGCTGGGGAATCTCGGTCCTCTGGGTAGAGGGTGATTACGCAGTGCAAGCAAGACAACTCGCGCGAGAGTATATAAGGAGCTTAAGTCCGTTCAATTTGAGATCCTTTTGATTTCTCAGGCCTTCCTCACCAACTCCCGACTTCGACTGTCGGCGCCACCACCCTGCAGGCAGTAAGTTGCCATAATAGCGGATCCATCCACTCCACAAGGCGCTTAAGTCCGCTGTCTCCGAAACACTCTTCGACTCTTTGCGATACCAAACTATATCATCAAAGCAGAGCAACATGACGCCTACACCACCATCTGCAAGCTCTTCGAGTGCTGGACAGTCTCCGGATGCTCGTTTTAGGGTCGTTCGGAAGCGCAATCGGGTACCATTATCGTGTGGACCCTGTAGACATAGGAAGTGAGTCCTACACGTAAATGCTATCATCGGGATCAGAGGCTAAACAACAGTCAATAACAGGCTGAAATGCAACCGAGGACATCCATGCGATAATTGTACAAAGCGCGGTGACATAGCGTCGTGCGCCTACGCTACTCCCGGAAGTCGAAAGAAGAGCACAAGCAGCAATACTAATACATCCCCAGACGATATGCAAAACAGAATAGACCGACTAGAGGGACTTGTGCTCTCGTTGATGACCAATGGATCACAATCTGCAGGACCCGTTGCTGCTGCTGCCGCCATTGCTGAAAACAGCTTTGGCTCTGAGCCCGGAAGCAGTTCACTGAGCATCGACGTTGATGCGCCGGAGTCGATGAAAGAGGAGGGTGAAAACGACGAAAGCGACGTCGAACAAGTCGCCAAGTCTATCGGAGTCATGAAAATGGATAACAATCGAACCATATTCGCGTCGGAGGCTCATTGGTACGCCATCCTGGGTGAAATCGCGGAGGTCAAAAACTACTATAATGAGAACAAGAAACAGTACGATGACCATCTGAAGCGTGTACAAGCTTCGCAAGGAACTGAAGCTCGACCCGGTATGACCTATCTCCTGGGCTCAACGAAGCCTGCCACACATGCAGAGATTCTGGCTTCCTTCCCGCCGAAGCAATCTGCTGATCTTTTAATCACTCGGTATTTCAATACCTACGATCCTTCGCTACACATCGTACATGGTCCGACGTATCAGAAACAGTACGACCGCCATTGGCAGACTCCGTCAGAAACACCTGTGATATGGTTAGGGATGAGTTTTGCGATGATGTGCATCGCTTTGCAGTCATATCATCGAGCTGGTGACGAGCCTCCAGAATATTTTGGGACAAGCTGGCAACTATCTTCAGATTATCGGCGGCTTACTGCACAATGTTTAATCCTTGCGGATATCACACAACCAATTGCGCACATGCTGGAGACCCTCATCCTGCATGTCTATGGTGATTATGCGCGTAGCAGGGACGCTGAGTCTGGCATACTCACAAGCGTCACAATCATTACACGCCTTGCTATGCGTATGGGCTATCACCGGGATCCTGGTGCTTATCCAAACATTTCAGCGTATGAGGCCGAAATGCGCCGTCGTCTTTGGTCTGCAGTGCGGATGTCCGATTTGCTCTTTTCTGCACAGGCTGGATTACCACCAATCGTGCGAACGCGAGACAGTAATACCGAGCTACCGCGAAACATATATGATGACGAGCTCTATGAAGGTATTGTAACTTTACCGCCCTCTCGACCAGCGACAGAAATCACTCCTGTGTCGTACCTCATTGCCAAGTCTCGAGCTCTCTTCCTTTTCGGCACGGTTATAGAAGAGGTCCATTCGCTAGCACACTCTCAGTATGAAGACATCATGAAACTCGATCAGCGGATACGAGAAATGCAGACCACCATAGCGCCCCATTTAAGAATGAGATCGATTGAAGAATCTGCCAGAGACACCTCAAGTCTCATCATGCAACGATTTTCACTGGATCTTCTCAATCTTAAGAGCATCACTTTACTCCACCGCAAATACCAAGGACCTTCACGCCACAACCCTCGCTTTGCATACTCTAGACGAGCGTGCATAGACGCAGCTATGACTATCCTGAAGCATCAGGCAGCGCTTCATGACGCATGCCGCCCTGGTGGCCGACTTCGCAGCACGAAATGGTTTATCTCATCCCTGAATACTCACGATTTTTTCCTTGCCGCGATGATCGTCGCCCTCGACCTCTACCACACTGTCGAAGCTGAGCGATCAGGTCGGACAACCTCGAACGAAGTCTACATGTTCTCCAACGATCGGCGGTCGGAGATGCTATCAGCCATCGAGCGCAGCGCGCAAATCTGGGACGGACTAAAGGACGGCTCCATGGAAGCTTTCAAAGCGAACGCGACTCTCACAGCCATGATCAACACCCTCAAAGCTCGTTCCAACATCCGATCAAATTCATCATTTGCGCCGACCAATGGCGCATTCGCTGGCACTACGGGTCTTGATGACCCCAACATTGCACCCGAACATTCAGCCGCCATGACTCTCGGCATGCTTTCAACGGGTGCTCTCACGCCCAATTCGGCTGCTTTGTTCGACGCTAAAGCCGCTTATCCGACACCCAATATGGCGAATGACCTCCCGATGCCACAACAGCCCCAAACTGGCGACCTAGCGCCTGGAAATTTTGCCACCGAGGGTGCCATGCGTGCAGCCTCACCGTTCAGCTCTTTGTTCGGATCCAGTCTGGCGTTCCAGGGCATGGAGGCGCCCACCAACGATGTCAACTGGGACGCCTGGGACAACTACATTCAAGGTGCTAGCATGGACATCAACAACATGTGGCCAATCGAGGGTACGGGGATGCCTACACCTATCCCGGATGATGGCATGGGCGGTCAGCAAATCCATCAGCAAGCGCAGAACCATGCGAACAATTTATTTGCACAAGGCAATAATGTGAGCTTGTATCCTGAAATGCAGGAACCGGGTCATACTGGACTTTGAGGAGCGATGCCTTGCATGTTTTAATTCGATTTTGTCTCTATTAGCAGCGTGACATAAGCCTCGATTGGATGGAGCGAGATACGCGCGGGATATGAAAGCCTATATGCTGAAGCAATGCCAATCAAGAGCATTAGCAAGACGGGCTGGCCTGAAACCAAAGAGCGAAGATGCTCCAAAATTACATCGTCGTGTATTATAATCTAGACCGAGGCTCGCAGTGCGAATTCAATGATACCACTCCCTTTAGGGGCATCTCCCCCCACCATTAATGTTTCTTATAGATAGACATATGTGCTTGCGTGAAGCCAATGCAAACATTCTTGCGCCCTAGAGTTCGATATTGATACACTTCATCCGCCAGTACTGGATTAAATCAGATTAATGACGTGGAATGGTGACGGTGTATGTAAAAGGAAATGTGGAGCACTGTGACTTCTCTCCGCTCATGCCGGTCGACACTTTTACGAAACTGAATATCTGCCGTTGGATAAGATAGAGATAAGTTTGCTAGAGACTCGTGGATCGCTATTTTGTAAGCCTGAGCGGCCATGCCTTCGAGGATAGCAATCAGCCAATGACAAGACTGTCTAGAGAAGCCAAAACTGGGGTTTTTGTCAAAAAGGCAACTATGTATATTTTTAAGTATTTGGTGTATGTGGAGTCGAGAACGATTCGATGAGGCTGAGCCAGAAGCGAATACGCTCGATCATACACACCCCCATACATTCAATCCCGATACGCAACTAGCGCGAACCAGCGGTATCCGCATCGGGAAATCATTTCCTAACTATATTATATATAAATACCCAAGATACCAGATACCAGTTTTGTAGATCTGCATATCTTCGAATTATTCCCTATTTCCCATACATATACAGCCCGTCTCGTAGAACACGCACACGCACACAATGTCTTCCACTGAGTCCACCGGCAACACAATCGTCGCCTCAACCCAACCGACAGCCTCAACACCGCTCACAACCCACGCCGGCAGCTGCCACTGCGGCACCGTCACCTTCACCGTGCGCAGCCCGGCGTTTCCAGGCCAGGTTGTTGTCTCGTGCAACTGCAGCATATGTTCCACGCATGGCTATCTGCTCATCTATCGGCCGCATGAAGATTTCGTCTTTACTGCTGGGGAGGACAGACTTAGGGTGTACTCGTTTCCGGGCGTGCATAAGGGGAAGATTGGGCATTGGTTTTGTCCGGAGTGTGGGACGAGTGTGTATGCGGCGAGTACGGATCCGGGGTATCATGGGGCTGGGTTCAAGGCTGTTAATGTGAGTGTCTCTCCGGGTGGTGCAAGGGTGAGAGTGGAGGGGCTGATTGTGTGTAGGTGAGGACGTTGAAGGATGTGGACTTGAGGAGTTTGGAGCTCAAGCTTGTTGATGGCAGGTCTTTGTAGGTTTCGATCGATGGGAGTGATGAGACTTGAGCGAGGACTGGCGTTGTTGTGGATTGTACCCCGAGGAAGGTACGCTGTCGAAACGAGGGGAATTGTAGGAGTTCTGCCAGGCTTGAGGTTATGTATGAAGAGAAACTCTGATACTGTAATACTACGTGCCAGACACTGAGTCGAAGTTGGGTGACAGAAGAAAGGCATTCAGGATTTCTTTTCATATTTCCTTGTTCTATGCATTCTCTCTTCATAGCCCGCACTCTCTCCTGTATGCCCTTCCTTCCAACAGCTGCGACAGTAGAGATCGCCATCACATCCAGTACATTTCAGAGTTGCGTCATCATTGCATATAATGCACCACGACTCAATCTCATCGTCCGTGAACTTTGGTAGTGACTTTGTGACTTTAGTGGGTTTCTTCGAAAGAGCAAATGAGGGAGCTGAAGGTAACGACAGTGCGTTCAGACGTGCTGTGAGGGCATTATCAATGTCTTCCTTTGTAGGCGTGTCAACAGGCTGCGTGGATGGTGCCGATGGAAGCGAGAGAGGAGTTTGCGAGCTGTCTGGTTGGATATCGGAACTTGTATCCATATGTCCCTTCGAGTCCTCTTCAGCATGTTCTTCATCTTCACCTATTCCATCTTCCTCGCCCCCGTATTTCTGGTCCATCTCCAATTCGGCGAGGACTTTGGCCACATACTCGTCTGCGTCTCTTTCGTCCTGTTCATCCTCATGCTCCTCACTATCCTCACCATCACTACCTCCAGTCTCTTCCATCTCTCCTATGTTTCCACCCTTTCTACCAGGCTGCAATCTCGGCACATCCGGAATTACTCTCCTCGCCTCCTCCACTAATTTCCCCAGGTCTTGGGCTTCACCTCTTCCCACCATCCACTCTTGACTATCGCCCGGTCCCAGCTCTCTCAATAGCTCCTCAAGCGTCTTCTCATCATCACAATCCCTCGAGCCACCCGTAAATGCCGTCTCAATCTCAATATCATCGCCGTCGGCACCAAGAGGCTGCGCGACGCGTCGTTGGTTCGCCTTGGCTTTTTCCTTGCCTGGATTACCAAGCGCTTTGAAACGCGCGGCAAGATCTATGATCGGATCTGAATCGGGCTCGGCGAGATCTGACGTGATGTCGGGTATTGCGTCAGGCCTGGTGGAAAGCACGGACTTGGATGTGGAGAGATTGATGGGCGTCTGTTTGAGCGCGTTCAAGCGTGCGAGGAGATCATCGTCAGTCGAAGGCATATCTGCAGAGTCGCTTGGCTCTAGTAGCTTTCATCCGTAGTCTTTTGACATTGCGTCAAGTCAGGCTTCGTAGCAGGTTACAGGTTGTGAGAAGTTGAGGTTGGAGGGGTTGAAATGTGGTGGCGGCGGCGGCGGCGGAGCGGGGCGGAATAATCACTAACGCTCAGACCTCAAGAGATATGTATTATAGGTGACAACTGTCTTAGGTATATTACGACATTTTGCTTTAGTACAGTAAAAACTCATCCCGTTTTGATCAGCCAAAAGTACCAAGCAAAGGCAACACCTCCAACCTTTACTAAGCTCCATGAGAACTCCGCCCAGAGCAGCGCTAACCCCCTTTTTTTCTTCTTCTGGGTGGTATGCTTAGCAGTCACCCTCGTCTCTCTTTTCGTAGGGCCGAAGTTGCCAGCATGGTTGATGAGTGGATATGTATAGGTTGATTTCGCAGAACTGCCAGAACGCTCACGAGCGTAGCCATTACGTGCGTTGAGCACCGACCTATTTTCGGCGGACGTCGAACCGTTCACAGATTTGTCTTCTGCGTAGGAAGACTGTCGGCTATGATGGATTTCAGTCTTTTCAAACTCTGCCGACGACATTGCCTTGCTGGAGGTCGGTAGGATACTACTCGAATCTAGTGGTGTGTTGATTGACCCTGGTAAGCGCCCGACCATGACAAGCGCAGCCCGTAGAAGAAGGCAAGCGAACGTGATGACCACGAGAGTGACATATTGTAGAAAGATACCAAGTTGGTCTGGGAGCAAGCACTGATGGGTCTGGATCGTGTTGCTACTCCCAACTTCGCTCTCCAGAGTATTCCCGTACTTGTCGATAGGGTTCCACATGCTAAGCATAAGAATACCTGGGAGTCGTACACCCATCGCCCAAGATATGGATTTCACAGTAATCTCGCGAATGCCCTTTCCCGCAGAAGAGTATCTGCGGTGGACCACTTCGCAGTAGTCATGGTCATCTCCCGAGAATGCGTACGATATGTTACCAACTTTCTCCGTAACCTCTTTTGATATCTGTTCAGTCAGAACGTTCTGGTATTGATACCCTGCGCTAACAGAAATGGCATTTCTATGATCTGGATAAACCGGTTCCGTCTGGCCTTTGGGTGGTGGTGTCGGGGGATGACGTTCTCGCATAGGACCACATGGCTCCCCTGGAGATCTGTACAACGGAACATGAGTAAGTAAGATCGTTGGGAAGCCCGGCGGATCTTCTTGAAATTCGGGCAGCATGTTGCTCGCCAGATCATCCGTATCTACTAGCTCGTGTTTATAAAGCTGTACGGTGTTAAGACCTTGTTGACGCCTGAGCTCTCGAATGACTGCACGCTTCTTTGTGCTTTGGACGTTATCCAGAAATTCCTGTACGGGTTTCCATATCTGTTCGTCTGTAGTTGAAGTCGAGCCTTTGGCACTGAGAGAGACTGAGTCAAGGGAAACAAATGTATGATTCGCAATGACATCGACCCTGCTACCTTCACCAAAATAAGCTTGAAATCTTTTCCTCACAGAAGTCTGTATCCCGCTCGCGAATCCCAGGTCGTGGTTCCCCGGTAGACTGTCGATCAGCTTACGCCCGGGTTGGCCTTCTCTTGGAACGACGCCCGACTTCGTCCAAGCTGGATAGAAAAGTTTCCCAAATCTATCATACTCTTTCAACCAAAACTTTTGTCCGTATTGTCGCCATTGCACCTCTTCGCTTTTGGTAGTTGTTGTGGACCATTCCCGGCCGCCATCAAAAAGATCTCCGAGGAAAAACACAGTATCAGGGTATAGAACATTGTTGATTCTGGTCCATGCACGATGAATGTAGTTATCGGTATGTAAAGTGGTGAAAGTGGACAGAGGCCACGGACGTCCGGGGTAGGTATGCGGATCAACTAACTGTGGATCTGCCACGAAGGCGAGTCTGTGGGGTTTGGCATTTGACGGCTATACACCAAATTAGTACATGATTTTGGTCCAGTCTTATGTGAGATGTACTCACCCATTGCTCCCATGTATCCCAGTCGCACGAAGCAACACTGCGATCGAAGACAGTCCGCTCACCCCAGTGTAATGTCCATATCCATAGCACAACCAAAACCGGAATAGCTCCTACAAGATCTCGTGCATTCCACCGTCTCTTTGCGTTTATGAGATTCCTCCGAATGAAGCGATATCCTATGCGGAGGAAGTCTGATGGCTCCGAGAAGGACGGACGTGAGCCTCCATGGCCGTTCATGTTAGACTATGTAGTCGCTGGTGCACTTGTGCAGCATTTTCTGGGACTCGGAACAAGGATGCAGGATCTTGGTGTCGCAAGAAGCTTTGTAGATTACGTGGACGGGAGACGCGGACCTATTGTCCTACGGAGCAGGTATCGATAGCGGCTGCATGAGATCTAAAGTTGATGCATGCAACAAAAGTACAACAGCCGTCGAGCTATGTTCAATCAATCACATTTTGTTATTGAGGATTATTGATTTTCATCCCAACAATTGCGCTCAGAGTTGTGCATTGGTATAGATCTGCTACATGTGCAACAAATGCGCGCGATTCCACGGCTCCAAAGCCTCCAATGGGAAAGTAACGGCACAAACATCAACCAAAACGCCCCCACGGGTTCCCAAAATACTTCGAGTCGCAGTCTGCCGCTGAAGCGAGACTTTCTGGCCCTATGAATTAGGGTCATGATTTGAAGATCAACTTGAACTTGAACGTAATCGCAAATGCAGGGTCCGAGATAGCCACCTCTTCACCATCCGTAAGTAGCTCCGAAAGCTTCTTTGTCAAGTTGGGTCGCGTTTGCTGTTCGAGCGCCGGTGGTGACTGATAGTATATCGACTTCTCTTCTGAGCGAATCGTAGGTTTTTTAAGTTGTCTATGTCACGTCAGAAGCTGCGCCTTTCGGGGGATAGGATACTTACGCTTCAGGTCTTTCGGCTAAGCTGTCAATGAAGTCCTGGAGGATAGAATCTGGATCGACTACGAGGGGTTTTGCCAGATTTCCGCACACTGGACAATCATCCTTCTTCATATGCTCAAAGGTATAAGTGTAGACACCTGCATCTCCAGTGTACATCATGTAGTTATTAGTGCCAGGAAAGCCCAAGAACGGGTTCGCATTCGTAGCAATCTTGAAAGCCTCGTTACAACAGCTTGCAGCTACAATGGCGTTTGTCGATGCAATCGCTGGAATGATGTTTTTGACAACACCTTGCGTCATTGAATACGTGACTCCAGGTATGTTGAACTCTTGGGCTCGCTTCAAAGCCTTCTGATAAAGCCAGGTAATGTGCTCCGGGTCATCGGTATCAAGAGAGTCACCCTTGCGTTCCTCTTCCCATGCAATTATATGAGCCCACTCGATGCAATGCTGAGGTTGTCGTGGGATTGTTGCCAATGTGCATAGAGGCACAGCAGCTCTTGGGGCATTCATATCGAGTTGACATTCTATGCAGGAAGTCATGGTTGGGAAGATGACTTTCGCTTGACCTTTGAATCCTTCAGTGCCACCATCGATCAGAGGCTTCATGCTTTCCGGATTGTTTTCATCCACCATGCCAACCAGAGTAGCATTCATCCACCGCCGAGCCTCAACGCTATCCAGACCACAAACGACCATGGTGAACTGGAGATAGTAGTCTTCATCCTTATCTTGGATCTTTCCGCAGAAAGGCGTGATCTTCACGCCCTTCACGCGCTTTTCCACAAATTTAGCAGCAACTTCTGCTTTCGGCTTGCCTACATCGGCCTGCCGAAACAAAAACTGCCTGTTTAGATTGGATACGTCAATCGTATCTATCCGTGAAATCAGTACATATCAGGTCTGCAGTGCAATGCGCGTACCCATGTCGATAACATGTATGTCCTTGAAGCCAGAGAGGGCGAGATTCTTCAGAATCTCACAGCCAAGGCCACCGGCGCCTCTGTCCAAAATGAGCGTGTGTATGCATGCTATGAATATCATATACAAACATGACTCTGTGGTCATTAGCACATCAGGATCACAAACAAAGCCATAGAAAGTGACGTGCGCACAATATCTTCGCACTCTGTAATGCTGATCTGACGGGTGGGCCTGGTTCCCAATCTGGATCTGTGAAAGGACCAGGTCGGCTCAGGATAGTATCAAGGTATTTCCTGTGAGTGTCAGCTGTCAGCTAGGAACGAAATTATACTAGATGCAAGTACCATCTCTGTTGCGACTCGGGACCAGTTGTCCGATCTGGCATTACTTCCTCTGTCATTTTTGAAGTTCTTTGTTTGAAACCAATACGCTCGCCGCTGTCACAGCTTCAATACCAGGCAGCTATCGCTATTTGGGGATAAGGAGCGGTCGCTTTATCGATAACGTCACGTGCTCACGCGTTAATGTGAAGTCTTGAAGTTGATCGTTTTATCTTCTTCGAAATTTCTATTCACAAATCGCTTACTACTATCAGCGCTTTCCGGACATACCAAAAAGCTGTTGACTTGCAGGAGCGTACCCCAGATCGCGTACCCAGATATTAGTATATGACATCGAGCTATTGATGGCGTTAAGGACAACATGGATGACTTCCTTACGCCTGTCACGGTGACTAAGAGAGATAATAGTAGGGCCTTGCATAATACTCCAGTCAAAGCCACTGTCAAGACCATCACCTCACCTCAGGATGCTCTGGCAATACTGCGCGCTCAACCTGATATTCATGCTTTGGAAACAGTGCTGGGATGGCTCAACAACGATCAGCCAGACTTCTCAATGGCTGATCCGGCTCCATCTTCATCTCAGATCATATATACCCTTGTCAATTCCACTCTTCCAGACTACTGGCAGACTCTCGTGCAGTCCAGATCAAAGAATGTCCCGATCTTAGTGGGAGTGCTCCGCACTGTGAGCGGCTTAGGGGCTTTGCTTGCTCGACTAAGAACACTTATTACTCAGAGAGGACAGAAAGACGAGCCCAGAAACGCGGAAATCACAAGGCAGCATCTCGAGGACGCGGTCTCAATTCTTGCCAGCGTACTCGATGGCAATCAAACTTCCAGAAAGATATATGACTCTCTACTATGTTCGGTCAAGAATGATATGAGACGTTCACTAGCGTGGAAGGAGTACATCGCACAGATCGCTGGTGGAAAGGTCTTGTCTGTCGTGGCCCAAGCGGAAGAAATACTAAAGAAGGGCTCAAAGCAGTATGACGGCTCTTGGCTCGCCGACGGCACTCGTTTTGCCGCATGGTTGGGGCATAACATTGCTGTAATGGTCTGCGCGGTAGAAGGAGAAAACCGGGCAGATATACAGATGGCAGCTGCTCGGTTGACTGGCAAGGCATTAAGTCTTGGGCATCGAAGTGTGTTGCTCGATACATCAGTTATGTTACGAAGCTGACATCAGGATAGATAGACTGGTGAAGGAAATAATCTCCATGGCTCTTGAGAACGGAAACCACATCTCGTTATCAGGCTGGATTCCCAAACTGCAGAACAATGAACAGTGCCGTTTTCTTGATAGCTGCCTGTCGGACAGCATTCCACAGCTCATGGAAGCAAACGCACGTATACCGCTCGATGCTAGACCTAGAATCGCTGGTGCCGCAGCTCTCATTCAGACTCTGATATCGGAGTCTCCTATACTCAAAGACGCCCTTTCTTCTTGGCTCGTCAAGTGTTCGACTACGGGCGTAGACCCCTCTGTCCTGGTAATACGCGCTGTTGTTGCTATTGTTGCTCTGGATGAAGGTAACCTCAATTTTCCATCTCCAGGCTCGGTTGGACATCGCTGAAAATGAGCCAACAGATCGTCTGCAGACCTTAACGGAGAAGCTAATGGCTGATTTTGGGGACAGTCTCTATATCAGACATACCCCAATCCTTGTTCAAGAATGTAAGGCCTCTTTTGATCGCTATGTGGAGCCTCAACTTACAGACCTCACTCAGGTCTGACCAGAACGCTCCTACTTTGCTTCGGACACATCCATCGTAAGCAATCGATGGCACTGTTCATGCTCGCGAGGTCGAGTACTCACATGACGGCAATCTCAAACAGGCTTTCTGCCTCATCTCCGCGTGCCCGTTTCTTAGGCATGGCAGTTGGGCAAATCGTTTCGGGTCTTGTCGATAACTCTGAGACTGTCATGAAGTTTGACTTCGACGCTAGTGAGAAAGAAGATCTGGAAATGCTGCGTCAGTTAGTGAGCTTTGAAGATACCATTGGGAATGTGGAGGACTTGACTCAGGCTGGCTTGCCAAAGAAGGACAAAGGTATTGAAGCAAAGAAGCGCCCTGCAACGAAATCACAGACAGTTGCGAGAACCTCAACACAAACCCAGATATCGGGTCCGCGCATTGTCGAAGTACTTGATGATTCAGACGAAGACGAAGATCTGGTACCGTATAGCAAACCCGATTCCGACCCTGAAGATGAGGACGATGACCCATCGATGGTCAAACGTGATAAACCGACTGCACCTGTGTAAGTGATCGACACCACTTGGATGAAGGGTCGCTCATGATATCTGCAGATATATACGGGACCTCATGTCGAGTGTCCGCGATACAGAGAATTACGATCGACATATTCTGGCCTTCCGAGCAGCACCCGCACTGATACGCCGCAAGACAGGCTTCGGCAAGGAAGTCATAGATCACATAGGTGACCTTGCAGGGCTTTTTATTGGCTTGACCGATCATTTCGAACTCGATGAGGAGTTTGATGAGGTTCGTCAGCAGGCTTTGATCGCCATCTTGCTTGCTCAACCTGCATCGATCGGCAAAGTATACGCAAGGGCTTACTTCGAAGGAGAATATTCTATTAGCCAACGTCTAGCAATTTTGAGTGCAATGGGACTAGGGGCAAGGGAATTGGCTGGCTTCGAAGACTTTGAGCAAGACCAAAAGATCAAAGAGGCGTCGAAAGCCTTCCCTTCTAAAAAGTTGCCGCCTCATCTCCACCAAATCTACGCAGATGAAAGCCAGCCGGTGGCCGCTCTGTCCAGACGTCTTGAGCAGATGATGATCAAGCCGATGGCTCTGCAAGCTGCCGATAAGGCCTCGGGTCCCAACATCCTCAAAGTACGAACGTTTTCATCTCGGATGGAAGTAGAGAAGAAGCGCAAGAAACCTATTGCAAACGAGCTAGCAAAGGTCGTCGCCCAGAGTTTCTTCTTCCCTTTGACTGGGCGGTGGTGGTCGCATGTTCAGGCATAGTATGTCACTTCCCCCAATATACTTCTTCCGTCAAGATATTAACCTGCAATTTCTAGCGGCCCTTCAACTATTCAATCGACACCTCACTTACTGCCCACCTACCTCCGAACGCTCTCACTCCTACTGCACTCGTCAGGCCCGTCTACCCTCTCGCTGCCATCGATGACGTCCGAATTCTGGGATCTTCTTCTGTCGCTTCGGACCGTTGCAACGGGCGACATAACTATCATGGAGGCTATGCTATTCTCCATTCTGACTCTACTAGATGTGAACGAAGACCATAGGCGGATCGCACAGGAGCATCCGAAAGAGCTGCTAGAGACGCAAGTCTGGGTGAAGGGTGTATGGGAAGCGATGGGCAAGGGGTCAGAGGGGAGCCAAGATGAACGTGTCAGAATGCTTGCTGCCAGCATATTGGTCAGAAGTCAGGAGGTCGTTGAAAAGTACCAGAGGATGCTTATGGGAGATATGATGGTACTGGACAAGTGACGAACCCCATTCGATGGGTTAACTGCAGATTATTGTGCGACGTCCAGATAGTGGACCGTCAGGCTAATCCAGTACATATTCAAGTTTCTCACTGCATAATCTTGCAATAACCGTCTGCATATCTGGATCGTAACGCGACCTGCCCATATGAAAGTAAAAGGTCATTCATGATCATTTCGACGCCTTTCCAACGCGTTGACTCTAGGGTATCTACACGATCTCGTCAACTTCGCCTACCACTAAGCCATGGACCATACAACTCACCATAATCCAAAAAGAAAAACAAATGCCGCCACACCTCCGAGCCACATATATATGTCCTTTATTGTGGGCCTCAGTTTCTGCCCATGATTCTATCGTCCCTGGACCGGACAACTCTAGCCTTGTCTTGTGGCAGCGGACGGAGTTCGTCGTTTGGATCCTTCCCTTTGCTCTTCCCATGATCTTCCGGTGGCATACTTGATAGGTGAGACATTTCCCATTGCTTGCGCTGGCGCGACTGCTCGAATGCAGCTATGTCGTCTTGGGTGAGCGTTATGAGCGTTGCAGGCCGGCGGAGCATTGTGGTTTTGTGTTGAGATGTGGTGGCGCGTGGTGGACTGCAGATATGATGCAGAGGCGTTGGCGAAAAGTAAGGATATCGGCCAAGAGTATGAATAGGATAGAGCGTGTAGTGGTGTAGTTATTGTTGTTCAAATGCTGTGAGTTTGCGCGCGGCGATCTCATCTCCGCCCGGTACGAGAGAACGAAGCCACTAGCGTACTTCGTGCCGGGACGTTGTCCCCAGTCAAAAATGAGCTGCCCTTTGTAACATTGCGCATCAACAGCCTCGACAGCGGCCATGTCACAACTACCCTTTCAATGGCCTACGAATCTTTTTCGGGCGCCATTGACAAAGGATGTGTCGAAAAATGTGATTGGGGTGTGCCGGAGCTTCCACGCCTCGCAGTTCCAGCGTGACGAGGCCAACGATTCTCGAGGTTCGTCACTAGCTATGCCACTGCACTACAGTGTCATTCCTGTCATTGAATCGGATTGACATGTTATAGGGCCTTCCTCATCTACGCCAGATCGAATTGCGAGATCTCAACTCGCCGCGAGACAAATCAGCAATCTGCAGGCAGCGCGAGGATTCCAGCGGAAAGGATTGCGCGGCGGCGTTTTCAAGAGCGGTGCTGTACAGAGCCCACCTCTTCATATGCGGAATGCGGGCCCTGTGGTTCGGCCTGTAACAGATCCGAGTCAAAAGACGCCGAATGTGGGCTTCGTCATACGGCGTACAACAGAACCGGCCCAAAGGATGAACCGATCTCCTGGCAGACTCCTTAGTCGACCGACCTCTAGTCCACAGATGCGAGCACCACAAGGCGGAGGAGGTAGGGGAAGGGGAGCTACGCGAGGCGGCAGAGGACGCAGAGGAAACCGAGGAAACCGAGGTCGGGGGCGAGAACTCCAGAGAGAAGGATACACAGAGCCAGCTGATGAGGGAATCCATCCCGACGAGATCGAGGACGGCGACGAGCTCAGCAACACGATGGTGCGATTCTTGCGCGAAGAGCACGAAAGGGTGAAGGGCGAGAAACCATACCAGCTCGAAAAGCCGGATGCAGGCGCGCTGCTCGACGAGACCAGGACATCGCTCCCGCCTATGCCCTGGAGCTTGCAGAAGATTCCTGCCCGTAAGCTGTTGACGCAATATCTCGAGGGCACGACGCCCATGGCTTGGAGCCCATTCGCTATGCCGCTTGGTAAATCCGAGCATCTCGACGCGAAGCGCATGATTTCAGGACTTCTAGTGCACTTTGAGCCCAAAGCTGGCGGTCCCCCAGACCGCACGATGAACAAGCAGATGGGACTCATTAACCAGCGGGCCATGTCGAAAGCCATGACCAAGCTTCGCGAGTACGAGGCAACGAGGATGAAGGCTGAGGGCATAAAGGTGGACGAGACCGTCCGGTTCAAGAGCATACCGAAGCACCTGCGCGAGGAGACGACTATGCGCGTCCTCGCTGGCCAATATGAGTTGTCGAGCAGCAAGGACGAAGAGTCTGGTGAGAACGCATCGAAGGATCCGCTGGTAAAGAACGTTGTCACACGTGCGCTTCAGGTCAATCCCTCGTATGACATGACAAAGATGGACGCATTCATGAACGTCGTCGATGGCCTGATAGCAGGCAAGCCTCGGGGTAAGGCGCCGAAGATGGGAATCACTTGAGTGAATGAGAGAGTTGAACATGCAATTTTGTAAACATAGCGTCTCATTACTCGCTGTAAATATAGAATGGAGCGGGATATATCGTACTACATCCAATCTTGACCATACCATCATCCACGTTCCGTTATCATGTATATACACCCCGATTCTAAACCAACCAACCAATCACCCAGCAAACTGCACCCAATACTCCTCCTCAAACCCCTTCATCCACGCCCTGTACTCACCCCCTCGCCTCACCCACCCCTTAATCCCCCCCTCCAGCACCAAACTGCGCACCTGCCCCCCATCTCCCACCTCAACCAGATAATCCGCAAACCACCCCGCACATCGCGGTCCCCTCCCGCTCGACGAGCCTGTCATACACACACACTTTGTCAGCCTGACCATAAATAAACCCAATAAACAATCCTATCTAACACACCCCGTAAGAGAGCATGTAAACAGCACACCAAGCAAGGACACGACTTGACAGGACAGGACAGGCCACAACACACATACCACAATAAAACACCACCTCAGCCACGCCGGCGCGTCTGCACAGCTCGTATAGTTCTGCGCGGTTGGCGTGGAAGGTTTCGGCGGGGAGGTTGAGGCTGCCTTTTATGGCGCCGCCGAGGTAGTCGTTACGGCGTACGTCGATGAGGAGGAGAGGGAGGGGAGGGGAGGGTGTTGTGTTGGTGGACGAGGTGGAGGAAGATTGGAGGGTGGTGAGGGTTTGCTCGGCGGTTATGAAAGGTGCTGGGTGTTGGACTGTGGGGAATTGGGACCATGGGGATGGGGAGGTGGTTGTGGTTGTGGTGGGCATAGTGAGCGTTGGATAGAGGGGAGGAGGAGGAGGAGTAAGTATTTTGTGGGTGGATAGATGGTGTTTTGAACTGGCAAGGACGTTGAGACGGTATATAACAAAGTAATCGGTAGCTTACAGAGGCGCACCTATAATAACACAAGAGGAGATAATAAACCCAGAAGCAGGAACGGAGTAGCTGTAGCAATACCTAATTAGCTAGGTAAGTAAGAAACAAAATGCGTAGTCGCACAAACCAAACAACTCCATCGACTAATTTTGAACCGTTTATAAATTTGCTCAACGGCATTTCTTCCATCAAGCAACAAGCCCGGTTAGCTCAATCGGTAGAGCGTGAGACTCTTAATCTCAAGGTCGGGGGTTCGAGCCCCCCATTGGGCTTCTTCTTTTGCTCTTCTTTTTCATTTTCCCCCTCCGCTGCCCTCTCCATCGCTTCGAAGGCGCGCTAGTACGTTAGTAGCCTGGCGCTAGTTTGGGATATTGTTTTACCATGGATGGCATGCAGTCAGTCGGTCTAATTCAACAGGACATAGGGCCGAGATTTATTATTAATGTTATTACATGGTGTCATTCCCGTTCGCTTGGTCGTCGTTATTACTCTTATCATTGTTTATATATTAGTCACATCATGTCAATATATGCGTGTATTGTGTGTGTGTTGCACGGGTTAGGTTTGATGCATTATTTGTGCTTGCATTGCATTGTTACCGTGCACAACTTTGCACTGAAGTTTGTCTGCTGGCAGGATGTGAGGATCCTGCAGGAATGAGACCAGCACAGAAGACTACATGTCACTTTGAGTCTTCAAGAACAGGAGTAAAACGATGGTGTCAATTATGTATATATATAAATCAATTTTTCACATCAGATCTTGTCAACGCCTCAGTCTATATAGCGATTATAGCGCGCTCACAATGTTGGGGAATCATTTAAGCGCGATGCAAAGTATAAGGAAATTCAGGACAAGACGTCTAGGTAAAGTGAGGAGCGTTGAGGACTATGCCCATGAGCACACCGGCAATGGTACCGGCAACGGGGATGGTCATGATCCAGGAAAAGACCAAGAGACCGACTCGCTGCCAGTTGACGGCCTTGTAGGTGCCGTTGCAGAGACCGACACCGACGGTGGCGCCAGTGATGCACATCGAGGTGGAGACGGGGAGCTTGAATTGCGAGAAGACGAGGACGGTGATGGCAGCGCCCATTTCCATAGAGCAGCCACGGCTGGGAGAGTGGTAGGTGATCTTGTTGCCCATGACCTTCATGATGTTGTAGCCGTAGGTGATGAGACCGAGGGAGATGGTGGCGGAGAGGACAGCGAGTTGCCAGACGTCGACTTCGGCGTTCTTCTTGACAGCAGCACCAGACTTCCAGGCACCGTAGATGACAGCCCAAGGACCGACGGAGTTACCGATATCGTTGGCACCGTGGGCGAAAGAGGCGGTACAGGCAGTGAGGATCTGGACAAAGGAGTAGGTGTGCTCGACCTCGTTGGGGTACTTCTTGGCGTGGGAGTAGACGCGCTCCATGCGGGCACCTTCAGGTGTTCCGGCGATACCAGTCTGGGCGGCGTGGATGTCGTAGTGCAGACCGTAGAGAGCGCCGCAGACGATGTAAGCAGGGAGACGCTTGGCCATGATCTTCATGTTCTTGAACTCGTAGATTTCACCAGCGCCCATGGGGTTGTCGCGGAGAGTGCGCATAGCCCAGCCCATGGGACCACGCTTCTTGAGCAGACGGGCATTGAGCTTGGCCTGACCGGCGGCAACTTGTTCCTTGTAGGTGAGTTGCTGGCCTTCTGCAACAGCAAGCGACTTCTCGTGCACGGTGGCTTGTTTGACCTCGTTGTCGTCGATTGACTTGGCAGACTCGCCAGAGTGGTACTTGTTCTCCTCGTCAAGGTTCTCCTCTTGAACAACAGCGTAGTTGGGGACGGAAGCGACCTCGCCCTCTTGGAACTGGCGGAAGAAGAGCATTGGGCCCTTGAAGACGTGGAACCAGCGGACAGACTGGTCGCGCTTGATGACCTTGGCGTAGACGTACGGGACGAAGAAGAGGCAGGCGAGAGCGCAGACACCGGCACCAGTTCCCATGGTGACACCAGCGACGTAACCTGGGGGCTTCTTGTTAAGACCAAGCTTTGGCGAACCCTTGTAAACAACCGAGAGTGTGCAGACGGTACCGGCGATGAGGAAGAAGAATGGAGAGGTGAAGACGGCCCACGGGACGGGATTCTTGCGCAGGTGGACAACGAGCTTAATGAGCATAAAGATGGTAGCACCGAAACCAGCAGCAATAGCAGGAGCCATTCCAAGGCCGGCGAAGATGGCGCCAAGCCCCTTTCCGTCGTTCCAACCCCACTGAACGTTGCGCGCACCAGCAGTTGCAACACCGACACCAGCAACGGCAGAGATGAGGGAGTAGGTCGAGGAGACGTGAGCAGAGTGGCGCGTACACCACATAACCCATGTAGAAGCACCAGCGAGAGCACATGTGAAAGCCAGCATCTGCACACCAGCGTTGCCCTTGAATGCATCGAGAGGAATGATACCGTTCTTGATGGTCTCGGCGGTACGAGCACCGACAGTGATGGCACCAACCATCTCGAAGATGGTACCGAGAATCATGGCCTGTCTATAGGAGATGGACCTCGACGAGACACTGGTAGCCCAGGCGTTGGCAACATCGTCTGTGGTAGTGGATTAGCTGACTGGAGTGGTGATGGAGCAAGATGGGGCAGTGTGCTACTTACTGGCACCATTGTTGAAGGCATCCAACAGGGCGAAGAAGGTGCCAATGGCAAATATGTAGGTGTACTGATCGAGCATCTTGGCCAAGAGGTGATGAAGAGTGCGATATCAGCCTTGTGGGTGGATTGGCAAACGAGTGCAGGATGCAGAGACAAGAAATAAGAGCAAGGGGAGGCGGCCCAGGGCTCTTTATGTGTCTCAACTCAAGAGGCCATAATTCTGGAGCCGGGCGTCTGCTCTGATCCGGATGTTGTCAGGTATCGGTATCAGGCGAAGACGGAAGGGCATAAGGTGACGGTGGGATGGAGCTGTTGGAGTCTGGAGTCGAGCAACGAGCACCTGCAGCAGGGATAGCCGTGATTCGTCAGAAGGGGGGGTAGGGATCTGGGGGGGCACAGATGTTCATGTGTGGCGTGTATATTGAGTGAGTAGAAGAGTGTGATGAGGTTGAAGTGGTGGTAGTAATTAGAGCCAATAGAGGTGGTGGTAGGTGGTGAGACGTGGACGGATGGGTGGGCCGATGCTTGGCAGTCAAAGCCCCCCCCGAAGTCCCCCAAGTCGGCGCAAGTCAAGGCGCGACTTGGCAGCTTGTCCGGGGTCCTTGTCCTGGTTCGGGCGGGATCCTTTGGGGGACAAGCCGGGGGTCAAGCAACCGGGGGTTCGCTGCCTATAAAGACAGCACGTGGGTCTCGTTCTCGCTCCTAACACGTCCATCAGGTCGTCTGCAACCTCCAAGCATCCTCTACATCCTCTGCACTCTCTGCATCCTCCACCTGCTCGTTACTCTTCTAGAAGCCGTGAAGTCGGCACCAACATCTTCTAATGCACCAAACAGCAAGTCAACTGTCAACCTTGGCTCGCTTCAACACCACTTGAGTCGCTTCTGGCCCTGTGTCCCGCTGCTTTTCCACGTGTGGGGGTGCCAATCGCCATACTGCAGCTCCTGTGCATTTGGCATCGCTATTTGTAACTCGAATCAGCCTGCGCCTGTTCTCCGTCTCGCACTGCTTCACTCACGACAGATCTGACACGAAGCAGCAGCAGGACCAGCAACAATGACAGATACAAGCCATCGCGGCGAAGAAGACGGTTGACTGCTTGCCCAATATCTACCTCTCCGCTTAGCCAGCAGCAGCAGCAGAAGAGCATCGGCATCAGCTTCAACTTCAGCTTCAGCTGCAGCTGCAGCATCCCCGTCTGCCCCCGGATCCTGGCCTCTGTGGCAAAGAGATCTGTTAAGCCACACTGCTCAACAGGGAAGGCGAAACAGTCCGCCTGAGATCCTTTGTCGCCAAGCCTCTGCGAAAATTCTACTGCCGAACCGCTATCATATAATGAAAATAATCATCCAATGATTCGTGGGGTGTATGGATTCATGGAGCGGTTGAGCAGTGAAGAGCGAGGACACGCCCACGTGTGGTGCATCCCTCCGTTTCCGCTAATACAAGTCTGCGCTAAGTTTGCGCTCTTGGCACTCGCGTGCTTCGGATGTCGCGTCTCTCTGGCGTTTCAATAGCCTCCACCAGGCCATCACCAAACCCACTGTTTTCACCTCAGACTCTCCTCCAAGACATTCCAGACAATCCAGACTCGCTACTATTCGCACTCTTTGTCGCGCCGGCCTTTGTGACGAATCTCGACGACGTGGGTGTCGGCCGACGCGGAAACACCCGTTTGCTGCAAGGGGAAGCGATTCACCTGTCACTCGACCCTACACTATTAATCGCCTATATGACCGGCCATCCATACTCGACACACGTGCTCACTGCTATACGGGCGTGTTCAACAAGGGTCCTGCCAGATTTGGCTCTTGCAGAACATTGATTCAGCCTTGTGCAACCAACTCAATGCAACCGTGCATCCTTTATCACCGCGCCGGATTGTAGAATGCCTACTTTGCCGCCGCCATGTCGTAACCATTAGCTTACAGGGACTGTCCAAGAGTCTTCAAGAGTCCTGTATGGGATTTTCCGGCCTCCATGCCAGTGGCCATTCGCCAGTCATAACCGAGACATTGGTTCTGATCAACAGACACTTAAACAGTGCTTGCATCCAGACACGATCTTCGTGTAGATCCAAGGCGCATATGAAGAATTCGGCATTGCCATGCGAGAAAATACCGGCCCGCGATGGTGACTGCAGCCTCCGATGATTGATAGTGGTCTCTTGGTCGAGCCCAATACCCATCACAGTCAGAACAGGTGCGAAGCCGTAATGCATTCTTCGACTTTGCGTGTCGTCGGGCTGAAAATATTGTGACAGTCTAGAATCCATCTGAGGATTCGACAAAGTCTAGAGGTCCCGAGGAGCGACGCTCTGCTTAGATCTGATTATCTTGCAGCTGGACGCCCAAAATGGCGCTCGTATAGAGATGTCCCCGGCTCGATGTAGCCATGAGCTTGCCTTTGATGTGCGCCGTACACCGCGACAGGTCGCTAACCTGTCGTGCGATGCAGCCACCAGCTGCAGTGTCAGTAGTTACGACTATGAGAGCGCCCGGAGAAGAGTCCGAATTTAGCCCGGTGTGATTGCGATAGTGTTGACCACGTCTTGCAGAATACTGTATCACAGCACCGTGACTCGTGAGAGACATCCATGTTCACGGTGCGCCGTACGACACGAGCGTCTCGTCGAGTTCCTCGAATGCAAGAGGACCAAAAATAATAACATTGTACATGTAGGTGTGGTAGGGCCCGTGCAGTCTTGGCATGTCAGTCTGGATTCGTGTTAACGTAGCATGGACCTCCCTTGCAGAGGACATTGACCATATTTAACCTATCCTATATCCTAGGAACAGCGCGACGTCCTTGTTCGAGAGGTCCCAGTACCTTTTCATGGCTTTGGAATTTGATCTTGGCGTGATGATATACTGTTACTCTATTAAGCGACGAGCACGCCTGAACTGCTGCTCCTATATCATTGTAGAATTTGTAGCGCCTTCCTTTGATGTATTAGTCAATTGGAGAGCCCGGCGACGAAATGACGGCTTTCCAAAGGAAAGTACAAGATAAACTCTCTTTGCAATTCAGGAGTAGTATACTGAACCCAGCATCCAAGCTTCCGGTATCTGTGTCAATCTAGTTACTCATTATCCTTCGTCGAATTTGAGATTGTTTCTGTCATACCTTCTTCAGTCCCATCGCTGCACGTTCCCTATGGGCGCAGACATTGCTTCTCGCCTAGTCATGCCAGATATCAGACCCACAGACATTCAAATATGAAAAAAAAGAGGAGGCAACTGCTGCGTTCGGCTTTGAAAAGACTCCCGGAAGAGCTCATGGAGGCTAACTTCATCTACATGGTCGTTGTTTGGTGCTGAATGCGGACTTTGTATACTTTGGGAACCGCTCAAGTCACGGATTCGCTTCGACAAGCTCAAGCTGCTGTCAGTCAATCTTCCGATGGCACAATTTTCCAGCGCTCAAGAGCCTGTATGTCGGAGTCGAGGTTCCCTTCACCAACTCACATGCAAAGCCATATTCAGCATCCCAACTCTCACTACTCTGGAGCTCGATATTCCATATTGGAAGCAAACTCTCCCATTATGGAGAGTTCTGGACAAGCACAAGTTACGAGCATCTCCTCTCACCACACTGACTCTCCCCGTCCCGCCCAGATATTACCTGAACACGTTCCCAATCCTCATCAAGTTTTGCGCCAGTCTTGTACGTTCCAAACCAAAGACAAGACGACCTCTAGAAGGACCTACTTCAGCGCAGCAGGCAGATTCATCTCCCTCAACACAGCTCTTCATGAAGCAGAGTCTGGTCTCGCAGCGACCCAGGAACAAACTGCGTCCGATTCTTTGTGAGATAACCAAGGCGCTTGACGGGCACATCGGCGTAGTGGGGGTATTTGAATACTGGCCTGCGCATGAAATCGTCCATCGCATGGTCTTGAGGTGGGTGCAGCGCAGTCGTCTCGCCGCCAAAAGCGCTGCTGAAATGGCAGATTTCGTGTTGAATCCTCTTGTACTGCCGTTCGTGATGCCTCTTCACATACTTACCCCACCTATTTCCCTGGAGTGTTGAGGTTTCTGCTAAGATATGCCAAGACTCATGATGAAGAGGAGATGGCGTGGAGCCGTATATTCGATTTTGCAAAGTAATAATTACACATAGCCTATTACGGAGTCTAGAAATCTGCAACAGTATTCATTCTTTTGAAACACATGTCACATGTACTACGACTGCGCTCGTGTCTGGCCGTTACTTGGTAGATACATATCAGAGCAGCAGTAAAAAACCACTCCTTATAGTCAGTTCCTAGTCCTCATTAAGCCAGGATGTCATGTCATGTCATATACGACTAGTCTAGTCCTCACATTCCAGCCAGCCAGCCAACCAGTCATACATATGATTACCTACACACAGTATCGTCCATCGGTTATTCCTCTCCGCATAGCCATCCATTCATCCATCCATACGCCCTCCGCAGTCGAAATACTGATAAAACCAGCTAGTAATACTTCGTAGCGCACCTGCCAACCCTGTTATATTCCTAACAGCGAGAGAGATTAAACGAGTATAAAGAGAGATTAAACGAGTATAAAGAGAGATTAAACGAGTAGATATACCCCATTGGGCAGGTTTCTAATGCAGGAGGCAGGCCAAGAAGCTGCTCGAGTGGGGTGTATATGGATAGTCGGATATTGTGTATTAGAGGGTCTAGCTGCTGGCGTAGTGTGCTTGGGGAACGTGTTTGTGGGTTGGTTTTGGTAGTCTTTTGGGCTTTGTTGGGTTGTGGTGAGTTCTGCCAGAGGATGTTTGTGATGGCTGGGCCGTGCACCTGTAAGTGATCTAGAGACAATGGAATTATCCGGTGCATAGTGAATGAGCGCAAGGCGGACATAAAGGCCTCACAGTCGATTATTTCAGTATGAAATAGCACAATTGTATGTCGTGTGTTATGATGTTCCTGTACTGTATCAAAGATGTGTTTATGTGTTGCGGGTAAGGCGCCAAGCCTTCCCAACCTCTCACTTTCACCGACGTTCCAGCCTCTCATAATAACATGCAGTTCACTACACACGTCATGCCTTCTTGTTTACCATGGGCACATCGATCACCACACCCACGCTTTACTGCACTGCAACATTCTTCCCTACAAGTTGTCCTCTAAAAACTGCATAAGCGCCAATGTTCACTCCACGCACTCCACGCAGAGGCAACCAAGGCAGAGGCCGCGCAAGAGGGAAAGGAGCCCGCAGCCCCGCGAAGACGCCGCTGAAGGGCATGTTTGCAGACGGTGTGTGGCACTGCAACTGCCATCCCAGACTCCCCGCACAGCGATTCCAGGTGAAAAAGGAGAGCAAGAATAAGGGTCGGTGGTGTAAGTTGTGGATCAGCCCCCGCTTTCTAGATCCTTGAGGAAGTTATATATGCGCCCAAGAGCTAATTCTATTGCGTGCAGTCTACACGTGCCAGAAGACGGAAGCGAAACGCTGCGATTTCTTCCTCTGGGAAGATGATGCTAGGTTTCGTGAAGAAGGTGCGGTGCTGAATAATTCGCGCTCTGAGCCTTGGTCTGGGGTTGATGTCACGCCCTCCAAGCCACGATCTGTCATTGATATCACGCCCTCCAAGCCTGCGCAACAGCGAACACAATTCGAAGATGGGGGTTTCATACGGCGCGACAAGCGAAGTCGTGACGAGTTTGAAGAGGACGACGACGACGAGTTTGGGGAGTCGTTCGATGCCGAAGCACTGGAATTGATGAAGCAAGCGGCCGAGACACCGAGCAAATCACGCAAGGTGGATGCGTTGGCCATACCCAAGAGAAGGGTTCTGCCGTGGCTGAGAGACCAGGAAGGACAGAAGAGCGCTGGTGGACTACTGACACCACAGACGGAAAGGGTGGTGAAGCAAGGACTCTTCACGACACCTACCAAAGAGACCGAACGAACAGCAGCTTCTACAACAAGCACGAGAGGCTCGATAACGCAACCACAGCTCAGACACCGCGAACCTTCACCTTCACCTTGCACGCTCAAAGCACTCGATAGCATGTCTACACCGGTACAGCTTACCGAAGCTAGGTCGCCGTCGAAAGATGCCCCCGAACTGACGTCGGATGTGCTTGAATACCTGCGTGAGAGCAAAGTCCAGCTACCACCCCCGGTCCAAGAAGGTCTCAAGCAGCTTCTTAGTAAACACACGTTTAGAACCCAAGGCGTAATAAAGGGTCGTGAGATCTCAAGATTGGCGCTCAAAGCCAAAGATGCCAAGATTGTAGAATTGCAGCACCGAATTGCGGCGCTTGAAGCAGACTTCGAGGCTGAGAGGGCGCAGAACAGATATCGTGATTGGGAAGTCAAGACAAGCAGTCACAATGACTGATCTATGCCTGTTGCACTACGTTGATTATTCTCTAACGAAAGCGACTGCTTGACCTGGCTTCCTGGGACGAGCTGGGCGTTTAGATGTATCTTGCTCGTGCACCGACGGTAGCAACATCATGTACGCCATCATTGAGCAGGTAACGCCACAGGAGCACTTGACAAATCTATGTTGAGGCTCCATTACACACAGGAAGCCCATCAAGTATACGCAAAGGACAAGTCTGCACACAAGTCTATACTGCTTTCCATCAGATCAGGGCCGATAGCGTGCAGCGATTGGAAGGGAGGAAATAAAATGTATTGTGGCGTCGACCGGTATATTGTGACGTTAGATGTCACGATATGTTAAGCAAGGGACGGGTGGGGCCGGCCAGGAGCTGAAGCGTCTCTGATTGGCCAGGTCTGCCCTGCGCGTTTTGTGCGTTCGATTGCTGACGACAATGACAAAGCCGATGTGCCAAGACCCATCTTTTGAGGTTTTTGTGCGGATGGCGAGCGCCACGGGGGAAATATCGTATATATTTCCCATTATCTGGGAAATTGTCTTTGTAACTACTTTCCACACCCAAATCTCTGATCAAATTTACTTTACTTGAACTTCTTGTTCAGCCTGTCACGCCACGGTGAACTGCAGGTGCAACCCATTATTCCAGACCCCTTAACACAATCACTTTTAGACTCATAACAATTCCGACTCAACTATAGCTGTATCACAAGCACGTCCAGAAGCAATTTGAGCTGCGTGTATCCCGATCTCATCCACAATGTCATCGCCACAAGGCCAGGACCGGGGAGACCCAATTTATATCACTTCGACGATTCTGATATCAAATCTACACTGCATTTCGTGTATCAACAGTATACAAGATTGTATCACTCATTTGGCACATAATGCGGAACTCATCACCCATTCGATCGTCGCACACTCTGTGACCATCCGTCACGATATCGATATCTCCAGCGACGCTATCCAAAACTGCCTCGATGATGCTGGATTTGATGTATACAGTGTTGCACGGAGCCAGGATGAATTGGGCGGTAGTCTACACATTAGCAACCACGAACGCTCACGTTCGAATTCGGACTGGTACGATGATCTGGAGCATGCCGTTTCCCGATGGAAAAGCTCTATTCGAAAGTCGAAATCGACCGACCTTGAGAGGCAGAGACGGCATATAGGGCATTGCGAGCAATGCCAGCACGAGGTCACTGCGAATCTCATACAAGACAGCAAATCCCGTTCATCTTCTGCGGCATCCAAGATGAAAGCCAGAGACTCGGATGGAGACTCTGCCATTGCGTCTTTGGAAGATATCAGCGTGGCGTCCGCATCCGGTCATGAACAATTTCGAGCTATCGTTTCCATCTCTGGTATGACTTGCAGCTCTTGCGTGGCGAGCATTACGCATGCTATACAGAGCCAGCCGTGGGTGGTTTTTGTCGATGTCAATCTCCTGACGAGTAGTGCTTCCGTCGTATACCACGGCAAGAGTAACGGAGACCTACTGGTGGGTCTTATCGATGATGCTGGATTCGACGCGACCTTGGACCGTATCGAGAATCTCACCTCGTCTCATGGGACTGGTTTGGATCATGACAGATCGTCCGGAGGTGAGCAATCTACTCAACGCACCGTGGCCATTCGAATCGAGGGGATGTACTGTAAACACTGTGTGTCGCGGGCTGTATCATCGATTGAGAACAGATTTGCGCCAGGAGAAGTCAACATCCTGACTCCGCCAACCGAGAGCAGTCCGATCATGGTCGTCCAGTATGTGCCAAAGCTACCAATGAGGACGATCCGATCGATAATTTCTGCGATCTCCTCAGTGGATCCAGCTTTCGAAGTCTCCGTCTACCATCCCCCAACAGTCGAGGATCGCGCGAGAGAAATGCACTCTCGAGAACGAAAACGCATCCTTTTCCGTTTGGCTCTTTGTGTGGTCATGGCAGTTCCGACGTTCGTTGTTGGCATCTTATACATGAGCTTGGTATCTGAACACAACACTGTTCGGATGTGGTTCATGGGGCGCTTCTCGCGACATACTGGATACGTTAGTCGTGCGCAGTGGATCCTATTCATGTTGGCGACTCCAATCTACTTCTTCGCTGCTGATGTGTTCCACCGGAAAACGTTCAAAGAAGTGAAAGCACTGTGGAGGCCTGGTAGTCGTGTCTCGATCTGGCATAGACTGACACGATTCGGGAGTATGAATATGCTCTTGTCGCTGGGAACCTCGATAGCATACCTTGCTTCCATTGCAGAATTAGCTCTCTCCGCATCCGGGACAAGCGATGTTCCGGATAAAGACTACTACTACGACACTGTTGTGTTCCTCACTATGTTCATCCTTGCTGGCAGATATCTCGAGGCTTACAGCAAAGCCAAGACTGGAGATGCTGTCAATGCTCTCAGCAAGCTACGTCCAGCGGAAGCAATCTTGGTAGACGCAGAGTATGGCCAGGACCAGGTTGTACGCACAGATCTTCTTGAAATTGATGATGTAGTCAGGATTCACCACGGTAGCTCCCCACCGTTCGACGGGACGATCGTAGAAGGGAGCACCAAATTTGACGAGTCCAGCCTCACTGGTGAATCTCGTCTCGTTGAGAAAAATACCGGCGATCCAGTCTATTCCGGCACGATCAACCAAGGCGCGCCGACGACTATGCAATTGACCACCGTATCCGGGACTTCGATGCTCGACCAGATCATCCAGGTCGTCAGGGAAGGCCAGACTCGTCGAGCACCTGTTGAACGGATAGCAGACAAGATAACCAGTCACTTTGTTTCGATCGTGGTACTCATTGCAGTTGTCACCTGGTTGATCTGGCTCACTCTTGGTCTTTCAGGTTCTCTACCTGATCACTACCGTGACAGTTCTACCGGCGGCTGGCCGTTGTGGTCACTTCGTTTCGCCATTGCTGTCTTCGTGGTGGCCTGTCCATGTGGAATTGGTCTTGCTGCGCCCACTGCTTTATTCGTGGGAGGGCAGCTTGCCGCTCGGCACGGAATACTGGTCAAGGGGGGTGGCGAAGCATTCCAGGAAGCTAGTCGGATCGACTGTATCGTCTTCGACAAGACTGGAACGCTGACTGAGGGAGGCTCTCCAAGCGTTACGGATCATTACATTTCTGAATCAGAGAACAAGGACATGGTGCTCAACTTGGTTCATGCCCTAGAAGAGCAGAGCAGCCACCCTATTGCTAAAGCTCTCGCAAGTTTCTGTAATTCTGACGCCAAACTACCAACAATGCCACCTTTTGAAGTGACTGAAATTCCTGGAAAAGGTCTCGAGGCTATATTTTCGCTACCAGAGGACACTACCTCGCAACCCGTAGCTGCCCTCATTGGCAACGAAGCTCTCTTAGCCTCCCACTCCGTGCCCCTAACCCCTATCCTCGACCTGCTCTCCACCTGGCAATCCCAAGGCAAATCCATCGCCCTCCTTGCCCTCTGTCACAACCCCTCAACACCCTACACCCTCGCCGCCGCCTTCGCCATCTCAGACCCACTCCGCCCCTCAGCCGCACCCACCATCGCCGCCCTCAAACACCGCGGCATCGAAGTCTACATGCTCTCAGGCGACAACCCCACCACCGCCCGCGCCGTCGGCGCCCAACTCGCCATCCACCCAAACAACATCTTCGCCGGCGTCCTCCCCAGCGAGAAAGCCGACAAAATCGCATACCTGCAAGCCACACTGCCCAGCAAGCGCACCGGCCGCCGCGCACACATCGCCTTTGTCGGCGACGGCATCAACGACGCCCCCGCGCTCACCCGCGCCGACGTCTCCATAGCCATCGGCTCCGGCTCGGCCGTCGCGCTGGCGTCTGCGGGCTTCGTCCTGCTGCGCAGCGACTTGGCCGCCGTGCTGACGCTCGTTCGGCTCAGCCGTGTGGTGCTGACGAGGGTGAAGTGGAACTTCGCGTGGGCGCTCGTGTATAATTGTGTTATGGTTCCTGTGGCGGCGGGTGGGCTGTATGCTGTCAGGTCGGCGGGTGGTGGTGCGCATGTCAGGCTTGATCCGGTTTGGGCGAGCTTGGCTATGGCGGCGAGTAGTTTGAGTGTGGTGGGTAGTTCGGCGCTGTTGGCGACGAGGGTTTGGGGGATTGGTTGGAGAGGTGGAGGGGAGGTGAAGCGGTAAGTAGACGAAAGGTGCGATTTTGTTAGGGAGAAGGAACGAGGACTGTGGATATGAGATACCCCTATTTGTTCCGCAAGTTGTCACACTGTAGCTCTACATGGTCATACTAGAACACACACATCATCCTTAAACGATGAGGCTAACACTTAATCTACTACATCCAACCTGAAACTACGTCTAACATCCACACGCCCTATCTTCCCCAAAAATTAATGAAAAAAATTCCCACTATCCAGACCAATTGTGGCATATCACCTTGCTACCGGTAGTCTACGGTGTATTGGAGACTGGTCATGCAAAGGCAGTATCACAAATATAGTCAGGGCACAATTCAGGCACATTTCAGGCCGCTGCAGCGAAGTGTCCCCAGACTAAGGTCCTAGTACTGTATCAATGATAATAATGAAACTTTCTGCAACAACAAGCGAGCGGTCCGTCCGGTGTTGTGGCGTTGGGCGTCGAGTATGCGGGCTGGTTTGTCGTGTTTGTGTTATGTTGTGTACTTCCAGCTACTACTTAGTTGGTGCGTCTTGGTTGATGTGTTTGACTGGTTGTTCTTGAAACATGCTACATGTAGGGGAGGGTAGATTGGTGAGATGTGTGTACCCGGGAGACTGCGTGGGAAGGACGATGTAGATTCGTTGAGATAAACGTGATAAGATACAATCTTGGGTTCGGAAGTAGGGAAAGTGGTTGTAGGAGGAAGGGACCCGTTGGGACTCTGATAGTGGACCCAGAGCCTATCCATTATCACCCCTTATCTGGGCAGCCAATATCCGTAGGGCGGATCGTATTCTTCCGGCCATTTGTAGGATACAACGTCTTCCTCCGAATCTTCTTCGTCCCATGACGGAAGTTTCGTAATGTCATCCAGTGCTATTTTCTGTCTGAACGCAGCAATGAGCTCTTCCTCTGGCGCTTCCCATCCCTTTCCGTCTAAGTTCGGCACTTCAGGGGTCTTGTCAACCATTTCGCCGTAGGGTTGTTTTGGATTCACAGGTACAAGCATCCGCATCGGTAGGCATGTCTCTAGGACATCCCACCAGACAAGCCACAACGTGTGATACTCAAGGTCTCGATGAGATCGCAATATCTTACGGTATACGTGCATGTATGAATTTAACGCCACGGCCATCTCCCGATCCTCATCTTGTATCTCCACACGTTCAGCTTCATCCTTGACAGTCCTAAACGTATCGCCTATGCATGCAGGAAAGCAACACGTGTGGACCATATCTAGCCGTTGGAAGATCTCAACTCGGATTATGCCCTCGCAATTCTTGATATCCCACGCAGTAGGTGCTTCTCTAAGTAATTTCTTCCCCCCCAAGTCGTTAAAAAGTTCACGATTCGATACCCTTCTCCATAGTATAGACCCTGGAAGGCATCCATCTGGGCTGCAGGAACATGAGCAGGAATCGTGGGTGGACCAGCCAATATCAAGGCCCAGGGCCTTCCGAAGAATTCTCGCGTTCCCCATGCAAGAGACGAACGTATGCGCACCTGAAGGGTGTAGAATCGGGCTAATCAGGTGAGTTTTTGCCCCCTTGGATAGGAACCATTGCATCATTTCCACTTTGGCCTCACCGCAGGCCACATAAAAGGGCGTCATGCCATTTTTGAGATCAGCAATGTCTATCTCCTTAAAGCCTGCATCATAAAGAGCCTGGGCAAAGATTGTCCCTCCATCACATCTGCAGTAGTGATACACAGATGCTGCTCCGAGAGACTGCCACCGACTGGGTATGTCGTTATATCCAGCCTCCCGAAGTTTGAAGATCAGGTTGTTTATTTTGTATTCTGAAGGAAGGTTCTGATCTTCCTTGTCAACGTCCAACTCCTTGAAAATGTGAGCCCCCAGGCGTTTTCGAGCATATGATATTAGTTCCAGGCGAACATTTGCCAGGGCCTGTGCAATTACATGACAGATTCGCTCATAGTTTCTACCAATACCATGAATATGTCTTAATATCATGACCATGTCAACGCTGTCAAGGCCAGAATCATACTTCAAATCTAGTAGAAGCGTGAGAGACTCCCAAAGATGGTCTGTGGGGCACCAATATTCCGGAAACCCCCAGGATACCTCAAGACAAGCACCATATTCAAGGAGGACTTGCATTCCTGCTGGCCAGTCGAGAGCTAGGATGAGCGCGTGGTGGTCACCTGCCCCTTCATTACGTAAACTTGGAGCCCAGTCTTTATCAAGTAACGCACGCAAGGTAAGGACGTCTCTTCGCACGATGGCGCAATGCAGTTGGGGTAGGTCCAAAGCTGACACAGAAATTGTCAGCGCCCGTGACTCTAAAGGTTCAGGAAGTATAACATGTCTCACCTTCTGCTAGACCCGGATGATTGAATAGCAACTCCGGAAGTCCTTCAAGATTATAGCTTTGGAAAACTATACTATGATCCTGAGGTATTTCACAGCCGTGCTTAACGAGTTCATATATAAAATGTGACCACGAGGGAGTTGTATGATCTAGCGCAACTTCCAGTGCATTACTCCCAAGCCACACTCCACCAAAGGTGGCATTGAAGTCGACGCCACAATCAATGAAAAGATCCAAAATCTTAGAAATGTGCGCATTAAATGAGTTGAGGTCTCCGATCGGAGTCACACTATCTATTAGATGCTGAGAACAACATTAAAAGCCGCGTAATATAACGATCATTGCAAACTCACATATAAAAGATTAAACCCATGTATATCCTGAGCTTTACCATGAAGTTCTCCGTGTTGTCTCTTATGCGTGAGGTCTCTGCAAAGGTCTGCGAGGAGTATGTCTACATGCTCTAGATAGACGTTATGTGGAATAAGACAACGAAACATTTTAAGAGACAGCTTATTGAGCTTATTTCTGACTGCAATCACCGTGGAGAAAGTTGGGTCGAGGTTTACATTAACGATCGTAATAAGGTCAAGCTTTGATGCAATCGAGAATGCGCCTGCGCCTGTGGTCATAGAGAATGAGTATACTATAGCCATTGAGACGATAGGCCATAGAGTGAGTCGTCCCTTGTAATACTGCCGGTCAGCTCTCCTTTGTAACATCATCGTGGTCACTTTCTTCAGGGCAGCGGGCTTAGACATCAGCCGTCGTACTAAACGTAGTTCCTGCTAGGTCTCAGCGTCAAATAATGACTCAAAGTGGATATCTTACCGATGAATTTTGTTCCGACGTGATACCTTCTACAAGAGATTGCTGATGGATATTGTCAGCGATAATTACGAATTCAAGACCTGATCACTCACGGTCAACTGCATTTCGTCGGACATCGCTCTGTTTCGCACATCGATCAGAGTGGTAAAAGATAGGGATTTGATGGCATTGAGAAGTCGATCCTCGGTCTGAGCTAGTGCGTGTTCGAGGTGTTGCAAGGATTGTTCATTCCGGGGCTGGATAGACTCCAAAGTTCTCATCAGCTGTGAGTGCTGCATTTGACTGTCCCCAGTAACGGAGTCCACTTTGCTGTAAATTTCTGCCGTGCGCAAATTGATTTCTCCAGTATTTTTGAGAATATGCCGAGATGATTCTCTGATGTAAGCGTCAGCCTAGTTAAGTTGCCAATAATTCACTTACCCTTGGTCTACATGGAAGATCACAGCTAGACTTTCATACCAAAGTGACAGATCAGTCCTTGTTCTTTCCAGCACGACAAGTTGTTCGGTTATATCCCTAGAATCCTTATGCGCAGATACAGCCTTCCTACTTTTTTTTAAAAAGCTGTCTGAAGCGTCGTAGGAGTTTGCCTCCAGTTCAATTAGGATTCTCGTGATGGTCACGATACATTTTTCATGAAGTTGTCGACCCTGAGGAAGGGAGTCAAGAAGGGCCGTACATGCAGCAGCGGAGTTGGCTCGTGGCTGCAATGCGAGTAGGCTGTCTCTCTGCTCCACAAGGACCTCTCTCGACTGTTTTAATTGATCATATAGGTGTTTGTTCTTCCGGTTCACATTCCTTAGATCAGAGCACAGCTTCGACAGACACTGAGTCGCCCTCAATCCCACATCTACGAGTTGAACAACTCCAGCGACCACACCTAGTTCTGCCATGGTAGTGTCATTAATGAATGTGTTCAGAGGCCCGTGATTCAGAAGTTTGTGATTTGTGGAACGTCTGGTAATGCTAGATGTTGGACATGAACATCTCATGTACGAGACGAATGATGCCACAGCCCACAAGAAACCGAGGCCGCTCAGCCTCGCGTGGGGGCTCGAACGGAAGCTGGTTGCCTGCCAGCTCATCATGCATGGCCTGATAGCCAATCTGATGTCAATGATCTTGTTCGGTCAGCCTTGCGACACAGGGGACGGTGATTCAGCCTTGCGACGATGCGATCAGTCGGGCAACCAGTGAGACGGGAGTATGGACTCCCAGGTATTGTCAGCCTATCTCAAGAATTGTATCCTCAGAGATTTAAATTGGGGCAACGTGCGGACACATGATGGGATGTTAGCTTGCCTGTCAGGCTATGAAACAGAATATATTCATGGATAGACTAACAGTCGCCAAGACGCACGTACGCTGAAGAATTATATACAGTCCCGGTATAATCTTTATGTGTAACACTATAATGGACCTATATTGTACGATATTAACCTCCTACTCATAGAACACGAAGAAACCTTTATTACAGAGCTACAAACCGAAAAGAAGAATGAGATCCTGTGGGAAACCCGGTGTCAGTGGGACGATCGCCGATGATTCCCCGAAAGTCGTTAATGATGCCATAGTGTTAAAAATATGTCCCAGACTTTATCATGACTAGTGCATCGATACGCTCCTCACAAGATTGTAAACTAGACGTTGAAGTATGGTTGACGAGTCAAAGTTCGCGGAGAACTTCTGGTTGTTTGGCTACGGGTGAGCATTTCACCTACGTCCTCCCAGTGCTCAAAATTTTACATTCATTACAGAAGCTTGATATGGAAACCACCCCCTCATTTCGGTCAGAAGTCATTGACATTATGATTGTTTGAATCGTTTAACCGAAAGAAGACAAACGTGTGCCAGGGTTTATAGAAGGCTATGTCCGAAGATTCTGGCAGGTGAGTCACGGGACCTCAACGTCTTGGTATTTACTCATCAACTTGATGTAGGCCAGGTGTGTATTCATTCTTGACGATGAGACGGTTCGTGTAGTGAGAAACTGATTCTCCAAGCAGCGAAGACCACCGCGGTACCCCAAATGCTCCTGGCCGCGTCGTGACACTCATCGACCACAACCACTGGATGACCCTCTCTGCGCACGACCTACACAAGAGTACCACCTCTACAAAGGTTTGGGGCGCGGCCTACCATATACCCCCCCAACACGTCGCCGAAGTGCGTGAATACCTCGACATCCGCGAGATCAACGGCTACAGCATTCAATACACTCCCTTCCATCCCACTGATTCTAGTTCCCCACCCATTCATTGTTTGGTGTATATCGGACTACCAGATAATCCGCAATTTCTGGGTGCGCAGGAGCCAGAGGCTTTGGCGAATCATATCTTGAGGAGTTCGGGACCAAGTGGCGCTAATAAAGAGTATCTATATATGTTGGAGACGGCGCTAGACGGATTGAGTATGGATAGTGGGGATGAACATGTTTCAGATTTGGCAAGACGATGTAGGAGGCTAGAGGGCGTGGATGTGGATGATACGACGGAGACCAGGAAGGAAGTTGAGGAGGAGTTGATGGATCCGGGTATGACGGACGGAAAGGAAGAAACGGAGAAGTAGGGGTTGATAGGATGATTTGATGAGCAACGATAGAAGCTCCGTGTTATTATGTAGAGTTGAATCTGTGAATCTGACAATGATCCTGCTAAAGAATTTGACTAGAAGGTGTCCTTTATTCACACCATTCTCTTTCGATCTATGCCTACCCGCAAGATGAATGAGAGTATCTCACATATCATAGAAACTTAGAGTCTCACAGGTCGATCCGGACAATAACAAAGGCTTGCTCGATTGAGCATGGCTGCAGATCTCCATCACGGGCGAGAAGCCACAGATAGGCGGTAGTCGACTAGAAGTCATCGGTATTTGATGGACCAATAGGTTTACACATGCAGAGTTCTGCCTAAGGATCGCTTGAGGCTATTCCTTTGGCCTTTCAGCTGCAACTCAACTATAGGAGAGAAGATCATCAGTAAAGGTAAAGGTCGGGAAGACATGTGAAGATCTTACTGAGTTTGCGTATACCCACTTGCGACGTATAACTTCGTCTATCTCATAGTCTACCCAAGGATAGCTGTGCAAACACGTCAAAAGCAATTCTTCAGAGTCTATGTGGTAACTCCTGTATACTTCAGCTGCCCTTTGGAGAAACCAGAAGTGATCTGTGGTTGGCTCCGTGGTAGTTTGAGTGCAAAGAATAGCTACATTGAGTACCCAAATCAACACACCGGGAGCTGCTGACCATGTGGCTATCGATACTTTTGTCAAAGCTTCTCGTAGTTTCTTGATAGCCTTATATTGGATTGGAGCCATGCTTCGCTTGGGCTCAGAGGACTTGACTACGAAAGCCAAGAGGCCAAGACATATTGTTGTATCGAGGGCGTTTCGTGTCACAGCATTCTGCCAATGAAGGAGTGAGCACTCCAGAAGCGATGCTTGGTTCTGAAGCTCTAGAGGATCGAACACGTGTGTCTCTCCTGATAGCCAGCTGCTAATACGAATACTCAAGACTGCGATGTCATCAACATAGTCGATGAGAACATCGTCTATGCGAAGTCGCTGCAGGTCATCTTTCATCAGAAGACTGATGGAGGAGCTTGAGACAGATCTTGCGAGAGGTATTAGAGCCTCAGTCTTTTTGCTCAGAGGCGATATGTATGGCGGTTCGAATGAAGTGATAGCGCGCGCAGTAACATGCCTTGTCATGATCAGTCAGCGTAGCCCCTCCCAACAACTATGCTGTAGAATCACATACCAAAGTATCATCGACTGAACAAAGCGCGTAGTTGTCAAAGCCCCTAGCCCACCCCGCAGCGCAATCATCCGCTGCAACCCGTTCATATGCATGACCTGCTCATTTGGCTCATCAGGGCTCTGATTCCGAATTCTCCTTAATTTCGGGAGCCCAAGCATGCTTTCTTCAACTGACAAGAGAAAAAACACGGCTCCTATCGTTCCGTCGGAAATACTCAGCTCTGAGTCGTTCAAGTTCGAATTTATCTCTGACACTGTGGCCTGTCTGTGATAGATAACGCTGTCGAATGATCCTTTGCCCATGACATAACGATGCAGCGCTGTCGAACAAAGCAAGCCATGCATAAACACAGGACTTACAAGTGCTGCTGGAAAGCACTCGGCGCTGAGAATGTTAGACTGATGTCGGATATCCATCGGTATGATGCCCTGCGGACACATATTATTGAAAACTGGGCCGAGGTCAGTGCCAACGTGAGTTCGATATAACTTGCAGGACATACAATATTGCCAAAGTCCTCTAACTTCGGATGTCAGAGATACCGGCAATGTATCGAAAGGGTCAAGAGCTGTGTCAAAATGTGACCTTGGCGCCACGCCAGAACTTCTATCATGGCAACGTGCGCAAAATCTCAAGCCAGGGATACAATCGGGACTTTGACACATGGAACAAGGAAAAGAAGACCTATGTCTCACAGAACCATCGTAGACACCTGTGTTGCCGTCATGTGATCGCTGCGAATCTTCCTTTTTCAACGTCCTCTCCTGGATTAAGTTTTGGCGCGTCTGGTCAATCGTAACAACGACAAGACTCCTAGTTGCTTCAGGCGAGAGCCGAGCAACTCCTCGCTTTATAGTCTGTCGACTTGTTGACCATGGTCGTTCTTTTCGAGCCCTCTGCATGACATGAGACCGCACAGACCGGTTACCTCTATACGACTTCTGTCTTGGGTTCGCGGAGGACGAATCTACAAAGAGAAAATCTTGCGGAGGTTTCGCTTCGTTCGATGTAACCAAATGGACTTGCTTCTCGGGACTTGCGGAGTCTTTCAGCCCACTGGCGTTGTTTCTGTTAGCCATCTGGAGGTTGCTGTGTTGGGATTGTTATGATGAGTGTTCGTGTGTCTCGACCTTTGGCGCCGCTTGTAGGAGTCGCACAGATCCGTAGTCCATGCTGTGCAGTCTAATAACTGCCAATGTCTATGGTGGCAACTTGTCTGTGGAGAGGCAAATTCAGCCTCTATCAATGTCCTATTATAGTTTAGTCTTAAGGAGAAGAGAGAACAAGCCGGATAAGGTCGAAGGGAATAGCTTCAGATTTCGGCAACAAGAGGCAGTGGAACGAGTGGTCGTTGCATTAACTTTGAATCGAGATCTTTTCAAGATATGAGTACCTCAATACAGAGGCTGATGCGGATTATAGATGCTCAATACAGGAGACAACTATAGACAAAGGTATAGGCTCAGGCCCACGTCAGGCCCCACCACGTCCAGGGGTGGCGTCAGTGACATAATCTGACAAGCAGCTTGCTGCCCTGCCACAGTTTGCTAGGAAGCAACTCACTATCTTCCAGCTCGCACAGATGTATACAGACGCCTCTGAGTGTAAAAAGGATGTATGGAGTTAGAACAGCCAGCCGCCAAGGACCGCCGCCTACCACCCACGGACCGTAGGGAAACGCGTCGCGGCGTCGCGACCAACTAACTAATTAGCCTTGGAAGTACTTCTTGGCAATAGAGGTCGACACAACTCAAATCAACCTCATGTCAAGTCAGCTTTGTCTGACCACCCAGTCTTACCGCCGATGTCATTGTTGCCCGACCTTTAATAATATCTCCGGGACCTCTGCTGACGGTATAAACGTCATTCACGATTGAGGAGAGGAGGATGCGAATGCCTCCTCGCTAGCAGAGAATGAGCGGATATCCAGACGGAGGTATGTCGTGTAAGCATTCAACTGCTATCACTCGAGACTGACCGTTGAACAGCAAAGCTAGCCTCATGGAACCATCTACCAACAGAATTACTTCGAGCAGAGCTCGCACGACGCCTGGAGGATGAACCCTCTCCCAAACGGCCAGCTTGCGGCTCGAATACTACAAAGCATGGCTATAACACACCTGCGCATGTCGCAGCACTCTTTATAATACTGGCACTCAGCACATTCGGTATGCGATGTGCACCCAGTACAATACAGGCGTCTTATACTGATTGGCCCCAGCTTGCGCCTTTCCTATCATCGTACGCCGATTTCCGAGCCTCCCAGTGCCGCATCGATTTCTATTTCTATCCCGACACTTCGGGACAGGCGTACTCATTGCGACCGCATTCGTTCACCTGCTCCCAACTGCATTCGTATCATTACATGATCCATGTCTTCCACTATTCTGGAGCAAAAATTATACAGCTGCCGCTGGTCTTATTGCGATGGTGGCTATGCTGGTGGTGGTGGGAATTGAAATGTTCTTCGCAACTCGCGGAGCCGCACACTCACACGGCTCTAGCTATGACCTCTTCCCAGAAGACCATCCAGAGCGGACGAGTCAGGGTGCTGGAAAAAGACCGCGACATTCTCGAGGCCAGAGCTTTCGCGGATATGAGCAAGACCGCCCGGCGGGCATTATGCTGGGCGACATGGATGGGTCGACCGACAATCTGGTCGACGGTAGGTCACCCTCCGTCGCAAATCACTCGCCAATGCCTCCGTCTATAGCCAGTAGCTCTAAGCATGCAGATTTCGACGATAATGATGACTCCGATCTCGACCTCGACGAGCTAGACCCCACCACAAACGATGCATCGAACCTCATAAATGGACACACTACACGGAAACGCTCCCACTCCGCGAGTCCATTACGCATCCCCGAGACAGAGACCTCGGCGTCGCAATATCAAGCTCAGAAGAAAGCTCTTCTGCAGGTTCTCCTTCTCGAAGCCGGAATACTCTTTCACAGCATATTCATTGGAATGGCACTCAGTGTAGCCATGGGAACATCTTTCGTTGTGTTGCTCGTTGCAATTTCATTCCACCAGACATTCGAAGGCTTCGCGCTCGGTGCACGTATCTCAGCAATACACTTCCCTGCGCATAGCGTCAAACCGTGGCTTATGGCGCTTGCGTATGGGGCTACAACACCAATCGGACAAGCGATTGGGCTGATGATACACAATTTGTATGACCCTTTCAGTCAGACGGGGCTGTTGATGGTAGGGGTGATGAATGCGATCAGTAGTGGCATGCTCCTGTACGCAGGGCTAGTGACGCTGTTGGCAGAAGATCTTTTGAGCGATGAGAGTTATGAGTCGTTGAAGGGGCGGAAGAGAATACATGCTTGCGCTGCAGTGGTGGGCGGGGCAGGATTGATGGCGCTGGTCGGGGCATGGGCGTAGGATTCGTTTGGCAGTTAACATCGCTGCTGTACTTTATTTTTACATACACTACGTCTTGAGTATTGTTTCAATATAGACCTGGGTTTCCCGCCTGGTGTGCTCATAACAGGGCTTAGCGCTTGAGCACCACCACCAGTCATATACGAGCGAGCCCAACCTTCCCCTCGTTACAATCACGGCATCACGCTGCACCCCTCGACTTACAGTCCCCTTCTGGGCCTACTTGGGATCGATGAGAAGACTTTCATCAAGACACTTGCAGTTGATGCGCAGCAGGGTGGAACTGGTAACATCTCAGACAGTGATGTGTTCCGCTGCCATCGAGGCCGCCTCGAAAAGCTGCTCCGCTATAGACTTTCAATCAGATGGGACCATCGTCTCGTACAAATTGAGCTTGACTCAGCGAGCCAGGACCGGGACCGGAATCTGTGCACAGCGCTCTTTCAAAATGGTATAAAATTTGATACGGCCTGTCATATCAGCAGCTTTACTGTACGAGCTTCGGTCAATACAGCGTCCAGACTCCAGAGGCGCCGCAAAGCTTGTCAAGATAGCTGTCGACCGATGCAAACTCTCGAAGGCGCCTGCGTTCTTTCCTATTGTAACATGATCTCGATGTGCGCGCTTGATGCTCAGTTATTCAGCTGCGAATGCTAATCAAATCTTTAGATATGAGGCTGTAACTAAGATTTCAGGAGGCCTTGTCGCTCGATCAGAGGTTTGTTGTTAGAAATATCATTTTGGATCGGCGGTCATAGCGAATTATAGCATGGGACTAGCTCAGCTTTATATGCTTAAGGAAACTCATGTCATAGGGCTATATGCTCGAGGTAGTATAGATAGCCATTCGAATTTATATCGGAGTAGTACAATGAGATACACACATATAAGACCATGCCGACATCGAACTTTAGGAGAGTCAGGAAAGGTCAACGCGGTAATTTAGACCGTTGCAAGGATCTTACGTTGTATTGTATAGTCTTACTTAGTCTTGAGAATGATTGTCATCGGTAGAGGGTCAACCCGCCGCCATTCGTCGATGATCCGGGAAAAGATGAACATGAAAGTGGACGCGAAGCACCCGTCGTTTTCCTAGAACCTGGCGAGCTTAGCATCTTCCATCTTACGCGTATATTCTTACACCTAATCTTTAATAGTTACTTTACCTCTCTACCTCTATATAGAGATCTATATATTATAATATTTATATAGAATTATAGAGTAGAGTAAGCTAATTTTTCCTATATAATTTTTAAGCTCTTAGCTCTTTTATCTAGTCTATAATAAGAGAATTTAATTTCTTAGAGAAGAGAAAGAAGGTAATTTTTCTAGAACCTAACGTGGTTCTTATATAGGCCCTCTTTTAAAAACTTCTAAGAATATTTAAAGATTCTTCTCTATTTCTTTAAAGAGATCTTATAAAGATAAAAGAAGCTTATAGATAGATAAAGATCTATCTAATTATCTACTATATCTACTTTTAATAGTCTTATATACTTATAGATAAGTATATAGGTAGAAAAGACTTAAGATAGGAAGATAGGGGTAAGAATACGCGTGTACCAGTTCTAGCTCGTTAGGTTCTAAGAAAACGACGGATGGTCTGATTGATAACGAGTCATATTCGGCGAATAAGGCGTCTTGTTGTAGGAAAGCTCTTTGGAGGGGTAACGGAACGAAAATTAATCATGACCTTGTAAATGTAGCACTGCCCCCTACCCTCATCTCCTACGCGACCCGGGTCCGGACGCTGCGTGCATGAGCTCTTGACGCACCACCGACTAAAGACTGCATATTGACTTCTCCAAGGCAATATCAGGATTAGACTTCATCAGCCAACTGCATGAACCTTTTGCCTCCGCACGCTAAAAGCAGCAAATGGAGCCGGCCAGACAGCCCCTCCCTGATCTGCGGATCGTAACCGCTTCGGAACTCCAGACTTTACTGACAGCCTCCCAGATAACGAGTGTAGACCTAGTGAACATATACCTAGACGAAATCGAGAGACACAATGGATATCTTAAAGCTGTGATCTGTACTGCCCCTCGTAAGGGCTTGGAACAGCAAGCGTCTCAACTCGATGAAGCTCGCCGTGCGGGGCGCCTGAGGTCTCGTCTTCACGGAATTCCGATTTTGATAAAGGCAAGCTAACTCCGTCTTTTCTTTCATATAAACATGCGCTGACAGGTGAGCCACGCCTTACAGGACAATGTGGCTACACATCCAAGCTTAGGCATGGAAACAACCGCAGGAGCGCTTGCACTAAGAGGCTCGAAGCCGAAGTGCAATGCAGATATTGTGGACAAGGTAAAGCGTAACATCATTATAAGCACGGCTTGTATAGTCTAAACAATGTAGCTGATTGATGCTGGGGCCATTATCATCGGGAAGGCCAACTTGTCGGTTAGTACAAACTTACGGAGGGAAGCACCTGGCTAATGTGAAGTCAGGAACTTGGATTTTTCAAGTCAGTCTCTTTTCATGCTAGACTAGCTTAGCTAAATCAAACAGAGGGGAAGGCTTGCCTTGCGGATGGTCCATGGTTGGAGGGCAGACCCAGTCAGCTTATGTTCGAGGCGGCGTGCAGCCCGACGACACACCTGGTGGCCACAGTGTGAGTATTAATCCTCGAGCATAGCTCTTACTGATTGATGTCTGCAGAATCCTACTGGATCCTCATCTGGTTCTGCAGTGGCTGTCAGCGCAGGTCTCTGCCCAGTATCTATTGGAACTGAAACCGCTGGCTCATTAGTCGAGCCATCGTCAAGGGCTGCTCTTTACACAATCAGAGCCACACCAGGCCTCATACAACAGAAAGGCATAGTCCCACTGTCTTCGCTTTTCGATACCGCCGGCCCAATCACAAAAAGTGTAGTCGACCTTGCCGATCTCATGGACATTTTAGTGAACGGACCTTCGACGGATAACCTCGAACGGAGCTACAGATCGTACATCACGAAATCATGGGCTGACATAGGAGTCGCCGCTGTCAATCCCTCCATATGGAAACTGCCGGAAAGCTTTTGTCGACCTGTGCCAGCAATCGATGAACAGCTCGTAAAACTCTCCATGTCAAGCTCGATCGAGGCTGATTTGTCGTAGGTCGCAGAGTACGAACGTGCATATCGCAAAATCGAATCCCTGGCCAGGAATTTCAGAGGAAACGTCCCTTTACCTACGACAGAAGCCTTGCAAATGAATGACGGCCCAGCCTTCAAGAAGGTGTGCGGTAAGTTGAGGTCCTTCTCGAGATCGCCGTGAGGATCATGCTCATAAGGAGTTCAGTCGCAAACCTCAAGCGAGAGCTCGACTCCTACTTTAGTACGCTAGATGAGAGCAAAGTACGAAGTCTTGAAGAGCTAGTCGCTTTCAATAAAGCACATCCAGGCGAACAAACTTTCCCATGTGAGTGACTTTATCAACAAACATGCTCCACAGACACTCACTTTGATCAGCCAATTCTCAACAAAGCTTCCTTGAAGCTGGCCTCAACCACAAATGGACAGACAAAGACGTCAATGAGGCTCTCACATTCATGCGGAGAGTGGCACGAGATGAAGGTATCGATAAGATACTTCAAGATTCTGGAGCCGATGTGATTATTGGTCCTGCGAATAGCGGGCTTCCTACTATTGCGGCTGCAGCAGGTTTGTGAACAGAACAACGGTATGAACACACATCTAATATTGGATAGGCTATCCCATTGCCACGCTACCTCTGGGATATGCTGATTACAATGGCCGGCCCTTCGGTCTAGCAGCTATAGCGCGGGCTCACCAAGAGGGTACATTGATCAGATTACAAAGCGCTTGGGAGGTCACATTCGAGCCACGTAAGCCACCTCCGTACGAGGTATTCTCGAAAAAGCCCAGCACCGCAAAACATTAAGGTCGGAGGTAGAGGAAACATGTACGCAGGGTTTCAAGTCCCAAAGTCACAGCGCTTCTGGCCAAGCGACGAGAAAGTCATCCAGCATCACAGTTAGACTAGCTAAAATTGGGTGGAACTACACCTGTAATGAAGTTGAAAGACAAGCACAAAGGGCCTCGATAACTGCAAACATTATTTTGACCCAAACTTTGTGCCCATGATGGCCCTTCTCATCCACGAATAGCCCGAATCGTCGTGTGAACATTCATTGGACCCGGACTCTGTTCCCACTCATTTTCGGCACCTTACTTTTCGCGAGACGATCCATCTCGGCTGTGTTCGTTCGGCCTGAGCTACAAGGCATAAAAGCAGCAAGCCCACCGTACCTTAAGAAAACCCTCTACATCCCCTGACCCATTCACATCTCACCACACTGCGAGATGACAACGTCCAACAACGGCCTCTTATTCACCCCACACCGCACGCCCGCAATCTTCCTCACCACATCCATGCCCCCACTCACATGTCCAAACACAACATGCTTCCCATCAAACACCTTCGCCTCCTCACCCGTGACGATGAAAAACTGACACCCATTCGTATCCGGCCCGCGATTCGCCATGCTCACCGCCCCAACCTCGTGCTTGCCCGTCAGGTCCTCGTCCGCAAACGTCGTGGGGCCAAACGTGCTGGTGAAGCCGCTGCCGTCGCCGTGCAGGAAGTCGCCGCCCTGGACCATGAGCGAGGGCAGGACGCGGTGGAAGCGCGCGCCCTTGTAGCCGAGCGGCTGGTTCGTGGCTGAGCGGGTTTCGCCGGTGCAGTAGACGCGGAAGTTTTCGGCGGTGCGGGGCGTGGTTTGCGCGTGGAGGGTGATGAAGATGCGGCCGAGGGGTTCGCCTGGGTGGAGAGGTGTTAATTGCTGGGAGAGTGTCTGATCTTTGATATTGGGGTTGGGAGAGAGGGGGGCAGGAGGGTGTGTGGTAGTCATTGGTATGAACTGCTCTTCAAGCATGATCGAGGGGGGGTCCATAATTGGGGGGGGACGTGTGTAGAATTCGATGATATAAAGTTCTTGGTATACAGCAAGACTGAGATGGCAGCAAAGACCTGGAAATGAGATAACGAAAGGTAGTCCGACGTAGCAATGCTAAAGACAAGTATCCGGCGAGGCTCAATCTACGGAACGGAGATATCGTGTGTTTTGCGCCAGGTGCACTTACCTCCAAGCGTCACGTCTAGGAAGACGACAGGATCCGTGGGAGTCTCTACCGCCATGTCGTCGCGGTTATGGTCTGAAAGGAAGGCAGTGGCAGAATATCGTGTTGCACCCGTGAATTTGCGCTAGAATGCTTGGATTACGATATGGTAGAGGTTCAAGTGCATACTGGAAGTATGAGCTTCGGAGGCCTCCAAAAGTCGACGCTAAGGAGCTTGGACCTGTGGTCGGGACTCGGGGGGTTTCTTAGGTAGCACCAGAAGCACTAAGAACGACAACACTTGCTTTTCACTTCGCGTTGCAATGAATACATTCATCATGAGTATACTACGTCTTTGTGTATGGAAGAGACATAAAATCGTTTATGAAGCTAGTAGCTCCGCCCATAATTCTCTTTCATGGATGTTCTTCTAGTCTCAGGCATTCGGCTTCTCTTTGCATGCTTATTACATTCTACTTGTGTCTGTTTTCTGGAAGCGTTTATGAGCGAGCACGTACCTAGTCTGCTTTATCACCAACGCATCCCTCGGTTTGTCATGGCCTTGACGATGGCTAGTTGCTAAGACGTTTACGGCCAGGTACGAGCAAAGGTTAGAGTGCCATAAGGCCAGAAACCGCCGATAATGGGACATCCAAAAGGACAAGTGTAGCTATATATTGAAGACCCGAGTGGTAAGCACGATCTGAGCATTGAGAAGCGTGTGAAAAAGGAAGGGGCCGAGCTGAAATTCGCAAAGGAGAAGGTAAGAAATACATGAAGTTGTCAGACGTCCACCGCAGCCAGCATTCAATTCTGCGCGGCGAGCGTGCTGTTTGCATGTATTCTCCCAAACATCAAACAATTCGGAATGGGTGGTCGAAGTCGATACACGAGCAGCTTCGCCAATTCAGTGTGTTGTCTTGGTCTGGCATTCGTTAGGCCCGACAGGGTAAATACTGCCTTCCCTTCGATTTCGATACCTCCCCAGTCCAGAACATGGTGCATTCGTTAGCTGCGAGATGTACATAGCCACAATTTCAGCATTCGACCAGTTCGTGAAGTCACAGGGTTGCGAAGAGGATGGAGTAAGACTGTGATGATGGAAATGCGTGTTGTACAAGTACTAGACCTATCTAACCACGGGTCTGATATCTATTGACTATGGAATTGACGCATGCTGCACGACGCAGAACCTTTGCAACCACGAATTGTGATAGTATTCGTATCACTACGTCCGCGTGGCAGCAGATTGGACGTTAAGCTGAGTTAGTTCTGGCGGTCGCTCAAAGACCCTTTCCAACGAAGGCTTTCGTTTTTTCCCACAGTGGGCGGCGAGCTTTGATGGCGTCCGGCGTGGCGTCCTTTTTCAAAACAGCCTTCATGTAGCCTTCCCAGCCCGCATTGGTGCCGGTTTGCAACTCCTTTCTGACGTCATCAGAGCACTTTGCTGCCAAGTACCACGCCCCGCTGCCAAAGCTCAGCTCGGGGGTATTGACGAGTTCCAGAACCTTGACTACGTCTGTACCCGCATTCTTGAGCTGATTTTTTGCATCGTCAGTAGTGAGCACAGCCTCTGCGTACGCCCTGTTGTTATTGACGTCCTGCATGCTGCGTGTACCTTGACCAGGCACTAGTGTTGGGAAGTGTTTCTTGTTAAATTTGAACTTTTCGGACTCAAAGAGCATGAGTGCAATGATTGCGGCTTTCTCGTAGGAATTGTCGATTTGATAGGTCTTGAAGGATTTCTCGATTTGGGGAGCTGCATCAGCAGCAGTTGCGCATTCGTTTGCGAACTCGGGTTGTCCGTACTGAGAGGGGCTGCATGTCTTGGATTCAGGCGCGACACTAGTAATGACAGATACTAGGTTGGAGTTTACATCCGGGAGACTGAGGCTTCGCAACTTCGCGAGTCTGAAGATCCGCAGCGTTGGGAACCAGGGGCTCCTTAGGTTGGGGAAGTCCAGTGATCGGAGGTGGAGCACAAAATTTTTTTTGATGTCTGGGGAAGCAATCAGTTGGCAGACCAGCTGCCATGGGTAGGGCAATGGCGAAGATCGCAGTGACAGTGGTGAACTTCATGATTGCTTCAAAGAAAGAATGATCGTAGGATAGGAGTGAAGCGAAGATGTTGAAAAGGCTGAAGCTACAAAGGACTGTGATGACGGACCAAACCGTTTGGTGAAGCAGATGTAAAGAAAGCTGAGGGAGTGCGAGAAAAGTGCAGAGTGGTGGTGAGAGGAGCAACGACGAAGGAAAGGAGGCAGCGTTATATAGTCGATATCACTGGAGAGCAACTTGCGATGGGCACTGTGCAGGTGTTGCGAGAGGCACAGTGCACACGAGGATGATTTGGTTGACCAACTGGTATGAAGAGCTTCGCTATTAATATTATTCACGGTCGTTCAAAGCGTCACGGGTCGCAGGCTGTTGGCCAGGTCAGTCGGCTATTTGGAGACTTTGAAACGACAATGGCATTTGGGGAAGAAAGCGTTTGGATGATGTGAATGGGTGACATGCAGCCAAGGAAGATATTTAGAAATTTAGAAACATGTTTGTTTCACGCTAGCAACGGCAGGAACTGGAGGACGACAAACAACCCCGGAGTTCTCCACTGCGGGCAGGGACGACCGGGGGCGCGCTGTTTACAGTAGATGATTAGGCGCCGCCTAATTTTAGTGGATGCGTGATTTTTTCTCCTCTCTCTCAGGCCGTCAGGCTGCCAGGCCGATAGTCAGGCTACAAGGCTACAAGGCTACAAGGCTACAAAGCTCCTGCACGGCAAGGCTACAAGGCTTAAAGGCTGCAAGGCTGTAAGATCACAAGGCCACAAGGCCACAAGGCCCCAAGGCTGCCTCAGGGGCAACACTTTGCGCCTCACAGACGACGCCTCATCATCATACCTAGCACCGATGCTGACGCCCAGACGGCTGATGCTGATATTTCCAGCCGATTGAGGTAGGAGTCATCATCAGGCCAAGCTATCTATGCCTAATACGTCCCGAGATCTGCTCATCATCTAAACCATACATAATACACAAAATCGTGCTGCCTACCGTCTTACTACATTAGGCCTCATCGTGCGCTCACACCATGAATGAACCCTTTTTATACTTGCACCTCGACAGAGAGTGCCCTATAAAGCTCACTCCACTTTAGCCATATATTATCTGCTACCTGCTCTCCCTCCTATGCTCCCTCTCACTCTTCTGATCTGATGTACCACAGCCTACGCAGGGTTGATTGTTGAGGCTCAGTCCAGTAGTGAGCCCTGCGGCAGTCAAACACTGCTCGTCTCGTGCATACTCAACATGGGCAAAGATAACAAAACTGCGGACAGTGATGCTGACACGGCATTGGACTCAAGCTCACCCACTGAACATGGGAACAAGCCGGCAAAGGGCTCACTTATCGACTTCTTCGTATGCTAAGCTTGAATGTGTGTGCCGACCATCGCTGACGGAATTGCAGCGTGTGTTCGGGTATGCTACCTCTTTCGACTGGTTTTTACTCAGTCTAATGGCTTTCACTTCCATTGGCGCTGGTGCTGTGAGTGACGCTATTCTGGTGTCTTTGACGTGTGATTGACGAAACAGTCAGGCGTTGCCTACCATGTTTATTGTATTCGGTATGCTACCAAAGCTGTATCCGGAAGCCCTCTAATAGTCCTAGGACGTATTGTGAACGGCCTCAATCAATATGCCACAGATAATTCCTCGCCTCAGAGCTTTTACACTTCAAACAGCCAGAACTCGTACGTCTTATTCTATATTAACGCAATTGGTCTGACTCTTCCAGACTCTACGTTGTTTACATCTTTATTGGCAAATTCTTTTTGTCGTATGCTTCGATGGTTAGCGATACCCTCTTTCTTTCCGGGCAGGTCTCATAGGATTTATAGTTCGCTGTTCGAGTGACTGGTCTACGCATATCATCAGCTTTGCGGCTTGCATACCTACAAGCCCTCTTCAAGCAACCTCTGAGTACAATCGACAAACTTTCCATCGGAAAAGTGTCCCATCGGATCACAGCCTCGACGAGCACGATACAGCTCGGCATTTCTCAACAGCTGGCAATGCTGATCCAGTCACTCTCATTTCTCATAAGCTTTGTAATAGTGGGTTTTGTTTACAACCCTCTGCTCGCCATCGTGGCTTGTGCAAGCCTTCCTGTCACTATCATCCTACAGTCAATCACTGTTCCCATCATCCTCAAGCGACATAAAGCAGCGGAAGAGGCTAAAGAGGAGGCTTCCGCTTTAGCCCAAGAAGTTTTCGCATCTATACGTGTTGTTGCTGCATTCGGAGCAGAGGCCCTACTCTCAAAACGTCATAAGGAGCTAATTGACAGAGTCATACTTATTGGGATCAGAAGAGCCCCGCTTGACGGACTTTACATGTCTCCAACACTCTTTGGCACATACGGTACATCAGCCTTGACTTTCTATTTTGGCATTAAGCAGTTCTCTCGGGGTAATGTAAGTAACATTGGAGAAATCGTCATGTAAGTGGGATTGCAGTATATTTTATGGTTCTTATTAACGTTTTCCACAGCGTATACTTCTGTATCATGATGGCAACTACGTCCTTCCAGAAGATCGCAACTCCGATACTCTATGTATCTCAAGCCTCTTCTGCGGCCGCCGAAATGTTTGCGACAATAAAAACACCTGTCCACGCTACTTCTGGATTAATATATCCTGATAGCTCCGCACTTGAGGACATCGCGTTCGAAAACGTAAAGTTTTCGTATCCGAGTCGACCCGACGTGCAAATCTTGAAAGGGTTGACCACAAGGTTCGAAGCTGGAAAGACAACCGCGATCGTAGGCCCATCTGGTTCTGGAAAAAGCACCATAGTCGGACTCCTTGAAAGATGGTATACACTGCAGAATTCGTCAGATAGCGCGACCTCATTGGTCCAAAAAGACTCCGACGAGAAAGGTTCCCATGCAAAGGAGGGGGTGCCATCATCATCAAGCGGTATTATCAACGTTGGTCAACAGAACATCGAGGCACTGGATCTGCAATGGTGGCGAAGACAAATTGGATTCGTGCAGCAGGAGCCTTTTCTATTCAATGATACAATTATCAAGAATATCTCCTACGGTCTATGTGGAACGGAATGGGCTGGGGCTGACTTGGCAACTCAGCGGAAAATAGTGGAAGATGCTTGCAAGCAGGCGCATGCTCACGATTTCATATCAGAGCTCCCTCAGGTCTGATTGACATGATTCTGATGTCGGGATTTTATCAGCTAACTTGGATGATAGGGTTACGACACAATGGTAGGTGAAGGCGGAATTAAGATCAGTGGAGGTCAGCGACAACGCCTGGCAATTGCTCGTGCTATCGTTAAAAACCCTCCAATCCTTATACTTGACGAAGCAACCAGTGCATTGGACGTCCACAGCGAACAAATTGTACAAAAAGCTCTCGACGATGTGTCGCATAATCGTACGACAATCATCATCGCCCACAGGCTCTCCACTATCAAGAAGGCCGATAAGATTGTGGTCATGCGAAATGGTCGAGTGATTGAGGAAGGTACTCATGATGGATTAGTTGCCATGACAGACGGCTTCTACCATTCACTTGTGTCCGCTCAAGGACTGGCCCTTGGTGATGATGGCAGGGAACGATATGACGAGTCTGATCCTCCTGTGGACAGACTGCAAAGAATGGTTTCACGTCAGAAGACCGAAGATATCAATACTACAGAGAAGGAAAGTAAGCCCGTTGAAGCGAATCACGTCGATGTGGACATTTTCAGGAGTTTCGGTAGGCTTCTGTATGAACAGCGTCATCGTTGGTGGATCTACACGATCTGTGGAATTACAGCTTGCATCAATGGAGGCAAGTCTTAGTCAGATCTCAAATCTAAAGGTGAAACTGACATCTTTTGACAGCCTCCTATCCGCTGATGGCATACTTCTTCGCTAAAATCATCAATGTCTTTTCGCTACCAAACCTAGGCGCGTTAGTTGACCGAGGCAACTTCTGGTCACTAATGTTCTTCATCATGGCTATCGTAGTCATTTTCTCATACGGTGGCCTGGCTTGGTCTGCCGTACACCTGTCATGTGTAAGTCTACTGGCGCCCATCACAGTACCCCCACTGACCAGATGCAGACCGTATCGAGCCATTACCAACAAGAATACTTTGAGAACCTTGTGCGGAAGCCTATCGTGTTCTTTGATGCCGAGGGGAGCTCTCCCGGGACCTTGACCTCGAAACTTGCAACTGATCCTCAACAAATGCAGTCCATGATGGGCGTGGAAATGGCTGTGACTCTAGTCGGGATCACTAGTATTGTCGGATCCATCATCATCTCGTTTGCTCTTGGCTGGAAGCTTGCTTTGGTCGGCTGTCTTGCTGTCGTACCCGTCATTCTTCTGGCCGGTGCCATGCGTGTCAAGCTGGAGATCCAGTTCGACAAGATGAACTCGAAAGTCTTTGAAAGCAGTTCTCAATTTGCGACTGAAGCCGTGGGGGCATTCCGCACCGTCACAGCTTTGACTATGGAAGATACGATCTGTGATCGGTACTATATGCTGATGAATGAACATGGGACGGCTGCCTTGAAAAAAGCTGTCTGGGGAACTTTGGTCTTCGCTCTATCTGACAGCGTCGACATCGCTTGCAATGCCCTTGTCTTTTGGTAAGAGCCGGCCTTCGACTCGAATCATAGGCGGCAGTAAATACTGACAATAGACAGGTATGGCGGCAAGCTAGTTGCAGACGGTGAATACAGCATCTTCCAATTTTTCGTGGTCTACATGGCTGCCGTACAAAGCACCCAGGGCGCAGCCATGTGGTTTGCCTTTTCACCAAGTACGTCAAGCCCTCTCAACACCCGCCATACAAGACTGACCGCATCATAGACATGGCCAGCGCAACCAGCGCTAGTAACCGTATCATCGGCTCCCGACCATCCAAAACCATCTCCCCCTCCTCAAATGTCTCGCCCCAGCCCTCTTCCGGCGGCGCAGCCATCGAGCTCTCCAATGTCCGCTTCACCTACGACACCCGCTCTGACCCCGTGCTCAAAGGCCTCAGCCTCAGCATACAAGCGGGCCAATTCGCCGCCCTCGTCGGCGCGTCCGGCTGCGGCAAGTCGACCATCATATCCCTCCTCGAACGCTTCTACGACATCGACTCCGGCACCATCACATACGACGGCGTCGACATCAGCACGCTCAACACGCGCGAGTACCGAGCAAACCTGGCACTTGTAGCGCAGGAGCCGACACTGTACGAAGGCACGATTCGGGATAACATTGCGCTGTCAATGGGCGAGACGGCCGCCGCTGACGAGGATATACACGAGGCGTGTCGCGAGGCGCATATTCACGATTTCATCACTTCTCTGCCGGAGGGATACGCCACAAGGCTTGGTCCGAAGGGCATCTCGCTGTCCGGCGGACAGAAGCAGCGGATTACATTGGCGCGGGCACTCCTGCGTAAGCCTAGGTTGCTTCTGCTTGATGAGGCTACGTCGAGTCTGGATTCGGAGAGCGAGAAGCAGGTCCAAGCAGCGATTGAGCGCGCGGCTGGGAAGGGCCAGAGGACTATCCTTGCTGTTGCGCATCGGTTGGCGACGGTTCAGAACGCGGACGTGATCTTTGTGTTGGGGACGGGTGGGAAGTTGGTCGAAAAGGGGAGCCATGCGGAGTTGGTACGGGCAAGGGGGGTGTATTTCCAGATGTGCCAGGCTCAGGCGCTGGATAGGTGATGGAGACGCACTTTTTCAAAACATTCTCTTCTCTCGGGCCTCTCACTCCTCTTGGCATATCAACACTGAGCTCTCCTCTCTTTGACGCAGTTCATAGACATACTTCACTCATAGCCCTACCTGAGCGGGATATCCTCACTTGTAATCTTATTCATCACATCAAAAATGATAGAACCCTTAATCCTCACTTTGATACATCTATCACTCGATTCGCTCAGCTCTCATGATTCCCAACCCCTTCCACACACACAAAAGCAAAACGCCTCTCGCCCAACCCGTCTAAACCTCCCCATCACCCAACCGATACAAATACAAACCCCAACACCCCTTGATCACCTCAACCCCGCAACCGCCTTCCTAACACTCTCCCTCGCCTGCTCAAGCTCCATCTCCAACGTCCCCTGCCTATGCGCCACCTTGACCGCACGATGCAACTCCACAAGATCCCTTGCACGCGCAATATCAGGATCGGCCTCTGACGCTGCCGCTGTCTGATCTTGTCCAGACGATACTACCTGCCCCGAAGACTCCGACGGCGGACGCGCAGAGACGAGTGCCATTGCTGCAGCGTGGTCCTGCGGTGACGGATGTTAGATGTCACATAGCAGACAGCAGATGAAAATCCATGACATAGTGGGGGAAGTATGAATTGAGAGGGCAGAGCACATTATGGCACGGGTACTTACGCAGGCGCGGAGAGACGTGAGATCGGAGAGGATCTCTGCGATTTGCATGATTGAGCGTGGGATGAGATAGATGGACGGGTTGGGCGCAGGGTGTGAAGTTTGCTGTTGTGGGTTCGCTTTAGAATGATGATACGAGCTTCTGTAGCGCGAGCACCCCCTGTAAACGAGGTTGACTTTCGAGGCGCTCTAGGCGTTCCGTTCAAGTATATGATCCTGTGATGTAGCAATGTGTGGCTGTCATGTACACGGTGGAGTTTAGCAGACCAGCTCGAAACGCCGAGACCGGGGCCTAAGGGATCCATATCCGTAGCACGCTAGTCCGTGTATGGATGCGCCAACCCAAGCTATACACCGGCCGGCCGCCGGGAGAGAGGAGACGCGGCCAAGCTGAACGATCCTTCCGTTCTGATTTCCGCACGCTCACGATGCCACCAACATCACACTTAACCCCTTCCATCTCGGCCTGCATCTCAAGCACCGTGCACGCTCTCACGATCCACCATGACAACGGCAGCATCCATCAAGGCTAATTGCCGCAAGGTAATGTGCATCGGCCGCAACTACGCCGAGCACGTTGCCGAGCTCAACAACCAGCGGCCCAAGCAACCGTTCTTCTTCCTGAAGCCGCCGAGCGCGATTCTGACGCCCGGTGCGGGCCCCGTACTGCGGCCGCGCGGCGTCAAGATGCATTATGAGGTGGAGCTGGGGCTGGTGATTGGGCGGGCGGTGCGCGATTTGCACCCCGAGGACGCACAGGGTGCGCTGGACTCGATTGCAGGTACGGGGTACAGACGCGAAGATACACAGAAAGAAAACAAAAATGAGTTGAATTAATGCTGGGTAAACAGGTTATCTGCTCGCTATAGACATGACGGCGCGCAATGTACAAGACGAGGCCAAGAAGAAGGGTCTACCGTGGTCCATCGCCAAAGGCTTCGATACATTTCTCCCGATTAGTAACTTCATTGCGAAGTCTCGCATACCCGATCCTCACAACGCGCGGTTGTGGCTCAGCGTCGGCGGTCAAATGAAGCAAGAAGACAGTACCGAGCTCATGCTGTTCAGAATACCGAGACAGCTTAGCGACATCAGCAAGGTCATGTCGCTGGAAAAGGGGGACATCATCCTGACAGGTACACCGAAAGGCGTTGGACCAGTCCAAACGGGCGATATTATGAAGGCCGGTTTGAGTGTCGGTGGCCAGGAGGTGGAAGAGGCAAACATTGAGGTGGAAGTAAAAGATCGCGAGGGGCCCTACGAATTCAGAGAGACATAGATGTCGCCCTAGTTATCTTTCATGACCTTTCATAGAACCTGCGCGTCTTTCAATCCTGCAATATTGACTGGGAGTTCTCGATTTCGGCGGCAAACGTTGCGTCGTCAACTGGCTGTAGAATCTGTCGTCGCTGCTTAGGACCCCGCTGCGGCTTTTGGAGGATCCGATTGACCTTCTGATTGGATGTAGCCAGCGGTTGCGCTTTTGGTGTGATACATGCCGCCGGGTTTCCTAGGACTTGATGGATTCTCGTATGCTTGACGGAGTCTGGCTGTGCCCCTCGAGCTTGACTTCTAGTCTGACGAGTGGTAGGCAATGGACACATTTTTCTTCTCTTTGCGCAATGTTCGGAGGATAAGTCAAGCATGCTTTGGATCTGCGGATTCGGGAGGCTGACTCGCTTTGCATTTTGAATCGCAGCGAAAGGGCGCTTGAAGACACCGTATTCGGAGGTACTATTGTATTCCCGAGAGGCACGTCGTTGGAATGCTTGCTCAGCTGGCGATTCTAATATTGGAAGTTTACGCTTTGCCATATTCCTATGCAATATGTCAGTGTCGTAGGCCTGTTCAGACTGAGGCCTCAACATACAAGCTCTTTTGGGCCAAAGGGCTGCATTGTACCTGAATCTGCGGCGACGAGGGCTCAGATTCAATTGGCACCGATGGGGTGACATTAACGGCATGGTATCCTCCTTTCAGTTTGAAGACCTCGTATTGCAGTTCTCTGTTCAGTAACATCAAGTCCCGATTGCCATTTTCAAGATCCTCTATTCTGTCACGCATGTTCTTTGCTCCGTCGTCTTCCATGTTTCTTCTCTTCTCAAAAGCATCAAGGCGTCTTGCCAAGTTCTTCACATCTTCTGGATCGTTCTTGCGCACGAGAGTACCGGAGGATTGTTTGAGTGCTTCGTGGTACACTTGAAGCTGCGTAAGTCTTGATTTCAGTGTATCATGGTCCTTCTTCATTCCTTCAAGTCCTTTGATCGCATTCTTCAGCTGGGCGTCAATGGACATGACCTGGATGTGCTCTGACTGCGTTGCCTTGCACTGTTCCTCGTCCCTGACTTTCTGCTCTGCGGTTGACTTATCAAGCTTTGATACGAGCGTTCTCTGTAGCTCATCAACTTTAGCCAGGTGTCCGTCTATTGCGCTCGAGATCTTAGTGACGCTGCCATCTGTGGCTTTGAGGTCGTTCTCTACCCCCTTTACCAATGCCTCGAGGGTATCCATGCGCCGTAGCAGATGAAGATGTTGCTTTTTGAGCTCGTGCGCCCATAGAAGAGATGTCGGACTCGAAGGTCTTGGAGTCATCGCGGCGACGCGTTGACTATTCGAGATCACAGGAGTCGTCAGTAGGCGGCGCGAGAGAAAGCCTTTGGACTGCGGCGTGACGAAAGACTACGGTCGATTCTCTAGGTGGGAAGTAACCTCTTGGGAAAAAAAAATATAGATGGCCGCTCAGATAGCTGCGAGCGCGCGCAAAGTATCAGTTATCGCGTTCACACGTGTCGAGCGTGGAAGGGGCCTGGTTGACCGCACGTGGTTGGATACAGCAAGAACCATGGAACGAAAAGTCATCAGCCTGTCCGATTCCTCAACTCCAACCATGAGCATCCGCGAAACCCCTAGAGTCCCAACGATCAAGTTATCTTTTTTTACCACGTCTCGAACTGTCGGAAAGGCTAAAAGGGGTATCACGTCATTTTGGGTTCACTCACTCCCAGATACTGCCAAAACGCAAAAGGACATGGCGGAAATGTCCAATATGCCCCGTGTACTAGCCTGGCTTGACCGAGAGTCGAACCTAGGATCTTCCACGCGACCGGAATAAACGCACGGAATGCGCTGCCGATTTTCTTGATTGTACAACGTAGCACGTATTTACCATCTACGCCATTAGCGCTGCACCGAAGTCGACTTGATTTATTGAATTCATATTTTGTGTCTGGAAATCAAGATTTGACTTGGGATTACTTACGTCAGGTAGGTGAACAGTGCCACTATTCACCTGGATGCCAAATTAGCACTCAGGCTTGAACGAGTACCGCCCACTCCTGATTAGATCTCAGGGAGGGTTCTTCTTGTGTGCACCCACGGGAAGGGGTGGAGGCGGATGAGAACAAAATCTACATGCATACCCACACTTCAAATTCTACTTATTTCAAGTCCTCAATTACACTCTTTCACACCTGCATATCTGTTTAGATTTCCTGCCACCTCGTTCGACTATTTCGTATATGTTCATGTACACGATCGGTTTACAAGCTTGCTTCTACGAAAAAGGCATAATATGAGTTAAAAATTTGAAGAAGGACCATATGAGCATTGAATCATCTACGCTACGGTCTATACAAAGCGTCAGTCTAACGCGGACTCACAAGCTCAAATGCCATGCCGCAGGGGTATCTAGGCCAAGGACCACGATCATCACAAAGGAAAGGCAAAACTAGAGAGAAGCGAGTAGCACAGCCGCTGTAGGAATGTAAAAGAATAGGACGGTGTCAAGCAGATCGAGCGTGCGCGCACAGAAACTCGCACCTGAAAATGCTTTGAAGTGCTGTGGCTGCGACACCTCCACGCGACACCTCTTCTGACCTCGGCGTCAATATCCAACAGCCTCAGATTCAAGGTCTTTCCGACCTTCTTATGTGCCATACCTTTCCGCCTTCGTCGTGCTACTCTAGTTCTCCTAAATCTGAGCTACACAACATTGCTCTCCTGCTGAGACATCTTCGGACTCAGCCGTCTGGAGTGTTGGTTCCACTTGTGAAGTAGCTCTGGTCGATTCTCAAAATCCATTCGATCTTCTCCGCCTCAGTCCTCGTCTTGAAAATCCAGGCATTTTCTCTCGCCCAGATAGCAAAGACTGTACCACCGCCTGAACTGCCAAGCGAATCGCCATGTCCACCATTCCTTTTGCCGCCCAAATTGAGTAGACGCGCAACCTGAGGCTGGTGATCCACACGTGCATTAGACAGGTTTATGGCATGAACCTCGTCTCCTTCTGGAACGCTGTATATGTGGAGATACGGCTTCCTGAGCTCAGCGAAGCGCCGCACCCAGCGTGTGTGATTTGGATCTGGAGTCAAGAGATACCCACCTTTCAGTAAGGCCGGGTTTTTAGGAACATTGCGCACGCTTGCTATGAGCGAAGGCAGCTTTGGCTTGGCAGTCGATGTGGATGATGTGCGTGGACGAGGGGCAAACGCTGCACCTTCAGCTGGAGGTTCTAGATTTGCTGGTTGGAGAATTTGTTCAGCGGAATCTGGTACAGTTTGCCATAATCCAAGCACTCTAGAAAGTAGTTGTTTTTGAACCCCATTGAATTCATCTTCCGTGCTTATCGAAAATGGACTACCCACACGGGAATTGTCCGTGCTGGTCTCAATAGTCAGCGAGCGTGAACTGAGAACACTCCGAGCCGTTTCAATCTCAGCGATGCGGCGACGTCGTTTCTGGATAGCGATGAAGTCACGAACGAGACTGACTCCCCGTGGAGTCCATCCGTTAAGTAATTCCTCTCCGGTGATCACTTCGTATTGGGTATTGAGTCTCCACATGTCCGTGGTGCTTTGAACGGATGTTGGTCGAATCGTGACGGAGAAGATGCCCACTGTGGAATGTACTATACGGGTAGGATTCATGAATTGTTGGAAGAAATTCGACGGCCTGACATATGTTCGGGAGCGCATCTGCAGACCTATGTCGTGGGAGAATATCATGGGCCGGCTGAGCTTGGTGCATATGGCGCTCCATGAAAGGCTGACTTGTACACGATATTTTTCAGACGTGACTCTGTCTAATAACAGAGACCCGTGCATGCTGGAATCCCAATGTCCAACGAAGGTTACATTGTTTGTACCATCAGCATTTTCTTTTACTGTAGGTGGAGAGACAAGCTTGATTGGGATGTCCTCTTGTGGCTCATCTAATGAGGGAGATTTTCCTTGATGATCAAGAAGACGTACTTTACCAATGCGGATGGATGTAATATCTTGCCACTTCAGCATCTCTCCAGAGCTGTGGACGAGGTTGACTACGACTCTACGCTGTAGACCTTGATGAAGCTGATATGCACCGGCATCTTCAGCGCTATGTTGGACTACCTCAGTGGGCTGATAAGTACCATCCTCGGAGATCTCATGTATCTGTATTCGGGCGAATATATCGTGAACTTCTTCCGAATAGAATTCCGATTCAGCAATGCGTGCACTCCGTTTCTTCTGTCTTGATGGTGGCGCCGAGTCTCTCATGTCGTCCCAGCTGAGCAACATGTCAAGATGCATTGGGGTAGCTTTGGCGAAGATTGAGATACGAAGCGCTGAATCGCGCGGACTGGATAGAGGAAGGCTCATGCTATGCACACTCTCAAAGCGTATTGGATCCTCGTCAAATCCGCTGATCATTTGAGTAGTAGTCCCGCCACCCTCCTCAGATATTCCAGGCACAAAGAGCTGTGCATGTATATCTGTGCCCTCACGCTCCGGGAACCCTACAAGTTCATGCATCACAACATTGAACTTCAATGTCGATGAGGGTGCTTCAGCAGAGGAAGGCTCAAGTGAAAGCTTGATGATTCCAATCACATTCGACGTAAAAGGTGAAATGACGTCCAGAGTGCAGTCTTGCACGCGTGATTCGAAAACTGCAACAAGTGGCACATCCGCCTCTCCAATGCGAGAGAATTCTGGCTGGCAAGACTCTGTGAAGGGGTTTTCTAGTTTGAAGTGCTGCAGATATTCTGGTCGGTCCAAGTATTGATGCATTTGCCGCATCAGCCGAACTCTTCGATCGAGTTTCTGTAGGGACCATAAATAGATGACATTCTTTGCGAAGTCAACGACCCTGACACCTACACATGGCTTTGGTGTAAACTCCAAATCCTCATCATCTTCGTAGGGTTCTCCATTCAAGACCAAGTCATAGGAAGAAGCAATATGGTGGCCCTTGTCGATGATACAGAACTGAAATACAACATTCTTGTCCATTTGTTGGCTCATGATTTGAGCCTCCTTCAAGGTGGAAGCCTTCTGCATAATGATGCCAGCCATCGCAACATACCTTCGCTGTCGCCAACGGTCGAGGACTTTCTTGGCCAGATGGATCTCTTTTTCAGTCGGTTCTGCAGACCCGGTTGCAGGGTCTGTTCCTGTTGATAGTTCCACTTCTTTCCCGTTCGTAAGGGTCTTGATTTGCTCTTCAAACGCTTCTTTCTGTGCCTGAAGTTCTTGCTGCATTTGTACTTTGAGCTCACGAAGATTGTCTTCCATTTGGATCTTTTCTGCCCTGATCTCCGCTATCTCAGTGGGACCATCTTCTGCCTCTTGGAGCTTAGTGTTATAATCGTCCTTCTGCTTGTCAAGTTGTTGCTGCATGTCCTCTCGAACGATCTTGAGGCGTTCGTCCTCATCGCCAAGGCGAGGAGTAGAAGGTACTGTCAGTGCGGTGTCCAGAGAGAAGTTGTCAAGGGTTCCGTTGGAAGCATATTTCTCTCGAATAGGATAGGATGTGACAGAGTCTGTGTCGTCCTCGATATCGTTTCCAAACAAGCGACTCTCAGGTCGCGCTTTGCGAACAGCTCTTACTCTTTGGAGATCGTCGAACAATACATCGAGCTCTTCATCTGTGAGATTTGACATCTTCTGGTCACCAAGTATGGCTGTCACTGCCTCTCTTCGCGCAAACGACCAATCAGTGTCGCGTCCATTTCGCGTAGGAGAGGATGGCCTCGGACTAGCTGAGTCATTGTCTGAGTCAGGTCGACTGACTGTGCTGGTTGTCCTTTCATGTAGTGGCCGAGGGCTGGGAGAATCGATCTGACTGGCGGTTATGGAGTGTCGAAGTAAACTGCCCTGTTCAGCGCGCTCAGCGCGGGCTTCCTGTGGATGGTTGAAGCGGAAAATGTGGAAGTCACCAAGGATAATGCGAAATCCACTCCTGAGACGCTTTGGTTTTTCTATGCGCTGGCCATTAACCATGACTGCAGCATTGTCTTTTGGTACAACGGTGACTACACCGTCGACATTTTCGAAGGAACAATGGTCCTGTAGAATTTTGGAGCCGTTGAGTCGTATCTCAACATTACTTGCCGATTCGCTCCCAACAGTAGTTGTACCGGGTTTGAGGTTGTAGATGAGGCATTCCGCAAGCAGCGGATCATCGCTCAGATTGACTAGATGTGGCATTTTCTTCGGCGTTGATAGCCCAATCGAGCCCTTTTCGATAGTGATACCAAGATCCTCAAGAGCTTGTTCGCGCTCTTTGTGAATCTCTTCGGTCTTCTGCAGTTTCTCCTCCCACGTTTGGTTAAGATCCTTGTAGAGTTTCTCCGATTGATTTAACTGTTCTGCAATCTCAGCCTTAGAAACTTTCTTGACTGTACCATCAGCTTGCGTTATAGATACGATCTGCTTTTCGAGGGGTGTATCTGGCGCATATTGTGGTTCCTCGGACATCCCTGCTCCACCCCCACCCCCTGTGAGCTTCGAGCGGAGTTGCGCAAGTTCCTCTTTGAGCTCACGGATCATCCGAGCGTTTGGATCCTCGTTCACAACAGCATGGTTCTTGATACGTTTAGCGGAATCAGCGTAACGGAGCGTTGATAGAGTTTCGTCGAAGTTGATGTCGGCTGGTGAGATAGCAGCAATCATGGCCGTCATACTGTTTCCACCCAAAGAATCTTTTAACAGCCATGTCAACACAGAGTCTCGATATGGTACCATGTTTGCCTTCTTGTTCTTCCCTGTGGACAAATCTGCCAGGGCTGCTATAACACGTCCTAAGGTCGACAGGGATCTATTGATTTCTGCTCCCTCTTTCAAACGCGCACCCGTTGCTCCAGTCGAAGTAGCTCTCTCTGAACCTGCCAAGTCTACAAGACTAATTTTGGCGACTTTCTCAGAATCCATGTTGGTCTCAACGTCGTGGCGTTTTTGGGTAAGAGTGAGAGTAAACACTGCGTGGGATCGACTCGAGGTTTCGTTCATGTTTGTTGCTGCGACCGTACGAGCTTTATTTCCTTCGTCCATCAAGTTTTCGATTTCCTGGAACGAGCGCACGACAAGCTTTGCTAGATCTTCCACGTACGGTCCAGTCGATGGGTGCTCTCGGACTTTGAGATTGCCTTTATTCGATGGATTTAGAAGATCTCGGACGCGTTCGTTATAAATTTCCAGGTAAGACACTTCTACAGTGCTGCTCAAAGTCTTGTCCTGTTCCATTTCCGTGATTCGATCAAACATACTCCTACAGATCTTAGGAATGACACCCGCCTCTTCCCCATAACCCATCATGGAGTATGATTTTCCGGAGCCTGTTTGTCCATATGCAAAAATACAATTGTTGTACCCTCCAAATGCATTGTCCAGCAGTGGCTTTCCCAGATCATTGAACAGGTCATCTTGGCCCGCAAAATGCTTGTCGTTACGGTCAAATGACCAATAACTCTTGTCAAATGCAAATGTCTTCTTTCCTTCTACAGCAGCCTTCGCGTTCTTGGACTTTGAATCGATGTTTGACGGAGGGGTAAGGACTGTTTGGGTATCTTTCATGTGCACAATACATTGCGCATTTCGATCCTTCTCTGTGGGACATGAGTAAGGAGACGCATATCCCGGGTTTTGTGTGACCACATACCTCTCCCGTTGAACGGTCTCACCCTGACCACCACCTTGATGTTTCCTCCTCCTCCAACGGCGGCCATGGTACCGGAGGGGTTGCGCAAGGAGCTAGCTGACTTAGGACAATACGAATCAGATATTGTGGTATGACTATGTCGTTATCTCAGGCGGCCGCATGGCTGCAGTCAAAAAGAAGAGGCTGTCGCGTCGGACGATGCGCGTCGAGAGTTCTGAGAACGAGGCGTTGTGGTTCGTTGGGCGGAGGGCTGAGGAGCTGAGAGAGCTCGGGCGCCGCGGCGGGACCACCCCTGCTGACGTAGATCTCTGCGCGTGTTGAATAATAAAACTTCCAAAGTTACACGAACTTTAGACAATACCTACTAATGGTGTTGCCGCTGTGACTTCATCGTTGATCGATAGATGTTTGTATATGCTATCTAGTTCAAAGTCTACGGTCATTACTCCTTCGGTGTCCATTGCCTCACAGCCACTCATCTTCACAAAGCGATGTCGGATGCGCAATCAACCATGATGTTACGACCTCCTATAAAGCGAACTATGCGAACCCTTGATCGCGCCTTTTTCAAGACCACTGTCCCTATATCAGCCGCCAGAGTACATAAAATCCAGGACATATCCGAAGTAAGGAGCAAAATACTCAAGAGCAAGGACAAGTTCGTTTGGAATCGCATACCTTCGCTCAAACCCGACCCAGATGAAAAACACGCAAAGGCTGGAGGGAAGTGCTTACTGTTAAAGCCTGAAGTTAAACACGATGGTACGCTGCTACGGGTGTCTTGGATTACGTGGACAACCGCTGATTGCAATAGCCAGATCGATCGACATGGAGCCCTACAATTAAAGATCTGGAGAATGAGGGAACCATCGCTGTCATACCATACACCCTTGACCTGGATTATGACTCGTGGACATACGGTACTATGGTTACCTTCGCTATAGAATCTCTCTAACAATTTGTAGACGACATTATGCGAGCAATACTCCCAGAAGAGGATATGCATGGTGATATACCAACAGGATTTTCAACAATTGGACACGTTGGTATGTTAGGATTAGGATTAGGATGATTCGAGGTTTTGCTAACCTCAACGAAGCTCATATGAATCTCCGCGAGCGCTATCTTCCCTACAAACATACAATCGCTCAAATCATCAAGGACAAATCATCAAGTATAAAAACAGTAATAAATAAGATTGACCCTATAGGTAACGAAGAGAATGAGTTCCGCACTTTTCAATATGAAGTCCTTGTTGGTGAAGATGACCTCGATGTCGAAGCCCGTCATCAAGATTGCATCTTCCGCTTCAACTTTGGCAAAGTCTACTGGAATCCGCGCCTGCATACAGAACACCAGCGTATCATCAAGCAGTTTCAACCTGGCCAAGCGATTTGCGATGTCATGGCGGGTATTGGTCCCTTCGCTATCCCAGCTGCCAAATGGGGCCGGCATTTCGTGTTTGCGAATGATCTCAATCCTGAGAGCTATAGATATCTCAAAGATGCGATAGAATTGAATGGAGTAGAGCCGTTTGTGGAGCCGTTCAACGAGGATGGACACGACTTTATCCGAACGTCAGCGCAAGCACTCGCTTTGAAGCACAAGAGGGTCGTTATAAAAGGCAAGAAACCTCGTCATGCGCGGCAACCAGCCCCAGAAACGTACTTCGATCGACCCGCCACCTTCGCTCACTACACTATGAACCTGCCCGGAAATGCGATTGATTTTATTTCTGACTTTATCGGCCTTTACAATAAACCCTTTGCATCTAAGCCGCAGGCTCACGACGACCGCGATCTTCCACGGGACCCAAGGCAGCTATTCGAGCCATATACTGCGGTGAAGTTGCCTATGGTACACGTATACTGTTTCTGCAGCGAAGACGACAACGAAGCCGCAAAGCGTAGCATCTGCAAGCGAATTAGCGAAAAGCTGGAGTATGAAATTACACCTGATACTCCAGAGGTCCATATTGAAGATGTGAGAAAGGTATCGACGCATAAGCGATATTTCTGCGCGAGCTTTAGACTCCCACATGAGGTGGTGTTCCGAAACTTAGAAGTATAGACAAAGGACGATAACGACACACATGTCACTATATACCCTGCCGCCTGGTCTTACACCACCTGTATATACATGAAAGGGTAGCCCAAAGCACACTATATGATACACTCTTCTCCATTATGATTCATCAAAATGCACCCATCTTCTTCAACATATTCGTCTCTTTGATTGCAGCTCTCCTCTTATCCCTCATAGCTGCCGATAGCCCCTCTCTCGCAAGACCAGCCGCAACAGCACCATCCACAGAGCCATCACCAGCGGGCAGGTCCACAGACTGCTCATAAATTGGAATCTTCGGTGCCACACCCTCGGGATTCGCCAGTGCCTCCCTACGGGCAATTTTCGCCGCCGCCCGACGCTGTTTCTTCGACCTCACTGTTGTTCATCCGCATTAGCCCACGAAATCCACATTACACCACAAAGTCGACCACCGTTGAGAAAGAAAAAAACGTACGATATTCATCCCCACGGCTGCCGCCTTCCGCAGTCTCCTTCTCTTTCGGCGTCAGTACATCCCACAGCCAATCCGGATATTCTCTGTCCTCCATGGCCACGGGGTCGGGCTGGTTCACCATCAAGGCCAGGCCTTTTAACGGCGTGCCCGCTGGTACCGTGGAGCGCGTTATTGTCTTTGACGAGGGTTTTGGTCGCGCCTTGATGTCAGCAGACGCATTGGCAGAAGATGGCGGAGGCGTTGCAGAGAGTGACTGAGCGGATGAGGTTGCCGTGCTGCTCGTCGGTGGTGATGTGAGGATGGGAGAGCTCGTCAGGGCCCGGGTTTGGCGAATGGAGACGACGCGCGTGCGAGAAGAGATTGGGATTAGATTGCCGGCAGATGCCCGCAAGCACTGGCGACAGATCATCTTGTATTAGTCGAGGCTGTACTTTTGGTTGGATTTCCAAGTGAAGCAATAGCCAGGGTCTTAACTTTTAGACATATCGGGTGAATGTTTCGCCGGAGGCGCGTTTTCACGTGCACTGCATATGAGCCAATCAACTTGCAACACTACATATGCATTGTTGCAGCAGCATATTTATGTTGTTCTGTCGGTATGCACTTGTAAGGCTGCAGCAGTGCGTCGATGCAATAATTGTCTATTGTACTCATACGTGTACAGCTCTTTTCCTTGGTGAAACTCTATTATGACGTGCTTAAATTCGACAATGCGCTCGCTCCTGGTTGTCGGCGACCCCTTTCAACCAACTCCAAAACTCTTGACTTTAATTCTTCGTAGAATCTAGGGATCATCAGCCAGCCAGGACTCCCCGAATCATGTCCAAAAAGTTAGGATGTAACTTCGTGAGCTCTCGAATATCTGGCTTCGCTGGCTCGCCTGCTGTACGCCTTAAAGCATCTGCTCTCCTCGCACGTCGCTTACGTTCTGCGCCAATGGGATCTGCGAGATCCTCGTCGTCCAGGTCGCTCTCGTCGTCATCATCACTGCCTTGGTCGTCAAGCTCAAGATCGGCGAGATCACGCTGTTTTCAAGGGTCAGCAAAGCTGTGTATTCAAAGCGACAGCATCAACATACCTCGTCTAGTCCAAAATCACTGCTTTTGAAACCGGCGGTGAACCCGCTTAACAGCTCACTTGCGGGATCAGTGCCACCCCCTGATGCCATCTTCTGTCGTGTTTTATCCTGATGCCACTTTTTCCTAGCTAATTGCCATCTCACCAGGGAGTTGATCTCCGTGATACCTAAATCCTTATCTATGAGGCCCGAATCGATCCCACCCTGGAACAGTGCGTTCATGTTCAGTTTGCCACCTCCGCTGGGCCCGTGTCGCAAAAATTCTAAAATGCCGTCTATCCAGCTCATGAGCTGATCGAACAGGCCATTGTCATGTATATGAACTTCATGGATGAATTTGTATAGGTTGTCTTCATGGCGAGCGCAGAGATCAATGAATGCTTGTACGGTCTGGTTTGGGTCTGCGGCGACGTCCTGGCGCTGCGCCGCTTCAACAGTCTTAACTACATCGTCTACAAAGACGGCGAAGTCCGTGATGCTATTGTAAACGTTGGCGGATTTGTATACTCTTACTAAAGGCTCGTAGAAGATCGTGAATAGATCACGAAACAATTGCAGAGTGGTTGGTTCTTCGATAATCTCAAGCATCATAGCTTTGTCTCGTCGTCGCATATTGAGCTTCAACAATTGCTTGAGGTGAGCGAATAGTTCAGCCCCCTGGCGCATTTCTGCATCGACGTTCTCCACGGCATTGTTCCAAGCAACATAGGCATTAAAGACCAATCCGATTTGTTCAGAAGATAGCTCCGGTCCATAGAGTTCTGATCGAAGAAGAGCCACGACAAGGTCAATCTGTTCCTCATCGGCCTGAGTTCGAATAGCCTCTTTAACGTCCTCATCCGCATTTGTGAAGGCCTTGATCTTATCAGCTAGCACGGGATCTTTGATCTTCGAAGATACTAAACTATCGATGGATTTTTGTACAGATCGAATTCCATCATTGATCGCCATGCCAAAGATCCGCTGCAGAAGCGAACGCGCTCCCCAAGGCTGAGCCAGAAACAAGTCAAGTACGCCACTCATGACAGCAGCTGGATTGGCAATCCGGATGACATTTTTAAGCACCGTGTATGGTACGAGGGAGTGTATCCTTTTGGCTTGTGCGAATAGTTCGGGCGAATTGTCTTCCGCAAGAAATAGGTGATATATTGTGGCAGCAACTCTGTTCTCTGTCAGGTTTTACTACTCCACCTCAGATCGTAACGATGACTCACTCTATCCGAAGCCATTCTGCAAACTTCTGATATTCTGGTTTTAATTCTGCGATAGTCTTTTTGACGCGAATCTCTTGAAACAAATGGGACAGGCCATCTGTACGGATTTAGTTACCCATTGAACTTTGGACGACTGTTAAAAACCTACTGGCTTCTACGATTTCTCGTCTGAACTTCTCCATGTGAATGTCGAGTTCTTGAGCCCGTCTACGAGCAACCTCGTAGAATCTCTTCTGCTCTTCGATTCGTTTTTCGTCCATGTCTTTACGTCTTTCTGCGTCCTCAAGCTCTTCCTCATTGAGTCGAATCGGGTCGCTCGTGAGGAATTCAGCCATGGCATTCGAATGGGCTATTTGTTCATTTTGCAGGAAGTTGCGAAGGAATGCTCTCAGAGAGACGCGCTGCTCTTCTCGATACATAACACGTGGTTCCTTGAATGTGATGTTGTCACTGGAAGATCGAGGAGATCTGTTATTAAGGGAGGTTGTCGAAGCGTTCTTCTTATGGCCCCATAGATAGCCCCTGATGCCTCCTCCGCCACCAGTATCAACAGGCTGCTCTACTTGAAGACTCTGTGTTGATGTCGAGGAGATCGATTCGTCGTCTTCCGCTGTACCAGACAGCATCGAATTCTTCTTGTTCTTCCGTGGTAGCGGAGGAAGGACTTTCCCGGGTATCTCTAGACGGATTCTTTTGTGGAGTGCCACGAAGTCTGCGAATTTCCGGCCAATATATATCTCATCTCCGCCCGATCGCTTTACCCGAATCAGGTACTCCTAGTTTTTGTGAGTTGACCGCTCCAGGGGAGAATCATCCTACTCACGGCGTGTGTGTGATATCTGACATGCTTCTTCACCGACGTGGTCCTCACAGAAGCAACATTAATGTCCCAACCGTTAATCTCATGCCCCTGTGGAACATTTTGGACAAGACCATTCTCATTCGCTTGCCTATCAACAACTTCCATTTCCGCAAATCGTATCCTCTCTTCATAGCCTGAGGCCGTGGGTATACCAGACACCATCATTAGTTCCACCAGCTTCTCTGCTTTTTGGGCAAGCTTCCGCCTCTTTGTCTCTTCAAGTCGGTCCTCAGAAGAGGATATGTGCTTGTTCGCGAAGGATTCGAGGAACTGGACTCGGAGTAGTTTCATCAGCGTGGGCCTGGAATTTGTTTAGCAAGGGCCTAAACGTACGACTTGAAGTTTATCCTGCCAGAACTCTTTCTCTTTTGCTTTATCCAAGAAAGGGAAGTTCCGAACATGATTGACAAATATGAAGCGAAGTAGAGGAAGCTCGGAATCTTCTGGCGCAACTTCGCCTGCATCAGACCGAAAAGGTGCGCCAAAGCGCTGAAGGGCCGTTGGTGTGTTAAGCTCGCTGATTTCGAGTTTCGCTTGTCTGGAAAGCAGTTCTCGTTTCAAGTCTAAGGTGAAAGTCAGTGAGACATACACGGATACATGCAAGCTAGACTGACAGTGTTCCTGTTTACCAGTCAAAATTGAGCCTGGGGGAGGCACAGAAGCTGTGGATACGAAAGAATCATCGGCGCGTAATAGCTTCTGGCGCTCTGGTCTGATCGACTTGTCTGGCTCCCCGAAGTTGGGATTTGTCGCAGTAGAGGGGTCCGCCTGGACCGCGCCATTGAGAGCAATCTTGGGTGGTTCGGCAGGCATGCTTCGAGGTTGTCCGAATAGGGGGAGGATGTTAAGGATAAGAGAGGTATACTCCGTAGGGGAGAACAGAGGTTAAAGAGTGAAGGCCTCGTTCATTGACGCGTGTGCACAATGCACGGCCCGGGGAATTGAAGCCTGGTAGAAGCTCAGCTTGAGGCTGGGTTGACCTATCGCGGGGCTCGCCCAGAAGAATCAATGAATCCCTGAACTTTGAACGACTCGTCGAGGGGCAAAGGATAACGAATGATGAGAACTAGCCTGACCCCCAAGTAGCGAGGAGGAGTATCATTAGGTATTATTATGTCGTCGTGCTTTGAACGTTTCGGGCGGGCACGTTACGAGATGGTTCACAAGAAGAGAGAGGTGCGCTCCCTCCAACTATGTGGATTAGGAATGCAGTAGTGAATACATAGACTGCTGCATACTAGTACCTAGATAGTAATGACGGCACCCACTGCGCAGTGTTGCAGCCCTATTGTGGCGTCTAAGCCACTGGTTTATCCACTTGCGGTTCTGCGGTTCTACGTTTTAATTACTATAAGAATGGTAACAATCTACGGCTAGGCAGGGCTCAGGGTTATAATTTGATGCCGGCTCACCGAAGCTCATGCCGCCCGGTAGCATATGCATACCATCTAGAATTCTTTTCTTTGGAAGACCCACGAGTCAGTCTAATGCCTAGGTAGATATGTGTTCGGTCTTGTCGGTAAGATAGTCAACCTCCAGTCTGGACAGTAATTAAGTCTGTGAAGCTCCTACAATTTGCCATGCCCATATCTCTCATTTGATATACTAAGTTCTACTTTTACATTTCATATTTTCAGCGCCATTTGCCAGGCTCACCATAGACGCGCGAGCTTTCGATCATGTCCTTCCTACCTCACGCACACACAAAGGACCGCCAATAAATGATACCTCGATCTCCACTTCATTCGACGTTTAGATATATTCCTTCCACCGAAGGATTATGTCAGATTGGAAATGTATAACATACTTCTACGCTAGGTCTGGGTGTCGTCAGTAGTCCAACGCACCGTTCGTATTTCCGCCGACGGCATCTAGATCCTCGTAGCTTTTTAGGCTTCGTCCCTGGACGGCTTCACGTGGGCCTACTGTCGCCACACCACCTTCAGCATAGCGAGGGTTGTTACCGCGTTGACCGATGCGAGGGGGCGTCAAGCGTCCAGTATTACCAGCATTCCAGCGCATGTTCCGTGAATCTTTCGTTTGTCTGTCGTAGGGATTGTTCCCTCTGGTGTTGGTGAACCTGCCTCCGCCACGGCGCATGGGCCCTACTCCGTGGCGATCGTCGTCGCCGCCCGGACCAGCCCAGTTATTTCCTGCTCCCGATTGAGCAAGGAAAGCTTGAAAGGCAGCTGGATTAGGCATTCCTTGACCAAAGTTCATTTGAAGCTGATTGAGACTGAACCCGCGAGGCGTACCGGCTGGTTGGTGATGGTTCGGGAAATGACCATTGCTGTTCGCATCGGTCCGAGACGGCGCAATGTGAGCAGGATCGAGCACGTAGGCGTTGATCAAGTCAACCTGACATACCGTTAGTGATAACGCGGATGATGAATGTGTAACATGGTGCTTACCTCATGCTTAAGCTTTTGGTAGAATTCCTCGTGCCTTTTCTCCACATGCTTTCGCCAGAATGTTTGGCCTTTGAACAACTTCGTACATTCGGGAACTTTGCAGCGGAATTTCGACTCGTCCTCTTGCTTTACGTACTTGCTGAGTTCGTCCTCCAGAGCCTCTTCAGCAGGCTTACCTCCAATTTTCTTGATATCGACGCTTTCGGGATCCAAGATTTGAAGAAGTTTATCTTCATATGTCCTGACCCAATTGAAGGCCTTCTGAAGTTGGCCTTGAGTTTTGTTATTTCTGTTGAATTTCTTCTCCTCCGGAGAACCATCGCCATCGTTGTCCACATTAGATTCTTGCTTCTTGAGAGGAAAAGGCTCTCCCGCAGCGCTTGCTTTGGCAGCTGATTTGGCAGCGGTTGTCAAGCTCGATCTTGGACGACGAAGATGGCCTCCAGGACACTTTCGCAGAAGTTCGTGGACCGAGTCGCTTTCAAAGACGCAGAAGAAACAGAAGTTGAATACGCGGCGGAGGTATTCTACGAGCAGATCTAGTTTCTTCTTCTTTGCCAGCAGTTCTTCGTCATCCATATCGTCGTCATACGCATCCCCGGTTTCCTCTTCTTCACCATCTTCCATATCGTCTGACTCGGGCTCTTTCTTTGGTACAGGCTCGGGCTGGGGCTGAAGCCTGCCCTGATTACGAAGATCCTCAACACGGTCTTCGATCTTACTTAATCCATTATAGTCAGTGCCCAGCTCCTCATCAAATTTCTCTGCCAGTCGCATGGCCAGATGAAGGTCACGATCAATGCGCTCCGGGGCTGAAAAGAGATCCCATAAGGCTTTTTTCCTGGGTGCTGGTTGTGGATCATGGATGCCCACGTGGCAAGTGAAGTCGCCTCTTTCCTCATCGTGAATGGTCTTCCCATTCAGCTCAGGTACAGCCTTGGCGGCAGTGCCAACTGGTGCTGGTGGCGGTTCAGATTCTATCGCACCATCTTCTCCGTCGCCCATAACTTTGTCGCCGTCATCTGCCGGTGACTCGTCGCCAGGACGAAGGACTACCCAACCAATGCGGTGATAACGCTTGAGCGGATTTGGATCGCTGAGGCTGAGCCATTTGAAACCTCCTGCACCATCGCCCAGATGTTCTTTACAAAACTCTTCCATCTTTGCCCGGCTCACCGTTGGTGCGATGGTTTTGATGAGGAGTGTCGGTTGCTGTGAAGCTTCGTCCTTGACCTCTCCACCCGGAGTAGGTAGCAAGTCCCCAGGCCCCAATACTTCAGTTGCTGCAGTCATCTCGCCCTCCTCTTTCTCTAGCACGCCACCGGCTCCATTACTTTCACTTTTATAAATACCTTCCAGAGTGAGGTTATCAAATTCACCCGCCGCTAGGTCATGCTCCCATTGCTCATAGGATCCTTGTCTGAAGGTTTTCAGTTGCTGCCGGAACGGATCTCGAATTGCGGGCTCATATCGTTCTTTGAACCATTCCTCGCCTTTGTGTTGTCTGACGAAATCTCCCGCCATCTTCACTTGTAGCTTTTCTTTGTATGCATCATAGGCGGCCTGGATCTGTTCTCGCTCTTTACCTCGTTCTTCTCTCGATTCTTTATCGCCCTTCACACGTTCGGCGCGACGGCCTCCATTCTTTTGTCGGTCCTTTTCTTCCCGTATGGCCTGGTCGACGCGCCACCACTCGGCAAAAAAGTTGAATCCAACCTGATAGTCTAGATTGATGGGGTTTGGCATGGGATTTTGAGTGATCGACGGGGCGATGTCTTGTCCAGGTACGTACCGATCGATGCCAGCCTGGATCGGAGCAGGTGATGAGCGGCGTCGATGAATATCATCACGGTTACGATAATGATCATCCCGCTGCCGGTCTGGTTGATATCTGTCGATGTTCTGGGGGGAGCGAGATCTACCACGGCCGTTGCGTCGAGCGCCTGAGTCTGAATTAGTAAACCTGGTTGGCAAAGAAATTGTATATGTAGTGTTTTTGGAGGCTATACACCACTTGGTAGGAGGCGTGTGAGTATGACGTCTCCAGGCTTGGGGAAAGTGGATGAGTATAGTACCAGTTGAATTCATGGGCTTACCTGGTGATCTTCTGCGGTACAAGTCTCCAGCCACCCTACTTTCATCGACACGCGATCTATATACGTTAGCATTTTTCGTGTGGGAACCAACCGTGTTCTTACGGATAAGTATCCATAGCTCCGGTAGACGCCGGACTCAGTGGCTTACGCCAACGACGACTCGGCGAGAATGGTTGCTTGTTGACAAGAATCAATCAAGGACTTTCGAGACTGGGATGTATATCGCTATTCGTTCGGTGGTGTTGGGTTGAATATAGATGACAAATGTCTAGAGAGCTGTGCGCCGATGATGACTTGCGTTAGAGCATTTCGAAGAAAGAGAAAAGAATCGAACGAGTAGATAAATTGAGGGAATGAGACGACATGTCATGATAATGCGATATGCGCCATATGATTGTAGTGGTAGGAGGCGACACAGACACGGCCGTGAGGCTATGGGGCTTGAAGAAGAGAAGAGGTTGGGTAGAGCAGGTAGGCTGCTATTGCATAAAGGTGGAGAGACATGATGAGCGGACAAAGCCGGGGAGGGAGAGACCAACAATTGAGTTGTAAGCGAAACGTTCGCAAGGTCTCGATGTGAATCGAGATAGTTGCTGGAAGACGACGGCGGTCGTTGTGTTAAGTGTGAAGTGGTAGCATCTGAGTGTAGCTCAGCAGGAGATGAGCGCGCCGGGACATTCGCGGTCGCGCTAGCTAACTAGAGCTGTCTGGCCGAGGCCCTCGCCCCGAGCTGAAGTGGAGATAGGTAGTTGAACCTATGGATGTGTACTAGCTTTCTTTAATCAGCTTGCTTGCCGGGCATAGATATACTACAACCCATTACCCTGATGCCAGGCCTTTGCCGTTTACAACAGCCATAGTCATCACTCTGCGCCAACATACCTACTCCATAGGCATTAAATTGGATGACGCACGTTCAGAGTTGCCCATTAGTTTCCAGTCATCACGAAGTATTTCATCGAACAACAAACGTTCAGTCGACATGACGTCGCATATCCCTTCCATGACCCTTCCGCGCTTCGTATTCGAGGCTCCAGCGGCTTCAATCCTTCTACCCGTTGCTCTCGGTACCGCTATTGGCTATTCTACACGCCGTATGCATACATCATGAATAAACCGGACGACCATGTCCGCTGACAGCATGCCAATCTAGCTAAACGTACGAAGGCCACGTACGCAACTTTGAAAAACCCACCAGGCAATCCTCCAGCCTGGGTGTTTGGTCCAACATGGACCGGTCTGTATGCTATGATGGGCTATTCTGCCTACCGCGCGTGGAACATCGGCATGTCGTCCATGAATCCCCATACGGTTGAGTTGGCGAAGGTCCGTATCGATATATGTATTCGGGCAAGGATTCTGACTATGTTACTAGCATGGAGCGACGCTATATACGATCCAGCTAGGCTTGAATCTCATTTGGATGCCACTGTTCTTTGGCATGGGAAAGCCGATCGCGGCATCGGTTGACATCGTAGCTTTGACCAGTGTGACAGGATACTTGGCTTACATCTGGGGCCAGGTTGATGCCACCAGCGGATGGTTGCTGGCGCCATATCTTGCCTGGCTCGGATTTGCCAACTATCTGTGCCATGGTGCGGGCTACCTCAACAACTGGGACTTCAGCGGCAAGGTAGGCACGTTCAAGAGACAGTAAATGTCCTTATTCGATCAATTTACGCTTGTACATATATTTTCAGAACTGCTACTTGTGGCTAGAGCCAGCTCAGAGCTCGTCCAGTACTCCTAACCGAGCGTCTTTGCTAGCTGCAGCCGTATGGCTATGAACCGAGGTACTAGCATTCCTAGCATACAGAGACTCTCGTGCGCTGTTGAGAATTTGTTTAGCATCAACGGGTATAGCCAGTTCCTCAACGTTGAATGACAAGTTCGCAGAGGGGGTGTGGAGGCTCGACTGGGGGTTTGACGGTTCTATAAAGAACAAGAAGTAGAGCATCGCCAGTAGGACTATGAAAGGGGTGGTGGACGCAGCAACCCATTTGATGACCCGCGCACGTTCTAATTTCCATCAGTACATATTTATGTGGTAATCGGAATGTGCTTGTCTTACTATCGGCGTTCTCTTGTCTTCTGATTTCCAACATCTCTCTCGCCTCGACTCTCTTGCTGGCCTGTTCAAGGCGATCACTCAGCGAGCTACACCTATCTTTAACAGATTGTATCCGAGATACAATGCCTTCAACACGCTCTTGGAGCCCACCAAAGTCTTCGAAGGAATCAATTTGCCCTTGAATCTCAGTCTTGAATGCCTGTGTATCCTTCTGGAAATTGCTCTTAAGCTCTTGTGTGAGTGATGACAACTCCTGTAGTCCACTAATTGTTGAACCCAATGTAGTTAATCGTTCGAGTATCGAATAGTAGGTGTCATCCAGGCGCCTCGTTATTTCTAAGGACTTCTCGGAGAGAGTGTGCAGTGTAACGCGGATTTCTCTGATCAAAGACAATTAGCATATCACTATATGCCAACAAATGAGAACCAGATACTGACTCTTCCCGGACTGCTGCGCGCTTACGCTCCTGGCTAACATGAATGGGCCTAATCAGCTGTTGTCGCTCTATCCGTTCGTCAACCTCTGCATTGGATGTTGCAGCACGCGAATCATTTTCGCGATCGGTACTTAAGGCAGGTGAATATGCATTCACAACATGATTCTGCTTGGCGGAATCGCCGACAGATGAGTGCGATTGAGCCGTAGAGTGTATAAGTTCTTTGGCCTGTCGGTGGCGGTGGTGGTGGTGGTGGTGATGATGGTGGTGACTGTGCCCGCTTTGCTTGTCGCGGTGTAGAGGATTGTGTCGTTTGCTTGTGGATGACGCGTTCTTGTCAGAGGAAGTTGTTATCTTTGGGAGCGAAGTATGGGATCGATGTGACAGTCGCGCATTAGAGCGTTCAGAGCTAGAGGTCTGATCCATGACATGGTCGCAGAAGTGGTACAGGCAGGTGGAGCATGATATCGAGGTGGAGGTACTGCGGCGTCGGAGGTGGATGTCGAACGTTGGATGTCGTCACACGCTCACACCATACCATATCGCAAAGTAATCGTGCCATTTAGAGCGAGTAAGGTTGGTTAATATTTCTACATATGTAATGCACAATGTTCCTTTCTTCACGTCACTGCTTATAGCGATAACGCAAGCTTGCTACCCTTTCCATATAGCCATCGCATTCTATCGACTTCGCATAGGACGCCTTTGATAGCACAATGGACAAATCCCGGCACTGAGTCGCTTAAGGAATAATGTTGCGAATTAATGTTGCGAGTTGAAGCAGCTGTCGGTCGTCATCAAGAAGATCCGCGGCGCGCCCAAGACTTGATCGCAAGTGCCCTCGGCTCTCAAGGAATATCGCAATATTCTTGGGAAAAGCCTGTAGCTGAGAGATAATGGGACCATGACTGGAACATGGTCATCATGAGTGCAGCATCTTATTTCTCTTTTCACGACGCTTCAATCGATCGACACGCTTCTTGTGCATCTTCTCCGACATCTTCTCGTAGCGCTCACGTTCCTCCTTCGCATTTCGTTTGTCTCGAATTTTCTGTATACGTCTCTGCAAGTAGTCTTAGTGACACCCAAGTGACAGAAATATGTCGAATATGAATACCTGACGCTCTGCCTCTTTTTCGTCCTTCATTTCTTTCTCTTTCGCTTGCATCGCTGCCTTAGCTTTTCTGTCCTCAGTGCGCTTAGCATAAGAGGTTTGTCCGGCCGTAGGGCGAAACGCCTTCCTAGGTTGATGCCATTGCTTTCCTGTTGAGGTGTATCAGTTCAAATTCAGTGATATGAGTTCGGAAAAGCTGCTATACCGTTGACTCTCATACCCTGAAGAGAGGGCGCCGCAGTCACATCAGAGGTAGACATTATCACTTGCTTTTGAGGTGGCATGGGTGCTTACAGTAAGTACCTTTGTCTAGGGTCTGGCCTCGCAAGAAAATTAGGTCGCGAGGCGGGACAATAATTCAGTGGAGTAATCAGTGACAAGGAGATTTCTCGGATTCACAGCTGATTGATTAGATCCGACTGGGGTCTCGTTTCGGCTGTGGGCCTGTGGCTTCCTTGTCCCCTGACTCGACGGCCCGCCGTCAAATCTTTCGAACCCTCACCGCAAACGGCGCCAACGCATAGAACCAGATCTCTCTAAAGATTCGCGTGCGCGATTTGTCGCATTGTGCCACGCAATGCCCTTCACCCGCCATTGTCTCACCAGTCCGATCGCTTTCTGGTATACATATATCCACTTTGTCTGACCGCCCATCACTGGTCCAACACCGGAATCCCCTCAACGCCGTCATCTCTCCACCGCCTCGCGCCTTTCGACCCCTCAATCTGCCAGAGTAGCCAATCCCGCAATGCGTGCCTTTACATAGCTACAGCATGCGTCTGCGGTAATCTTCGCATCTCAAGTCTCTTACCTGCGTCTTATCATCCGCCGCCGAGTATGGCGCTCTCAGAAAGCCCGATTCCTATACTCGACTCTCCCACTACCGATGTGGCCACCAACGCTCCTCTAATCGATCAGAGCAAGGAGGCTTTGAAGGACATATCCTTTGGATCCATTGCAGGGATTGTGGGAAAATACATCGAATACCCATTTGACACAGTGAAAGTTCGGTTGCAGTCCCAACCTGATCATGTGCCATTAAAGTACAAAGGTCCTGTCGATTGCTTCAAGCAATCGCTGAGCAGAGATGGATTCCTTGGTCTATATAGAGGCATCAGTGCGCCTTTGTTTGGAGCTGCAGTAGAGACGAGCTCTCTCTTTTTCAGCGTACGTCAAGATTGAGCAACCTCAACGCATACCTAACGTATTCACGTCAGTATCGAATTGCTCAAGGAGCTTTTCAATCCACCTTTCTCCAACCCGGTCAAACTTTACCATTCTCTGCCCTTCTCCTATGTGGCGGGGCTTCCGGTGCCTTCACCTCCATACTCCTGACGCCTATAGAGCTCATCAAATGCAAGATGCAAGTGCCTGCTGATAATTCTGGAAAACAACCTAGATTGTCGATTCCGCAGCAGATGGCCTCCGTATACAGACACCAAGGTATACTTGGATTCTGGCGAGGTCAGATGGGCACTTTCATTCGTGAGACTGGGGGTTCGGCAGCATGGTTCGGCAGCTATGAGGGCGTTGGTTTACTACTCAAGCAGGCCAGTTCTGATCCCACAGGCAACCAGTCTTTGCCAGTATGGCAGCAAATGATGGCTGGTGCTGCTGCTGGGATGAGCTACAATTTCATGTTCTATCCAGCAGATACGATCAAGTCTCGTATGCAAACAGAAGACGTAAGCAAAATGCGTGACGGCAAACAATCGTTTGGCGCAGTCGGAAAAATACTTTGGCGGCAACAAGGTCTTAGAGGACTTTACAGAGGATGCGGCATCACTGTTGCTCGTTCTGCTCCCAGTTCAGCGTTCATATTCACAATCTACGAGACGTTAAGGTCCCATTTTGGTTAAAGGGTTTGGTGCCACTTTGATGTGCGAATGAATTGCATGAGATGGCGTTTTGGTGGGGGTCTGGAAGGTTTAGCATATTGAAAGCATTTCTTCATGGGACAATAGATGGCGTGTATTGCATTCCCAGCTATAAAAAACATCGATGAGTCTATTGGGCTGATGACCCCTTAAATGGAAATGCCCATACTTGAATTCATGAGATGGATAATGGATGTCCTGCTGTCCCGAAGTGACCCCGCGTTATTGACATGTGACGGAAACTGACGTAGGAGTAGTGCTCGGCACTCATCAAGCCGACTCCGTCCATCAACCTCACAGGTTGCATGTGTCCGAGAGCTGGTATCCGACATTGCGATCATAGGTAGGCTTCGCAAATCCTTTGCTGCAACATCTACGAATAACGTCCTCAAATGCGACTGACCACCTTGTAACCATTTTGGCCTTCGAAGCGTCCTTCACTGCGTCCTTCTGAGTTCAATAGCTGAAGCCGAGGTTACATATCGAGAAGCTTAGAAGACGCGGACAGCAAAGATGGACAAACTAGGAGATATTCACGTATGTGCAGTCGCTCGCAGTAGACCATTATTCGGACCTTGTCATGATGCGATAGCGCTAACACGACCAGGCTGCTCTTGAGCGCATAGCTCTTGACCCCAAGTATCATGACATTCTCAGTCTTGTGAAAGGCATGCGTAATGGCATCGTGTATGGTAGTAAGATTCGGTTTCCGCATGCATTGGTGTAAGGCAATCAAGTCATCCACGTCCATTCCCAAGTTCATAAATGCTGACTACCTCCCACAGTATGATTCTTCTCTTCCGATCCGGTACCTTGCGTCAGAAGATATGGCTCGTCCTCAAAGCAACACGTCAACATGCCATGAATCTCGGCACATTCGCTGTGGTTTATAAGTCTACTATGCTCGCTTTGAAACAATTACCAACGGGGAAACCATGGACCGAGCCGCCGAGCAAAGAGGGCCCTTACGATTCGTTCGTCGCGGGATTGCTTGGCGGTTATGTTGTATTCGGGCGTTCGAACAGCTCTGTGAACCAGCAGATTGTTATCTACGTGTTCGCGCGTGTGATGCTTGCCTTGGCAAAATTATTGGTAAAGCCAGTAGGAGAAGGAAAGGGCGGCGGTGGTATGGGTTTGGTCAACAGTCAGGCTATAAGAGATATATTGCAGCGAAACGCATGGCCCGCTTTTGCCAGTCTAAGTTGGGCCAGTGTTATGTTTCTTTTCCGATGGCATCCAGACATCATTCAGAGTAGCTTGAGGAGCAGCATGAGCTATATGTAAGCTCCATCCCGACCGGCTTATGAGGCCATTCACTAACGCATGTTTCAGTTATGTTCAGTCCGATGATTGGGATTCCTTAAGGACGTTATTATGGCACAATAAATAAGCACCGCGTGGAGGACTATAGTCATCCGTAGTCCAAGGGCAATGGCAGGGTACCATTGGCAGTTGAGCATAATCCGGCGTAATACTAGCACCTTTCGCGTTGGTCATCTATAGATATCACTTCCACTTCTTCATATTGCGACAGATTGTACATATCTGGACTCAGCCACCATCATTCGAGTCTATAGAGCATGCCGGCCTGATCACATATGGAGAATTTAGACATAGCGTACCACCACAGATTTGTAAGTGTCAGAGGCATGGGCAATTGTAGCTCACGCGGCCTAATACATTGCTAGGACTGCTTTTCTACGATACAACGAAATATTACATCATATCGCAGTACCCTTCCACAGCCAATAACTCATACCTTCAATCTTGCTAAACTGCTCACATCTTGTGTCGCGTACAGCTTCTTTAGCCGCACGCCCAAAATTTTCCACTCTAGTATCGGACCAGGTACGAGCTACGCCTACACACAAGCTCGCAAACAATATCATTGTCTTTCCGACACAATTTTCTTGGATCTCGGCGCATTCACACGAGTTCTGCCATTAAGTAACATTCTCCACATGTACAGCCGCTATAATATGGTCGTTCGTAGAGCCACGAAGAAATCATCTCGGACCAAAATATTATGAACCAACACCGCCCTCGAAAGACCGAATTGCGCAAGAAAAGACGTTGCATGGAGGTTGACATATTGCGTGGGCAGCACATCGAAGACCGAAAGCCCGGGCGTCAAACAATTAGACTACCAATACAACGATTCAAGACAGGGCTGTGACCAAGAAAAGATCACGGGACGCATGGCTAGGGTTCCGGGGTTGATGTTTTGATATATCCTGTTTAGGCCTAGGTTGATACTAGCGCAGCTTGGTAGTCGTCACTTGGTCGTCGAGTCTCGGCTTGCCATGGATGATGATGCATATGATTTGGTGTGGCTGCGCATCGGTATGGCCCGCGGTTCGTGTTCGCCTGCGCCGTAAGCCCGGATGTTACACGACAGGCGTGACGGTGATGGGGTCTTGCAGAGCGATTGCAATGATCTGAGGGCATGCCCGGTCGTCGTAGTATGAAAACGCTGGGGACCAGGAATTACCTAAATTAGTCATAGTGTTTATGAGAGGCGAAATATTCTCTAGACTAAATGCTGACATCTTGTGTGGCATCTTAGGACGGACCGGACCAACGGGGGAGGTGGGATAAAGGTAGTCTAGGAATTGAGTGAGTGAGGACGTTTTTGGCAGGTATCCCGAATGGGTAATTATCCTCTCCTGGTTTTCGGCGCACCCAAGCGGAACGGCTCCTAGGAGATCTTATTTACAATTATGAAAGTCAGGCAATTTAACAGAATGACCAAGAGCGGCTGGTTGTAAAGTTTGAGTCAAGTGCCAACGAGATCTGCGAATTGGAATATTTTCTATTATTCTTTTCGGCGCTGATGCAATATTATGCGACTGTTAAACTCGCCACGATGTGCCACATCTGTTACTCTTGAGTGTCTCAGTAGAACTTAAAGCTACTTACTAAGATGTAGTGACTCCAGGTCCAGAATACGATCAAAATTTTCACATACGTTGGCGGTTAACTGCCCATGAATATCTATACAGTGGGTCAGAGCTGAGTGATACCCCAACACATCGGTGCTTTCTCCTATCGAGGATTCAGGTACCGCACATGCAGTGCAAACCCTGACTTCTAATACATGGTGGAGCTATAGGGCTGTCCCAAACTTCAATACATTTTACGCCCGCATCGAGTTCAACACACAAGATCCGCTTCAAAGTTAATTAACCAATAAATCTCATTGCTGCAAGTCCGTAACTTAGTGACCGAATCAATACTCTGTATGGCTATGGTTTGTGTGGATACGCTGGGGGAGGTTTTATCTTGTTCTTCCGTTCCATTCTACAGAGAAAGATGTCTTCGTGACTCCTGGCTAAGAAGAAACGGTCTCTTACTGGTGCACGCATACGGACAGATTTACACTACTTTCAGTCCAATCCAATACTTTACAATGCGTCTTTGTGCAAGCGGTTGATTCGGAGAATGAGGATGTAGGCTTTGTCCACGTGCTCATCCTCAGGCTGGCGGTGTGCTCTCTGTGGCCGTGGCACGGTGTGCGGTGTGACCAAGGGAGAGATTGCACGTCCACAAGTGATACACCAATCTACCTAGCCATCGCTGATCTGACGAGACAACGAAGAGGGATGGAACGTTCATCTTCTACAACTCATCAAACCAACGTTGATATCTTTGTAGTAGGGTAGATATGACAAAGGAGGGCCAAACGCGGTGTTGAGAACCGGGGGGATTTGTGACAGTGGATGTCAGCCGGGAAAAGGCGGGGTTGCAGGTAAATCAGGGCCGGGGATCGACGCTGTCTAGTCCCGCTTGGACTCAACATAATGCTGCCCGCTTGCTTGTTTCTGTACACGGTAGGTAGAGAGACCTGTTATTGACGACTCTGAGCTGGGCAGACTTCTCGTTCTCTGCAAGGTCGGAAGTAAACCACAGTGGATAAAACAGGACTGGGGACTGGGCCCAACCAAAACTGCCTTGAACCTGAACCTGACCCTCTCAGCCCTGGGATTATTGCTGTCATTTTGAGCCTCTCAATTTGCTGCTGATGAGAGGTGGACCCACTAGTAACGTATGCACTGCGTGGACGCTTCCCGCTTATCGTCTTCACTCTCTTTTCCCCACATGCTCCGGATTCGCCCACGCCACCTCTGCAGTCAACATCGTAGACTCTTCCGTTTTGTTTTCGCTCTGTCCCTCGGCCTTCAGCGTCCAACGTCTCTGTCACGAGCTCTGCTGTGACTGTCCTGCGCCCTCGAGTGATTCGAGAACTGGTTCGATTACTGTATAGCTCCTCGGAGAGACCTCGAACTTCAATTGGCAATCCGAGGCGGATAGGCCAATTGGACGCTTACCGGTACCACGGCGAACGTACCTTTATTGCAGAGCCGAGAATACCATAGTGTTCTACTATCTAATTCGATTTACCCCCATCGGAAGCGACCAGTATCTCACGGGCAAGCTAGGGTCGAGGTAGCTGGGCTCACATGTTCGATTTGTCCTCAAGCCACAAGTTACCTTACGCCGTCAGCAAATAACGCCAATATTGTCATCAAGAGCCTCGGGTCGCTGCATAGGTGAGTCTTGCACAACATCTAGCATCTTGACCTTTATCTCGTGGCTTTCCTATATCTCCTACAGATTGCTAACATACGATGACGTAGGTCAGCTTCTAGCAGGAATACCTCCTGAAAACTCCACGTCAATCTGCCTTTCGTAGTCCTGTGCCGAGGATCCTATACAAACACATACAGTTACGGCTAGGTCTCCATGTACTGGTCGCGTGTATGCCACCCGGCGAAGGCTTTAGCATTACACGAGCTTTGAACACGGTAGAGGCGAGTGCTTTGTCCGGAAACACCCGATTCACGACTCTTCCATAGCCCTGGGTCACAGAACGTGTAAGACAGGAAGCCAAGAGGACACAGTACACTTCCTGACATTATCTTCGCATTCCGGTCGTATACAGTGTATTCCATACTGTGATCAGCCAACGTTTTCTTTGGGGGCCGCAGCAAAGATGGCATCCTCGCCGCCACCTCGACGGCGCTTCATCCCCGAGCCATTCGAGACGACCACCGCATCCTCTCGTAGACCTCCATACAGGGTTGATGATGATCTCAAAGCAACAAAGCGATTTGCGCCTGAACACATCGAAACTACGGTCAAGAGTAGTCGGAAGCTGTCCACAGCAGGGAGTGAAACGCCGCCGAAGGCGAGGAGGAGATTTGCTCCTGAGCCTGTGGAGATGTCTTCGAAAAGTAATCGAAAGCCACCGCAGGACGGAGCATTGTCTACGCAGCAAGAGTGTGATCCCGAGCCAGAGACGACCACACGACCAAATCGCGAAACAGCGCATACTTCAGACACCGACCGCTCAAACAGCAGCTCCAGATCACTATCTGGGACTGACCAAAGCTCTACTGATGGGTCACCGAAGCGCCCTAGACGAAAGTTTGCTCCACAACTTATCGAAACCTCGAAACGAACCAGGAAAGCTGGCGACGACCAACCAGCCGTCTTACCTTCCGACCGCACGGAAGCTGTCACAATGTTGCATCTTGCAATTCCGAAGCATATGCGCCCAGAAACCGACCCAGAACCTCCAGTGAACACACCTACGGGGCTCCGTGAAGATGAAAGCATAGACGAAGTTCTGGAAGCTCGTCGGCTAGGCAAAGCCATCCCAGCGAGGTCGGCGTCCCGAAGCTCAAATCGCTCGCACTCTTTTCGAGTGCCAGAATTGGATACTATTGAGTCATCACAATCGGAAGATTCCAATCCACCATCTCTTTCAACTTCTCCATCCTCTGATAAACCATACCTCTACAAACATGCAACTCGTATTCGAGAGAGTGTTGATGACAGGTATTCAGGCTACCTTCTGCAGATCGCAGCGAGGGCCGCGGAGAAACAGCTGCGTGATCAAGCCATGGCAGCGTTTCCCAACAACGACTTTCATGAACCAGTGCAGCATTATATTGATAGGGATTCGGATGAATACGTCACGAGAGACCAAGATCGAGAGTCCTCGTACACGCAGGTCAATTGGGACCTGCGGGAGATGCAAGAGTTTCGCAAAAAGCTATCACAGAACAACTTCCAAGACAAGAAAGTGACGGCTAAGACAGGGTCAAAAGTGCAAGAAGCTACGCGTGGTCCATGGGGCAATCCATCGTTAGCACTTGGACGGCCTCCACCTCGAAACAAGGAAAATGACGGTGTGCCTGCGCGTACTCGCCCCCCAATGTTAGGCGAAGACATCAGTTTTCCTCGGTGTAATTCGCCCGAGCCAGCACGATTCGACGTCACACAAGGGTGCTTCAAGGTCAAAGAGTCAATGTGCTACCTGACTGAACAGAGCCAGCACATGGAAGATAAGGGCAAAGAGGGTCTGTGGGCAAGCAAACCGTCCAACATCAAGCGTTTACCAAGCGACGCATCTCATAGCACAACGACAAGTAGTGGTGCTGGTCTGTGGGGTGGTTGCTGTGTCGCACCGGCTACGACACCAACGAGAGGCAACTCTGGTTTAATGACACCGAGCATTGGTGTCCAAACTCCAATTCAAACTCCCTGCTCCACACCATTCCGTTCCAGCTTTTCACCAAGCGGGCCGCAGGACTACTTTTCCAGCGTGCACGAGAAGCTCGAGCTGGAGCAGACGATCGAAGAGGAATTCAACGATGCTTTCGTCACCCAGGTGTATAATTATCTCTCCCTTGGGTATCCATCAATCGCGCGAGAGTTTGATGATGAGCTTAGTAAGATCGCACGCATTGAGGTTCACGAGTTGCGGCATGACGACGAACTTGTAAAGGACCGCGGATACATACGATTCGGAGACGAGGAGCACTCGGCGGATGTATCAGAAGACTCATGCATGCGGTGGAAAGCGCTTCGAACGTACATTCGCGAGTGGGCAAAACAGCAGCCACGAATGGTGTCTGGAGCCCATGCTCTAGGGGGCTTTGGAGTAGGAGCAAGACGAGGCAGTTGGGCGATCTGAGCTAATTACCGTGGGTCATATTAAGGATATCTGAGCAATGGCGCATTTTTGGAAAGACATTTATAATGAAATTTGAGGACGACTGCATATTCCATGGCGATCTTTTTTTATTTCATTTTTGCTTCTTGGGAGCAATGTGGGAGTGGGAGTAGGAGTGGGAGTGGGCTTTTCAAAAAGGAAATATGCCTTGGGCACCGGCAAGTACCGGGACGGAAGACATGCATTGCAGGGAAGCAGAAAGGACAACATAGTATGAGAGACGACAAGGGTTGAGGATTGTTGCGTAGAGAGTGTATAGCTGTGTGTGAGGAACAGGACACAGGATGATTGTATGCCTGCCAGAGTACTTACTACTTTTCTGAAGAGGAAGGAGTCCTGAAGGAGTTAACAGGTCAACCGTCAGTCCTTCAACATTCCTGAGGCAAGAGCGACCGGGATTGGTCAAGGCTACGATGTCATGTAGGCCATAGCGATGAGCTTTTCTAAACCTTTTTTATGAAATGCTCCAAACGATTCCCTCCTTGATGCATGGCACGGCTATCGAGAGATATTTTGCAACATCGGCCAAGTCATCAAATTACATTTATAGCCATTCACAGGACTGCGTTTCACCGAGGAGCAACACAATCGGGCCTGTTGGTCTCCACGATCTCGTCCTTGGACTGTAGCCCCACCTCGGCCCCTTGGACTGTGAGCCATCTGGGTATGTGGAAGGTAGGAAGAATGCGTATCCAAGGTTCCGCGGTGAGGATTTCCTTGTCATGATGGCCGTACTACTTTTTACTCGAAACAAAGCAAATATACCATACTAGCATAAAAAGGTAACGACTAATTAATTATGGGATCGCTCATTAGCAGCAGAAGAAGGAGAGAGAGAGTCATGGGCAACATGCTCCACGTGTTTGCTAGCCTCCAATTTTACACGGCCACGGCCACCACCGGGCATGGGATGGACGGCACACGGCACGAGTCCCGTCGCGCGCCGCTTTACGAAGGTATGACCTCGGCCGCCACAGTGCCGTTAGGGACTGATGAACAAAGGGACGATGAGATCATGAGACAGCGGCAATACCGACAACACAGACGCAGGAACAAGCATCCCAGGGGGGTGGTGAGAGAGTGTTCTGTGCTGTCCGAGGCTGATTGCGCGAACGCGTCTGAGATTGTTCTCGAAGCAATCTAACGACGTGCGCCGGCAAACGAAAACGGGAAATTCCCACAGATGTCAGGGTTGACGTTTTCGTGTCCTTAGTAGGATAGAGCCGTAACGAGAAATACCTTACGAGACTCGTGTATGGTTGATTGATTGAAGAAAAGCATGGGACACTGTCCAGGCTCCATGTTGTGTACCTTGACGGACGCCGCCAGTCCAGACTCCGGCTTATTCAAGGACAGGACAGTGACCTCCCCTCCAACGACTGATACGACTGATACTACGATAAGACCGACACTACGGATACTATCATACTATGATACTGCCGCTCAGACAGCCTCGGGCACTCCGTTCAACGGGAGCTGGCCTGTCTGGGTCTGGGGTAATTATGGGAGGTCTGCTGCATATGGCTTGCCGGCTTTCTCCTAGATACCTTCTTCCTAATAAGTATTAAAACGGCGAATCGCCGCACGATGCAGAGATGCAGACGCCAGCTGCAGCTGCAGCCAGCGTGCATAGCCGACCGATGTGCGTACGTGGGTGTGCCGGAAGACAGCGAGCGCGTTTCGAGGACGGCTGACGGCGACTTTTGCTGGCTGTGAATGCAAACAGTCAACAAGAACAATTGAGGCATTCCCTGTCTTTGCTGTCCTCTGGGCTGGCTCTTGGGGGGACAATCGTTATATCTAGCAATGATGGCTGTGGCCACTAATAAGCAGCTGATGATAGTCGTGTTCTGGGCAATAATGATGAATGCGCGGGGGGTCGTTGTGATCGGGGGTTTCCTAAGCCTATCTGTTATATTTGTTGTATCGCCTGGCAGGCTGACTGGCTGACTGGAACTGCCTCACCACCCAACTTGGCCATTGCCGCCGCCCAGCACAAGCCACCTTAAGCGCTATATGTGATGGGGCCACGCCAAACATCGCCAAACGCCACATCCCTCGCCGGCACACTTGGCACACCCCAATCCCTTAGTACCTATACCTAACATCCTTATACACTACTGCACCTCTGTAGTCTCACTCATCACTACAGTACTGTATGTCTGCATCTCCCAATAAGCCCAACTCTCTCCACTCTGCTCAGTCGTGGGGGAATGTTACTTGTACACTTCGACACAATTGAAGGGGAGGGGGAGGGGTGGCGCCCTTCTCCGGAACACTTGATGAGCCAACATGCGTTTTTGCTACTATGTGTTCTCCTGTTCACTTCAAACCCGTGCTCTGGGTTTGTGCTGTCTGCTGTTGTCCCGAGAGATTGGTTCAAGCATTTTAACATCCCTCCCCCCTTGTTCTGCCGTCATCTCATTACATGCTGGCCATATCTTTGCAACTCCTAACCACATCCACCCTTCTACAACTGTCATACGCCATATTCATAGTCCCTGTCCGAGCCCATGTGGGGTGGTTATCATTACTTTCTTCCCGCAAGAGCCACATCGCCTCACGGCCTCTATATCTAGCTTCCTTCTTTGAAACATCCGAGCTTCTGTCACTGCTATCGCCATCATCCCGGTTGACATCTGGTTTCCTTGTTTGACACTTTGCACGCTGTGTGGGAAGCTGTGGGGATCAGTGTCAGGTCATGCTCGCTCATCAACTTGCATACTCTCTCACTGCTGTTTCCCCTCGTACATAATCCTCTGGGCACTTGATTTCTTCACGAAGGCCTTCCTACTCCTCCGCCAGCAACACCGGACGGTCGACAATATCATCTGTCAAAGATGGTTGACTTTGCAACTCATCTTCGCTCCGAGTCCTGGTCTCTGTACGGGGTTGGGATCGCCGTCATCGTGCTTCGATGGTAGATCATCCTTTTACGCAACGTGACTCTTGCTGACATTAGCCTTAGCTTCGCAAGAGTACGCAGAGTTGGCTTGAAGGGCTTCTGTGCCGATGACTGGCTCATGATTCTGGCTGGGGTACGTATATTATAGCCTTCAACGTTCTCAGTGTGCTGAATTATGTCAAGGTCCTATATACAACCCTTGTCTATACCCTGAACAGAATCGCCAGCGGTGGGGGTAGCAACCTGTTTGAACCAGAGCTTTTCGATACCTTCACTCAGGAGGAGATCGATGAGCGTATACTTGGCTCAAAGATTGTCGTCATCTCCGAACAAGTCAGTAAATTTGGTTGTCCGTATGATAGGTTCTGTGCTAACATATCCTATAGGCCATGCTGTGCCTAATCTACCTCCTCAAGTGCTGCATGCTTTGCATGTATTATCGTATTACCATTGGAACTAGGCAGACCCGCCTTATTCTGCTTCTCTCCGGCTATGTTGCCGTTGGATTCATTGCTACAGAAGTTGGCTTCTTTACTTTCTGTCGACCGTTCAAAGGGTACTGGGGAATGCCTCCGCCAGACCCGCAATGCACGACCCTCGCCCACTACGCAATCACACAAGCATGCTTCAACCTCTCGAGCGATGTCATGATGCTACTAATCGCAGTACCGATGGTCATTCGCCTAAATCTCCCCCTGAAGCAAAAACTCGTCCTCGCCCTCGTCTTCAGCATGGGCACCTTTGTCATCATCGCCGCTATCCTTACAAAAGTCTACAATCTCTCCGACGTCTACGACTCGTCGTACATGTTGTGGTATATTCGCGAGTCCTCCGTTGCCGTCTACGTCTCCAACACGCCCATGATCTGGCCTCTTCTCCGCGAATTCGTCCCCTTTCTCCGCACCGCCGTTACCAGCGCCGGCAGCCGCACTGCCGGTCTCAACTCACGCAGCAGGAACCAGCGCGACCAGGACAGCAACGCGATACTCTCGCACAACCGCAAATCGGGCGTCGAAGCCGACGCCCACGAGCTCAACTACGTCAAGTCTGTCAGCAACGACACCGACCGGACCTCCGACGACGGCGACGACGACCACAGCATGGGACACTCTGGACGCAACGAGTTGCGCTTCCACCAGAGCAATCGTCGTGCCGGCAGCCTCGCGTCCGACGAGTGCGAGCTCAATAGCGCGTTCTGGGGCAAGGGCGACATCCACCAGGAGACGACAATCGAGATCCAGCGCGAGAGTGTGGACCTGGAGAGCCAGACTGGACTGCCGAGAAGCATGAGCTGGGTCAGTAAACCGATGCGCCAGGTGCGGATCGAGGGCGGCGAGAGGAGTTATACTTGAGCGACCTTGAGAAGCACATTGGAAAGCCAACATCGCATGGATTGCATACTTTTATGAATCTATACTATACACCGCGAATCAGAGACGACACGACACGAACATAGAGGCAAAAGTGGCCCGAGGCGTCAAAAAACAATGTTTGCTAAATTTATCGACTGCGATACACGACACATGGCTAAGTCTCGGGCCATACTTCGACATGCCAATCGACTCTCACATGCAGTTATACTCTTATGATACCCCTGGGATAGAAACGACCTGTGTTTATACCACCACGCTGGTGGGATTTATGTTGTTTGTTACGATTACCACGCATGTGTCACGGCTTTATAGATAGGGCAGGATACTGGGGAAAGTCACGAAATGAGATGCAGGCCTGCATTTTCCAGACTGCAGCAAGCAAGCGGATTGCCTGCGCACTATAAACAGCCCAGGTTCCAACAGACCGGGAGGGGAGAGCAAAGCAGTACCTAGCATCACTGGGCCGTGATAGCCAGACGACCGATTCAACACATCTAGAACGCAAATAGACGCAAATAGAGGATAGAGACAGAGACAGCGACAGAGAGAGTGACAGAGAGACAGAGAGACAGATAGAATTGAAAAAAAAAGAGAGACTTGAATCATCAACAGACGTCCCGTGAAACTGGCAAAGGATTCACCCAAAAAAATAGAGTTTTAAAGTTTACGCTACATGTGTCTGACAAGTAATCGTCACACAGCATCATGTCTGTCCCCGGCGACCCGTGGAGGTTCACAGCACGGTCCAGGTGGTGAATCATGGATGGATGGATGGATGGATGCGCGCAGAAATGATCGCCAGGCACAACAACGCAAACACATACATACATATACATACATTTATTGCGCCGCAAGATGGTCGATGGTCCTGCATATATATACGACTAGGAAGGAATAACATATCCTACATATATCCCATGCCAGACCTCTCTCACGAATGAATCATTCCACACTCCACCTCCCCCTCCACCACCACCTCCTCCTATCCTCCCTCCCCCGAGAAGAAAAAAACCATCTCTCCTAACCAATCCCCCAAGCGCAACCCATCAACCTCGTCCGTCCTCCGAGCGTCACGAAACCAGGTACTAACTACCTAGCATCATTCCATCAACCCCGCAGTCGCAGTCGCACTCCTCCTTCCACATTCCGCATCATGCGCCGCGTCCTCCGTGCTCGGTCCTCCACGCGGTGCAGGGACCCGAGCTTGACCTTGGGCTTGAGCTTGGCCTTGACCTTGACGGCGGCACCGCGGGTGCTCTGACGTGCTCGTGCGAGGTTTGGACTAATTAGAGGTACTGCTACTACACTATCCGGTCAAAGAATACCCCCCGACCGGACCCGACCTGATGATCCCTGGAGCTAATTAGACCGCCGGTGAAGCGGCGAATCGGCGAGTCGGCGGGTCGGCGGCTGGAAGAAGAAGGAGGGGAAGAGGCATTACTTGGGACGGCTGGATGGATGGATGGATGGGATGGATGGCGCTTGGGGTACGTACCTACCGTGCGTTCCTGTCCCTCTTAGGTAAGTAGGTATGTAAGTAAGGAAGTAAGGACTGGGTGGATTGTATATCTCGGGTTTGGTGGTTTGGTGGTTTGGTGGGACTTTCTTTTTCGTAGTGTTACATAACGCCAGTCTTGCTGTTATCCATGGCTATGACTGACTACCTACTGGTAATACCATCACGCACGATTCGAAGGGGAGAAGGAGAGAAAGAGCGAGCCCCCCACGCTAAGAGGGACGAGCGGTGCGTGGCGCGCGGACGGGCTCGGCGATGGCGGCGGCGGCGGCGGCGGCTAAGCGAGGTGCTAGTTAGGTATGGATGGTATGGTATTTGAATTTTTGTCAATGGGATGGTAAATTGGACTAGGAAGAAATGCCGGCTTGCTTGCTTGTTGTGGGTCTGCTGGTTTGATGTATGAGCTTGGTTGATTGGAAGGATCGTAATGGTTGATATATACGTGACGACTATGGAATGTACAGCATGTGTGTTTATTGGTGGGATGTATACGCTGTGGTTATATAGCACGGTAGGTGAGGTGTGAGGATATGGGTGAGATGTAGTGATGGATATCCTGTTTGGTTCATTGAAGGGACTTATTTCGGAGGAACTTCTTTGGTACGGAGGAGGGGCTGGTGTTTGGACTTGGTATTAGTACAAACAGTAGTATCTAGTGTTGTCTAACAAGCCAGTCAACTATACTGCCCATCTCCGCATCTGGCCAGGATGATATTCTAGCATTATAGTGTTCCAGACAACTTCTTGCATATACTACTCACCACTAGAGAACAAATTACAGTTCTAGCGTGACTCATGACGACGACGTCAAGACGGATTCTGAAAAGAAAAAAACAGCGCAGATCGTTGTTCATGCCAACTCATGAGTTTAATTGTCACTCAGATGTAGACTAATACCGTTTGCTCCAACGGAATATAAAGACGAGCTTTCCTGCCATCTATCCATCTTGCATCTTGACTGGCGCGTCTTACCTAGGAATTACTTCCCCTGGTCATGGGCTGGAATATTGGAGTAATACGTACATGTAAAAACTGGAATATAGCTATAAGTTTGATATCTCGATGTAAGATGCTACCTCATCCTGGATGGGCATTGGGCATAGAACATGTAAGTATCTGACTGATACTATTACCATGCGATTATTCTGCTACGTTCGTTGTTCAAATAAGTTTCGAGTTTCTTATATAGTCTGATGATACGCACACCTTCGTGACACAATAACTTAACACCTAGATACAAGACGCGGCTGCTCGGGAACATGTTATCTCAGGTGCTAGATTCAGCAGTACTACCTGGAACATAGATAGTTCCGCGATGATCGATGAGATGGATACGGTTCTAGGAGTGATTTCTTTTCTCTTTCTTCTCTACAGGTAAGTGAGAAGGCAGATATAGAATAGAACAACTCCATCTGTACAGGGAACAAAGGCTTGATTTTATTGGAAGCTTCTGATACGAGCTATCTCCTTTCTTCCTTCCTTCCCTGTCCAAGATTGACACATATATACACAACTCATCTTATTCTATGTTCTATGTTCTATGTTCTACCCCTGATGCGTCTCCCTGATCTATTTTCGCAAGGCGACCTATATATAGACCCAGCCCGCTCCCCACGCCGTCGTGGTATCCATATATAACATCCTTCGCCCAAAGACAAGACTGGAAATTTCAGGTATGATGATACTGCTGTTATCCCAGAATATAGTGTCGTAACGCATTTGAGTGGATGCTGTCTTACCTGCCAAACACACCCACGAGAGACCTGTTTGCCGCATGCATGCATGCATACTGAAGATGGGAGATTCCTCGATTGGCGAATAGCCTGGAAATGCAGATTATGTGAGTTTGGCATACTGGAGAAGTGGCAGTTCGCTATGTCGGGGTTGTTGGAGTTGTGACTTTATAGGTATTTCTGTTTGTTTGTTTGTTTGTTTGATCACTGACCTTGCATACATGGTCTTACCTAGCTAATTGGCTCCTAAGTGTTATAGTTTTCAGAGTCGTGGTATAGATGTCTGGCCGCGTCTCTCTAGCATAAAGCGCAGCTTCTCACTAGCATCCGCTCTCCAAAAACATAACAATTACTGGTTCTTCATCTTGCCTGTTGTCTGTTGCCTATCATTATGGAGGGTAAGATATACATCGCAGTGTCTTCTCTCCACAGCAGTTCTATCAACGCGGATATACGACGCAAACGCATCTGTTCATGTCGTCTTCATCGCTTAGAGATATGATATCCAAAGGAGTTAGTTAGCAAATATGATGATAACGTATAAGACGGCGCAGTATCAGGCCGAAAATATCCATTCATGGCTACGAACAGTCTAAGGTCCGATAAGTGAGCAGAGAAGGCGTCTTACGCCTACTTTCGAGAATTACCCTACTACCTATCCATCCATAGCAAAAACCTCGCGAACATGTGCATAGCCTCAAAATCTCACAAGCAATATACCCAACTTCCCCTACCCACACGAAGTTGCCATATGCTTACTGTCTATTTACCCAACTGCCTCAGCATTCTAAAAAACAGTCCGCAGTCAAGACATCATCCACAGCATTTTGGACGTTACAACTCCCCCTTCTAATAATCAACCTCATCATCCTAGACGCCACGAACGAGGAAACTGAGATCTGATCTGACGTGGTTCAAGAAAATGGAAAACCAGATCGGTTTGTCGACCGAATGGAGTTTTTGAGTGAGAGGAGATAGTTAGTCAAGTTATTCTAAATTCAGGGCTTTTCGTGTATGTCTGGCTGGTCCTCCTGAGGGCGGCGCATGCCTGTATAAGCAACAGTAGCAGCAGTAGCAGCAACAGCAACAGTAACAGCCAACGTGTAAACATAGCTTTATAGACCGACAATGATCACCCCGAGGCAGGTCTCCGAGCACGCATTGGACAAATGCCAGCTCGTTACACACCGTCCTAGAGACTCTCCCAACAGATATGGATCCCGAATCCTCCACATGAGACCTCAAGTGTCTATGAGCTAATATGCTGCGTGGGTAGGTCTAGGCGGGATAGGTCTGCTACGTACCTGCTACGTGTGCGAGCTTTGCGCCGATTTTGGTTTATGACGAGCCAAGGCGTTGACGATGTGTAATACACGCATGTTATCACCGCGGCGCGCTTTGTGTGGAAGAGACGGCTTGAATGCATGTATGTGCTGCAGAAAGCCATGTTCGAAAGATGATGCATTGTCGCTCAGGACGACAGTGAATTGTGCAGTGCAGGAACTTGTCTGTACGTACGTAGAACATATCACGAAGACCTGTAGGGCTTGTGAAGAACTACGAGTGCACAAAAGATGATCAGATCAGGCTGCAGCGACATAGGCACAGACGTAAAGGTAAGACTATAAGGCAGTGGTAGCCCATCAGTCAAGCTCGATCATCGCCTTAACCTGAGGCATTGTAACTCACGTCGGGTGATGTGAGCTCGTTCAAAACTAGGGTCTAGAGGGAGAATATGTATTCGGTGACATAATTCTAACAGTGATACATGGGCCAGACGATGCGTTTGTAAAGCATCGACATGACCACAATTCCTTAAGAGAGGGGACCCACGGGGTCTTCCTCGATAACAAGATACATACAAGAAGATGTTATTCAAGGAGAGAGCAAACAGCAGAGCGCTGATTGCGAGAAAATAATCATGATTCATAACACGAGAACACGTCATGCGTCTGTAATTACTCTGCTCAACGCTCAAAGCCAATCAACATCATACACCCAAAGTAGTTGCAACACCCAGCGCTTGGTTGTTGTATACACAAGAGCCACCCATAATGTTGAAAAGAAAGATAATGAGAAGTCTCATTACACAACGCGGATGTGAGAAAGAAAAACGAATCAAACCTTGAATTTGCGGTATCGACGAGTCGATACACGCGAACATATCATTGCAATGAGACGACAATATCACACTTGCACGTTCAGGGACCGACTGCATCATTTACAGTCGTGTTCCACAAACGTGAAAACGGACATTGACGTGTGAAAGGAAAGCTTTGCGGGGGAGGGCGGAGGGGGAGTTACTGCAGTAGTGATGATACTATTGCGGGTTGTTGGCGAATAATGTCGGGTTGTAATGCGCGTTGCCGAAGTCGAATGCAGATGAGTAGTCTAGGGTCTGATATGCAGTGGTGTAATCATATGCAGAATAGTCGCCCATAAGCGACGACGACGGGTCGAATTGGGGCTGATACAATTCTGGGGTGACAAGTGCAGTCGACGCCTGTATTGACGTGGTAGGAACCGAGGCAGATGATGGTAGTTGAGCAGTCGCATATTGTGGCACACCATGCTCGTCGACGATGTGGGAATGAGTGAAGTTGTACGGCACATCGCACGGGGACTGAGCTTCTTGGGTGTCGACGACGTCTCCATCGCTATTCGAAAATAAGGCGTCATTCGACACATGTACTTCGATCTCTTTCATCCAATGCTGCTTGAGATAGTCCATCGGCGGATCGTCACCACCGCCCTTACCACCACGCTTTTCAGAATCATGCTTGCCTTTGCGGCCACGTTTGCGTGGGTGGAAATGGGCGCGGCGGAGGTGAGCAGCGGCATTATAATACGCACCATACTGCTTTCTATTGCGGCACTGCTTGCAGTTGGCGAGGAAGCGCTTGCCTTCTGAAGCATCGACAGTCACCCATACTTTTTTCACTGTCGCGTGCTTACGATCAACGTGCCTCCGAAGCTCATGCTCGCCACGGAACCCGTCAGGGTATTCATTGCAGTGGGGACATAGAGTCTTCGGGTGTTGAGGACGAATGTACGGAGCCTTCGTGATCTGAGCAACGTCTTTGGAAGAACCGTCTTGAGACTTGATGCGAACCATCTTGGTCTGACATGAAGCACGTGACGCAGCAGTTTCGGTAGCACTTTTAGGTGCTATCGGACGTGCTGCGGAGGCAAGAACCTCTTGCTTACGTTGTGAGCAGCGCGATTGTGTAGAGACAGCGCTCTGATACGATGTCGACCTTTGCATCTCCTCCACTAGGTCCGACTGAGTGACTGATTGAGAGTATGGTGCTTCTTGGACACCATACGAAGACAACAAAGACTGTGGTTGATCCACCGCAGAAACAAAAACAGGAGAAGTAATGAAATTAGAGTTTGAGCTCTCAAACTTTACATGATGGGACTCAGGAAATAGAGAAGACTCTCTAGTACACACGTTAGAGCATGCAGAAACATTGGAATCAACACGAAGCATTTCAAAGGGAGTACTATTGTACGAAGTACCAGCAGAACTGTTTTCACAACTCAGTTGACTTTCCATAGCAGAGCTGGTAGGAGTGTCAATGCTACTTGCCGATTCCGTAGGAGAGGTTCCTCCATAGTGGAAATCGGGTTGGCCGAAGGATAGCTGAACCGCATCGGTAGTATAGTCGTCGACAGGACTGCTGATATATTGTTGGCGCGGGAGGAGGGAATCAGTGAAGTTTCGCTGAACGAAGGCCCCAGGCGAGTAAATATGCATATTCGGCGAGTTTGGGTTGGAGGCACCGTCAGATTTCGGCAAGTCGTTGGTAGGGCTCAATGTGTAGTACGAGTCGGTCCAGTCCAAGGATACATCAGTTTTGGGAGCATTCTGACCAAATGTTGAGGCAGACGCATCGGCGAAATTGGTGTAGATGTCGCCGCAAAAGCTTTCGGCTGGAGCAGATTGCGAGGAGGCGTTCATATTACGATCTAGGGCTGTCGAGGTGTAACCCTAGCAGAGGTTAGAGAGATGGGAACGGTGAGGACCAAAAAACAGAGCCATACAGGGACATGTCGGGTGGCGATGGGACTTCCGTAGGATATACTCCGAGGGACGTGTGTGGTGGGCTGAGGATCGTCGAAGTGTTTGAGTTCGGAGAAAAGTTCTTGTTTGCGTTGGGACCAACGCATCTGGAATTCTTCCTCGGATGGGCACTGATTCCGGACGGCCTTCATTTCCTCGAGAAGGACATTCTGAAAGGTAGCGTCAGTGGTCGAGGGGTGCATGATGGTATTGCTCGCCATTAGTCGATCGAGTGTTGAGATGTTGTGGGGTAACAAGTGTATCGAGTAGCAATATTGATAGCCTGGTGATGAACAAGGCTGCAGACACACGAAGATGATCAGCAAACACGCGAGGAGACGATCACGACTACAGGAAGATAGAGTGGGAGCTCATCCAGAAGCACATACCTAGTAAATGCGGAGAAGGTTGTGAAGAAGTAAAGGAGGTTCTGAATGAAGCTGCGAATGAGTGACGCAGGAAAGCTAGGGCGAGCGGGAAATCGGGAGCAAAGGAGGATGGGGAAGGGCGGGCCTTTTGAGCACGAGAGAGTGAGGGAAGTCCGACTGCGGAGACTCTGACTGCCACGTCAGGCGAGCACGCACACAAGGAAAAACTGACCAGGGCCCCAGGCAGCATTCAGGCAGGGATAATTACAGTACTGTACCTACCCGCTCGCTACTGCAGTAATCAATACCGGGTATCAGGTATTCTATCCCACAACTTTCACACTTCACACATAAACACCAGCCAACCACCGTTCATCCACCAGTCACTCCATCACCATCTCACAACCCAATCATGCTCATGATCCCAGACTTGCAACTCAATCTATCGACTCGCCGGCTGCAGGCTTTGTTTCCTATTGGCTGCCCCATTCCTTTTTCCGGGCGCTGGCTGACTCTAATCGTAGCGTCTCGGCTGATCAGCTCGTCGATCCCTCCACTGTCGTAATCCGCTTTTCCTCTTTCTCTCTCCCACCATGACACGGACAGGGCACAAGAACAATTACGAAATGCCTTGGACTGGTTCCTTTTCTCGCACGTTATCGTAGCCTAGAACCTATACTGAGTATACTCACAAAGTGGTGGAGATATTAGCCATTGGAGGATGTAAAACACCACGCCCCTCCACGTCCTCCCCTTCCGACAGGGCAGATCCATAGCCCTTGCATTCCTCCGACGCGCGATTTTGACGCTGGAGTCTGCCATCCAACTGCCACCCTCCGCAATAGTCATCGTGCATTTATGCTGCATTACATAACCCTCGCTCGCACCACCCGTCATGTCGTCGTTTCCAGACCGGTCTGCTACAATACTTGCAACGGTGGCTCGCCTCCAAAGCTTTGGCTAGCACTCAAGAGATGATGACTTGGTCTGGCCCGTACCCCATGCCATCATGGCGCGAGACTAAACCACCTCCTTGACCGGCAATCAACCTTCCGCAATCCTTCCATGTCTATGGGGCTGGAGAGCAAGGAGCATAATAGCACGAAGTACATCACGTCTCACATGGAACGCACCCACCGGGTCAGCCCAAAGAAGGCAACCGCATCATTTCGTATGCAAGCTTTGTCTTATTTGTCCAAGCCACACCTCTCTCGTATTACTCCTCCACTTGGCAATAACCTCATCCCGGTGAAATGATGGCTTGCTTATCGCAATCTATTTCGCCTTCTATCCTGGTCGTCTAGGTCGCTCCAACTGACCGTGGCGCCTCAGCTTGCTGGGTATGTTCCGAGTTTCATCGTGTTGCCTGTTTATCCTGAACATGCCTCGTCATGACTCCGCCTCCAACACCACCTGTCCAAAATTCGAATTTAACCAATCCCTGGTCTTGCAAGTCTTGATATTACAGTACGAGGCTGCCTTCGTATACCGTATATCAGGTGCCCATGTTTGGCACTAGGATCTCTTTTTTGTCTTGACTGTCACGAAAGCGATGCCTTGTCTTCTCTACGCTCTCTCGTCAAAATACTGTAACTTTAACCGCGCGCCTTCTTAGACCTGTCCATCTTCCATAAAGTCCTCATTAAAGTCGTCAAATTGGGCCGGATACGGCACTCCGCTGTAGCCACGCCAAGGCGTCAAACAATCCTGCCCCAGTATCTTTCTCCAGTGCCATGTACTGAGCCGTTCTGTCGCAGTCTCTCCATATTCTGATGTGGAGTACGTAGTCATTGTCTTTCCATACGTGTAGTTGCTCATCGACGAGCAGTAGGGTCTTAGCGGCTGATGACGCTTATGATCGTCCTCCCAGAACCTGTCGACGTCAGTATCTTTGCCGAAGATATCGTTGACTTCTCGCTGCAACATGTGCGCAACATGATTTTCCAACTCGACGATTTCGTCGTCGGTGATCTCGGGTGTCTCGGTTGATGGTGGCGACGGCTCTTGTCTTGTTGCAGTACAGCATTTGGTCATCCACACAAGGCTTGAGTCGTTCTCCAGGGCTGACATCTGCTCCGATGTTCGCTTCATATTGGAAGCCTTGGAAGTAATTGCTACAGTTCTCTCCAGTTCAGGTGATGTGCTGCTCACAGCAGGAGAATACCCAGCGCTAGCATCAGATTTCCTAACAGTCCGACAAGGTGAGTTCGATCTCGGAGAGTCGTATAATCTCGTGTTAGGTGGTCCCTCCACCAGCTGTGCGGAACTCCCGCCATTGAGTCCCGATGTTGTACTATCAGGCCTGTCCTCATGCTTCGACTCTTTCGCGCTTTTTAGAACTTGGCGACGGTCTCGCGATTGTCGTTTGTCTCCACCATATTCCGATCCCACACGTGTCTGCGGGAACTCTTTCTCAGACCTTGTTGGTGACGGCGGCATGTCAGGCATCGAGGACAGTGTGGTGATTGAGGTTGCATAAGATCTGGCAGATTCTGACGAAGACATGGAATCAGAGTGCTGCTTGTTCTTTGTCTCGCCACCTTTGTCCTTGTGTGGACTATGTCCTTTCGGCAACATCGGCATTGTTGACGAATGTACCAAGACTGGGATTGTGAAAGGTTTCATGGTCGCATAATCCGACGTTGCAACCGATCCAACGTCCTCTGTTTGCTCTGTCTCCATCTCTTTCTCTTCCAGTGGACTCACACACCTCGACGTACCCGTTGTATTCGGCGTCGATGGTGATCTCGATGTCCGCGCGAGACGAGATCTTGTGCCAGTCGACGACACCGACGAAGGATTCTCTCCCTTCTTCATATCCGTCCCTACCTCCTTCCTCGAACTCTTTCTCTCACGCCCAAACAGATCCGTAAACGACCACTCCCCGGCCGTCGAAACAGAAGCAAGCGAATGTCTCCAACTCCTCCCCGTGGTCGACCCCGAGCTCCGCGTGCCCTGCGTCTCCGTCGACGGCCTCACCATCTGGCACTCCATAACCGCGCTTGTCCTCCCACTCGTTGCGGCATTCGCAGGATCATGAAAGGAATCGATCCGGACCGCTCTCGGAGGCTCACTCTTCACCTTTCGCGCAGCCGCTCTGGCCTTTGCAGCTGCTTTCGCCGCCTTCGCCTCGCTCGCAAGTCTGGCTCGCTCGCGCGCCAGGAGATGGAGGTCGCTCTCGAACGTGGACATTTGTGGTGGTGGTGGTGGTGGCGGACCGGGCAGTCGTACAAGCTATGTGACACGACGACAGAAACAACGAGAAAGAATCCCACACCTTCGTTTTCGGGGCGTTTCGGCTGTGCTTGTGTCAAGGATTGAGTGGCGGGAGATGGTGGATTTTCGCTTTGTTCATATAGCTTGTATATTCAACTCAAGGGCATGCATGCTTTTGTAAAAGAGATTTTTCGAACGCAATGTTGCTTGCTTGCCTGCTAGAGGAAAGCAGTGGTCGTTTGTACCCCCAAGTGTTGCTGAGATGCAATAGAATATCTCACTACGCTGTGCCCGGATTGAATGGCTGCATTCCACATAATCGTTTGCAGAACGAACGAGAGAGGCAGGCGCAGGAAGGGAGGGAAGGAGGGAAGGAATCCCCAAAAGAAAGAACGAAGAGACAAATTCGTTTGCGGACAGACAGACAGACAGACAGAATGACTGACAAGACGCCGCAAAAAAAAGTGTTGCAATCCTGCAGGTGGCTGGATGCGGTTCGTTGTGTCACCATGATTTAAATGCCTGTGTCTGTTTTGTCTTGTGTTGTCTGTCCCGTGTAGTTTGTCCGTGTGTGTGTGTCTCTCTCTCTATGTGTGTCCTGTGTCTGTAGTTTTGCGCAGGGGAGGGAATGTTGAGCGTTCGTTCGTTCGTTCGAGCGTGGCCGGCTGGCCCCTTGCTTCGTTTCCCTTTTGTCCGGCAAACTAATCAGAACTATGCGGTTTGTTCCACATACAACATACACATACACATACTCGCTGCTCTCGCGCGCTCGCTAGCCATTCGTACATATAGACAGGACAAAGCCCGTCTCATCTCATCTCATCTCATCTCATCTCGTCCCATTCATCTCCCAAATTCCGAATCCGAAATCATAAACATGCAAAAACCCTTTCCCTTGATGATACTGTCCAAGACTACATAAAACACTTTTTTGACCCCCCTTCCCCCCCAAAAAAAAAGAAAAAAAATTGAACATGAAAAATGATGGCTAATTAGTTTTCTTTGGGGGAAGGTTTCTTCTTTCATGACACTGGTTTGAGAGTGATAGAGGAACGGGTCTTTTTGGAATGGATGCGGATTATCTGTTCAGATCATTTGAAGGTGGTAGACTGCGCTATGGAGGATGTGTGAAGGGTCTCATTTCTTCAACTCAGGCCAGTCGAGGACTTTCGCTGTGTGATATATAGATGATACGATATTCTGAGAGTCGCGAGGTAAATGCTTTCAGTAACCGCGACGGTCAACCTAGGTCGGGCCTCCGCATACACTGTCCCGGAAGCTGTCGCATCGTCAATTAGCGATAGCTTCTTTACCAGCTTCCTTCAACCCTCCTGCACTGCAAAACTTCACGAGCAAAGCACACCATCACAAAGCAACCACGCTTGTCAACGATTCATTACATTTATTAGAAATTAACGAGTCCCAAATCCTGCTTCCGTGATGAACACACAAACACCGTGCAGGCACATGCTACTCGGAAAGCGTCAAGCCTTTCAGAACACACATGTCTCGCGGCACTCGCAATTTCCCACCATCGCCCATAAAAAGTTTCACGCGTGTGAAAAGCGACCATGAGGGTCGTGGTTCTCGCATTGGTTAGAGAACCGGGGTATCTCGAAGCGCTCGTATGAAAGTTCGTATCCAATGGTTCCCACCGTCAGTTCATTCACAGTCCGTCGTCCTCCGACCGTGGGGTATCACCGTTAAGAAGATGCGTCCCGAGTCTCCGTGAGATAGAGAGAGTGAGACAGAGAGCAACATAATACAAAGCCGCAGTAGATAGAAGGAAATGAACGAAACGCAACAAAACGAAACGAAAGAGATGTCTCACTGGTCCTTTCAAAGCCGTCGTACCCATGTTCTGTGACAAGGGCAAAGTAGAATGGAGATTTACGATCTTGACGTTGACGCGTCGGATAATCGTTATAACGGTAGAAGGGTAGAGGCCAAAGTGAGATCAGTGCAGCTTCCATACTAGACAGTAGGACTAAGTGATGATATAGCATGGCCTAGGCGTTGACAATTTGATATGGTGTCTTGCCCCGAAACAATCATGCCCTGGAGATCTTCATAACGCAAGTCTGCGATGGTAAGCTATCGGCACCGAGAAGAGGCGGTGTGGTAGCTGTTGTAACGCTACTGAAAGCTCAGCGAGGACAGCTTGCGTAACGTTTGAATCTACCGTGCCCAAGTTCCAACATGCGAGAGCGAAAGAAGCGTCTTAAACTGTCACCAAGAGTCGGGCACCAGTAAAAGTCTCGAGCAATGACCTGACCGTTACGGTGTCTGCGAATCGTGTCGATGGACCTTCGCCGCTTCAGAAGTGGATGTGGATGTTGCGCAAAGTCGCGTACAGCTGGAGCATGGTATTCCTCCGAGTCTTCCGGCGCATATGAGTTTTTGCGGTTGGTCCTCGCGTCCTCGGTGAATTCGTTTATTTCGCCACCATCCATAAAATCGCACACAACTGGGCGAATCTCAGAGTGCTCCGCCGCAGACTGCATACGCGTATCAGCGTTGGCCGATACAATCACCGGAAAGACCGTGATACCAGTGGCCAGTGACAATCTTGGCTCGGCAGGTAAAGACTTGTACGTATGATTCTCTGACCCACGCGTTGCGGACGTCGTGCAGCGCCGCAGTGTAGTAGGCAAGCTACGTGCGACCTTTTCCTTGCGAGGAGAGGGGTTCATAAGCTCCTTCAGACGCGTATATGAGTCTGACGGCCTCAGAAAATCCTTCCCCCCATCAATGAGAGAAAGCGGAGGAGAGTCTTCGTCTGAGCAGGAGCTCGTTGAACTGCGACCATTCCTTGCTACGTTCATGATCTGTAACGCAGTTGAGGCACATGAGCGAAGGGAGCTTGCTGGGGAAAGACCACCTGTTATTCGTTTCAATGCGTGTGCTGTGCGTGACTGCGAAGGACTGCTTGAAATGCTTGATGTAGATATAGCTAGTGGTTTTTTCTGTGGCGACCAGAACACACTCATTGCGGACTCAGCAGAGGACTCAGAATCGCCGGCTTGCATATCACATTGGTCCATGAGATCCTGCAAGACCTCATCTGCAGAGTCGACCTCATCGTCTGCGTCGCAGACCTTTGATTCGATAGGTGCGAGAGTAGCTGTCGGTATACTTGAAAGTCGACTTTTTTTGAAAGCGCCTGAACCACTAACCGGAGGACAAGGGCCACGCTGGTTTGATCCGGCAAGGAGAGTTTCTTGTGCAATCGCTTCCTCGGTAATGATCTCCAAGGGACTGTCCGGTAAGATAGCTGTGCAAGCTTCCTCGAACTCAGCCTCTGAGCGAACCAAAGCTCTTGCAGTGGAGAAATCAAGATCACGCAGATGCTGAGGTCCACTGGCGACGGCAATGGTATCAGATGAAGACACCGATGTATGGTCGAGCTCTGTTATGTTGGCCTGACTTGCGAGTCTATATTGCTGACGTCTGCGTGGCAAAACACATTGAGTTGTAATTCGTCTTTGAAGTGGTGGAGCAGCGTTTCGCAAACCTTGCTGTCTTCTAGGGTCTTGTCCAAAAACCTGGCGTCCTCCTTGGGGTCCCCTAGAAGGTCGAGGTGTGCCACGCGAGTTTAGTTGATGGGCAGCAGCAGCAGCTTGCTTCAGCTGTTGGAAATGCGCCACACTCGTGACACTGGACAATGAATGCGGAGCCACATTGGGTGGTGCGCCTGTAGGAGGCAATCTAATACGCGTCCTAACGTTGGCAGTCCTCTTCTTCTCCTGCTCTTCCATCTCGATCAGCTTGACTGACAAGGCAGTATCGTGAATTATGAATTTTTCAAGCCTGCCTTTAGGCTCGTTACTTATGCCAGGCATATAACGGTGGTGCGAGCCAGTCGGGGCATCGCTCACTGCTGGAAGAATGTGAGGCTCCCTGCTCCTGTCACTGCAAGAGGGAAAGATACGCCAGGTCTTCAAGTTTTGATGCATAGGTGGGCCAAGGAAGTCCTCCACACGTGGCAGTGGTCCAGGATATTCGCGAGTCGTCGGTGCTTTAGCAGGTTTTGGGGGTTCCTCAGTGACCTCCGGTTCTGAGCTCTCAGGCAGCTTTAGCCAGTCGCAATTGGCGCGGTATGTGATAGGCCATTTCACAGTTGCTTTCATCAGCGAGTCAAGCTCGTCTACAGTGAGAACGATGTTGAAACCACTGTTCGGGAAGGTCAGCTTAATACCATGTATGAGGCAAGGTGTGTGATACACTTCACCGCTGTTAGGGTCTATAACTTGTTAGCAACAGTCTGAACCCTAAGAGTGTGATGACTTACTCCATTCGATCGTAGAGTATCGTCGGTTGTACTATTATCACGCCAATTAATAATGGTCATGAAGACCAAGGTGGTGCGGACTCACAGCTTGTCGAACAGCCAGTAGAGACTCTTTCTCATCAAGAAGCGTAAGTGAGTCTTGTCCGGGTGGGATTGTCCATGTGATGCGTACATCGTGACATTGACTTTCTTCCAATGCTTTGGCATATTGAACCCTTGCAGTCTTGATCTTCTGGCGCATCAGTGACTCGGGGTGACAGCCAAGAATGTAATTTGGGTAGTGGCCACATGCTGGTTGAGTGCCTATACGATACGGTGGCAGTTCAGGCGCAGGACATGGTTTGCCGATGTGACGTGCGAACCATGAAATAAGCTCGTCGTTGTCTTTCTTGTTGCAGATGATTTGAGTGAGGTGGAAGGATGCTGGCTCATGCAACAGCTGGATGACCTGCTGCACGCAGTCCACGAGAATTTCTCTATCAGGATAACTCCTGCTGACGTGTTAGCAGGTTGGCAGGTTTGCAGGTTGGCAGGTTGCCGGTTGCGAGAGCAGCGTACCCGCGATACTTCGGCTCATCTTCTTCCATGTCTGTTGGAGGTAAAGACATTTAGCTGGACATGCCAATTGCGCAGAGGCTAAACAAAGAGCGGTAGAAGGGAAGAGTAGATTGAAACGTCAAAGATGAGAGGAGATATTGCTTGGACAAAACGCAAAACGTTGGTCAGTTGCTGAGAGAAGAAAGATGGCGGGGAGGCGGAGGCGGGCAGCAAACAGGCGTGAGTTTGGTGAAGGTAGGTCAACAACACAGAGGTGTCGGCGCGAGGGCGGATGGGCATGACCGTCGAACGAGTTTTGACAACGCGGCGACGTCAAGTGAACCAGGACGCGCGAATGGAGCGCAATGAAGGAAGTGAATTGGACATGGACATGGACATGTCACCGCCAGCGGTTTGAAGGGACCAAGAATGGCAGCGTATGCAATGAGCAGCGGACAAACAGCGTGATGGATGCACGTTTGACTCGACTATACGCTGTGGAGGAGAGATGAAAAGCGAACACTGTGACATAGGAGAGCGCGGCGAACAAGAAGAAGAAGAAGAAGAAGAAGAAGAAGAAGAAGCAGAAGAAGACTGGAAGGGAGCTGAAGCTGAAGTGGGAATATCTACGACTACTACATAGACACAAATACTGAGGGCGCCGCCATGGATACGAATGTTGGAAGAAGAGAGCGACCAGTGAATGTCATGTCTGCGACTTCTTGTGAACAAAGACTTCAGTCCATGTCAGATCTTAGTCTTCTTCTTCTTACTTTTGGGCAGCACGATGGAGAGAATGAAGACAGCGACTACCGACGAGAAAGTGTCTTGTACGACGATGCTGTTCTACCAGCGAGAAGCACTGCAAGCCGCGGGCGGGGACATTTGGAGTTGTTGTCGCACCAGACGGAGAAGAAAGGGAAAGGCCCACGATCTATCAACTTGCAGTGTCAGACTGGAACATACAGGTGGCTGCGTGTTCTGCGTGTTGCAATGGCACACAAGATACACGATTTCTATAGAGCCTTCAAGTATGCGGTTTTGGGATGGAGTTTCTGGTGTTTGTCGAAGCTCACGCGAAGTGAATGACGTTGCACGCGAGTCATTCGCAGAGCTAGGGTGTGCTGGTCCGTGCACGTGGCCCCTTCCGAGTGTAGCTAGTCAGGTGCGCTTTAGTGATACTCCGAAGTTCAACCATAGCCGGTTGAACTCCGGAGTATACTAGTAGGTACGTATCTATACAGACGCGTCTTACGTCATCCGCATTCAAATACAACAACAGCCAGGGCGTACTCCAAGCAAGCTCAGAGACAGCTCTGTTTTGCGCTTAAGAGCTGTTACATCGTTATGTACTACTATACGTGCACTTGATCAGACAGCCGTCTCAGATTGTGGGCCCCCTTTTGAACCCCAATACTAGGGCGTGTTGTGACATTGTTCATTTGAGATATTGAGATACGCAAAGCCCAATAAATACCCCCATGCCACTTATCTGCTCACTTGTTCACGATACAGGAATGTCCTATACCATGGCTTCTTTTCATGGGCATCATTGACAAGATTTGGACTTACCTACCCAAGAGCATAGTATCAGTGTATTAGGGAGCGGTGAGAGACAATAGTTCACGTCCACAAAGATATTGATTCACTTGACCTACCCGCCCCTCATCTTGCTCACCAAACCTGTAATCTTGTTTCCACGGCAATACACCGGACGGAAGCCTAGCTATAAAAACTCTGTTTCTCCCCCCCTTCACTTCTGGCCTCCTCTTCCTCCTTACTCTTCACCTTCATTGCCGATTGTGCATGGTTTCTTGACTCGAGCATGAGATAACTTCACAATGCCTGACCTCAAGCAGTTGCATTGCCATCTCGAGCTCTCCGATCCAAAGGGCCCGAAGACGGTCTTGCGTGAGTTCAACACCACCTACGCTGACGGCGCTGTCAACACTTTCATCGCTGTGCCCGAGAAACCGGAGCCTTTCTGCATCAAGTTCTGTTCTAATGGATACATTGCCACCGGTATCGCTGCCTTTGTCTTCATCGATGGCGAATATCAATGCAACCGCGTGCGTCAGGGTCTGATTGCTCCAGCTAAGGGTGTCTCACCCGTTAGCACTGACGTGCACTTCATCTTTCGTGGACAGGAACTTCCAGAGGGTCGTACTTTCAAGACGAGATGGTGGAAATTTGAGGCGCTCAACATTGGTACGTTCCTGATACATTATTCACAATGACCTATCACTGATCATCACAGGAGCTGCTGACGCAACGAATGCGCCCCCCAACATCGACGCCATGGGCACCATCACGGTTATGGTTTTGAGATGCAAGCCAGACCCAAAAGTTGATTTCGCCAATATTCCGAAATTGATAACCTCACGTGAAATTCCTCTGAGAACTAAAACTGCTGCGACCAAAACCAAGGTGTCCTCAACTCAAGCAAACGACGATAACAGTAGCGTAGGAGGGCTTGGTGGCCTTTTCGATGGGCCTTCTGATGATTATTTTCGAACGTCGTCGCGTGGCGACGATGGAAGACGTAGGTCCCTAACATACCACATATGCCTCCTCATTCATTCCACACCGCATTTACATGAGCTATTCCTCTAACACTACTCGGACAGGCAAGTCTCGACGCAGCGAGCGAGATACCCAGGACCAATGGTACAGTGACGATCGCGATGAAATTGAGCCATCAAAAGGTCCACATGTTTCCAAAGGCCGCAATAGGGCGGGCCCAGAGCGCCTCAGAGAGATCTTTCGCTCGCCAGATCGTGATCCCTCTTCGAAAAGCCCTTCTCGAAGCTCTCAGCGTGACTACTCCCAGTCTCATCCGCGCCGTCATAGCAGTCATTCAAAGGCTTCAGAGCATTCACCTAAGCACGAACGCCGTCGTTCTAAGCATTTGGCTTTCGATGGCACTGCTTCAAGCGAGGGAGGAAACAGCTGGACACAAGCGCCCACGACAAAAAACTCTGAAAACCGACCTAGTTCGTATCGTGCTGTCGGTTTTGAAGATGAAATAGGAGCTAAACCACATACAGTGAAGCACTATGATCCCATTGGCGATCGCATGGGAATATGGAGCCCGAGATCTAGCGATTCATATGCCAGCAAGACAGGACTGAAGACCCACGCAGCGAAGCATAGTGGTAAAGCAAAGGACGGCTTTGACAGTGATGTGAGCTTCATTCCTTCCATAGATGGCTTGCAATCGCGTCATTGAATAAATGCTCCGCAATAGCTCCCACTCTATTCTTGAGAGTAATACCTAATGTTCTGTTATAGTCATCCTCAACTACCACTGTCGGTGTCAATGAAGCTTCCCGCCGTGCTCGAATGCGCGAAACGCCTACCGAAGATTGGCCTTCCTCCATCCCTGAGAGTGAAGAAGATACCTATCCAGGTGCGCTACAAGCAGGTCTCAACATGGCCAATCCTGATCACTGGGAAATCCTTGAAGAGAGAGCCACTAGAAGCGGACGCTTCACTCACCCATCTCACGCTATCTCTGCAGCTCGACGAGGCCTAAAGGACTCTAAGTGGGACGAAGAAGAGGACAGTGTTGTTGTTGGTGGTGGTAGCGGTGGCAAAGGTAAAGAGTCCAGCTCGAAAGTCGACAAACCCCGTAATTACAGCGGCCCAGCTTTTGGAAAAGACAGTAGCTGTGATACGAAATGGGTTCCTAAGAACAGTATCTCAAGCGGAAGCACTCCTCAGAACGATGGCAGTTGGGGCAGCAAACCCGGCAGCTCTCAGATCGCATGGAGCAAGAAAGCCAACAGTATCGCCAAGTGGACCGAAAGCATACACCCCGACGAATCGGCAAGCAACTCAGGAAAACGCTCGCATACCAGTACTCCTCCGGGTTCTCAGGATGGTCCGAGTAACAATCGTGGCAGTCAGTCTGGTAGCACTCGCAGCAAGAATCCCGGTGGGTCTCAGACCAGCCATGCGAGACAGAATCGAACCACCAACGACACAGCCTGTGACCCAATCGGACAAGGTCAGACTCGAGGTACTAGCCAGCACCAACGTACCTCCCTTCTAGGCAAACCTGCAAGCAACAATGGTAGTCGCAATTCAAGGAACAGTGCTCAGGGTAAAAACACGAAGCTACCAGCGGGGAACAATGCTTCCAATCAAACCCAGTCCGCTAGCAACGCAGTGGAAGGTACAGGCGTTCAGTCTAAAGACAACAACAGCTCGAACTGGAACAACGGGAATGACCAAGGTTTCAGTCCGGATCAGGGCAATACTTCAGGCTGGGACACCAGTAACGACAACCAGAATGCCTCAACAGGTCAAACCCAAAGCAACGCCAACTGGAACGACAACAGCAATACTCCTGTAGACCAGAACCAAGCCTCCAACTGGCAGGATTCTGCCGATGCTTCCGGAGACCAAACCCAGAACAACTGGGACAGCAGCAACACCACTCCAGCGATCCCAACTCAAGGAGACTCCAACTGGGACAACAGTGGAGCCACCTCAGCCGATCAGAACCAGGGAAACGCAGGTTTTACCAACGACGAAAACAGTCAAACCAACAACAACCAAGGCGACCAAGAATGGAACGCCAACGCTGAACCCGCAGCAGATCAAACCCAGGGTGACGCAAACTGGGTCCAGAGCGAAGACAACGCAGCACAAGTCTGGGACAACAGCAACAACGACAACAACACCACCAGCCAAGCATCCACCGTCGTCCCCAGCACAAACGACTGCACCCACCCCTCCTTCATCCCACCCTGGACCACCTCAACCTGGCACCCACGCCCCAGCCCCCCTCTCCACCCCAAGCTCCACCACTCGGCACCAGAAGTGCCCCTGTACACCGTCGCCGCCGCCACCGTCGCCGCAAAATCCGTGGACACCCAGGTCCGCCACGGCCCGCTGCGCGCCTGGCCCTCCGAGACCGCGCGTCCGGAGTACATGGACACGCCGGCGCGGCCGTACGCCGTGTTCACGTTCCAGTATCGCAGCAGGGCGATGCTGGAGGGAGTCCTGGGGAGGAAGCTGGAGGAGAGTGCGGGGGAGAAGAGGGAGAGGCTCATGCGGATGAGCAAGGAGGAGGTTGTGGCTGAGTTGATGGGGGCGTAGGGGGGAGGGGGGTTGTGGCAGGTTGGCCAGGGGGGAGTGGGCGTTGGTAGTAGGGCTTTGTGATTTGCCGACGCGGTGGTCGAATGGGAGTGGTTCTTGATTGTGTGCTGTGTGCGTGTGCTGTGATGCTGGTGATGTGATGTGCGTGCTGTGATCTTGAGTGTGTGGTGGATGTGTGGTGTTGAGACGGTGGATGCTGGCTTTGAGTATTCCACAAATCACGGTTCTGCCTAGGGCCTAGGTAAGGAAAACACATAGGCATTGGATGATCAGATAACCAAACACACTTACCCAGGATAATCTATGAGCAGAGATCACACAACAACAACATTCTTGTCCGCCTGGACAGACAATTATGGAATCCACATGAGACAAGAAAGAGACACGACGCCAATTCACACGTGGTAATATACATAGACATCAAAGCAAATAGTAGTCCTCCCTAGTTCAGAGATACCAAAACGCCATAGATAGTAGGCTTTATTCCAAATCTACCTGGCCAAAGACCATAAATTAAACATAGCCAGAACGATAGCACGGTGTTCCGCCTGTGGAATGTCGATATTTTCTGGATATCAAGAACAACAGAATATGGGTTCTACCAGTGGTATATCGATACTTTGCGAATAACAAGAGTAGTAGAACATGCATTCTCCTGTGTATTCATCGTCATTGTAGGGTAGCTAGGATAACACGACGCGGTTGAGTCTGAATAGGGTGGTGCGTATTACGCTGTGTTGGGGAGACAATATGCATTCATCGATTCGTGTCTGTCTGGACGATACTGGGCCACGGTGTTGATGTTGACTGGAAGAAGGAGGTGTATAGCTTGGGCATTTAACGAAAGCAAGAGACACACACAACCATACGATGTGGTCCCTACATATATATTTAGTACCTCTGACGTCAAACATGTATCTTTACGAGCCATCCGCAGAGGCTGTTCTGACATTTTCAAATCAACCCAAACGAGGAAGTCGGGTATCGCAAAGACAATACCGGAAGACCTACACACTAATCCATCACTAACGGTGCGCTGCGACCTTTACTTGCTCACTTCACCGAAACAAGACCGACTCCTTCTCTAGCCTTTTTGCAAGCCTGCCGCAGTGCTTGCTCGTCACTATCGTCCCACTTCACGCTTAGCTCGTCCCACTTCTTCGTCGCGTATTCGTGCTTGTACTGCTTATGTTTGGCCTGGAGGCGGTAGACCTCGCGGCAATCGCCCGCTCCGGAGTACACGATGAGGGCGGTGCAGGGTGGTAGACGCGCGTAGAGTGCGGCGATGTTGTTTACTGTCGATGAAATGGCGGCTGAGAGTGCTGCTTGTGTCGGTGGGAGGGGGACGTCTGAAGGTGAAGTTTCGCTCTCGAGTTTGTTGGTTTTCTCTCCTTGAACTGGTGCGGGTGCCGGATCTGGAGCATCTACGACTTCAATGGTTGTGGATGGGACTGCATGTCGCTGTATCGCAGCTATGCGCTGTGCGTCGATGTCGTGCTGCTGGGCCATGCTCCACCACCCTCTGACGGCTTCAAGCTCCCTGAAGCGCGCCCAAACCAGGTCGACGCCCTCGCGCAAAGCAGGCCCTGCATCTGCATCGCCCTTCAGCACTTTCTGTACTCCTTCAACAACCTCAGCATCATTGGCGCATGGAATGCACAAGTCAGCATTCGCGCCAGCGCCTCTCCTAGCATCGCCCCAGTCCACAACTGCGCCCTTGCGCATCAGCGGTTCACCCGTGCTATCTATAACCCCCGGTCGAGGCGTTCTTGATAGTCGTTTGAAGATCGATTCCCCCGATGCCTCGCTGGTTCCCCATTTGGGCCCCTTCTCACACTTCTGTTTGACCAGATCGAGACATGCACGCGCATCTTCGATGCTGTCATGCCCGGAAGCACCGTGGCCCAGCTGAATCTCGCGTGAGAGATATTTCTGCGTTAGCCATTTGAGCGAAGATTTGAGTGGTGGCCCACGTGGGTGTGCATAGATGATGGATGTATCAATGATGAAGGGGTGAGTAAGCTTGAGTGCTTCGAGATCGGAATTCAGAGAGTGTCCGATGAGGATCGAATGGGGCGTGAGAAGCTCGAGTAGACGTGCCTGAATATCTGCGAGCGTGGTGGTGACTGGATCAAGAAGCTCCTTCGTCATGCCAGAGTATGGAGTAACATAGTCGGTGATAGGGTTTGTTGGTTTTACAAGTTCGTCCATGACAACAGAGCCATCCCATCCAACAATACTGATGCGGGTGAGCTCGAATTTGGAATCGCTAGTCATGCACATCTCGCAGTCAAGAGCGAAGATTGTGCGGCCTGCCGTAATGCTACCTTGCTGGATCTCACTATCACAGACATTGCCATCCTCGATTCTCGTGATATGTGTGTCCACCCAGCCATCGTCAGGGCCTCGGCCCATACGACGTCTATCAGACATAGCGCTCTCTTTTGCTTCTTCCGATGGCAAATATGCCGGGTGAATCACGTAGTCATTTTCCTGGAGATCGTTGACTGACGTAAGGAATTCTGTGATGCTTGTTCTCTTGTTCTCCCATTGGAGGCTTTCTCGAGGAGTTTTGGGTCCTTTCAGGTTCTTTTTGTCCTCTTTAGATTTAGGCAAGGGGACAGTGAGCATAGCTTGCAGAGATGAATGTATGCGATTGAACTTATCATCACCTGGGTTTCTGACAGGCCAGGCGTGGGCAAAACAATCGGCCAGCGGTTTTGATGGTGCTGGCAGACCTTCAGGCGTTAAGGCGAAGGGATAGTAGTCATCAGGTGAAGCGTTCTTCCCACGTTCATGTTGTGATTTTGAACTCTGTTCTGTCTCTGTGGAGGTGGCACCTACAGTGCTTTCTTTAATGTCTGGATTGGCACTAGAACCATTTATACTTCCCTTGAGCATGCCAAGCTCGAGGCCGGGCACGGCGAGGATCACAACTCTTCGCACAGAGTTGCGATGGCGCACAGCTATCCACTGAGGAGCGTTTCCATCGGCAATCAGGTACAGAGCTAGAGACTGAAGATCACTAATCTTAACCATAGACTGGAGACGAGCTGTCGGAGAATGATGAAGGGCAGGATAATTGCCTGAATTCTTGCCCTCTTTGCTTTTTTTGCTTTTCTTTCTCCTAGAACAAGCAACTTCCCATTCTGCGCCATTGCTATCTTCAGCATCGCGAGCAGTAACCGGCGACTTGTCACCTTTGACCTGGTTCTGAGTATTCCTAATGAAAGCGAGGGTGTCGCCGACACCGATTAGATTGCTTTCGGACTCGCCGCGTGCTTCAAATTCATCGCGGCTCCGTTTACGACTCCCCATTTTGTCGCTGTCCTGCTAATTTCTTCGTGGTGGCGAAGTCTTCGTTGCGAGGAAGACGAACTTTGTGGTTGGTCTGGACGGAGCTTAGGTTTCTGTACGGAATACGTATGGTCTGTGCGTCTATGCGGGCTTTTGCATGGATCCAAGGACTGCCAAGAGTCGAGCGGAAAAAGTTACGGACGGATAATACATCCTACCTGGCTTTGCTCCCAAACACATATGAACAGACAACATACAATTGTTTTGCATCCATCCCTCTCCTCTCTGCGCGCCCTCTTGGGCTTCTACCAATTCCTCTCCCTCCACGACTTCCTTTGCAAAAGCCCGGGCCGACTGTCGAGTCTATTTTTCAAGCCTGACTGCTAACCCCTGCGGCAAGCATAAGTCGCCGTGCGACGTGCTCAGGTGAATGCCTTCACCTACTCCTGGGACCTGATCTCGCGTCCTCGAGCTTGAGACTTACACCATGACACGCTTGTTTCCTCCGACCTGGAAAGGACTCCATCCAATCGCTCCTGACCTTCCCGAGCCCTACTCACCGCGAGAGTTGGATGTGATTCTGCAATGCGGTCTATTGTGGGCAACAGTTTCGATGCCATTTAGGTATGGCATCCGTCGTTTTATCCGGAAGCAGAGAATGCCTCTACCCGGTTCGTTTCTCGCCCACCTCGTATATGGATCTGCCGCCTCCTGGGCTCTGAACGCTTTGTGCGACCAGAGAGAAAAGTCATGCGTCATTCCGTTCTTTGAGAAACATGGGATTGAACAAAAACCTTTTCGCATTATCGAAAGAACGGGAAAGATTGGGATGGACGATATTGTTGTCTTAGGAGCATCGGCTGGACTTCTTGTTGCTCGCACCAGGTTGAAGCCTACGATCACTGGATGGAGACGGCATATAGGCCTTGCTTTCGCCGGTGCCACTACGATGAGTATACTGGCGGACTATCCGCACCATATGTGGACAGAGTCCGCATGGGTGTCGGGGCAGGACCCGTATACGCCATCTGCTGCCTTTTATCGACGCTTCAAGCAGGAGCGTCAGCAAGCCATTGTATACACCCAACATAGGGGTGAGATCGCCCAATGCGTCCCGGAATCGACGATTTCCATGTCGCAGATGTTAAGAATGCATCGCATTTTTGAGGAACATGCATCGATTCCGTCGGGGACCGGACTAATTGAAATATTTTTTGCATATTACTTCCTTCCCATGAAATTGCTGCACTTCTTCCTTCAGCCCTTCGATCCCCCTGGTCCCGATGATCTTCTCGAAATTGATGAAGAGACACAACTCGGCACGGCGGCAGAGCTCCCTAGGTATATACCAGGTGCCGTACCCTGGGCGACTGCGCACGTACCGGCTGTGAACTTGGAAGTAAAGAGAGATTATTTGTGGAGCATGCGTCTGCCGGAAGACATCGAATATATGAAACATGAGCTCGACCAGATGGAGGTGGTACGCCATGGCCTTTTCCGCGATAATGCATACATTATGTCCAAGATTGCTCAGAAAGAATATGAGCTGTATACAACTAAAGATCAAGGTACTGCGGAACATACGATCTTGATTTTTCAATTAGACGTTCTGGCAGGTTTTCACAGAAAAATTGAATCGGAAATTCTGCGATTGGGCTGGAGGATGAGGGAAGCACAAAGGCTCCTTGCTTTATCAAGAGGAGAGAACATAACACCAAAAGAGCGACTGTACTACACGGAGAATTCTATGATCCTTGTGCTAAATAGACATAAAGGTCCTGAATTTCCGTGGCCAACTGCAAGCGATGAAGTGGCTAAGACGGCATTCGCGGCGTTGAGGCAAGAATTGGAGGCTGATTTTAAGAGTTCTGACTGATTGCAAGCACACTTTTAACAGATAAATTCCAAGTCTGTCTATTACGAGCGCCTAATACGCTTGTGTTAATGATTGCCGCGACTGAATTGGCAAATGTCATGCGTGTGATAATTACTTGAAGCCCTTAGTTATGGTGTCGAGGGGCCCGTAAGATATCGTGCGCACCTTGTATGTATTCCTGCCCGGACATCAAGTCAAGCCTTCTTCTCCTTGTTCAACTCCTCCATCTTGTCCCTGGACGGTAAGGAATCAGGACCAAATGCATTCGGAAGTAGCTTTACAATCTCAGCACATCGCCTCATCAAAGGGTGGTCCAACTCACCTCTCCCATCGTCATGACCTCATATTTACCGTCACGATCAAACATCAGTATTGGCGTGGGAGGCTACGTCCAAGTCGTCAGCAAGTCCTCTACACGCTGTCACAACTACCACACCTCTACACCCCTCTCTCCACATAGCAGTCGTTCCAAAGCCTCACCCACAGTCTGCATCGGCCGAAGCGGCTTCCCCTCCTCATCCTTCACTCACCTCGCAAAACTCCCTCAGGAACTGTCTACACATGCCGCATGGGCTGCTAGCAGGCGTCACATCTGTAGCCACAGCCACAGCCTTGAAGCTCCCCAGCTTATAACCTTGTATCACCGCCGTGCTCATCGCCGTCCGCTCGGCGCAGATGCCTACCGGGTACGAGCCGTTCTCGACGTTTGCGCCCATGATGATTGTGCCATCGGTCGCGAGGAGGGATGCGCCGACGCGGAACAGAGAGTATGGGCCTGGTGCAGGGAATCAGTAATCTGAGCGAGAATCAGGAGTATGCTTGGGTTCTTCCGGGAAGGACGGTGGATTTGAGGGGCAGTATACGTACAGTATGCGAGAGCTTTGGCCGCGATGGCCTTCTCTCCTAGGATGTGCACTTCGGTGCTGGTGAGGCCATGAACACTCTCTTCATCAGGGGTCATGAGCTCTTTCGATGGTGCCCAAGCCATGTGGACAGTTTCTGGTGGACTGGGGAGGGGAATACATGGTTACTCTAGAGGGGCGGTAGTGAAAGCTCTAGCTCTCGGCTGTCTCCGAAACGCTGTTATCCATTATTTTGGTGCGGATGATGATAAGGGTATCGTTTAGCGCTCAATTAGAAAAGAATACGTATCGTTGAGGCTGGATTGCGTACATTGCAGTCTGGAGCCACTTACTATCAAGGTTGCGGAGCACTCCAATCGAACAAACGTCATGACAATAAGCATAAGCAAGGAATTGTAGATTGTTGATGGATGAGCATTTGATGTCTTGCTACTGGATGGCTCGGATGGCGTCTGCAAGTAGAAGATTATATACGAAGAACCCAGAGCGTGGAGGTCAGTCATAGATGCTCGGTATGCCATCCAATCCGCTTGATACTCAAATGAGAAACGAAAGGTTCGCTTCATGATAGCAATGGCAAGACTAACAACAATCATTCATACAGACCTAAACTGCGAATCTGCTAAATAACCCCCTATGCAACCTCTACAAACGCCCTCTTCCTGACATTCTTGTCGCTATTATCCTCAAGTACATCTTCTAGTCGAACATTTTCATTATCCTTGACCTTGCCTCCCACGAATCTAAGCGCAGCAAGATTGAACCCGAGCACATCTTTTAAGCTCTCTAAGCTCGCCCTCAAGTCGTCCCTCATACCTTCTAATATCAGCCTCAATTCACCTGAACTGACAATCTGCCGCTGATGCGTCTTCAGCATAAAAAACAGAACCCTACACGTCAACGGCATATTCCATTTCCTTCGCACAAAGATCGCCAGGAACGTGAAAAGCGACGGCAACATCGAGAATGGCAGCACGAGCAGCGCATCCTGCAAGCTAGGCGCCGGGATTCGCGCCATGGTATTGAGAACATGTCGCTCTGCAGAGATGCCGCCAAGAGCCATGAACAGCGGATCCCGTTGCGGTGGCGCAACGTTGACGTTTGGATTATCTTTCTTTTGCGCTTCGTAGCGTTCGACGATGGCTAGGTCGGCAACACCTAGCTCAAGAGCCTCGGCGATCTTTTCTCCGGCCGTGAGCGTTTGGATGGTCTGCTTCGATGCAAGGGTCAGCTGGTCGCGAGCTTCAGTACCATCGTCTTCGTCATTCAGGGTAGCTTGAAGCGCAGCTTCGTGTAGCTCCTCCAAGTCCTTCTCGCGCTCTTCTTCGAGGAAGAGAGGCTCGTCTGTTTGTGCCCAAATGCGAATGCTTTTGTCGTGGGATGCGGTGACGACGAAGTCGCCAGTACGGGAAACGGCAAGGGACCAGATTTCACCATGATGCGCATCGAGCTTCTGAATCTGCTCAAACTTGTCGCCATCCCAGGATTTGAGGGTACGGTCTTTGCTGGCGCTGAAAAAGATATGGGCGTCGTCTCTGTTCACAGGATGCGGGATGAACTGTACGGCCATGATGCTGTCTTGGTGGGCGAATATCGCTTTATGGCAGTCGCCAAAGTCGAGTCCCCAGATGCGGATGTTTTTATCGGCGGAGCAGGTGGTTATTAGCTTGTTGTCGGAGGATATGGTAATATCAAGTACGGGGAGCTTGTGGCCATAGAGATTGAGGAAGACTTTGAGGGAGTCGGTAAAGAAGACTTTGACGGTGTTGTCGAGTGTGGAGAGGGCGAGAAGGCGGGCGTCAGGGGAAAAGCAGAGCTTGAGGACATCGTCATTGAGTTTAAGAATGCGAGTATGCTTAAGACGGAGCTTTTTCGTTGTCCGCTTTGTGCCAGGTATTTCTTCTTGAAAGACTTCGAAGGCCCAGAATTTAGCACATTTGTCGGCGCTGCCTGTTACGAGCGATTGACCGCCGGGATGTACTGCAAGTGTCCAGACAGACCCGTCATGGGCCTGAATTTTCTCAAGCAGAGTTGAAGACGCAATGTCGAAAAGCTCAAGCTCACCAGATTTGGTTCCTACGACGACGATCTTGTCACCAGGAACAAATGATACACATAATGCATAGCCACATTCCAGTGTACGGATACATGTCCGTGTTTGCACATTCCAGATTTTGAGGCTACCATTGGAAGCAGTGGCAAGCATTTTGTCGTCGGAGCTGAGTGCCACAGCGCGAACATCGGCGCGATGCCCCGGAAGTTCGACGGAAGAGATACGATCATACTCTACTTCTGTATCATCTTTTGACTTCTTGATACGTTCTTTGGTGGTGACGGTATATGCTTCGATTAGGTTGTTTGTTGCTGTTGCGATGAGTTGTAGAGATCTGGAGGACTTCGTCCTCGCCCAAGCTACTGAACGGATCTTTCCCCCCGTTCTGACGATCGTATATGGGACAAAGACCTCTTTAATGTCAGTCTGACCGTTGTCCTCGAGCATGTCTTCATCAATTTCTTCGCCTTTTTGAGTTGCTTTCTCACGTCTTCGCTTACGCTTGCGTGCGAGTGACTTCTTGATCTCCTCTTCGCCTCGAATGCGCCATATCTCGACAGCTTTTTCTGTACCATGGATCGCAATGTAGTCAGCTTTGTGGTGGAATTGAATACCTGTGGTTCGGTCTTTTCCCTGTCGATACAAGAGGCCCATCTCATGTAGTACTCGATCACTCTCCCCCAGTCCTCTATCGCTCAGACTTGTCGCAAGTACGTTTGAATTTATCGACCAGACCTTGAGTTCACCATCGTTACCAGCTGTAATGCAACCTGTACCATCTGGAGAGACGGACATTGCCCAGCATTCTCCGTTCGTTTGAGCCACATGGGTTTCAATGCAGTGCTGCGATGAAAGTTCCCAGACCTTGATGAGTGCATCTTTGCTGGTTGACAGTAAAACATTGCCCTCTGATGGTGGTGGTAAGCGTTCCTCGTCCTGCAAGGCTTGAGGGTACAGGAAACAGAGAGCCGTGACCTGATCTTTGTGGCCGCGAAGTTTGAATAGACCGACTTCGCTCAGGAGATCCCATAGAATGATATCCGTATCCTTAGACCCACTCGCAAGACGGGCTCCGGTACGGTCAAATTGGAGAGTTGTCACGGCTGATTTGTGGCCGTTGAAAGTAATGAGGCAAGTATCCGTTCTTGCATCCCATATTCTGATACTGCCATCTGCGTGCCTATCTTCCCATCAGATTGGCCCTTTCTGAATAATAGTGCCAACTCACCCAACCGCGAATATAGATTCATCCGCTGTTGATTTAGATACCGCCGTGACTTCAGCGTTGCACTGAACATCTTTCCACCGACTCAAGAGTTGGCCCTTCCGGACATCCCAACTCAACACTTCCTCATTCGCGCTGACATACGCGACACCAGCTCCAGTTTTGGATGTTGATGCGTCTTCTTGTGGCGCCCAAACAAGATTCGAAGATCCAGTGCACACTACACCAAAAGAATGCGACTGTTCATATTTGCTGTATCGCATCAGCATTAGATCAATGAGGCTCACTACAATTGATACATACACATATGACTTGACCATGCTCGCTGTCGAACAGTTGCTCTGTTTAAGCTTGTCCTAGAATTTATCATCCCAGGCTTTTTTTCGATGCCGCGACCGAGTGCAGATCTCGACATTTTAGTGGAGCCTCGGGCTGTGGCGTGCGTGGCTGAAGCGTGCAATGAGGCATTCTTTCAGGCATCAATTCGTGATACACAACCCCACATCATTCGTAGGCCGTATTGGAAGCTACACTACACACCACATCTCTTCGCATTTTCAAGTCAGCGGCGCACGGGGCTCGAACATATCAAAGCTATATAGACCTCAGAGAACGGCAGCATGCTTCTCCTCGACTACCAGAATGTGCTCATTGAATCGCTGCTGAAAGACCGCTTTGCTGGGTAAGATCCTTACGTCTTTGCTCTCCTGCGGACACATTCAAGTTGCTAACAACTCTACAGAGCTGCTCCTATTAACATTGATCAGATAGTCTCAGACTTTGACAATGTCACGTTCCATATATCTACCCCTGAAACCAAGACCAAAATTCTCATCTCGATACGTGTGAAGTGCTTCCCAGAGCTAGTGCAATATGGCGCTCAGGCCGTCTTAGAAAGAGAATATGGGCCATACATAGTGTCGCCGGAGTCAGGGTATGACTTCTCGGTCCAGGTGGATTTAGAGGCATTACCAGAGAGTCAAGAGGAGAAAGATGACCTGATTCGCCGTATATCACTATTGAAGCGCAATGCGATGGCTGCTCCATTCGAGCAGGCTTTTGACGAGTTCAAGGCATTACAAGAGGAGGCATCGAAGTACACATCTGAACAAGCACCACAGGGTGTGCAAGAGGGAGGAGAGGTTCGGGCAATTCACTACCGTGAAGCGGAGGCCATCTTCGTAAAGGCCAGTCATGATAGAGTAACTGTGATATTCAGCACCATCTTCTCCGACGAGACGGATCGCATCTTCGGAAAGGTGTTTCTCCAGGAATTCGTGGATGCGAGGAGAAGGGCCATTCAAAACGCACCACAGGTACTCTTCCGGAATGACCCTCCGCTCGAGCTACAAGGTGTTCCCGGTATTGATGCAAGTGGCTCGGCCAAGATTGGCTACATTACGTTTGGTGAGTTTGTCGAAGTGCTTGTTGGTGGATGCTGATCAAGTAGTTCTCTTCCCACGCCATCTAGCGGATCAGCGTCGCGAAGATGTTATATCACACATACAAACGTTCAGAGATTACTTCCACTATCACATCAAAGCATCAAAGGTAAGTGCTACCGACCTTCCATTGACTTGCACTATTGACCGTTGGAGGCATATATTCATTCGAGGATGCGCCGGCGCACGGCCGACTTCCTCCAAGTACTGCGCAGAGCCAGGCCCGAGGCCGAAGAGAAGGAGCGCAAGACAGCAAGTGGACGGACGTTCAAGGTGCAGGCTTAAAGTGTTCATAGGATATGTTCCTGTGCAATAGACGAGCTTTGCTTAGCCATTCTGGGTGAAGATGGCTCACGTATCGCAGATTCAGGGGGCCGTTATTACAATACATAGGTGCAGGCGACGTCGTATAGACAGTCGAAATGTAGGTGTAGCGATACAAACAAAAGACATTAAAAATGCTCAAATCAAATACACACGGAGTACACGTTACTGTGATATTTGCATGTCAGGTTTGGTGTTGATTGCTTTTGTGATAATATTCCACTACAGTGGATGCCGGGTCCCTCAACCGCTTTTTACCGAGCGAAGCCCGCATCTCGACGTGCATCCTGGATTACCACGATTTAAGCACTGATTCCACTCAACGCGTTGAACTACAGCCACCGCATCGCGCACGATGCGATGGCCCTGGACTTCCGAAACAGACATTCACAAGCGCTCGGATAGTTCCTGGAGCTGGAAACGCTTTACAGAACCGCAAACCATCCTCGCATCGCTCGTTCTAGCTGGCGGTCTCCTCACATCTGTGCGTGTCTACAAAGAGTATCTTAGGCGCATACCCAATTCGAAATATATTAAGCCAGGATGGCTAAGGCAGAAAAGTCTGTTTGGAACTGTCACAAGAGTTGGTGATGCAGATGGCTTCCATCTCTACCACACACCAGGCGGAAGACTGGCAGGATGGGGTTGGTTTCCAGGAAGATCAATACCAGTCAATAGAAAGGAGCTAGTTGGCCAGACGGTGAGATAGGAACGCGGATGTCTCTCACAAGCACGTATAATCTGACATATTTTACGCTCAGATATCAGTCCGTATTGCCGGCGTAGATGCACCTGAGTTGGCACATTTCGGACAGGAGGGGCAGCCGTACGCCAAAGAGGCGCACCAGTTCCTGATCGGTCTCATAGACGGCCGAAGAGTACGAGTATATCTCCACAGTCGTGATCAGTACGACCGGGTCGTCGCTACTACCTACGTTCGACCGTGGGTTTTGAAGAAAGACGTGGGACTGGAGATGCTAAAACGCGGCTTGGCTACTGTATATGAGGCCAAGACCGGGGCTGAATATGGAGGCAAGAAAGAGCTGTACGAGACTACGGAGCAAAAGGCAAAAGACAGCAAAGTAGGCATGTGGGAAAAACCAAATCTTCTGTCTCGCTTGGTTGGTACGAAAGAGTTTCGGACAGAGTCGCCTAGAGAATATAAAAACAGACACAAGGAGGAAGCCGTCAAGAAGTAAAAGGGAGAATCTATGCTGCATAGCGAGGCGTTTGACAGAATAAATCCCTATGATATCTGCTTGATTATACCAAACAATATCGAATTTATCATGCCTCAGGCTGCAACTGCTCCACGGCTAATGAAATGGGCGGGCTCTCCACCGTCTTAATTAGGTACTTCGGTACCGTCCCCGAGTTCGGACGGAACCTCCACGAATGTGGAGAAGTCAGATAACTAAAATAGAAATAGATGAGGTGATTGGCCTGTCAGTTTGAAAGAAAAAAAAATGCACCGAACATGCGCAATGCAGGCATGGTCCTCGACGCCTCAGGTTCTAGAGCGCGTCACGGGTCAACAGCCAGTGATAGCAACCTCTTACCGCCTGGCCATGGCATGGATGTATCCGATCAAGGCTTGCAAGCAAACTTTTTTTTTGCCTGGCACAATTTGCAAGGCTTGTGCATGACAAGGAACACGGGAGAATGGAGAGGCATTGCAAGGAACATTTGCCGTCACCGCACCTCGATCGATGCAGGTGTGGTGGTGTACAGGTTCAGTCCCACGCAGAAAAGTTCTGCTTGCGATTCCTGAACATCTGCCAGGCTCTCTCACGCACTTACTATACGTATGGCATGCTAGACATACACCTAATATTCTTTGATTGACAATTCGTCTACCTTGTGAGGTAATTCCTAGCATTGCTAGCCTTGCCGGTGCCCTATCTTATCGGGGAGCTCTTAGCTAGCGCGCAGCAATAGAGTCATTCGAGGTTGTCCCCAGCTTTTTTTTAAATTCACACGAGCATCTTGACCTCACTTTTCACGCACACCGCACATTTCCTTCGTTGTAAACGCCTCTATATCTCTGATCCTGCACCTTGGTATGCAATACACTGAGTAGAGAAGAATATCACCTAACTTGTCAAGGCATTTGAGGCACAATTGGCCGTCGATCGCCCAAGCCAGAGCTGCCATGTCTCTCTGCGCCCGCGCAGGTCGCGCAACTTCAAAGCTTCTGCAGCAACCCACCACATATCGACTTTCCCGGCGATGCCTTAATACATCCGCTGCTCATCCTCGGCCAGTTTTCGTCTGCAGGTCGCAGCTGAATTCGCCCAAAAGTCAATTGCGATCTTTCACAAGATCTGCAGTCGCTAGGAATGCCTCTCAAGAGGCCCCGAACTCTCAAGCATACTTGAACAGTGGTGCAATCTCAGGGGCTAGGAATCTTGTCAACGTAAAGAAGGTACTCGTCATTGGCAGCGGTGGCCTCAGTATTGGGCAAGCTGGTGAATTTGACTACTCTGGTGAGTCACGAGTGGGCGATCAGGCCTGGTCACAATATTAGCACCGATATAACTTACCTCACTTTGGCATATAACTACAACAGTATACGAGACCAATAGCTAACGAGTGCAACGCATAGGGTCCCAAGCTCTCAAAGCCCTCAAGGAAGCGGGCGTTCAGTCGGTTCTCATTAACCCTAACATCGCTACCATCCAGACCTCCCACGTCCTAGCAGATCAAATCTATTATCTACCAGTCACCCCTGAATACGTCACATATGTCATTGAAAAAGAAAGACCAGATGGCATCTTCCTCAGCTTTGGTGGCCAGACCGCCCTTAATTTGGGTGTGCGCATGAACAAGATGGGTATCTTCGAGCGATACGGAGTGCAAGTTCTTGGTACGAGCATCAAGACTTTGGAGACCAGCGAGGACCGAGACCTCTTCGCCCAAGCACTCAACGAGATCAATATTCCTATTGCAGAGTCCATTGCCGTTTCGACCATCGATGAGGCCCTCAAAGCTGCAAGCAAGATCGGGTACCCCATTATTGTGCGTGCTGCTTATGCCCTTGGTGGTCTAGGATCTGGCTTCGCAAACAATGAAGAAGAACTTCGAGATCTGTCTGCTCGCTCACTTACCCTCTCTCCTCAAATTCTGGTCGAGAAATCCCTGCGAGGCTGGAAGGAGGCTGAATATGAAGTGGTACGCGATGCCAGTGACAACTGTATCACTGTGTGTAATATGGAAAACTTTGACCCCCTTGGCGTTCACACTGGTGACAGCATCGTCGTGTCTCCCAGTCAGACTTTCAGTGACGAGGAATACCACATGCTCAGGTCTGCGGCCATCAAGATTGTCCGCCACCTAGGCGTTGTAGGCGAATGTAATGTGCAATATGCTCTGCAACCCGATGGTCTCGACTACAGGGTCATCGAAGTCAATGCCCGTCTCTCCAGGTCTTCGGCTCTTGCATCCAAGGCTACTGGCTACCCCCTGGCCTACACCGCAGCCAAAATCGGTCTTGGTCACACTCTTCCTGAACTACCAAACGCCGTGACAAAAACAACAACTGCAAACTTCGAGCCTAGTTTGGATTACATCGTGACCAAGATGCCTCGATGGGATCTCAGCAAATTCCAGAACGTCAAGCGCGATATCGGAAGTTCGATGAAGTCTGTCGGCGAGGTAATGGCCATTGGAAGGACGTTTGAAGAATCGTTCCAGAAGGCTTGTCGACAGGTTGACCCTAGGTTCCTCGGCTTCCAAGGCGACAAATTCGACGATCTTGATGAAACCCTCAGGAACCCGACGGATCGCAGATGGCTCGCCGTTGGTCAAGCTATGTTCCACGAGGGCTATTCTGTGGACAAGGTCCATGACTTGACCAAGATTGACAAGTGGTTCCTGTACAAGCTGCAGAATATTGTTGATTGCACCAACGAGCTGCAGGAAATTGGCAGCCTCTTCGGCCTCCGACAAGAGATCATTCTCAAGGCCAAGAAGCTGGGTTTCTCTGATAAGCAAATCGCCAAGGCTGTCAACAGCACCGAGGACGAGGTCCGCGCTCGCAGGAAGAGCTTTGGTATCAAGCCTTGGGTCAAGAAGATTGACACTCTTGCTGCTGAATTTCCAGCGGATACTAACTATCTCTATACTACTTATAATGCCAGTTCTCACGATGTCACTTTCGACGATCATGGAGTTATTGTACTTGGGAGCGGTGTCTACCGTATTGGCAGCTCCGTCGAATTCGACTGGTGTGCTGTCAATGCGACCCTGTCGCTGAACAAACTCGGCAAGAGGACCGTTATGATCAATGTGAGTCGAAATGCATATATTGTATTTCTCAAGTCTCGCCATCCCCGGACCCCTTTTGCTTCTCTACGACATTGCTCGCTCTTTTCTTCGATGGATATCTTCTTTCCTTCCTCACTTCATTTCATTACGTTTGTGCACAACATCGTCGCACAGTAGATGTTTTCTCAATTTTGTCCATTCGCTAACTTGAATCATAGTGTAAGCCTTCTCCCCATCACATCATTGACCCCATAATCCCCTCACCCGGGGCACGATTCTGGAATGCCTGGTCACCGTATTGCGTTCCTGCCGGATACCGGATATCCGAAGCAACATCCCCATCTGTATCGATTACATCAATTGCCCGTTCCCAGTCCAATGCCTCTAACCAAATCCCTGCCACTGAGTATCGCACATCAATTCCCGTCCCTGGAAATTGTCAAAGCATCTGGCTATCGTCAACAATCACTTCAATCATCATCATGGCTACCGTTGCCCTGAATTTGTCCCCATCTCGCCGCGATATTGTTATCTACCGGGCTCCCTACTCACTTCCAAGCCATTTGTTCATTTGTTTCCTCTTGCAACGTATAGCTAACTTTGCGCAGACAATCCAGAAACCTATAGTACTGACTTCGACGTCGCCGACAGACTGTACTTTGAGGAGCTGAGCTATGAGCGGGTGATGGATATCTATGAGATGGAATCTGCCACCGGTGTAGTAGTATCTGTCGGAGGCCAGCTCCCCCAGAACATCGCTCTCAAGCTTCAGGAGGATGGCAAAGCGAAGGTTCTGGGCACAAACCCCAACGACATTGACAAGGCCGAGGACCGACACAAGTTCTCGCAGATTCTCGACTCGATCGGTGTTGATCAGCCTGCGTGGAAGGAGCTTACTTCGTTCCAAGAGGCTAAAGAATTTGCCAATTCTGTCAGCTATCCGGTCCTGGTACGCCCTAGCTACGTGCTCTCTGGTGCTGCCATGACCGTCATTCACTCAGAAAGTGAGCTGGAAGAGAAGTTGACAGCTGCGAGCAACGTCTCTCCTGACCACCCTGTCGTCATCACCAAGTTTATCGAGGGTGCCCAGGAGATTGATGTTGATGGTGTTGCGTCAAATGGCGAGCTACTTATCCACGCCGTCAGCGAACACATTGAAAATGCGGGCGTTCACTCTGGAGATGCCACATTGGTGCTACCACCGGCCTCTCTTTCCGAGGATATCATCAAGCGCGTCAAGGAAATTGCTCAGAAGGTCGCCAAGGCTTGGAGTATCACTGGACCTTTTAACATGCAGATCATCAAGGCTGAGGACCCAGAAGGTGGCGAGCCGGCGCTCAAGGTCATCGAATGCAATCTTCGTGCCTCTCGATCGTTCCCCTTTGTCAGCAAGGTCTTGGGTACCAACTTCATTGATGTTGCTACCAAGGCTCTTGTTGGTAAGGATGTTCCTGGACCTGTCGACCCGATGGCGGAGAAGAGAGATTATCTTGCGACCAAGGTGCCTCAATTTTCGTGGACCCGTCTCGCTGGTGCGGACCCATACCTGGGCGTTGAGATGGCTAGCACGGGTGAGATGGCTTGCTTCGGGACGAACCTTGTCGAAGCCTACTGGGCCTCTATTCAGTCCACGATGAACTTCCGCATGCCTGAGCCCGGGGAGGGTCTCCTGTTTGGAGGCGATATCAGTGCGCCCCACCTGGCCAAGATTGTAGACTACATCAACCCGTTGGGCTACAAGCTGTATGCCGCAAACGAGGAGGTGAAGCAACATCTCGAGCAGGGATCCAAGGACAACAGCGTGAGCGTCGAAGTGATTGAATTCCCCAAGCAGGACAAGCGTGCGCTGCGCGAAGTCTTTGAGAAGTACGACATCCGCGGAGTCTTTAACTTGGCCAAGGTCCGCGCGAGCAGCTTGGTGGATGAGGACTACGTTATGAGGAGGAACGCGGTCGACTTTGGCGTTCCATTATTCATGGAGCCACAAGTAAGTTTTGGACTCTGACATGTTTGCACGCGCGTATTAACGACCCAACCAGACCGCTGTGCTTTTCGCGCGATGCATGAGCGAGAAGCTCCCCAGGAAGGAAGGTATACCCCCAGAAGTGCGCCCGTGGACCGACTTTGTCGGCGGCAAAGTGATCTGAGCCGGCGATCCAAGAGACATGCATGCTGTCATTGGGAGAAGACAAGAGAAATACGTAAAGCAATATTTAGGACAACAGGAAATGGTCGAATGCTCTAAAGTGTGCGCAAAGTTGGGTTATTAATTGTAGATATTACGATCGGGCGGTCGGCGCACGCAGCTATGTTGTTCGAGCGAGAGAAAAAAAATATGCCCTATCAACGAGTGATTCAATGCCCTATCAACGAGTGATTCAATGCCCTATCAACGAGTGATTCAATGCCCTATTAACGAGTGATTCAACAGTACGGTTCTTGCTGTTCCACTTATCTTCGTGCAAATGCCCTTTGTCTGTGACCGATTGAAGGAGCAGAGAGAGATTCAAAGCACTCGGACTCATACACACATATTTACAACATCAACAGCAAGAAGTCGTCAATACCTCCAGCCCTCCCCCCAACAAAAAGAGATGCTAATAATAATAGACACTCACCTCAATTCCGTCCCATCGCCTAGAATTTCCGCCCGGCAGGAAACGACAAGACGCTCTGACGACAAGAGGGAAATGTGATTACTTACCCCATTTCGATTTTGCTTATATAGGCCCGTGAGGCGGTTGATTCACGTCGCTAGCAAGAGTCTAGCGCCTGAGAATTCCCCCCCTGCTGGTACTGGTAGTAAACGACAAGACGCTCAAGTATGGAGAAAGGGGGGGTTGGGGGAAGAATAGGGTTACCCTTCCTTTTTGAATCAACGGGTTGGGATGTCATAGGGCAGTCAATTTCACTTTACGACTGAATAGAGTCTAGCGCCATAAATCCCCCCGCGGAAAACGACTAGACGTTCGACGACGGAGGGGGGGATAGATATTACCCTTTAAGTTTAGGACTAAGGGTTCTAATAGGTCTGTTCTATAATATAATGGGGATTTATATTATTTCGGTGGTGCGGTTCACTCTATTTTTATAATTCACTACCCTATCCGTGCTAGCGCATGAAATCCCCCCGCGAAAAATAACTAGACGTTCAACGATGAACACGCTATTAGATTACCCTTTCTATACTTAAGGGAGGTGCGCTATAGGGTAGGTAGGGTAGGTAGGTAGATAGTCTATTCACTCTATTTTTATAATTCACTACCTTATCCGGCTTAGCGCTATAAATCCCACCGCGGAAAACGAGTAGACGTTCGATGATAAACATGCTATGAGATTACCCTTTTTAAACTTAAGGGAGATACCCTATAGGGTGGATAGATAGGTAGGTAGGTAGGTAGATAGGTAGATAGGTAGATAAGTATTCTATTCACTCTATTCTTATACTCCCCCACCCAATCCGTGTACTTTCCCATAGAAAAAACAACACGACGTTCAACGATAGAGTTAGTATTAGATTACCCTTTTTAAACTTAGGGGAGGTACCCTATAGGGTAGGTAGGTAGGTAGATAGGTAGATAATTCACTCTATTTTTATAATTCACTACCCTATCCGTCCTAGCGCTATAAATTCCCCTATAAAAAAGGACTAGACGTTCGACGGTATACATGCTATTAGATTACCCTTTCTAAACTTAAGGGAGGTGCGCTATAGGGTAGGTGGGTAGGTAGGTAGGTAGTCTATTCACTCTATTCTTATACTCCCTAACCCAAATCCATCCTAGCTCCCGCCGTTCCCCGTGAAAAACGACACGACGTTCAACGATAGAGGGGGTCCTAGGAATTCCCTATTTCGAAGTAATCGCTATAATTTCACTCTATTCTTATACTCCCCCACCTAATCCATCCTAGCTCCCGTAGTCCCCCGCGAGAAACGACTAGACGTTCGATGATAAAGGGTGTCCTAGGAATTCCCTTTTTCAAAGTGATTACTATAATTTCACTCTATTCTTACACTCCCCCACCCAAATCCGTCCTAGCTCCCGCAGTCCCCCGTGAAAAAAACGACACGACATTCAACGATGGAGGGGAAATTAGAAGTTGCCTGTTTTGGAGTGAACTGTTGGTTGGTTGGTTGGTGGGTTGATTGGCGGGTTGATCAGGGGGTTAGAGTCATGGGATTAGTTAGTTAGATGGGATGTATATACAAGTGAAGAAAGAGGAAAAAGGGAAAAGATGAATTTGAAAAAAAAGAATGAAAAACAAAAATTCTATTTTCGACGTGTCTATTCGGCATCTACTACTACCTACTACCCTCATCACTCTCAGCCCTGTCTGTCCAGAACAGCACTACCCTCCCCTCCACCCACATCCTCATCATCCACCCTCCGACTGCTCTTCCTCCTCCCCAACAACAGCCGTATTCCTACCAACCCTCAACGGCAGCGGCACAGCCGCAACCTGGCTATACACCCTCTCCTGCCTCACCCTCTCCTGCCCCACCTCCCCCAGCCTCACCCTCTCCTGCATCACCCTCTCCCGCCTCACCTCCCCCAGCCTCACCCTCTCCCGCCTCGTCTTCCCAACCGGCAATCGCAATTTCAGTTGTAATGCAGCTGGTGCAGCTGGAGGAGGTGGTAAAGGCGGTACCACCCTCTGCCTCTGCCCCTGCCTCTGCCCCTGCCTCTGCCCCTGCCTCTGCCCCTGCCCCCGCTGATCAGGCACCTGCTTGCCCGGCTTCGCCGTCGAACGGTGGGAGAGCGATGAGGCGAGGGACTCGTGCGAGGTGCGGGGTGTTGTGTGGGGAGAGGAAGAAGAGGAAGAGGTGGTGGTGGAGGCGGTGGTGGAGGCGGTGCGTGGGGAGGATGGGTGTGAGGATGTGTGCAGAGAGCGGTGGGAGGGAGAGGGGGAGGGAGAGGGGGGTTGAGACGGGGATTGGGATTGGGATTGAGATTGTGATGGTGATTGGGATTGGGATGGTAGTTGTGATGGGGAGTGAGAAAGAGAATGAGAAAGAGCCGGCGAAGACGAAGACGAAGACGAAGCACAACCCTGCGTCCGGCGCGAGAAATTCGTTGCATCGGCAGATGCCTTCCCAGCAGTCAGCGGTCGAACAGCATGCTGCGAGTCCGTAGCCGTCTTGGGTATCACTGCTGCTGGAAGCATCGTCACCGTCAGCGGCGCACCCACACGCTCCCCAGCCATCACAACAGGCACAACCTGCACCCCCCCATCCACCACAGCCTCATCCCCAAGCCCACCCAGCCCACGCACCTCAGCACCGCGCCCAACACCACGCGCATCATCCGTCTTCTTACGCGGCGGGACAGCCGGCACAACAGCAGGAACAGGCGGCTCAGGCAGAGGCAGTCTCAGCGGCGGCGGCGAAGTGAGCGCGGCTGGCAGGGCCTTTTCAGGGGGGTGGGAATCGTGAGGCTTGGGGACCGGGGGTGTTGCGATTCTCAGGGATGGCGGGGGAGAGGGGTCTAGGGAAGGTGGTGGTGGGGATTTGAAGGTGCGGGTGTCGAGGATGTCGTTGTTGGAGCGGGAGGCTTTGTTGGTGGTGGTGGTGGTGGTGGTGGTTGAAGGGGGTGGGTTGGCATCTCGGCTGGTGTCTGGTCGGTCGATTTGACGATACGAGGGGTGTAGTGGGATGGGGTTGGAGATCTTTCGGTAGACGACGCGTTCTGAGCTTGGTTGTGTATGGACACGACGATGATGATGATGATCGCGCCCTCTGCCTGCGTGAGCCACAACCTTACCGCCGCTCTTCACCGACCCAGGTTTCTTCAATCCAATCCTGGGCTCCTCTTTCCGTCTCGACCGCAGCATATCCACCCTCTGCTTCACCAGCAAAGCTTTCCTCTTGTACCCCAGCCTGAAACCAACCGGCACCTCATTCCCATCCTGACCATGCCGTCCACGAGCGAGACCCGTACCGCCATGCGACGACGCCGACAACACCTCACCAGCCTTCCGCAGACCAGCACCATCGTCCACCACCGCCACCAGCGTCGATGAAGCAGAAGCAGAAGCAGAAGCAGAAGCAGAAGCAGAAGCAGAACCAGAACCAGAACCAGAAATCAACCCCTCGACCACACCCCCCAACTCCCTAAGCCCACGCCTCAGCACAAGAAACGCCTCCTCCTCCTCCTTCTCACGCCTCGCCCCAACACCACCACCAGCACCACAACCAGCACAACCAGCACCACCCCTCAACCCCTCAACCACGCCCCTCAACTCCGCCCTCTCCCCCCTCAACCGTGCCGAAACCCGCCTTTCATCCTCGAGCTGCCGGGCCAAAGCCTGCTTGTCGCCCTTTAGCCTCTGCACCTCGCGCTCGAGGCTGTCGTTGTGCGCGCGGGCTTCGTCTATGTGGTGTTGGAGGTTGGCGGTGAGGGACTTGAGGATGTCTTGTGGGTTTATGGTTGTGGTTTTGTTGCTGGCGGTGGATAGGGGGTTGGATAGGGGGTTGGATAGGGGGTTGGATAGGTGGTGTTTCGTGGTGGTGGAGGGTCTTGATGTGGATGTGGATGTGTTTGTGTGTGAGGCGTCTGTTCGGGGGGGTTTGATGGTGGAAGAAGAAGAGGAAGAGGAAGATGTAGCAGTAGTAGATATGCTGGATAGGAGGCCTTTGAGGCCAAAGTGTGGGGGTGACATGCTGGGTATACAACTCTATAAAGGTTAGGGGCTGGGCAGGGGATCGAAGGCTCGTGTAAGTTTGTGAGAGGAGGGTGAGAGAAGGAACGACCTGCGGGCTTTCACAGCCCTAAATACCTCCTTCATCCTCGTCCTCCTCGTCCTCGTCCTCCTCCAAGCCATCAACAACGTCGTCCTGTCTCACGCCAACAAAGCACCTTCAGACAAAGAAATTACATTGTGAAGAGATACCTACCATCAATCAAGCTGAACAGCGCAAGGATGAGACCGACGACACATTCTGAACAACATAATAAAACGGTGGCGTCCCCCAAGGACAAGCCAAAAAAATATGGTTGGTGGTGTATGTACAGTCTGTCGTCTATAATAATGGCATATGCGAGGAATCGAGTATAGAGTTCCACCAAAGCCAGTTGTATGTATATATGTATGCCATCCGACGTCTGAAGACGTCCCTAACCACTGCGATAGATTAAACAAAAGGGATTCAAAGCCGTGGGCTGAATGCTTATAATGCATGGAATGTTTTCTTGATCTCAATGCCTCTCGCTCGCTATGCAAAACCTGATAAAAATGTGCTCCCTGATTCGATATTACAGTCATGTCATGTTATTAAGTATCATCGTCTTCCTTGATTATTGTATCGATTTTGTTGTTGCGCCTGTTGAGCATCCCAACTAGCACCGTAGGCTTGTGGTAGTATTTGCTGAGAAGCATAAGTGGCAGGACCTCCACCTTGAAACTGCTGTGGCGTTCCGGGACTGCGACCTGGCGTAGATGGACCGTAGCCATACTGATGATTCTGTTGCGCGTTCGTGAAGTACCCTTGAGACTGATTCTGGTTTGGAAAGCCGTACAATGAGGGAGAGCCGGATTTCTGTTGGATTCCTTGACCGTAAGGAGGTATAAACGGCTGTGGAGAGAACGGTTGCTGCTGGACTGGGACACCCATGTTCATCATAGCCGGATTTTGCTGCATCAGCATGCTCATGTTCCCAAGACTGTTTGCGCGCATATGCTGCTGCATGGCGTGTTGCTGTTGTTGGAGCATCTGTTGTTGCCGTTGCTGTAGAGCATTCTGAACCAATGTGCCACTGGAGCTCCGACTCTGGAGAATATCGCGTTTTTCCCTTTCGCGAGCCTCAATAGCACCAACCAGTCCAGATGACTTGGGTCGTTGTAGCTGCTTTGTTTGATCAAGCTCGATCAAAGGTGTGCCAGTGGCGCGAGCTACGTACTCTTGCTCTCGAGCAGATAGCTTAGCCGACTCGGTGTTGACCAAGCCTTGAGGGTTCAGCATGACAGATGCACCCCGAGAGTGAGGTCGTAATGGCACGCGGTCTGTCGGGTTTCTTTGGTAGCCGGCCGTCAACTGAGACCAGTCTCCAGAAACTGCCCGGCCTGTTGGATGGAAACCACCACCATTAAGATTGTTGACTTGACCAGACGCCGGGGAGACCCGAGGCGGAAGATGAGGTTGGGAAGCAGCAATCGCTCGTTGTTGAACCCACTCTTCAGCACTGAGACTAGGTTTACTCTGGTGCCCTGCCGGCGAGCCTGCAGGTGACGTGCCCATCCCTGGCTGCCATATCACGCTGCGCCGCTTGTCCAGTGCAGGGTCGCTGTCATTAGGAGATGGCTGTCCTGGACTACCACCACCAAAATACGACAGACGGTTGGCGCTGTCAGGTGTCACAGCACCACCCATAGCACTCAATCGTTCCCTCGATCGTGAGCGTGATCGATCGTGAGCCGACTGCATCATAGTACCGCTGGTGCCCGGTCGCGACTTGGGTTCAGGTTTCAGGGCGTAGGTTGGCCCGAAATCGATTGTTGGCATGCCCAATTCTGCTTCAGTCTTTGGCTTCGTACCATATTCCATGTCTCCCACGATGACAGGCTTTGCTTCTACTTGACCGACAGTTCTCAACACGCCCGTTCTAGGTCTATCGTAGTCCCTGGCTGGAACCGCAGGTACAGGTTTTCTGATGGTAGACTTCATGCTCGCGTGGTCTGTGCTGGCGTAATCTGTAGATGCTAATGACTGGTTATCGTAATTACTGCTCGAATAGCTAGGTGCTCTAGCAAGTACCCTTTCGCGCTCTCCGAGGCGATCTAGAGCTTCCGGCTCGATTACATTGCTTCGTAAACTGTTTAGACTTGAGCTTGTTGGCGCCGAAGGCGCGAGTGCTTCAGCGTTTAGTGGTGACCGACCTGGAACTGGTTTGCGTTGAACGCCCGGATTGTTCAGAGGGCGACTTGGCGCATCCTCGTAAACCTCCTCCCCGTGCGACACACCAAGAGGATTGGTATTCGCAATATCTTGATACTCCTGTGGAACGCCATGTTCGGGTACTGAAGGCGCAGTAGGCTCATAGTTGGCCATCGCGGTCGCAGTAGGATCGCTCTGCTCGATGAATGGGGAAGCAGGGATGGTGGGCAGTCTGTTATTTCGCGGCCCTAATTGATCTTGATGGAAGGCTCGCTGATCTGGGCGAAGGCGACCGCTCCGATCCGAGTCGCCACTGCGACGACCTTCCCTAGCTTCGAGGCTTGACTTCCATGCTGCTGCCGCTCCAGCCGTCGAGTAGTTTGACGAAGGAGCATTGCTAGCATCTGCCATTTGCTGCAGTGTTGCAGAATCGACATTCGATGTTGCACGGCGCAATTCCGGGGAGGTATGCGGCATTGGCGTTGGTTTCTCAGTGGGCTTGTGCGTCATTGCGGGCGGAATGGCCACATGGGTCGGAGGAGGGGTACCCATGGCGACAGCCTCCAGCTCTGGTGGAACGACAGGCCTTGCGACGCCTTCATCGCCTGTTTCATAACCGTCGGGCAGTGACGCTTGGCTACCGCCTTGACCAAGATATCTAGGCGGGGACGGATTCTCGTATGAGGTGCGACCATTCATGTCATACCTCTTTGCTTGGTACTGACTTTCCGAAATCGAACGCTGATGTTTAGGTCCGGCGAAGCTGATGGGCGGAGCAGAATCGGTTCTCCTAGGAGGTGCGGCAATATATTCTTCACGGGAAGGCGAACTTCGGCGAGTGCTTGGCTGAGACAACGCGGTACCGTTCTCGTTGAAACGCACTCCGGCGCCTCTGCCAGACAGAGTGTTTCGCCGGTTCGTCGTTGAGCTCTGCTCACGCGACGGTCCCGAAGTCATCCGGGTAGAAGTCAATTCCTTCATTTGCTTCCTCCACTGGCGTTCATTCCACGTCTTCGAGCCGTCTTTGAGAATCAAGCTTGCGACATCCCATAGTTCTAGGTAGCCATATCTGCGATCTTTTGGCATGCCAAACATCAATCCTCGAGTATCGAGAGGCTCGGCCACCAAACGATTAGGACGGCCATACAGGGCAAACGTGTCGAAGACCGGGAAGAGGAAGCGCATCATGATCTCGAAACCGGATACAGCAGGATGAGATTCGGGCATGACAAAGACGAAGCCTTCGGTTGTAGACTCTGGCTTGGAGTGAATCGTGATCTGACCTTCAATCTTGACCAAGGTAGATTGGTCGATGAGAGGCTTAGACTGCGGATATATGGCGTATGCTGAATATGCTTCGGTGATGGTGGCGATCGGCCGAGTCCTTTTTGTAACCTTCTTGGTTTCGTAAAACCTGATGTCGCCCTTTAACACAGGCTGTGACTTATCATATGCGCCGCGCTTCTTCATGGTCTTTTGCAACTTTGCGTACTCTTTCTCGTCTGGAGGATTGACAACACACCAGCAACGGCGCCATGGAGTACCAGCTCCAAACCGCACCCTTGCCCAATCTTCGTGTTTCATTCTTGTGCGCTCCATGATGTCGCGAATGTTGTTCAACGTCTTGCCCTTGCCAGCAATCAAAGAACCGGTATAGGCCTCTTGGAGGGCTGTGTGTTCGTACATGGCCAGGCGAATGCCAGAAGTCCATTGAGTCAAGGAGTTGAGAGAGTTGAAGTGTAGGAGATATCTGTTGTTCGCAGCTGTGGAAACACTCAGGACGTTCTGCAGAGTCTGGCCTGTCGTACTAGACCCAGTCATGGGTAACGAAGGAATCTGTATATATTAGCACGAGCCCTGTGTAGATGAAGCAGTTGCCAAACCATCTTGATTGAAGCATCAGCCAAATTGATAAAGGTCGGAATGACTTCGCCATCTGCACCGGCAACATCGAGCTGAGCAGCATCCCAAAGAGACACCACAGTGCCAGAAAGCTGGGCAAACACTTCAGACCATTCTCTGTTTGGGCTCGGGCGTCCTCCTAGCAGCTTGTCAGCTTCGGGTGTCTTCGATTTGTAGAAGCTGTGAGTGAACTCTTACTTGTGTCCAGATCGTGCAGCATCAGAAAGTAGCCCTCTTGATATAGTTTGTTCGAATGGCTGTTCAAGTATGTAAAGATGGGCATCAGCTCGGGTAGAGTATCTTTTTCGAGCGCCATGACTGGAGGATGATAGGTCTGGATCATGGACAGCGGACGCGAAGACCGCCTCTGCGAGATATCGTCTGTATAAGACTCGGAGCGAGAAGGACGGTGACGAGGAGAGGAGCGAGGGCTGAGCGGAGGAGAGGTAGAAGCAGCTTCGGGGAAGAGAGCGTCAACATCAGCATTAGTTGTGGAAGGCGCGACCTTCTGGGGCGAGGAGGAGGAAGATGGGGAAGGAGCGTCGTCAGCAGGTGAAGTAGCAACGTTGGTGGAGGGAGGTAAACGCGGTCCACCCCATTGGGAGATGAAGGAGAGCACTGCAGTGTCCGCCCAGTTAGCTTATATGGCCCAAAGTTGCACGAGCTGCTGCTGTTGTCCACCCAGGTGAGCATAGTCCGGGGACACTGACACCCACCCGTCACAACGCGGAGCAGTGTAGAGTAGAGTAGAGCAGCAGAGACGCGAGGATCGACGGGGTTGCACGTTACCTCTGGCACGCCCGGGAGCCATGTTTGGGCGAGTTGGAAGCCTGGAAACCGGGGGAGAGGGAGTAGGTAATGCACAAGGCTACACGAGATTGGGAGTGACGGAGTTTCAGCGATAGGCGAATGAGAAGAAGAAAAAGGGGACAACGTGATCACGTATCACGTAGGGCTCGGTAGCTATGTATAGTATAGGTGGATGCAGCTGGAATCAGGGCTCCAGGCTTGCTGCTTCTATACCGACACCGACACCGACCAAAGACCAGATGGATTATGTATGACGGAGGAGCTGCAACCAGGATCAGCCAGGCCGGACAGGCGGATGGCGCGGAACGAGCAGTAGTCGGACGGGGCTCACAAAAGACCAAAAGACCAAAAGACTGCTGGAGAGGAGGGAGGATGTGTGGGTAGTGTTCGATTGGCAAGCAAAGAAAGAAGAAAAGGATTGGTTGCTTGATTGATTGGGAGGGAGGATGAGTTTGCCAGCCAGCGTGCGTCGTGACGGACAATTGACACGAGACGCGAGAAGACAAAAGGCGTGTGTGTGTGGGTGGGTGCGACAGAAGCAAAAAGGGAAAAAAAGGATATAGAGGTCTTATTGTATTTATTGGTCCAGTAAGTAGCAGTAGCAAGTAGCATCATTACATATTGAACGAGCGAGAGAGAGACTTTGCCCAGTTGGGCGGTGGTTCGGTCTTTTTAACGCGCGGCGAGAATGAGAATGGGTTAACAATTCACAGGTCAACAGTATCAGGGCGGGTCTCTTTTAACGGTTCCCTACCGGCTTCAGTGCTTTCGACTACAATTATACTAACTACACTAGGCATGTCCGGCCTAGCTGCAAGTCGACGCCAATACATGGTGGTGATCATGACGACGCGCATACACACACGGACGTGACTCGAGGACATGATTACATACAGTCCATGCTTCGCTTCTTTGACTGAGCCGCCGCTGGACAATGGACAGACAAGTGAAAGTGAAACAGATCTCGTGCTGCCATGACGCCTCTCAAACAAAAAGTATCAACTGCGCCCTCCTCTCTCCTTTGTCAGTCTGTACATATATCCATGGACAGACAAACCTAAGTGGTCACCGTCCAGCCAAGCAGACAAAAGCCTCGGCGGCTGGCGGTGCTCACTTGCTGACGACTAATATCGAATGGATGGAGAGAAAGGGACCAACAACAAAAGATCTAGGTGGGACTGGCAACAATTAATTACTGGGTCGCTGGAACTGCTGGGAGAGGAACTGGCTGGAGATGCGAGGGCATGGATGGCATTGACGCCGCTCCATCGCATCCGGCACACACGCACACACACACACACAGCTGATGCTGCCACCCAATAATCAAAAAGTATGAATACGTCGTATCCGCTCGCTGCTTTGCGTATATTCTCACATAATCGCCATCCTCTCTTGACAACCAACTCGCGACTCATTCATCGTCTTACGCGCCAGGATGGATGCTTGCCAGTCGCCACGCGCTCTCTCTCTCTCTCAATGGAAGAAGACACAGACATTCATTACTCAAGCAGCGCCTCTTCATCATCATCATCATTCATCATCATCACAAACCTACCACTACTACTACTCCGCCTCCTCCAGGACTCCCAGTCCATTTCTGCCCAGACTCTCGAATGTATGTATGTACGTACACAGTACAGCAGCTCTCAGGCGCAGGTTCTAGTTAGCAGACATGTCCCACGTGTTGCACCACCACCTCTCTCCCATCATCCCAGCCAAGCCCAGCATGCGTGAGACCCTTTTCCCCGGGTGTTACCTTGTACCCTCGTACCCTACCTACCTATCTACCCCAGCACAAGCAAGTAGGGCCGGTCCCCTCACCTAAGAATGCCTTTCAGACTATCAGGCTTTCAGCAGGTAATCAAGTGATTATTAGGTCCAGCGTCAGTCTCGCCAGAAAGAAATGATTGCATCGCACCGGGGCGGGCAACTAAACGATCGCAATCGTCATCGTCATCGTGACAGCCACGCAAATCTTACTCGTACTCAAAAAGCCACAGCCAGCGCCATTCGTTTACCGCCAGCCACTATCTCGTCTTTTCTTCCACGCGCTACCGCAGCACGGCCTGAGCCGCTTCCGTCCACTACTGTCCCGATGTGGAATGGGCGGTGCACGTGATGAGGCTCGGTTGAAGAATGGATCGTAGCTGGGCCGTCTGGGCAATAAATAATTAATGTATAGGTTAGCCGTTCTTGTTCCATCGTCATCGTCATCATCACCATCATCAAATCTTCCATGCGACGATCTGGAGACTTGATATTGCAATTTCGATTCTTGTCCACCATCGTCACGGCACTGGAGGTATCACATACCCGGCGTGTGGAATGCTGAACAGGCATACCCGTCACTGGCTGCTGCCACCGTGGACGAGTATGACAATGATCCAGTCCGTCACCTTGCCAAGAAGCCGTCAAGTAGAGGCATAATCCACGTAGAGCACGACGAGATGGGTCAGAGTAGATAACATCGTCCTCCACAACATCAAAAACACACAAATCCCATCTAAGTACACAAGATAACATTCTAAAAGTCCATGCGCCCAACACCGTCTTCTTGTAACACACTCGTCACAACCATCACCATCACACCTCAGGCATACATCACACTTACCACCACCACCACCACCACCACCACCACCACAACCCACTACTACACATCACCATCATCACCATCATCACCATCATCACCATCATCACCATCATCACCATCATCACCACCAGCACACCCACCACCCCATCATTTGTCCCGCTTATACTCGTCCACAAACGTCCAGCCCTACAGCGGAACACCCCGGCAAACACACACAACATACACACGCCAGACACGCGTCATGACATAAGCATGGCTACAATCTGGTGCGGGGCCCATACGTCCACTTACTATCTGATCCACGAGAGCGGACGTGTTAGTAGTGGTGGTGGTGGTGAGAAAGTGTTATATAGTTCTTGGATTCTATTTGAGGCCTTGGGGGTCTGCTGGGTATGTTTGCTGGGTATGTATATATGTGTGACTGCCCATGCATCTCGGTCTATCCATACCGTGCACTAATTACCGTCATGCCTTCCCAAAGCAGATCTACAAACCACATATTAAAACAGGCAGTCACACATCCAACCAGCCAGGCAAGCACGACCCAGACACCTACCCAATCCTCCTCCTCCATCACCACCATTCACAACACCCTTATTACCTAATACCCCAACGCACCTACCCGTCCATCCATCCCACGCCTTCCCAATACTATAACTAGTCCTATATAAAACTATCCCCATACATCCTCCTTTCGCACATCTGCATGAATTCCTCGGAAGAAAGACTACGGTCTGCATGCCAGAATTGGCAATGTGTACATAAGCTACAATAGCCAATGCATGCTGTGTGTGTGTGTGTGTCTCTCTCTTACAAGCAGATTCGCAGATGGGCGTTTGAGACACGTTCAACTCACGGAATGGTGGTGGTGGTTTTTCTTAGTGATGATGATGTATAGCGATGGATTGTAATGGTGATGACGGTGATAATAATGTCCATCAAACATATTATATCCAAGCATCCCCATCTCCATCCTATCCATCCATCTACACCCCCCTACCCCCTACCGCCCCATCATCGCCCTCCCAATCTCACTCCGCCACCCCTCCGCCCGCTCAAACCCATTCGAACACGTCGAGTAGTCCCTCAAAGCCTGATACACCTCCTCCCGACTGCCCAGCACAAACGGGCCATACTGAACCACCTCCTGGTCGAGCGGCACGCCCGCGACAAGAATGAAATGCCCCGTCTCCGCCGCATCACCCGGCACCTCCGCAAGCACCGTGTCGCCGCGCTGCTCAAACACGACGTTATGGTGCTGCGGCACCGTCTGCTGCCCACCGCCCTGTCCATCCCCTCCCGCGCCACCAAACACCGTCGTCCCCGCAATCGTATACGCAAACGCATTCCACCCCACCGGCAACGCCTGCACGATCCTCCCGCCCGGCCGAATCCTCACATCCAACAGCCAAACCGGCGTATACGCCAACTCCCTCACCGAATCCACGCCATGCGACCGGCCCGAAATCACCCTTACCTCCACCCTCCCCGCATCAACCACCACCCGCGGAATCTCCCCTGCGCGCAGGTCCCGATACCGCGGCTCGCACATCTTCAACCGCCGCGGCAGGTCAACCCACAGCTGCAAGCCCACATTCACATTCACATTCGCACTGCCGCTGCCAATACCATCCGCACTCTCCGTCTGCCGCGGCATCTCCGCATGCACAACCCCCCTCCCCGCCGTCATAAACTGCAAATCGCCCGTCTCGATAGTACCCCTATTCCCCGCAAAATCCTCGTGGTCGACGGCGCCAGCGAGCAGATACGTGATCGTCTCCTGGCCGCGGTGCGGGTGGTCGGGGAAGCCGGCGCCCGGGGAGATGGAGAAGTGGTCGAGCATGAGGAAGGGGGAGAGGCGGCGGAGCTTAGGCGAGCCGATGGAGCGGCGGACGCGGGCGCCGGCGCCTTCGGATTGTTCGGTTGCGAGGAAGGAGAGGGCGATTTTGCGGGGGGTGGTTTCGTGGGGGGGGTTGGTGAGGGAGGGGGAGGCGGGGGGGATGGTGGGGAGGTTGGGGAAGGGGGGTGGTGGGCTCATGGTTGAGGAGGTGGATTGATGGGTTGTGGGCTTTGGGATTGGGTGCTTTGAGGGCTGGGGTTTGGTTGGTGAGGAGTGGGCGTAGTCTGTGGGTTATTGTAGAGGCCGTGGTGATGTCTGGTATGGGTAGCTTTGCTTGGTAGAGATCGAGCGAGCTGCGATGATGATGACTGTTGAAAATGCAGAAACGAGAAGCCTCATCCGGGCAATGGTGGGTACTCATAGATGGGCGTTGAAGAACGAGAAGATGGTGGAAGCTTCATGGTTTGATGCCAAAGGGTTTGAAAGACGTTATCAATGATACTTGCCGGCGCCGGAGTGTGGAGACGAGGCTAGTTCAGCGATGACAATTGCTGATCAATAGGTTTGGAGGGGAAATGGAGATGCATTTGCTGCCTTGATGCCTGGTTAGTCAGACACAAGAACGTTCCGACTGTGGCGCAGATCATTCCCGTGAAAAAGCCTTCATTCGTCTTTGTTATATGCTATCATACTTCTCAGACTGACACCCATCATCCCCATATGCGCCGCCCAGCCGGGAATACGTGACCTACTCCACCAATCCCACCATCAGCAGTCGCCTCTGTCGTAGCAATCCCGATTCCGCACAGCCCTGACAACAAACACAATAACTACTGCAGCGCAACCCCCGATGACGACAAAGCAGCAGAGCAAAGCAATCGCAACCTTCCAGGGACTCCAGTCTCGTAACTTTGGTGTGATTTGATAGAAGCGGCCAGAGCCCTTTTCGGCCGGAATAAACACTGGTCCGGTATATGTCGGTGGGATTTGATTCTCGTTCTGCATCGTGTTGACTCGTCTCGGCATGTCTGGTAACGTGTATGGGCGGTTGAAAGATCGGAGACCTCTTCAAGATAGTTGTCAATACGATTTTATGGGTGACGTTTCTGTCGTGTTGTATCCGAAGTCGTGTTATGCGGAGGTTGGGTAGTGTAATGGTATAGCGAACAGCTCAAAATCAACACAAAGCGTCCCAGATGTAACGGCAGAAACTTTGTGAGGCAGTCTACCAAGGGCGGCTTTACATATCATACCAACATCAAAGAGTGCAAGCTACAAGGCTCTGGCCCCCACTCACTGTTGAAAGGTCAGTGGTGCTCCGCTATTGGCTTGCGAGGCGCAGCAGCTTTGTTTTGGGGGCCTTTCTCTTAAAGCATGAACTTGAATGAATCTGCAGAGGTCCGAGCGTAAGCTTGCGCCTGATCAGATCTTCATGAATGATACAAAGAGGAAAGCATTCCATTCCTGCGAGTGGACTCTCAAATGGTAGATGAAGAACCAACTTACGAGTATGCAGCATACTACGTGGGGATAGCGCCTTCGCAGACGAAGATATAATTTTTGTCTTCTTATAACATCAGGTTGCGCGCCCACACTGGCAAACCTTCTTCATCTTGAATGCATCGCCAATAACTGCCAGTGCCACGATACTCAAAATCAGTAGTCAAGCTCGATCTTGCTCTCAGTCGTCTGGTCAAGCTCACGGGCGATGCGACGTGGTGTTGGTTCGGCCCTGTCCAACGCCCTCTGCGCCTTCTCCTCTGTCTCAGCTTCCCTGCGATGCTTGTGCCGCTGCCTCGCCTGCTTGCGCTTCAGCCTTTTCGAGACTGTCTTCTGAAAGATGTTCGTTGATCGCTGACCATCGGCATCGCGACCATACGAGGAGGGCGTCGAGATCGGGGTCACTGCAGCCGCACCGGCCGAGATATCTTCATCACTGTTTTCCAATTGATTGTCTGTCCTCGTCTCTGTCTGAAGGCTTGTTTCTTGCTCAGCATCGAGCTGATCCGTCGTCTCACGTGACTCTGCACTTGGAATGGAATCATGATGAGACGAAGCCGCATCCTTGTGCTTAGCAACGAGCATTTCGGCCGCCTTGCGTTTCTGCTCTACACGGTTCGCATTCCGCCTTTTGTTCCGCTCGTAGTTCTTTTGCCTCTTGGCAAGGATCTGCTTGACTTCTGAGCTTCTGAAAATGGCGATTTGTTCATCTGTGAGTGTGCGTTTCACGCCGTCGTCGTAATAGCCCAGTCCATCGTCGTCGTCATCATAGCGGTATTCATCATTCCATTGCTCGTAGAAGAATGATTCCGGCAGAGATGCCGATGGGAAATGCACGAGTCCAAACTGCCTGAGATCGTCCTGCCAAATCTTAGCAAGTCAACCTACCTGGAGCTGCAGTCGACGTACTTCAGTCACCGTGGGAATATTGAACGTAAGGGACATGGCGGAGATATAGACCTAAATCACCTCCGCTGCCCTCCTAACGCTCTATTCTCAGGATGTTTCGAATACTGTAATTATGGCGTGGTTGGTTCTAAGAAAGGAAAGGCGACGAATCGACGCACATAACAAGCGCCTACACCAAAAGAAACGCGTTTTAGTCCGTAACGGGTTAGCGCGTAACCTCAAGTGCCGCGTGGGTCAGTCCATGATGACGTCGGACGTTCCACCTCACGACTCCAGCCTGGAAGCATCAATGCAAAACACAGAAGACAACCCGCTGTAGCCATGAAACACATACAGCAGCTCCTTCCACTCACCCTCCTGTGCTTTACCCTCACCGCCACAGCGCGATACCCACCTCCCTCCGCGCGACACAAGACCCTCGAGAACCCCGCCATCAAACCCAACCAGCAATTCCTCCATCCTCCTCAAGCCGCAATGCCACCCAGCGACATCGCGGCCGGCGTATACATCTCCGACGTCATCGGCAAGACGCAAGATATCGCCATCTTCAGCTCGCTCACTCGCGACATCGACAGCGTATCGGGGCGGCTAGAAGACTCGTCGCAAAACGCCACCGTCCTAGCACCCAGCAACAGCGTGATGAGGAGTCTGCCACGAAAGCCATGGGAGAACCCTGGCGATTATGGAACCTACGGCTCCGATGCGTATAGTGGGCAGAGTGGCGAGGACAGAGCGCAGGCAAACTTGAGGAAATTCGTGGAGGCACATGTGGTGCCTGTGAGTCCGTGGACCGAGGGCGAGAAAGTGAAGACGTTGGCTGGGAATGAGATCTGGTGGGAGGTTAGGGATGGGAAGAAGATTGTAAGTGCTTGATAGCTACTCTACAGGAATGCTGGCTAACGAGCCTCTAGATCAACCCCGGAAGCGTCGAGGTTTCCAGTATTGCTGATAAGGTTGGTAATGGGGAAGTCTGGATCCTCAATGGAGTTGTCAATTACCAATGACCGCTCAACCCTTTTTTACGTTCACGATTGCATTATAGAAGGGCGTTTGTCAGGGGGACTATTGATATCACCGTAAGACAACCCGGGCTGTTGTTGGTAAGCACGGCATGTGTAGGCAGTGTTGCGGCTTCTATAGCCATGACCAATTACCACTGTTACAAGGAATGCTAAGATTCTAGCACAGCGACTACACAGATGTTCTCGTATATAGACTTCTCATTATCTAATGGCACAGAAGACAGCCAATCATGTAAGACCATTCTACTTCCAGACCTGGCCTCCTGCTCTGAGTAATGCGCAGCGCACCATTCCGCCCGCCGATCACACAAACATCCATACATTGACAGATATGTAATCTGGAGCATATGGTCTCTCGTATAATAAATAGATGGTGCCAAACACAGCACGAAGCAGGGAACCCCACCTCTCCTCACCTCGGCTCGTCTCAACTCCCCATGACCAATACCTGATATCAACATGGTAGACGTATCAATGGCAATCGACCTCCAACGACCCGACAGCACCACCACCGCCAACATGACAACAACAGTACCAAACACCCTAACCTTCACCCAAGAATTGGAGAACAGCGCCATATGCATGACCTGCGGCACGCAATACGCCATCCCCCTCTCATCAGCCCCAAAGACATGCAGAATCTGCGCCGTACGTAGAACAAAAACACCAGTCTCTCAAACCACCACATATCAATCAAACATGTAACAATACCCACAGGACCCAAGACAATTCATCCCCGGCAACGGCCAAACCTGGTCCAGCTACGCGCAAGAGCGCAACAAGCACGAGAACCACTTCACCCAAGACCCGCACGACAAGCGGGATCTGGTTCATCAACACCGTGCCAAAGGCATGCATGCCCTCCTTTCAAAAAACCCCATCAGCACCGCACCTGTAGCTCTAGACACAACAACAACAAACAATCTAACAACCACCCCAGCTCGGCATCAGCCAGCGCGCAATCCTCATCCGAACCCCACACGGCAACATCCTCTGGGACCTCCTCGCATGGATCGACTCAAAAACCAAAACCTGGGTCCGTCGTTCCCCTTCTCCCCCTCTTCCAAACTCTAACCCCAAACCCCAAGATAACATCCCAAGGCACCCTCACAGCAATCATAATCTCACACCCACACTTCTACACCACCCACGCGCTCTGCTCCACGCTCTTCCCACACGTCCCCATCCACACGCACGCCCGCGACACCGCATGGCTCAACTACCCCACAACCCAGCCCTCTCGCCGCTCACAAGCCCGTCTCACACGATCCTGCCGGGACTCGTAACAGCCGTTTGCGCGGGCAGGCGGGCATTTTCCCGGCTCTCTGGTTCTGCACCTGGCGTCTGATTCGTCGCGCAGGGCGACTCTAGGCGGACTGGAAGCCTCGCCGGCAGAAGGATCAGATGGCTCGGCGGAGGCGGTGGGAACGCTGTTCGTTGCAGATACCTGACGACGGTGCCGTCAGCGCATACGCCGGCTTTGCATCGGGTGCCTGGTACGCCGACGTATGCGTTCATGTGGAGTATTCCGAACATGCAGCCGCTGGCGCCGGAGGCGATATTTGGGATCTGGGAGGCGCTGAGCGGGCTGGACTTTGGGGCTACGTATGGCGCGCGTTCACGGGGCAGGATGTGCGGGATGTCGAGTTGAAGAGGAGGGTGCTGGAGAGCATGCAGGGACAAGTGAGACGGAGCGGGTGGGAAGAGGCTCAGGCGGACATCTTGAGGGTCAGGATGTGAGAGAATGGGATGGATGATGCATACATATGTGGGCTCCAAGGAGAATGCAACTCCATCGAATCTGATGACAAGGGGGCACACTATCGTGAATGATCACCATGCTCAGAAACATAATAATGAATCGATTTGTTTGCTCTTGCATTACAGACGCCGTATCAGACCAATTGAAACTATACCTAGCATACTCGTGCGGCCGACCCCATCTGACCAAAATAGACGAAGACTCATCCCATCGCTTGGCGAGGTAAACATTCGCGAAACGTCCATCCCCGGCTGGGTGTCATACGATTTTGTACAGGGCAACATATATGAAAACTTTAGCATGATGGGCCCAAACTAGACCACCTTCTTCAAAAGAGCAGTATATCCACCATCAGTTGAGTCGAAAGTGGGTATTACCGACGTATAAGATGCAAACCTCGTGCAAATGAAAGGAACCAGGACCTTTCTAGTGATCAAGCAGTGCCTGCTGGAACCTCGGTCGACTCTTTGACTGTCTTTTCTGGCTCGTCTTCATTTGCTTCTTCCGCTGCCGCATCAGACATGATAACATCTTTTGTTTCATCAGCTTCAGGCTCCTCCTTGGGAGGGACAGATTCCTCCTTATCGTTAGGTGCTGTCGATTCTTCCTTGTGGCCATTGGTGAAAGCAGGCGGCGCCGCTGTCACTGGTGTCTCGCTTGCACTCTCGAGAGTCTTGTTCCAAATATCCATCAGGGCAGTGGATCTCTTGACGAAGTTGTACTCTTCATCCTTTGGAGGAACTGGCGAAAGCTTGGTGATGCCTCTCAGCACTTTGTGAATCTTGGTCGCTTTGATGATCTCGGCTTCCAAATCCTCGTGTTGTTCCAACTGCTTCAGATGACTGTCCATTGCATCCATATCTTCGGCTTTGGGTGCAGTATCCTTGTTCAAGAAACCCTTTTGTAAGCGATGACGAAGATACAGGACTGTCTTCTGCGTCTTTGCCTGCCTCTCAGGCCCGGTCAATTCCACCGCCGCAGGCGACGCGGTGGCTTCAGCCTTGGCCTTCTTCTCCTTCGGCTTCTTTGACTTTGGCTTCACAGCCGAGTCCGCGGCAGGGGTCTTGGGCCCATTAACCTTCAGCTTCTTAGGGGTCTTTGCCGCCTGATTACGACGTTAGTGTTGTCTGCCGCTTCAAGAGATATACATACTTTATCGTCCACATCGTCGCCGTCCTTCTTCCTCTTCTTATTCTTTTTGCTAGAGTCACCGGCAGCGTCTTCCATCTCTACGTCGTCGTCATCAGCCTTGGCACTCTTCCGACGCGCAGCTTGCTCCTTTTTAGCTGCCTTTTCTGCAGCGCGAGCCTCTTTTTCCTCTATATCCTGCTGAATGGCTACCTCGTGCTCAGAAAGCATTGTTTTGAACCATGATAAATCATGCTCCTCTGCGGCAATGCCGTAGGCGTCCCAGAGGCTTTGAGACTTCTTGCCTTTATCCTCGGTACTGTAGATACGCTTTACCTCTTCGACGTCAAGAGGTCGTAGATCAGTGTTGACTAGCCAGGCACTGAGACGAATTCATCAGTAACAAGATCGCTGTGTAGGTATGCTAGAGAGTAGGCATGGCCTAAGATGGTGACAACTCACAATTCGTTGGTACCAAGGAACATGACAGGGTAGCGACGGTCTCGCGCGTTTTTTTGGCCTTCGTGGAAATCTTCGCGATAAGATCCATCGGGTCGGGCAGCGCTGACAGGCCGCTTCGAAAGCAGACTTTCAGGTAGCATTTCCTCATCGCAGATGATGGCGGGCCACGGGGCGTGACCCTTGAATATGGCAAACCATAGGTCGCCCGGCTTCGCGTTCAGATGCAAGACAGGAGGGGCCTTCTTTTTGCTTGCCGGTGTCTTCTTGCCTTTGTGCTCAGGAACGCCAGAGGAGCCTTTTCGCTTGCCATTCTTAGGAGCTGGCGTGCTTACCGGGGCTGTATCTAGTCAGTGACCACTCAGGCTGAGCGCGTATAACGCGTCGCAATTGCTTGGACAGAGCGCGCATTACCGGGTGTAGCCGATCCGGTATCAGCATTATCTTGAGTTACGTCCTGCTTGGTAGCAGTGCCATTGGTATCACCGGTGGTGGCTACTTCTGCGACAATTAGATTTGTCGAAACTATGCTGCGCTGATTCGCAAGACCCACCTTCAGCGACACCAGCATCTTCCTTCGACTCAATTGCCTCAGTCGTTGTTGTAGTATCGGCAGCAGGGGCGCTCGCAGTTGTGTCTAGGTCAGCAGAACGCGTTGCCGTCTCCTCTGGCTTGGCGTCTGCGACAGGTGATTGTGCAGGTGCGTCGTCGGACATTGTAAGGTGAGGGCGACAACGTGTGAGAACGTTGGGAAGATGTGCGGGTCGCTGATATGAGAGCCGACGCGTGTGGGATCGAGCGCGACGCGAAGGTTACGTGTAGAGACGTAAAAGAAGGTGGACTTGACGTGGAACGATGGTTGGGATGAAGTTGTCGATGAGAGGTGATGCGGGTGATGGATGGACGGAAGAACGGGGTGAGGTTGGTGTAGGAGGTTGAGAGAAAGCAAAGAACCACCTTAAGATTTGAACGCCGGCAGCAAGAGCTCGGTGGTGGGGATCACGTGATTTGGTACGTCGGGTTGTTGATGCGCCACGCCAGTCCTCGGCTCGAGAAACGGCGGACCAGGCAAACAGACGAGTTTGCAGAGGCGATTGCTCTCGTATGGACGCAGTGAGATACGGACTCAACAATCTGGTCTTGCAATCCGGATGCTCATTGTTCTGCTGGGGAGGAATTTGCGTGCGTGGTCCAGGTGGTGTGTCCCGCTCGATCGGGGATCGCGCAACATCAGCAGCGCATTCGGCCGCCACCGCCCCGGGGCATCCAGCTCCTCATCGAAACCTGAACAAGCCCCTCATTCCTCGTCGCGATCAGTGCGTCTCATTCGAACAGACGACGACAAGGGTTTTGCGTTGTCGTCGTGTCGCATCATCTCTGCGAAACAAACCATCCCAAGCTCGAGGGCTTCTCTACGTCCTCTACTGCTGGCTTCTGAGCGACAATGTCATCTAGCCGAGTCGTTCGCTGTAAACCAGAACCACATTCTCCAGTTCCAGGCTCTTAGCTCGTAGCTGAGGAGCTTTACAGGTTCATACGTGCTCTGAGCTTTTCGAATCGAAACTGTAACGTGTAAATATTGGCGAGATCGCAATGATTCTAATCACTCAGTAAATAACTTCAGGTGCAACTTGGATTACTGATGAACTATCACATCACCCGAGACGAGCAACGTCTATTTCGGTCGAGATAATTCGATTGAGAAGATGATCAAGCGTGCCTGCGTGTGTTAGTTGCAGTACTAGCGTAGGCTCAGAATTACTTACTAGCTACATTAACATACTGGTCCTGGACCCTATTAACGTCTCGCCTCAAGACAGTCATCGTCCTAGCACCCTGACGCCCTTGACGCCCTTCAATATGCGCGGAAACTGCTTGAGTATCTCGAGCAGGTCCAGCATCATATACACCTGCCGAGATAGGGCTATATCCGAAGGCAAGGTTATGGCACAGGAAGGATCGCCGACCATGTAATATCATAACTCAGCGAGATGTCCACTTTTAAGGTTTCTAGAATAGATACTCAAGTACGCCACCAGAGATGAATCTTCTCTAGCATAAGACGTGGACCGTTGGATCCAGTCACGCCACAGTTGCGTAAGACACTTCACCAGAGGTACGAGATCACACCGAATCATCAATATAGTCCTGCCCTTGACCTTGTATACATTGACCTTGTATATACAAGGTCGTCAGAGATTCACTAGTCGCGTTGTCGTGGGTGTAGATCAATGGTATCTTTAGCGGACCACGCCGAAGCACTTTCGCCATGTCAAGCTATGTGTTTATTTCCCATGCTCTTTCTGACGTCTTAAGCATATAGCATCACTCTTCCCCTGTCGAGTATGGGTTGCAAGCAGTGAGAACTTCGGGGATTGGCCGAATTGTCATGCCACCTGTACCCATCGCGATGTTGCCGTGAGCGGTCCTGTTCGAACGAATACGAAGGATGTCCAGAACATTATGTCCCAGTATATACACTTGGCTCTTGTAAATTGTGGACTGGAAAGAGGCCCTGGAAGTCTGTGTTTGTAAAGGAGCTGGTTCTCAAGTCCGACGTCAAATCGATAGAGTGAGGTGGACGGCTACGCAATCGGGAGAAATGGCTCTAGAAATAACTCGGTTCATTCCGTAAATCTGGCTTCAAAGGACGTTGGATCTATTCCGATGATGGAAGTACTGTCTGGGCCGCTTCCCTACAGAAAAGTGATGCATGCGTCGCCCGCGGTTGAGGTTCGACGAGCGCCAAGAGATCGTTTAGTCAATCTAATCTGTGAATCACGTGCCATGGCCCTTGAAACAGTATTTCAGTCAATGACTTATAGAAGACCAGAATCTTTGATGCAGCGTTGCTACGAGATCAAAATCAGTACCCAGCGCATAGCCACTCTACTGCAAAACAACCAGCTATGAGCCAATAATGCACAAGTCTTTTATCAACAGAACACGACCAAAACATTAGGCAGGAAGCACTATTCAAAGGTAATGCTCTATACCTCGACAGTAGATACGACGAATCACGGGAATGCATCACGCGGAGAATTGGTTATATTAAGCGTGTATTTCCTACAATACGTGGCGGTGATCTTCGATACCTGGACAGAGAATTGTGTCCAATAACGTCTGGGATATTTCTCAGACTGATGTAAGCAATAACACGATGGACTAAACCGGTGTTTGCCTGGGTGGCAAGTACGTGAGCTATAAGGCTACTCAAGTTAAACCCCGTGGAAGCTGGGAAAGAGTCAGCGGTGATGTAGGATGGAAATTATGGGTCGATACGAAGGTCAGTGCGACAGAAGGGCCAAAGAAAGTAGCTTCAGCTTTGCTCAATCGTTTCATGCCGGGTTTCCTCTCATTGCGGTTTCGTCCTGACTCGCTCGTCTGAGCGCCATAAGCTTTTGTTTTAGAAATTTCTCTCTGAGTTCAGAACTTGTAAGTGTTGTCGTGGACTTGCTCTATGGAGAGGATCAGTAAACCTGGATCACTTCCTATCACAGAGGGGAAAGGAGGTCAAGAGGATGAGTTACGGATATTGGGAATGTGCGCTAGAAATACATGGTGTGGATGGGATACAAGTCATGAAGAGTGTAGCTATGCGGATGCTTTATGGTAAGCTCGGGACTATTCACCCACCTCTTCCGGACTGTCGATGTCCATCTTGTCAGCTGATAGAGTTGTTGATTTTGTCTTCTCCATTGGGGATCTGCGGTCAATTTCAGGAGACACTGTTGGTCGATGTCGCTTCGACATGGGCTCATAACGTTCCACGGAGGGTCTTCTTTTGCGAAGCGCAGGTGACACTTGAGAGTGATTGGGACTTCTGCTTCGGCTTCGCGACGGGCCATGTCTGCGTGCTTCTCTTGTCTTGTCCTTTCGAACATCAGCTCGGAACCTTCTAGAATTGTCATCACTTAGGGAGGGAGATCTCCTGCGTCTGTTCCTATTCTTTGTGCGATTGCGAGATGGCGATCGAGAACGTGAAGACCGCCGGTTTCGTGAGATCGAGCGACTTCTGCGGCGAGGAGCTCGTCGGGGAGATCTGTCACGACTGGAGTATGATCGAGAACGATCTCTTCTTGCTACCTTTCTTCTGGGTGAACGTGAGCGGGATCTAGCGCTTGGGGTCAAGGATCTTCTCTCATCTCGACCACGACTACCGCCGGGCGACTTAGATGTGTGTTTCTGCTTTCTGCGGCTCTGTGGTCTATGGCGGGGTGGGCTCCGAGAACGGGATGTAGAGATGGAGCGAGACACGCTCGGAGATCGTCGTCTCTGCCTTGGGCGTGGTGAAGCCGACCGTGACCGGCCCGAGGACGGTGAGCGAGGGCGGCGTCGAGGATCGAACCGATTTCCTCGGCCAGAAGGAGCATAAGTATCAGCTTCACGGCGCATGAAGCCACGGTCTTGGGAGCCTCTGCGACGTCGAGGAGGAGATCTTGAGAACCTGCGACGATCGAAGTCTCTGCCCGGTCCACCGCGATGACTAGCTCTACCACGACCACGACCTCGCTCGCCGCGTTCTCTTTGCCTAACGGAATCCAGGTCTCGCTCGCGATTGCGATCGTCCTCTCTACGCTTCCGCGTCTCTTCTGCGACTTTCTCTTGGCGGATCTGCAGTGAAACTCAACACGGCTCTCTACAATGTATGGAGGCTAATACTTTTTCCTGAATCATTTCTAGTTTCTTCGCTTCAAGTAGCTCTTTCGGGACGCCCTGGGGACTGCTTTGCGCACTTATGCACATCTGCCACAGCTCTTTGCAGAATGTTGCGACTTCACGATCCAAGAAACCAGTGAGCTGGATCTGTATTTCTTTGATTTTTGGCTGTTGTGAAGTCAGGTTATGTGCTAGAATGCAAAGGCGGTTTTGACCTACGAATGGTGATGGCGTTTTAGTTGGATCCAACAGGTTACAAACAAGCTCGACCAAGACCTCGTCTTCCTGTTTGAGGATGTCCTGAATCTTACCGCCAATCCATCTGTGGTGCTTGTTAGCACATTACACGCGTTACTAGTGACAGAGCACATACTTCTTCATGACATCGAGATTGACCTTGCGCATGTCCACCTTCTCGTCAAACTCAGGCGGGAACTTGGTCCGCTTGAGGAGCTTCTGGTCTACCGTAAGCGCCATGGTGGTCGATTGAAGGTAGGAAGCGAAGAGGTGAGCTTGACAGCAACTTAGCAAGTCGGGCGTGGGTGAGGTGTTCGACCGGGATGATGTCGGTCGCGCCGATTGTTTGTGAGCTAGATTGCGCTTAGCCTTATCAGGAACTAGCGGCTAATTACCACACCCGCAACTATACTTTGGAATTCACTTGCACTCAAGGTACCTTGCAGTTCACTTGCACTCTAGCGGTGAGACTTCGCCGTCAGTGAGATAGACTCAAATCAAGGAAGTCACGAGGAACTCAAAGTATGTCGAGTTATCAATTAGTGTCAAGCCACGTGCAACACAGACAGTAGATGGCGTACATGACCTCCTCATTAGGCTGACTGCGGAGATACGTGCAACTATCTAGCTTCGAGATGGAATGTGGATATTAGAAATTAAAACACACCGCCGGGAGGAGCTGTGGGCAAGCGTAGAAGTAACGATGGTGGTATCTCATCACAGCCGGTAAGAGCTGTGTACATGTCCTGATATCTGCTCAGCCTTCGTGTGCTGTATCGTCTTTCTACAACATCCCAACTCGTGGCTTGTTGACACATCCATCAAGTCTACTTTACAGTTTGCATCTCTATTCATCCGCTGTCCATCGTGCTCGGGGTCATTCTTTGTCACTGAGCCTTCTGCCTTATTCTTCCGAGTCCCTCTTAGCGTTTTCGACCATGTCTGATGTAAAGGTCACTGTTGGCGGTGTCACCATCTTGGTAGACCCCAGCAGTCAGACGTTGCGTACAATCAGTGAGTATCAGGGCCGCGTTGAAATGGTGCCTGCAGTACCACTAACGTATAACCATCAAAGACGTAGATGGGGCCGCTGGTAAGAGATTATCGATAATCCAAACAGCTTCGCAAGGAGTCTAACCCATCGGTAGATGGAACAGATGCTCCTGTCGGGTCTGAAGTCGTCACTGAGCCTGCCAAAGAGGTGATAGAGGATGACCAAGTAATGCTCGAATCGACCAGGGACAAGACCGCCGATACTGTTGAAGAAATCAAGGATGTGACCGGTACCACCGACGAGAAGCCTGTTGACGCATCTAAGGAAGTTGTGGATGAAGTCAAGGAAGTGTTCGAGGCCACGAAAGAGAAGGTTGCGGAGGTCGTTGAAGCAATCAAGGAAAAGATTGAGGATGTCCTTGGAGAGGCGGAAAAGCAGACCCCCAACACCGCAGATGATGTCAAGAACACTGCAGAGAAAGACAAAATTGACACTGGGGCCGTAGCTACCTCTGAAACTGCTGATGAGTTCAAGGATGCAGAGGAGCCACAGTCGGTACGACGATCGTCTGTTTTCAAGGAGGTTGAGACTGGGACCAATCCAGGCAAGTCGCTCCCTCCACTGACGATGCTTTGAGGCGTGTCTTGTATACACCCAAGTGCGGGCTGCCAGGTGTCATTTCTGACGTGTTGGGATGTGACACGCGTTTGAGGATGACATGACTGCTATCTGTTATGGCTGTCCTAGCTGACGTACTACAGAGGGTACCGCAGTGGTCGAGATCTCGGAGATTCCGACTGCGGAAGAGTCTGCGGCTGGTGCTGAGCCAGTCCGAACGCTTGAGACCGTACCGGTCGATGATGCCTCAACTTTGAACGAGGGCGCTCAGAGTGCCATAAACCGCAAGTCCACTTCCGTCACTTTTGACAAATCTGTGTCCGAAGTCACCGTCCCTGTGAAGAAGGCTGGTCGAAAGATCGATAAGGCACGAGCAAAAATACCCAATGGTATCTGGAAGCTTATCCTGGGAAGCTCTCTTGTCGATGTGGTGAAAACAAAGCTTCTTGAGCTTGCTGCGAATCCGGCATCTCCTCCACCGTTGCCTCAAGGCGATGAAGTTGAGAACGTGACTGTAAAATAGGAGCGCGAGAACAACCCACAACCCGCTCGCATTCCCGCGACACACTTCCGAGCTACTTCGTCATTGTATCCCCTATGACTCTTGTCTTTAATGCCTGGTCCTAGGGCCAGCGCGCATCCATAGTCCTAGAACCTACTTTTCGTTCCTAGCCCTGTCACTGCGCAGGTCTATGCTGTTCTCTTGTGTGTCATTATCATGAAGCATAGATCATATGCAGATGCCAATGCGCCCCGAACTATCATTCATATGTATCCAAGACGTAACCTGAAATGTATCCAAGACGTAACCTGAAATGTATCCAAGACGTAACCTGAAATGTATCCAAGACGTAACCTGAAAAATGTGGTCGGCTCATGAGGCTGCCAGACCTCCTCTTGCTTCGTCATCTTTTCTTCGTTCGCCGTGTGTTGTCTCTCTTGGACCTCCGCTCCTGCAGTCTTTGCATATTCGCCTTGGCTCGTATGACTTCATTGTGATCATCTCCTACGCAGATCAGCGCGAGTTTGTGATACTGCTCCCACAGGAGACACGCCGATTCTGCGTCATCTGCACATTTCTCCTGTATCAGTGCCCCTGTGGTCAGCCTGTCAAAATCGTTTATTAGCCAGAAATCACTACGTCTCCCTGCCTGGATGACTTACATATCACCCAACTGGCTCATACTCAGATATCCCTCCACGACTGCGTCCTCCATGACTTCGATCAACTTCGTCTGAATGGAAGGCAAGCGCTCGTCGTCCTTCATTGTCCGGTGATTGGTCTTCAACTCCTGAAAGAAGCCACGAATATCTGCCCAGCGCCCCTTCATCCGATGCCTGCGGCGATCGGAGGCTGACCAAACTGGCGATTTCGGCAACTGTCTAGCAGGTTTCCGACCTCTCGAGGGTGCGCTGGCACCCTTTCCCGGTACTCTCTTGTTGGCCTCCACTACGCCAATGCTCTCACATCCGATGGCATGCACCGCCGCCATCGACCCCGACTCCTCACACAGCTCACACGCACACTCGAAGCCCCACTCCCTCATGTGCTCCCTCCGCTCCTCACTCAGCCTAATCTCACCACCGCCGTAATCGACCGTCACTTCCACGCCCGCCCCCAGATCACACATTGCATGCACCGTCCCGCGTGCAATGCGGTCGTTGAAGGCCGGGAAGCTGTTCGGCCGACACGAGTGATTGATCATGCTGATCTCCGCATACAGAATCTGGCAAACCACCGTATCGTCTTCGTCGTATGCCGCGTCTGCCACGTCTGCCGCGCCCGACCGCTGTCGGTCGTGCTGGTACGCGTTCAGGTTGAACTTGGAGATCACGCCGGGCCAGCCGGCGTGTCCTGCCAGTCTGTCGAGCTGGGCTTTGCGGGGCGCGGGGAGGGCACGGTACCGGGCTTTTATGGCTGCCGTGCGTGCTTTCTGCTTCGTGCTCCCGCTGTATTGGATCAGGGGAGTCTCGGAGAGGAGGCGGGTGCCGGCGCGGATCGGCTTGCGGGTGTAGACGGCACGCCCTTTGGAGGGGTGGGTGCGTTCTTCGAGGAGGTCGTTTATGACACGTGATGGTGGGGATGGAGTGGTGGTAGGGGCGATTATGGGGGTTTCGGGACGGGATAGGGGTCTTGGTGCGGCGGGTTTCTTGGTTATACGGCTGCTCCTGGGGTTGGAGCGCGTGGATGGGGGTTCCATGGGTTGTTGGGGGTGGTGATGGGCGGGGGGGAGATGTGGTGATGATGTTGATTGTGATCGCGTTACTGGTCGGGTTGACAGTGCTGTTTGTGAACGCGTTGTTCGACGGGTGGACAATGTCGGAGATGTAGACTTTGCACGACCTGCGTGCGTAGTCCTTCTCGTAGCTGCCATGTTGATGATGTGTCTTGAAGGAGTCTTTACGAGAGATGAGAGGAGACAATCAAGGTATGCACACGGATCATAAAGATGCAGACAGGAGGTCCAGATGTAGAAGACGTAGAAGTAGGGTGGAGGGAACGTGAATGGCGTCGTCACCCTATTCAGGAAAGTGACAGTGCACACTGTTTGACAGGAAAAATTTTCAGTGATAAGGACCTTGTTTCGGTTTTCTATTGTTCACTATGTCAGTCACCCCTGAGCAACAATATGTTCGGTGCCTTGACAATAGCGAGATTTCCTATTTGCTATAGACTACTAGTACGTGAGATGAATATAGCTATCTGTAATAATACTTCTCGATTTCTATTGTAGACTAGATGGATCGGTGTTTCGAAGCTGGTGGTCAATAGCTGTTTACATCCACGACAGGGGATTCCAAGCACTTCTACAGCAGTCAGGGGTCCAAGAGCTGGTTACGTCTACGACAGAGGTTCTCGAGCACTTTGACAGCAGTTAGGGGTTCAATCGCGCAATCCCATGATCTCTCGTATTCTTTCATAGAAATAATCTATTTCAAAAATTATAATCACTCAAGTAAAACATACATCGTTCAGCGCACTGTCGTGAACCCAACCAGCGAGGGCAGCACCGCCCTGATCTCCTCATGGTAGCGCCCTACACCACCAGCGTAATTGACCTGTTCAAATTTCTTTCCCGGCATTGAGCCGCCCATGTACGTTGATCGCGTCGTGGGCAGCAGCGTCATATTGCTGAGCTCGTTGATATGGTCCTTCCACTTCTTGCTAGCCTCCTGGGTCGCGTCGATATACTTCACCCCTTCGCGCGTGATGAGCTCGATTGTGTCTTTGATCCACCTGCCTTGTATCTCGATGCTTGAGGGCCCATTGCTGATCAGCGTCGGACCGTGTGAACTGTAGAGGTGGAACATGTTTGGGTAGCCGCTTATGGTGGTTCCGAGGTAGGTGTAGGCGCCTTCTTTCCATTCTTCTTGGAGGGTTGATCCATGGATACTAGGGAGAACCTTGGTCAGTATCATACCATATATCACGAAAACCGTCCTTCTCACCTCTTCAGTCCCATGCTAGTCAAGCCGCCAGAGACAATATCAAAGCCTGTAGCAAGCGCAACCACATCGAACTCATGCTCACGACCATCCGTCGTCCTGATCCCCTTCTCAGTAAACTCAGCAATACCAACGCCATTCTTCTCCGAAATATCCACAATCTCGACATTGTCCTTGTCCAGGACTTCGTAGTAGTTCTGCTCGAGACAGGGCCGCTTGACACCAAAGTGATGCGGCGGATCCAGCGGACAAAGCAGATCTCGTTTCGCCGGATCCGTGATGCGAGGGCGCTGCTTCTTGGCCCAGAAATCGTACGAGGCCCGATTGGCTGCCGGGTCGAACAGGTGGTCCTTGAAGTTGGCGAGCCAGAAGTGGAACCCTTTGCGCTCCCAGACTTGCTCGTGGAGGCGCTCCCGCTCCTCGTCGCTGACCTCGAACGTGCTCTTCTCGAGGAAGTCGTAGTGGAAGCCGGCGAAGCAGCGCTCGCGGTAGGCGAAGATTTCGGGATAGAATCGCTTGGACGCGTCTTGCTCGGCGGCGGAAAGGGTGCGCTTGCCCATGGGAAGGGCGAGGTTGGGTGTTCGTTGGAAGACGGACATGTGCTTCACTTGGGACGAGCCCCATTCTTGAGCAATCTGTACGCCGGACGCGCCTGTGCCGATGATGGCGACTCGCTTGTCTGTTACATCGACACCCTCATTAGGCCAGAACGAGGAGTGGTGCATAACCCCCTTGAAGTTCTCCAGGCCTTTGAAGTCAGGTATATATCTCTTTGCGGCAAAGCCTGCGGCGACAATGAAGAACTTTGCCTTGCATGAGCGACCATCAGCAGTCTTGACTGCCCATTTACCTTCCTCGGTATCAAACTCAGCCGATGTCACCACCGTGCGAAAGGCACAGTCTTTGCTCAGGTCAAGTGTTTTGTCAACATGATCAAAGTACGCTTGTAGGTCATGGTAGTCGGGGTAGTTTGTTGGCCAAGTCCACGTCTTCCAAACCTCAGGAATGGAGAGCTCGTATAGGGGCACTTCGGAGTCGACACAGGCCCCTGGATACACATTCCAGCGCCAGGTGCCTCCGAAGCTAGTACCGGCATCGTAGAGGACCGTCTTGAATCCAGCCTTGCGCATCTCGTACAGGAGGTATGTGCCCCCAAAGCCGGCTCCTACGATCAAGACATCTAGATCGAGATTGTCGGCATAGGGTCCATCTGTACGGAGACGAGTACCATATTCGTGAAGATGTCGCTTCAGGGGCGTCTCTCCGTGCTCAGACCCGTTTGTAGCCATGTTTCTTGTGTTTGCGTCAATGGCAAGTGAAGCAAAGAGTTGATGAGCTCTTCGACTTATAATGTGATACAATGAGGGGAAAATGCAAGAGTGACCTTATCGATCCAATCCCCGTCCGCTGTCATGAGTGGAGGGGATGGATGCTTGCCTGCTTACTTGTGATGCGCATGATGAGCTTGGTTCACACTCGCACACATGTATGGTACGCCGCAATTTCCAATTATCCGGAGAGTACGTTTGGTACAAGTAGTCAGCTTGTGTATCTTGGCTTAGACTAAGTATTTGGTCTTTGTCTGCCGTGCTGGTCTAAAGGGGCTTAAGGCAGTAGTTCGCAAGCTTGCAGTCGTTGGCGTGAACAGCGAATATCGCGTAGCCTCGCAGTCACACAAATGCATGTCCACGACGCAACTTTTGCGGGGTCACTGTGAATCCATGAAGTCCGCATCTTGGCATGGTGTTACCAAGTGTAATGCTGCAAGGGTAGCATGTAGACCTGACTCGAGTATTCTGTTCGAGTGAATGGTGTGCAAAGACGAGATCTTAGGGCGTCAAGACGAGATCTTAGGGCGTCAAGACGAGATCTTAGGGCGTCAAGACGAGATCTTAGGGCGTCAAGACGAGATCTTAGGGCGTCAAGACGAGATCTTAGGGCGTCAAGACGAGATCTTAGGGCTCCAAGAACTTGTGGGAGGAATTAGAGGTCTTCTTGATAGACTATCTGAAAAATGGAATGGATGGAAGTATCTTCAATTCGATCTTTCCATGGGACGACTTATGCCATAGGATGACCTATGGACAGCTCGGCGGAGAATGATAATTGCTGCGTGATCCACATCTGTATCTGTTTACCATGCCATGGAGCATCGGGAGAGACGATCGATGCGAGAAGTGAGCTAGTGAGCGATTATCTAGGTTGGTGTGATGAATGGCCTGGTATGTCACACCACACCCCAGTCAGAGAGAGGGGTTTCGTGCAGCCTGTGATAATGAATGAGCTCTTGAGCAAGACATGGAAGTATTCAGACAGGGAGTCTGATCTCTGGCTTCCACTCTGTCGCGTCGATTACTAATGTCGCAAGACTGCAGGTGCTTGGCATCAGGAAGTCGTTATAAGGAGCGACTATCGTCCCCAATTTTATGCACGGCGAAGGTCATCTCAGCAAAACAATTTAATTTTTTGGTTATTTCGTGGGATTGGAATTATGGGGAAGCCTGGATGCATGCGAGTGCTGGGCCAATGAAGGAGGCAGAGAGTGTGTCTGTTACAGAATGACATTCTGATGGGTACACTGGGGCGGAAGTGCATCCTACGTGCTGACTTGTTTCACAAAAGTTGTTGACATGCCGACGACATACATATCATCTAGTGCAGCTTCTTGGCCGTTTCTGATATACACATCCACCTCAACCTAAGCAGCAGCACTGTTTGTAAGACACACAGAAAGAGAATATGCGTTCGCGCTCCTAGGTTCGCTATATTTCGCGGCAACAGAGCTGGCATTTTGGTTCTGTAACTGGCTGTATTGTGCCCAGTGCTGAGTCTCATCATCATCCTCTCCTCGTAGTGACGCTTCGGATGCAGATATTCAACTGCTGGTGAAAATCTCATGATGAAGATCATCATCACTCACTGTGCAACTCGTCGGCCACGGACCGCATTTTGTGATCGTGTGGCAGAAGCACGACACCAGTCATGGCACCAGAGATGCACCAGAGCATGGAACTAGAGCTTTGGTGGATATCATCACTAATGTTACGCCATTTGTAGCAAAGAGCAGAAAGAAAGAAATATGCAATGAAAGTAAGAAGAAGTATCAGAGGCGCTCAATACTTATACCCTAAGCACACGTATCCACATGCCACTCACCGACCTCAAGAATCACCTGTAACTACCCAGACAACTGTCTCCTCCCTCTTACCCGGCACATCTGCTGTTCGCCTACCTGTCCTTTAAATATCCACCTTCCCTGCAGCCAGTTCGTTCGCCTTCACCACAGAACACAACACTGTGTACTCTGGAGGCCAGGGACAAATTTAATGTGCGTGTGTTCGACGTATCTCACAACAAACAGGAAAATAATGGTCTGTCTGGCGTCGCTCTGTGCTCTAGACGTGGTCTGTCATATCCACTCGACGGAAACCGGCGATGGAGAATATGTTGTATGGTGGTGATGTAGTGCATCACGGACGTGCGGTGGTGGTGGTGATGATTGTGTGCTGTGTAGGTCGGCAGATGCGAAGGGTTTGTCTGTATGGCTTGAAGGTAGGAGGTGCAGTATGTGCAGACGTGGTATAGATGTATGGACTTTGATATCTCGTTACCTGATACCGTTCCATCTCTACACAGACTCACCATCTAGCATGTCCATCCACGCACTCAACACCCATCCAACGCAATCAACATAGCACACGGGACCATACACTCAGCTCATCCAAGGTCCATCCATACACACCCATCCCATCCCAACCAGCACCCACTCCCTAAACACACGCATAACACCTCCGTGGCGTCAAACCCAAGCCAATCGAAAAGAAGCCCCTACACAAACCACGCCACATGTCGTCAGTCCAGTCGGCAACAGCCACAAGTGTCACGCACGCACGCACGCACGCACATACTGTATGCATCCGCCGGAGATGGGTGGTGTGGGGAGTATGTACAAGTACAGTACTGTACAGTACTAAGCCGTACTAAGCCGTACCAACGCACAGCGTAGCGCTAATCGTTCGTGCGAACGGCATAACGGTCCACGGTCAGCGATGGATATGTAGATGAATGAATGAATGGACGGATGGTTCGAGGACAATGAATACGGCTGTGCAGGAGATGTTGGCAGTGCGTGCGTGGTATTTCGTATACGATTCCCGTCTATCTAGACCAGAACGACACATTACTGTGTGTACGCCGTCATGCTGGAATATACCCACCCCCACATACACATCCCCACATCCCACACCCCTCCCTCTCCCAAGTCCAGACCGCGGATGAGCCCCTCCTAACTAAACCCACACATAGAAGTATCCATATCCACAACCCGCGGCCGCTGCAAAAGCCCGCGATCGGCGTCTGTAGTGCGTGCTTGCATGCATTACTGTACGTAGGTATGGATGGATGGATGGATGGATGGATGGATGGATGGATGGATGGATGGATGGATGCAATATGCGCCCACCCAGCTTCCCTAAGGAACCGCGACTACTTGGGGATTTACCTACCTGTAGGTTGCTTGGTTGATTGATGGAGTGAGTGAGTGAGTGAGTAACACCAAGACTGAGCTCGAGCGTAGATTACAGGATTGGAGATGGGGCTGGGGCTGGGATGGCGAGGTTTGGCGAGTAGTTAGAATAGCCACGAGGATTCATTATTAAAGCTGGAAGTAGGAGTAGGGGTAAGAGTAGGAGGAGTATATTGATATGAACCATGTCTCATACACGAGCGGGTATGCATGTATGGATATGCTGCTGTATGTGTATGTGTGTACTATATATCGGAGATGCGCACGGAGAGTCGATCGGGGAGTCGGCCGCGTCACACTCCCCGCGGAATGGTAGACTTGTAAGGTAGCGACTTTACAAACAGTGCAAGGGACGCTAAGGTGTGATTGTCATGTAGTAAGTAAGCTGTTGGATAGGTATGTAGATATATGTAGACATGTAGGCATGCACCAGAACTGCACGTAAGGAAGGGCCATGCAGTCATTCATTCCAGCAGTCCACAATGAGAAATCAGGGAGTCGAGTATTCATGCGAGTATGCCAGAGCGCGAGTCTAATCAGACAGGAACCGCGAATTCGGGACACCATGCACAGAGAGCTCAGAGAGAGACGTAATATAGTAACGGGTATGGATGTAGATGGCACGTCAAGACCCTGTATGGAGTGTACGTAGCAGTCAAGGTAACTAGCAACATCCATACGATCGGCGTTTTTCTTCCGTCCTCGTGCGCATGCAGATGGGACATGTAGATGGATACCTACCTACAGACGCAGACGCAGGTGCGTGGTATGAGTGCTGAGCTTAAGCATATAAAAGTCCGTCCCGACGCAGACGTTAGTAGCTGGATGCAGCCGTGTCATGCCAACAGACAAACAGCCCAAGCTATGACTCGAACAAGCCTTTTGACTCCCGCAATCAACGAGTTTTAGAGTTTCACATCTCCAAGAGCCCCATCCCATCACACAACTCACCCCATCCCAGCACCCGCTCGCCAGGGCTAGCTGGCTGGCTAGCTAGGCCACGCCGAACCAGCGTTTGGCAAGTCTGTCTGTCTGTCTGTCTGTCCAATGGATGTATCCATACCATAAACCCCCCTTTCGGAGCAGCCGCACGCACTCCTTTCCTCCCTGCTCCGAGGTCGACATCACCGGCACCAGGCACCGGGAGTTCCAGCACCCTTCCCACGGTCGCACCTCCGCGGCATCGTAGGAAGCTGCCAGTAGCGGAGGATGTCATATAGCTTCCTGAATTAAGCGGACTGAACTGGACTGAACTGGACTGAACTGAACCGAACTGAACTGAACTCCAACCCCCCGTTTATCTCTCCGAAGCGGAGTTCTCTCGGGGCGGGAAACACGGGCAGAGACAGAGCAGCGAGGAAACCAGGGTCAGGGTCAGGGTCCTCCCTTATACCGTGCCGTGCCGCGCTGTGTTATGCTGTGATGGATAGTGGTGCCATGGATGGGAATGAATGAATGAATGGATCATAGCTAGCCAGCGGGCTAGCCATGAGGTCTGCGCGTGGGCATGGCGCGCGGACGCCGATGCAGTGCCTGGATGTGGATGGATCCATAGTACAGACATACATACATGACTGTACGAGCAGGATGGAGTGTACGCATGGGTAGCTAGGTGGTGCTCCTACATACATATATACATACATACATACATACATACATACATAGACACGATGCGATGCGATGACATAGACACGATGACATATAACCTATAATTGATGAAACGAAACGAAACAAAACAAAACACCGGGCGGCTCGGAGGGATTTTAGAGAGCGGGTTGGAGGAGGGGTTTTCCTTGAACGAACGAAAGGATGGATGGATGGATGGATGGATGGATGGACGATTCCCGGTGCAGTCAATTCGATTCAGTTCAGTCCAGTCACTCCAGTCAGGCCTGATGAAATCTTAAGATGTGCTAATTATGTGCCGTGTGTGATAGTCAAAACATGACGCTGTACTGTGTCGTCTTGCGCAGCAGTGTATATCTGTCTGTATGCTACTACGCATTGCCTCCATCTGTCCATTCTCTTTCCCCTTTCAGTCCAAGACCAAACAGGGATCTAAAATGAAAGACAGACAGACAGACAGAGATTGCAAGATTGCAAAGATTGCAAGATTACAAAGATGTGATTGAGATACATATACCCAGCTAATCAATCACCCCGGTTAATTAATTACTAGACCCGGCCCCGTCTACAGAAAACAAGCATCAGGCATCAGGCCAGCATTAGACATCAGGCAGGCATCAGGCAGGCATCAGGCATCAAAGCATTAGGCGACACATTGAGAGACTACAAGCACTAATAGATTACACCTACATAGCACACCCCAACCCACAATTTCAAATCTTACATCAGCAGTAATCACACAATCTACCTACCCCCCCCCTAACCCCAAGAGAAATCCCACCTCCAAGCACTTAACCCCCCCTCCCCCCCTCTCTCAAACCTTCCCGCCAGGATTCCACGAAATCCTCAGCCACAAAACGTGGTACGGCCGTAAAACCATGCACTTTTGCCCAAAAAATGTCATCGAGCGACATGTACAGTGTGTGTATGTGTGTATGTGCTGCTGACTGTACATGTTGTGTGTCAGTGTGGTAGGCAGCCTTGGTGCCTTGTCGTCAGCGAGTTGAGATCCTGCGCAGAGGACAGACGGGAGTAGAGATCGAAGAGCAACCGACCAACCAAACCAAACCAAATCGATACCTACTAATTAGTGTTAGGTATTGATTGTACTACGACCTAAAGCCAGCGATGTCGTCAACGCCGAAGCGAGCCGGGGGCTTGTCGGTTAGTTAGTTAGGGTAGGTAGGTAGGTACACGCCCCACCCTGGGAGCCTGGGAGCCTGGGAGCCTGGGAGCCTGGGAGCCTGTGAGGTATGTACACTAGGTAGACCAGACCAAGACAGACAGGACAAGACCAAGACCAAGAGAGAAAGAGAGACAACGAACAGCTATCATACTGTCTCTTCTTCCTCCCAGCATGAAATCACGGAAAGTATTATTTCAAAAGATTGAGATATGCAAGGGAACGTTTTTAAGGAGGAAAGTCAAAATTCTTTTGTTAATTAATTAATTACTGTACAGTCAGTCAGTGTAATTAGCTCGCTCTCAATCCATAGCCACGTTGTTGGCACGCGTGCGTGTAGCTTGGCTACCATTACTCTACTTTCTACTGTACTGTATTGTACCGTACTGTGCTGTGCTGTACTGTACCGTGCGTAGGTCTAGGCTAGTAGGTCCAGGCTAGGTCCAGTAGTTCCCGGGCGGCTAAGAGTGACTGCCCGCACCTGAGCCTCCCCTTGGCTCCACATCTCAGGTAGGTGACTGACTCTTCAGTAGGCCTTGGCGCCCACCTCGTCACATTTCTGCAAAAAGTTTGCACACCAAAAAGTCAAAACATCTTTGTGTAATTGGAATTCCTTGCGAACCATCTATCTCCGGGCTCTGAGCTCAATCGCTACAGCTGCCCATGCCAAGGTACTACTTCTTAGCAACCCCGACTTTTGAAAAGCCCGCAAAAACATATGTACCGCCATCTGACCCATCCAGCTCGTGGTATCTTTGCACACATTCATCCATGTGTCTAGTCCCGAACCAGGGCCCAGTAGTAGTTATATAACTCAAGGAAAATGATTGACTCTCGAAATCGGTCGTCCCTGCAAGGCTGCTCCAGTGGCCGTGAGCTCCGATCCATCGCAATGAAAACAAACAAACGATGCGCCGTTCGCAATGGACGTTGCCATTGTCAATGTCGTGGTTTTTACTCCTACTTCCCGGTCATGCTCATCAGCCCTAGAAGATGCCCAGCCTCATGTCCTCAAGTTCCATGGCTCAAGAGTGACTCGTAGAGACCGGTTGTGAGAATATGGTCGCAGAATATAAAAGGTAACAAACTATGCCCCAAAAAGTGGTCGATAAAAATGCAGAGGCTGCGAAGATCGAAGCTGCAGTACCAATACTATACAAAAAGGATACGAGAGGAAACTGATTCCACTCCTACCGGTGCTCGTAGGCGCGGCTGTTTGCAAACTCTACGCCTTGCATCGCGCTTGGTGGTGGTGGACCCCAGTGTGCATTAGCATGAGCTTGAGGCGGTGCTGCTATCGGCGGTAGCGCTCCACCAGCTGGACCATGCGACTGCTGCTGTGCGAGCGCACTCGTCATTTGTCCATAGATGTGAGGGTTATTTGGATCTGCTCGGCGGACGGCTTGCCACAGCGTCGCTAGTTCGCTTTTCAGCGCTTCGTTCTCTGACCGCATCTGATGAGCATACTCTGCATCAGGCCGCAGCCGAGCATTTTGCTCGCGTATCAGGTCTTGTGATCGCTGGAGACTTCTGATGTATTCGATTGATTTGGTCAGGATTTCCCATTTGCTTGATTTGCTTCCCGGAGAGTTTGGGAGAATGCCGTTGAGCTCATCGAACAGTCCTTTCATCTCACTCCTGCGTTTTCTTTCCGCCATCTTGTGGCTGACACGCAATTCGGGGGTGCGTGAGTAGTTACCGCTCTGGGGGCTTGCACCATGGTCGGGCTGTAGACTGATCACGGATCGATGTTGCATGGAATGATGGTGAGTCGTGCCAATATCGTCGTCAAACCGCTTCTGTCCGACGGGCATGCTTGAGTCATGCGTGTAGACACTGCTGTTTACGGATGCGGCAAAGCTATTTTGACGTGATAGTCTGTGTTCGCTAGAGCTACTCGAGGCCCGTCGTTCGTCAATGTCGGCGACATCTGGAAAGGCCCAGGCGAAACCTTTGGTCGGTGCCTGCGCTGTTGGATCGGGTGCGCCAGAGACGCCACGAGGTATTGGGCCGATGACAGGAGCACGACGTGGTGCGGCATTGCTACGAGGTGTGCCGTTGGCTCGAGGTCCTAGGGGTGATAGTGGCGACATTACATTCTGGCGCGGATCTTGAGGAACACCACGCTGTTGCTGCAGGTTCGAGACCAAAGAGACCCGTGAAGCGTTCTGGCTTTCGTATGGCGACGAAGGACTGATTGCGAGGTGGTTCATTCCATGATTGACGCGACTATCTACACTGCTACGGCGAGATTCCAGGTGAGAAGACGGTATCTCATTGGAGATGGTACTGTTGCGATTTTCGAATCCTTGACTGAGAAGAGGCAATCCATTGGGAGGACCAGAAGGGTAACGTGCAGACGATGGCGTCTCTGGCATCGAGTTACGAGCAGGCGAGTCCTCAGCATTCAGAATGGTCTGGATATTGAGTCCCGCACTCGTTGAAACGACTGATGAGTCTAGCGGCATCGTTAGCAAGATTGAGGAAAGACTTTTCATCACCGACAAGATGTTGGTGACAGTGGTGTGAAGATAGTGAGGCGAATGGAGATGGAGAACTTACGCTTGCTAGCGCCTTGCGATAAAGACCAATTGCCGGAGTCTCGTACCTCGGAGACATTGCGATGATGGAGAGCCGCATTGTTTTGATCATTTGGTGGTAGTCCACTTGTCAGAGCCGAGATGGAAGGAAGCGATTGTTGCGGATGCTGCAACTGGGCCGCTGTCTGGTGGCGTCCGTTGTCCATGGTGCGGAGGTGTTGTGGTAGATGCGAAGAAGGTTGTAGATGACTGTATATAGCAGTGGTGTACGTGTGTGGGTAGGTGGAAGAGGTGCAGTATGTGTTGCAACTGGAAGAATAAGAAGAAGAAGAATAGGAAGCAAGAATAGTACTAGGACATGGTCAGTATGAAAGAAGAGTACATGGCAGCGGGAGCCAAAATGTTGAGGAAAGTGATCAATCGGCGACCAGACACGGGGAGAGAGAGATGTTTTGGCGGGCGTGAACGATGAAGCGAAAGAGGACGGGCAAGTGGAGGAGGATGAAAGCTTAGGTAAAGGCTCAAAGCTCAAAAGCTCAAAGCTTCAACCTTAAGCTCCAGGCTCAAAGCAAGCTCGTGGGGAAGAAAAACAGCCAAGGAAGGAAGGAGCAGCAGTAGCTTACCTGTCAAGTATGTGTGTCTGTGTGTGTGTCTGTGTATGGTGCCCGTCGTCCGTGGGAGGCACAAGACACAAGGTACACAAAGGCACAAAGGCGTTAACCGTCTAGGGAGGTAGAAAGCTCCAACACACTTCCCTTGCACTCAGTCACTAATTACTACCCAAAAACCAAACACTCTTCTCACTCCACTCTGCCCAAAAGGCCCTAAAAGGACTAGGATCAGTCAGGTAGAGTAAGTAGTAGTAGGGTAGGGATGCGTGTTGGCGCGAACACTGCAAATAATAATGCAATGCGACGGTGCGCACCTGTACCTGTACCCGTACCCGTGCCTAGGTGTGAGTGTGTGTGCGTGTGTGTCCTGTGCACGATAACAATAAGGGCCCCTCCCTTCCTGTGCGGTTTACGGTATAGACTCAGCTAGGTTGCTGTCGCTCTGCCAAGCCTCCGCAGATCCGTGCGATCGAAGCCCAAGAACGCTCGTGCCACTGCAAATCACGCTGCTTCTGGCCGCAATCGAGTCTGGCGTGTTACGTGACCTGAGCTTGGCTCTTCTGCCTCTTGTTACTTGTACGATGTCGTTGGAAAGTCCACTTCCACCGCTATGGATACAGTTGTATTGCGTGCGATGCTTCCGAGAGCCTGGGCTACCTACCGGTCGGCGATCTGATTGGTGGCTGCGGCTACTGTATCCGATTCCCGCTGTCTAATTCCAAGTGGGATCGCGTGCTGCGCTGGGAAAGCGTGAGATTGGAACAAGATGTAGCCGGAAAGGGAACTCGAGAAACGTTGAGATGTGCGGCTCTTCTGACAAAGCAGGAAGGTACTCGCTCGTGTTGAGGAAGGAACAGAGAGTTGTCGTGTGGAAGTCGTGATTTTTTTTTATGTGAGACGCGTTATTGCCAAGGTTCCAGAGTCTAGAGTCGTCCGTCAGGCGGGGAGATGTCGGCTCTTAAAAGGACCAGCAATGACTGTCAGGTTGGGACCGATCAGCGTGAACGCACGCACGAAAGCCAAAAGGTGCGTCTACTTCAAATCATCCAACGCGTGGAATTAAAGTGGAGGCTGACGTTGCGCAACGGATTCGGATCCAGAGGTCAGGCTGCTAATTAATTACCCACGGTCGACGAGCGTAGGCTAGAGACCTAGGCAACGTGGACCCGAGACAAATCAGAATGAGCGGGCGTCGATAGACAACGAGCGACACAGGCAGGTAAGCCGCAGGGTGTTCGAGGGACCTTGCAGAACGGATCCGGAGCTCCACGGTTGCGTGCGATACAAGGACGACGAATGCGCGCAGGCTCGCAGCTTTGAACCAAAAAAAAAAAAGAATTGTTTCCAGCGACGGAAACAGTCGGCGGGTGCAATGTATGAGATGAAAGGACGAGCGCCGAATCAGTGGAGACTGGCGACGAACGATTGGATGACACAACGATGAGTGTAACTGTGCGAGAAGCAGTTCTGGTCCAGCAGGAGAAGGAAGGATAGTGGAGATGGGAGATGTCACAGAGCTGGCTGCAGAGCGAAGCGTGTATGAGAGTGATAAGTGTGAGGAAGTAGTAATAGAAAGACAGAGTCGACAGCGAGAGGAAGAAGATGAAGCTGGGATGATCAAATGAGGTTCAGGTTCAGGTATTAGAGGAATTGTAGTGAGTTAGAGGCAAGTTAGGAAAAGGCAGCGAAGGAGAATAACGAGCGTGCGTCTCGGCGGGTGCGCGTGCGAGCCAGGAGAGAGAGACAGCTGCAGCCAGCCCTTGGTGATCAAAGAGCCCCCTCCCCCTCTCCGCCTAGGCTAGCTGAATGAACCGTGGAAGGTCAGGCTTGTAAGGTAGTTGTGTGTAGAGAGTATATTAAGCGGTATTCATGAATGATGTGAAAAGGCACTGATTAGAGACGTTCGCTACCTGATCCTTGAGGGAGGTAGAGAGGGGGGAGGGGGGGGAGGGGGGTTTCTGTCCAGTCATAAAGCAGGCAGAGTGAGGCACAAACCCATCTCCCGCAGTTTTTGCACGTGGGAGTGTGATCGATGCTCATGTTTCCTTTCAAGAGAGACAAACGAGGTCCAGGTAGTTCAGCCAATCATTAGATGTCTGTGTTTTGTTGGTGTGTTATCTATCCCAAACAGTATATAGTTTACACCGGGCTATGCAGCTTTGGACCGCATGGACGCCCCAATCTTTTTCATATCCACCTACGCTCACAGCCACGGCGGCCACGCTTCTCGTCAACAAGCTACAAGCTATCACAACAACCGCAGCAGTAGCAGCATCAGTCGTCATTTGGGCTAATCTAATCAATCGCTAATTAGACTTCTACCGTTCAATTCCGTCTTCGTCCTTACAACGCTGTCGGAATGGCCTCCATGATATCTCCCGCTGTCGTGGCGCTCGCCGGCCTGAGGTCTCTTGAGCGCTGCAGAGACTGGTACAGACCGTTTCGGGCCTTCTGGCTGAGCCTCCTCCGTAAGTGGACGAAGAGCCGTGGTCCGCTCGCCTGAGATGAGGTCGTTTTGCTTGCTAAAACCAAAAACGATCCTGCTATTACAAGGCCATAAGGAGCATTTACCATCTATGCTCCGAATCTTGCGCATGTGGGAAACGCTCCGCAACGTTTCCTTGTCAGCTTGAAAAGACGACGCTTGTCTCTCCTCTTCCATCGATAGCGCCTCGCGCCCTCCCTACCGAGTTACGAAAACTACAATATCGTACCAACTGACATCTTGCCCATCCTTGGCAGCGCGACAACCCCCATCAATGACAAACCGACCCGTGGCCACACCGTGGCCGTGACAGGCGTCACTAGGCGGCGAACGGCTTGCCTGTACACCATCCCGTCGATAAGTAAGACAAAAAGAGAAGAGGTGGAGGAGCAAGATTTGATGGTTCTGACCCCTCACGTAGCTCGTACGTACGGGTGTCGCCGTGGAAGGCATCCATCGCGCAACCCTTCCACGCTTGGTGGCGGATGACGGATGGCGGATGGCGGACAAGCCTTTCATGCAAAGCCTCGTGGCTCCCGCCCGCACTGCGCACGAGATGGATGTGGACGAGGATGTGTCCCAAACCAGAGCTGACTCGTACGTATGGCGAGGCCCGAACAGTGCTGCGATCTCATTCAAGACTCATCCGCTGATTCGTTCGCTAACTGTCATCTCCAGGCCCGCTCCGTACCCCCCCAAACCCCCCCTGCTGCCTCCCAAGTGCAAAGCCACTTCACGTTCTTTGACTCCACCGATCTACCAATCTGTCACACGCTCTACATATCAGTCATTGGTCATGTCAACGCGCATCCCAGTCGGCCCGTATAATAATGACATTCTCCGTGTCTTGACACCACCGGATGCACCGATGTGACTGAGAAACATTACCATGTACACTATGCACATGCTGTTTACATCTGCCTTTTCTAGTCCTCTAGCCACTAGGCTAACCAGAACACCGGATCACTTGGAGGAAGAACGATATATCGAGCACAAGTAGCCACTAAGTAGTTAGCTGAAACTGACGTAAGCCTGGACAGAGTCGCCGACACGATTCATTGGCTGCGGACGTTGAGCCCGTGCTAGGTACAAAGGTACCATGAAGAAGGGCAACCATCATCACATCCCTAGCAAAGTGCCCAGCTAATGGATTATTGTTGATGCTGTCGGCTTACTTCTACTATCGAGCCCTGGAGCACATGCGCGTATCAAGCACAGTCCTTCCTCTACTCCTCCGATCTTCCCGGATTGCGCAGTGCGTACAAGGCTGCGGGTCGAGCTAAGGGCTGTAGCTCCTGCCCAAAATACAGGCGACATCCGCCAATCACATGCGATCCTCACAACTAATGTGTTGGTGGTGTGAGTGCTTTGTCTTTGTTGCTTCGCTGCTCTACAGCGTGTAACAACGTCGACCCACGAAATGCAGCATTCGTTTTACGCCTTGCTGCAATGGCAAAGCTGCACATAATTGCTTCATCACACTCAACATGGCACTACAGATCGTCAAAGCATACCCTGTCTACTGCCATCTCATTTCAAATCGTTTAATCGCGCGACTACTCATCATCATACAAGTTGCTAACACAGCATACAGTAATGTCTCGGAAGCTTTTCCCGAATGCGCACAACATCCATTGTCGTATATATCCGTCTCTTCCTGCCCGTATCTGTCCATGGTCAATCTTTTGAGCAACATGGGTTGCAACAGTGGGACAGCCCTATCTTGAGCTTGCAATGGATGGGCTTGGTAGGATTAGACACGGTTGGCATCTGCTGTCCTTCTGTAAATGGACTTGACCATCTGACTGAACATACAACTTGATTCGAACAGCTACTTCGTCCCTGATCTCAAGCTTGCTGGACTCCATTTTGAGTCCTAGAGATTCGACTCCAGCAATTGGAATCAGTTCTCTACAAGTAATTCAGCTCAACATCCACTGTTGTGCAGCACTGGTGGACCGGATGTCCTGTCAGGAGCCGCTGTGGTAAATTAGTCACACAGCGAGCCACAAACCATGCATGCACCCGCCGACGGTGGGTGTTTCCAGAATTCTCTCTCCCAGCCATGGATGTGTATGCATATATTTTGACGGGTTGACGCCTTCCCATATATCTGCACTTACACCATCGTCCCAGTCTAAGTCTCGTTAACAGTACGACACGTTCGTAGCCCCAGCTTCCAACAAATCAAACCACGATGAGGAGCGAATATTCTCGTTCACGCTCGCTAGATGTTACAGGTCAGACGCCACGATTGTTGTACGAACTGCTATAGCTGTTGCAGTGGCTTCGAAGGTACCATCGCCGAAAGCCTCTGCTCGCCGATACCATATCGAATCCGTCGAGCGTTTCTTTGATGAAGTAAGGTTCGCCGATCAAGCTCATGCAGGTGGATTCATTAGCAGTCGTATCTTTAGGACAGCGTCACTCCAACAGGTCCGTATAGATTTTTCGCGTGATGTCCGCATTGACCGTTGATCGCCGGAGTGAATGGAAAGGGAAAATGCGACCTATGGCTCTCAGTAGTGGAGCACAGGTGTCTATCTGATGGTGCTAGCTATAATGGCAGATTTCTGCTCTATCTTGCCCTGAGGTCATGAAAAAATGGCGCCATCTAAAAGATGGGCGACCAATCAACTCAGCCTGCGACTAAACCGCGGATCTACCTGCCATATATATCGAACCAGGGCAGAATGGAAAATGATTTCAGAAAAGTACAGACATCATGCACTGGCAATCTACGCTGCATCCTAAGGAGGTCTCACGGCAGCCGTATCACAATGTACCACGGCTGGACCGCTTCCCCGACTCTCGGATCCAGAGCGAGATGATAGCCTCGAGGGCACGTAGCTTCGAGCCACCGTGTCACGCAAGAGTATACTCGCCTTGCACCAGCCAGGAGAATCGACCGGCGACGGTACTTGGAGTCTATCGTTGCTCATCCAGGCACTAGTTACCCCGGATCGAGGACCTTCGCACAAGTCTCAGCGTCTGTACATGCATGCGCCGTCGAAACTGACACATGTGTATCTGTCCAACACACGAAGCAGTCTCCATGCTACACTGCCGCGTCTGTACGATCTCTCAACGATCTCACGCCCGTGGAACAAGAACGCCTATTAGCACATTCATGATGATCGCCCTGAACGTCCCGTCAGCAAATATAACCTACACCGTTCCTATGTCTAAGATGAACCGCTAGTCATCTAGGGATATAGAGGTCAGTCATATGTGCTCCGTGTATCAGAATACCTCCTGCAAGCATATTTCACACAAGTAAACCACTCCACAGCCAGAGAGACAGCTAATCTGCACTGAGAGAGCCCTAGCAACGAATTCTCACCAGTCCACCCACCCGAGCATGTCCAGTTGCTTCAGCTGACAGCGGTACTTTACATGGCAGACATAACCTCTGAATTACGTTTCTGCTGCTCTAACGTGCGAAGATCTGTCGCTGGGTACAAACTTTATCTCAATACGTAGGAAGTAGAGGGACTTTAACTGTAAAGAGGCTACATAGTGGCCTACCAGAATGATTGCATGTTACCATGATCCAGTTTCAGGCTTCAATGGCGTCGTTCAGAAGCCTCGAGCCTCCGACATGAATCTCTTTGACTCCTCAGATGCGCGGAGCAAGAAGAGAACAATACAGGTAGGTGTGGTGATTGTCCTATGATAGAGTCATGGTCTCTTACCAGTGGTGGGCTCAAAGGCAGCCCAAAAGGAACGATAGCTGTTATTGATTCATCATTCATTGAGAAGACGACTTTGGTGGTCTATAAAGCAGTCCGACGTATATGCTCGCGAAGTGGCCTCGTTCTCCAAGCAGAGGACAACGCTGTGCTCTAGTAGACGTGATCGACGCGCGAGGTTGATGTAAGAACTACGGGATGAGTTGAATAGGCGTGGATGTATTCAGGTCTGCATCAGAGTGTTTGATACATCATTAAGTTTTAGAAACATATGTAATGTTATGGAAATTTAGCAATGGTCCATTGACGTGAAAGTCTTGGCATGAACGCAAGCTCCACCACCGTCATATGTGGGGTGGTGCCTGGTGTCCCGCGCAACAGCTACCACGCCGCGCGACACGTTTTTACGACAAAAAGAAAACTTTCACACTCGAAGCAAGCTGAACAAAGGAACTTCTCGGCCCACTCGAGCGTGTAGCTCACGCCACAAGACGACTGCGTCTGCTTCAGAGCAATGCATCCCGAATGTCCATCAACACTGTCCAGTCCCTCAAAGAACGAGCCACCGCCCTCCAAATCACCCACAACTCCACACCTTCGCACATCCTTCCTATCCCTCCCCCTCGAACTCCGCGAACAAGTCTACGCCCACCTCTTCTCCGACTCCCCCGGCTGGGCCGGCGAAACCAAAATCGAGCTCAGCGACGAGCAAGGCAGCAGCGGCGACCCCGTCGACATCTGCCTCAAGCTCCACTGGTACTGGTTCCTAGCCAACAGACAGATCGCAAGAGAAGGCGTCGAATACGGCTTCCGATGGACAAAAGTGCGCTTCGTCGGCGGCCCATGGGTCCTGAGAGCCCTCTTCGAGAAGATCAAAACGCCGTGGCTCCGCCGTCCTCTCACGCCCGAACAGCGCATCGCCTGGGCGCAATGCTCGCCTCTCCCCTCCTCCCTGGACAAAATAGTCGGAGACGGCGCGTACGCGCTCTGTTCAAACCCCAATCCACCTCCCAGTCTCGAACCTAACCGTCTAGCCCTCCTCCGCCATCTCGAGCTCGCATGGACGACCATCCCACACGACATCGGCAGCGCAAGCGTCCTAGCACGCATCTCCTCCTTCGAGCTCCGCCCGCTCTTCACCCTGATCGCGCACGACATGCCCAGTCTGGAGTGCATCACCACATCCCTGCGCTTCCGCTCCCGAAGGGATACCCGCGACGGCGGCCTGACGCGCGCAGAATGGTTCAACGTCGAACTGGCAAGCTACGCGCTCGCACTGCTGCTCTGCGCGCACTCGCCGCACTCGCCTACAACTCCACACTTCAGAACCCTCCGCATCCGCTACATGGCCCGCAACCCCTGGGCCGCCATGGAACCGCCCCTCGCCCTACCCCTCGTCACCTCCTCCCCGCTCTTCACTCACCTTCGCGCGGAAAGACTGCCCGAGCTCGCCGCCGTGCTGACGGGTGTGCGCGCATGGGGCTTCTGCGTCTCTGAGGATACGCTTGCTGTCGCGTCCTCTGTCGTGCCCTGGGATCCTATGCGCGACACGCATATGGTTGGGGAGGAAGTGGAGTTTGTGGTGCGGGTGAGGGAGGGGTGTGAGGTGCGGGATTTGTGTGTTCCGGATGGGGGGATGGGGGCGTTGGGACGGCGGAAGGGGTGGGGTGTTGGTGTGGGGGTGTATGGTGGTGGTGGTGGTGAGGAGGAGGTGGGTGAGGGTGAGGGTGAGGCGTGGTGGGAGGATGAGGTTGATTGGACGGGGCTGGAGGATAGGGAGGCGTATGGGCGGTTCTTGAGGGATGGGTATTGTCGCGAGTATAGGCCTTGGGAGGGATTGAGTGATGATAGTGATTATGGGCTAGGATATGGGGACAATGATGATTATGGGGCAGCCATGGATGACGAGACCGACGTCCGGTGGGGATCGTGAAGCAGTGTGTGGAGAGGTTGTATCGCAGAAACGTTACAAACTCAATTCAAAAGGCAGCATCACGTGTGAATAGGAGAAGCATCATTAAAGAAACTTGTATTCATACGTAGGAAAGCAAAGGAATATATATGAAATACACCAGTACCGTAGTAGAAGGAACTGTGTGTATCCCGAAAAGAAACTTTTTACCAGCCTGATCCTGAACACCGAAGGACATGCAGTACAGATCTTCGGAGCTACAAAACCTGGCTTCTTCTTCATCGTACAGATCCGAGCATAGATTCGACAATGATCACATCATTATACTTACCTTCGATTGACTCATGGCTATTTATGATCGCAGGACGGCATGTAGTGGGTGGGTGTTGCTTAGTCGAAGGACATCTTCTTGCCTTTGAAGTCGCCGAAACCACCACGGTTGGTAGTGAAGTTTCCTCGTCCTCCACGGCCACCACGGTCTCCGCCACGACCACGGCCACCGCCACGTCCTCCACGGCCACCACGGTCGCTGAATCCACCACGTCCGCCTCCACGGCCACCTCCACGACCTCCGAAGCCACCACCGCCGCCACGATCGGCGCGGGGTTGAGAATAGTCAAGACGGCAAGCACGGCCAAGAATCTCAACGCCCTGGCATTCTTCAAGGGCAGCCTTGGCCTCGTCGACGGAGCTGAAACCGACATATCCAAAGCCCTTGACGCGGCCACTCTCCTGGTCAGTGGGGATGGAGACGCGAGTGATAGTGCCGTACTGGGCAAAACCCTCCTGGAGAACGTCGTTGGTGATATCAAAAGAAAGATTACCCACGAACAAAGTGTCGGAGGGAGCACCGATCTGGTCACCGAATGACTTTTGGCGGGATGAGTCGCCATCACGGGCAGGCTTGGGGGTAGCAAAGTCGAGATTGCAAGGACGGCCATCAATCTCGATGCCTTGGGCCTCCTCGAGGGCCTTCTTGGCGGAAGCGTGCTCGGCGAAGTCAACGTAACCCATGCCCTTGGATCTGCCAGTGGCTCTGTCCATCATGACGCGAGCACCAGTGATCTCACCGAACTGCTCAAATTCTCGGCGAAGCCAGTCGTCGTCAACGCTCCAGCTGAGGCGGCCGACAAATAGTGTCTTGGGACCATCGTCAGAGGACTCTTCCGTTTTGGTCTTCTTTGCGACTGGCTCGTCATCGTCCTCAGCCTTACGCTTCTTTGAGGGTACCTCCTCCTCATCAGAATCGCTCGAGTCAGAGTCATCGTCTTTCTCATCGTCATTAGAATCGGAGGAGTCAGAGTCGGAGGTAGTTTCAGCCTGATGAGATTCATTAGCTATGCACAATGAGGGATCTGAGGTGGGCGGGTGTACCTTCTTGGTGGAGCCATTCAACTTGGCAGCGCCGTTGGTCTTAGCGGGTGCCTCGCTGTCGGAGCTGTCGTCACTCTCATCCGAAGTGTCTTCGTCCTTGGAAGCAGCAGCCTGCTTGGGTTCAGGAGCGTCAGATTCGTCGGATGAGGAGTCATCTGAATCACTAGGCGTGGCGGCCTTCTTAGAAGCACCGTTAGCCTTTGGTGCGGGCACCTCAACTTCAGACTCGGAATCCGAGTCAGAGTCGCTCGCGGAGTCCTCCTCTTCAGCAGAGCTTTCGCTCTCAGAGGATGATGGCTCGGGAGTGGGCTCCTTCACCTTCTTAGACTTCTTCTTGTCGGCCTTGCCAGCAACGTCCTTGGCAACGGACTTCGACTTGACCTGGGGAGTGGCGGCAGACTTGGAGGACTTGGTATCTTTGACCTTGGAGGATACATCCTTGCTGGTCTTTTTCGAAGATACCTTCGCGTCCTTTGATTTGCCCATCTTGATAAAGTTTTATGATCTAAAAATGAGTAGTCAGTAAGCTGTCTCAGCAGCAACGTATTTGCGATTGTGGACATGACGCCGAAGCGACCCCTCGTAGAAAAGCGTTCTGTATGTATCTGAGAGACGAGGACGAAAGGAATTGTCATTCCAGACGCCACAAGTACACTCTGTTGCGACGACCCAAGTATACTGCGTGAAGCAGTAAAAGCCCACAAGCCCACGAAGACTGCTTTCAGGGCGAACGTGTTCCCACAAAAGCCGAGCAAGCAGTCTTTGAATGCCCCAAAGCCCACTGGTATGACAGCCCAACTGAAATATGCCTTTGCACCATCTTGCGATTGTGCGACAGGACGAACGGACGAGTACAACTGATAAGGACGGAGATCTCTGATGCCCACTGACTTGTTCTGTTTGTATGTATGCGTCTGACCCAATGTGTTGGATTACGTCAAGTAAAGATTCTTGAGTAACCAGTGCCAACCCTCGTCGAAAATGTGTGTGTGTGCAGAAATGTGATTACAGGCGAGCGCGAGAAAAAAAAGTTCTACGAGAGTATTTGTAGTGGCGGGCAGAAAGGCCCGAGCTTTTGCACACTAAGACACTCTGAACGAGATTTTTTTCCACACCGCCTGGATTTCCGCCCTTCTATACCTAATGTAGTCTAGCGCTGCCGTGAAAGCTCCAGCTCCAGCTCCATAGCTTTAGCGAGCGTGTTGCTGTGATGCAGCCAAAGACGAGAAAAGCACAAGTCAGTGTTCTTTAGACCTCTGGATCGTTTCTTGGACCACCATGTCCGCACATAAGCCTCGACGGCGGAGGAGGTTGGAGGATCCATCTGCTTACGCAAATCACGGAACGATACATGTCGATGCGCAAACCAAGAAGCAAAGTCCGGCTTTCCCTCTCGTCGCCTTTTTGTGGCCTGTCAAAGGTCCTATCTCGCAATGGGTCCTCTTGCCTCTCATCCTTATGGTGGTAGGCTTGTTCAGATGGACGACAGGACTTTGGGGATACTCAGGCTTCCAATCGCCGCCGATGCATGGTGATTTTGAGGCCCAGAGACACTGGATGGAGATCACAACACATCTTCCAGCTTCTCAATGGTACTTCCATGACCTAGACTGGTGGGGTCTTGATTATCCGCCTTTGACAGCTTACCACAGTTGGGTATTGGGGAAGTTGTAAGCCATTTAACCCGAATCACCACCTCAAAGATTGCCTTGAGGCTAACACAATCCAGGGGAAATTACATCAATCCCACCTGGTTTGCCATTATGGACTCTCGGGCTCTAGATGATCCAGACCTCAAGATATACATGCGAGCGACCGCCCTTGTTTCTGAATACCTCGTATACGTACCGGCCGTCATCATATGCCTCCGTCATCTGTCACATCTACAACACATTAATACGTGGGAATCATACATAGCTCTTGTGGCTATCCTTATGCAACCAGGCGCAATATTGATTGATCATGGACATTTCCAGTTCAATACTGTCATGCTTGGACTCTTCGTTGCAAGTGTGTCAAGCATGTTGGCTGGGAGGCATCTTTGGGGCTGCGTCTTTTTCGTGGGCTCCCTTGGCTTCAAGCAGATGGCTCTCTTCTGGTCCCCAGCAGTATTTGCATATTTGTGTGGAATCTGTGTGTTCCCTCGTGTGCGCCCCCTCAAATTCGTCGGCATTGCGCTGATAACAATTTTATCTTTTGCAATCGTATGGGCGCCATTTTTATTCGGCGTCGTCTATGAGCAGTATCGCAACATTCCTATCAAGCATCTACCAATGCCACCAATTTTAGCAGCGCTTCCTTTTCGACTGGACAGAGATGCGTTATACTACCCAGCATTACTGCAATTCGCCCAGTCACTTCACCGGATATTTCCCTTTGCAAGGGGCCTCTTTGAAGACAAAGTTGCCAATTTCTGGTGTGCGCTCCATACGTTCCACAAGCTCAACAGATACTCATCCGTGTTCGTGCAACGCGCCGCACTGCTAGCAACGCTCTTCGCCATTGCTCCACCATGCATCATCATATTTGTAAGACCAAAGCGGGTCTTACTTCCTTTGGCATTGGCAGCTACATCATGGGGCTTTTTCCTATGCTCATATCAAGTCCATGAGAAGAATGTACTATTACCTCTGCTACCAATGACACTCCTCCTTAGCGGGCAAGACGGCCTGCTTCCATCGGTGAGAGCTTGGGTTGGTTTTGCAAACATGCTAGGCATCTGGACGATGTTTCCTCTCTTGAAGCGTGATGAGCTTCGGGTTCCATACTTTGCGCTCGGCTTCCTATGGGCATATCTGATGGGCCTCCCTCCAACATCTCTTTCGGCATATCGATCAGGCATTCCTGGTGGGTTGAATACCTTGACAAAGCTGATTCATTTGAGCTTTTACGTTGGTATGATTGTTTGGCATGTCGCGGAAGGCTTTGTGGAGCCTCCTGAAAACAAGCCTGACTTATGGGTCGTTGCCAACGTTCTAGGAGGGGCACCAGGGTTTGGTATTTGTTATATCTGGTGCGTTTGGACGCTTCTGAAAGAAAGTCACCTTGTAGCCTGGGCATCGCCGAAAGCTGAGCCCATGGAAAAGAAGTCGCAATGATGCTCGCACTCGTCGAGCCTATGCTAAAATACCAGATACCCAAGTTTTGTACAATAAAAGTAAGAGTATTTACAGAATCATACCTTATTATCCAATGGACCGTATGGCAATGTTCGAAGATATTAAAGTTGCGAGACCCTAAGGCGCGTTGTCTATCATATACATCCCAACCATGTGTGCATGCACTATTTCCCATCCACTCTACTACCGACTGTATTCGACGCCTCGCAATGCTGTTCCATACTCGTACACTATTCTCTACCACAACATTCTTCTAAATCTTGAATCCGTAGCCTGCCATACAGGTCTTGTACTTTGATACCAGATCCTTGCAGTGTTCTTGAGGTTCGGAGGCGGTCGAGAAGAGCATGCATTCGTCTCGTTGCGCTTTTTCGTTTGTGCATACACAGCAGGGCTATCCACATTAGCCCAAGACTCGCGATCGCATTCTTTGCGGACACGGAGAGCTCACCTTGACTTTTTGCTGTGCTGCGCCTGTGGCCTTCAGCTCCGAGCCCATATTGCCGGAGGTCGCTGTCGGTGTTGCTAAGGATATTAGCGGCATCGCATACTTTGCTTGAAGAGACTCACAAGTTGATATAGCGCTCATGGCTGAAATGGAGCTATACGAAGTTGTATTGGACGAATTGTTCAGAGCTTGCAGGATAATTGATGGGCACGTTCTCGTTCATGCGCTCATAATCATCGAAAATGACAAATCCATTACTGCAACGAATTTACGGGTACGCCAGACCAGATCCATCGATTCATGTTGTGTAAGGAGCAAGGGTCCACCTTACCAGGATCGGCAGACTTAGACCTCCCCGCCAGATTGCGAATGAAAACACCCCACGTAAACAATTGACAAACCTCACCGCCCACACGCACATTCTTTCGACTTCCTTACTTTATTTTTGGTACCTTGATCTACAACGCAATGGCTGCACTAGATCTGAAGACTTTCTCCTTGAAGGGAAAGCAGTTGAAGCTCACCTCTGAGGAAGACATTGCTCCGCACATCAAGCAGTTGGTGGACGACGACGACGTTGAACAAGTTATCTTTGAGGGCAATACGCTTGGGATAGGAGCTTCGAAGGCCCTTGCAGATGTTCTGAAAGAGAAGAAGAAGCTACAGGTAGGCTACAACTCTTCTATATTAGAGAAAATCACCTCCATTAACAGTGAGCCTAGGTCGCGAATTTCGCTGACATCTTCACCGGTCGGCTTCTATCTGAGATTCCTGCTGCTATTGACTTCATCCTCCAATCGCTACTTCTACTACCGAATCTTCACACAATCAATCTGAATGATAATGCATTCGGCTTGAACACGGTCACTCCGCTCGTCTCCTTCTTATCTCGCCATGCCCCGCTTCGCCACCTATATCTCAATAACAATGGTCTCGGGCCTGCTGCCGGTGTTCTCGTTGCTGATGCACTTTCGGCTCTGGCTGTGAAGAAAGATGAGGCTCGCAAGGAGGGCAAGGAAGCTCCAAACCTCGAAACCATTATCTGTGGTAGGAATCGATTAGAAAACGGAAGTATGGCTGCTTGGGCGAAAGCGTATGCGGCACACAACGGCGTTCAGACCGTTCGCATGGTTCAGAACGGTATCCGGCCAGACGGAACCTCTCTTTTGGTTCTGGAGGGCTTTTCACACACGAAGACGATCAAAGTGCTTGATCTCCAGGACAATACCTTTGAAAAGAAGGGATCAGATGCATTGGCCAAGGTCGTCAATACTTGGACAGATATCGTAGAACTCGGTCTCGGTGACTGTTATCTCACGAGCACGGGTGGGGTCAAACTAGGCAAGGCCCTCTCGAGCGGCCGTCTCCAGAAATTGGAAATCATGAAGCTCAGCGGAAACGAGCTCAAGTCGAAAGGTCTCAAAGCAATTACTCAAGCTCAGCCCAAACTCCCTGCATTGACGACACTTGAGATCATCCATGATAATGAACTACTAAAAGACAGTGACGATCTGGTAGCGCTCAGAGCGGTGGTCAAGCTAGACGAACCTACCGAAGATGAAGATGACGACGAGATCTACGTCGACGAGGATGATGATGAAGATGAAGAAGAGGACGATGATGTTGATGACACCAAAGATGAGGAGGAAGAGAGTGTGGAGGTTGAAGAGAAGGCCGCACGCGAACTGGCAAATGCAGACCAAGCGGAGGAGCTCAACGTGGCTCAGGAAAAAGACAGCAAGGTCGACGAACTGGCGGACCTGCTTGGCAAGACCGAGATCAAGTGAGGATCCCGTGTACCCCTTTGTATCCAATTCGACGCCTTGATGTGTACGCATTGTTCAGCTGGAGTCAGAAAATGCACCGACCCCTCAGATATTGCATTCCTGTAGGACCCGTTCGTTTATACCCCATTTCCACGAATACACAGCATAACTAGTTAATTCCACAATGCAACAAGTGAACCATCTAAACAAATCTAATACAGTCAACGCCAAACACGCAGACGCCAGGCGCTCAGCACGACATGCGTGTGAGTCAACCGAGGTCAGCAACCATTTCGAAATCATCAGACTCGTAATCCGACTCATACGCATACATCACAATCTCCTCACCCGCATAATATCCATCATGACACTGGCTCATATGCCCATAAATATTCCCATCCTCCGGCGCCTCCCCACAATGCCAGCACCAATGTGCTCCACACATCCTCACCGGACACGCCATATGATCACACCCATACGTCTTCGCCGTAGCCGTCCCACACCCAGGACACTTCTTGACCGTCACCGTCCGCATCCCCTTCCGCCGCTTCTCCACGCACTGCTGACACTTGAAATCCGTAATCTCAGCAGGCGCCCCGTTAGCACACACCCTTTCCATATGCTTCTTCGCCGTACCACACGACCCGCACCAAGCATATATCCACGTGCCCCGATCCCGCACCGCGCTGCCCAGCCCCGCCAACGCCCTGATCCCCATGCCGCACTTCGCAAGCGTCTTGGGCGCCGGCGCACGACGACAGAACGGGCAGTGCAGGGCCGCGGTGTTGATGATCCGCCCGGTGCCGTTCAGGCCGTACCAGCCTGACAGACAGGGCGTGCAGACGCGCTGTGTACACCCCGAGCGGCCACAGGCAGGGCGGAGGAGAGGCTTGCGCAGGGTGGTGAAGCAGAGACTGCAGGAGGCGGACTCGGAGCGGCGGCGGAGGACCCAGGATTGGAGGGAGGCGAGGAGGGCGGGGGTGTTGAAGAGGGGTTTGCCGGCGAGGACGAGCTGGGGGGTTGGGAGGGGGAAGAGAGTGATTTTGGAGGCGAAGTCGCGTGTGCCGGTGGTGGAGATGGTGTGGAAGAGGGTGCGGTTGGGGAAGGGTGGGTGCGTGGTGTCGTTGCGGATGAGCCAGGAGGTGCCGTTTTCGGCTGTGAGTTGTTCGGCGGTGGTGGTGCGCTCGATGATGGTGTCGCGGTTTTCGGTGCAGGCGATGCAGGTGAAGTAGTCGATGAGGGTGCTGGTGCGGTATTCCTTGGGCCAGATGACGCGGCTTAAGCACTTGTGGCATTCGATCCAGGGGGCGGGATCTGTCTCGCCTTCGGCTTGAGCGCGGCAGTAGTGGCAGCGGGGACGGATGTTGAGTTGTTTGGGATTGTAGACGACATATTGTGCTCTGCATGTTGAAGTGTTGCACTCGACCCAGATTGCGGAAGTGTTTTCATTGTCATCCTTGGATACCCGGCTTGCGATCATTTCGCCCCTGACTTGGGCAGAGGTCCAACCAGACTGCGGAACGGCGCAGAGTCCACAACGTCCGCCAGTGCTCATTATTGTGACTGATCGAGGGAATTTGCAGCCCCGACAGACGATTACTTTCCCAATTGGCATGCTCGTCTTGTCTGGTGTCCAAGTGATTTTCGCTGGCAGATCTGTCTTGAGATTCAGCTCCAGCATCTTATACGATACAAGCTTATCGAAGAGCGCACGATCCTCGTTGAGTAGGAGTCCGGAATTTGCGCCAACCCTTTGCTTGTCCTCGGTCGACTCGTGGCTAATCTTGTTTCTATCCAGTTGTATGTCATGTATATCTTTAGGGACCGTTTTCTTGTCTGCAGAACTCCGATAAGACCTGTCGGCATCAAGGAGTAGGCCCAAACAACCAACATTCCACGTTTCCGGAATCTCAAGATTATTCCAACGTGTTCTCCATGGCATCATCTCTTCAATGGCCGGCCTAGTAAGGGGTTTGATACCAAGCCTAATCGACAGTGCTGCGAGTAAGGCTGCGGGACGCGCAGCAAGCATCGTTCCAGGTACGACTAGATGAAGTAAGACTTTCCAGAACTTGCGTTCATATCTCTTGTCTGCGAGGGCCATGGGAAGCTTTGTTACTTTCTCATGACTTGCATCGGCAAGATGAGCAGGAAGATCGCTGGCGGAGTCGACAAATGTCAGACGCGTGAGGACTTTCCCAAGTCGCTTGAGAATTCGATAGTCACAGGACCGTCCGATCTCAAGAAGCTCATCACGACGGAAACCAGTGATGGCACGATTGATGTCTGCGTCGTCGGCTTGGTCGTCATTGTCTCTGGTGAATGCAAGAGTTGGATCGAGCAGCACACAGGGAAATCGTTCGGCTTCCGGGACACGTTCGATGGCATCGAGTACCTCTGCCGTGTAGTCGTACGACTCTTCGAGCCACTGCTTCATCCGGGCCTTCTCCTCTGCGTCCGACAGTCGCTCAACAGCTGCCCCGAAAGCTGTGATGATAGTGTCTCTGCTCGCGTTCCCCCTGTCATTGCAAACTGCGCGCCAAAGGCTACCGAAGACAGGGTTCAGCGAAATGGCAGAAACATCCCTCTGAATGATTGCTGTGAGCTCTCGTATCACTATGTCCTTGTAGACACTGTCTTGTGTATATCTCTTTGCGAAGTCTAGGACAGCTTGATCCTTCTTCGGCAGATGTTTCTTGAGCACGTCTGAGGTAAAATCGACTTCGGCAGTATTTTCAGCGCATGTCTGCTTGTCGAATAGCCCAGCGTTGACAGCATCCTTCTCATTCTTCAGATTCCTGATCCCCTTCACCCGAACAAACCTGGCTAGACTAGCATGTACTTTCCGCTCCTCACTAGGGCCAGCCTTGCTCACACTCATCCAAGCAAGCAAAGTCTCTACGGTGGCCTGTGATATATCGATTGGCTTCGGATTACTGAGGTATACGCACATACCACGAGTGACGAGTGATAGATACTGGTAGTACCCCGCCAATTCGGCAATTCCCCATCTCTCGATGAAGCAGAAGACCGTGGCCTTCTTTTTGCCCTCATATAGGATGTTACAAGCAGATATCCAATCCTGGAATAACGGGCCGTATCCCCCATAAGAGTCAGGCTTAGAAAGCGCCTTTTGTTCAGGGTAGTAATTACTGGAACGGTCCTTCTCGCCATTCATGGACGAATGTGGAGCAGCATCTGTGTAGAGCAGAATCAGGGTCGAGGCATCCTCCCGCATGACTTCATACGCCTTTGCCAGCGCAGTCTTCAAAGCCTCCGGAAAATCTCCTCCCCCCGTCGCGTCGAGATTTTCTGCAAGATTCAGGAGTTTAGAAGGTTCGATTTCTGATGGTCCGCCGGTTTGATCCAGCCATCCAGACCATTCGATTAGTTTTGTATCGCAATAGTCCCGATAGGCCAGTAACCCAATCCGCGCGAAGCAGTTGGTCAGGGACGACACCGAGATGATCTTTGGGAGGGCATCTTGGAGTGCTTCGAGGTAGTTGCTCATGGAGTATGTTGCGTCAGTGATGATCAGTAGATCATGAGACTGTGCAGATCCAGCCATGATAGGCTACAGGCCCGTTGTGAGCAGGCAGTCAACCTTGTTCCTTGTATACGAGGCCTCAACGAGATAGGCTTTCCACGAATACCACATTCAGGGTTGTACCACTGAGGCTCTGTTGATGATCAATTGGGGCGAGATAGGAAATCCACGAGCATGAATGCATATACATATAGCATCTTCGAATGAACCAGTCATCGACTCATCCGTGTATGACCCATACGACCTCTTGTGAGATCACCGCTCTCTGTTTCGAACGGTGTCCAAAAACGACATGTCGAGTCTTGGGAGCAAAAGGCAGAAGCGATAGTGACTGTAGACATTGTGACTCAATTGGCGTGATTGTGTTTGCGGGGAGAAGGATTCACGTCAGTCTCAATCGGGTAGTACTAAGTGCCTACTAAATGCCTAAGGCAACAATAATAACGTCATATTGGTCTATCTTGACATGAAAGATTCTGGTATACATGTTATACTTTAAAATTATAAGCTTATTATAGTAGGTTAGATATAGAGATAAAGATTACTTGGTTAATGAGACCTATTAGTGATATTATAAGATAATAATATTGCATTCTAGACTAACTATTAATCAACTCTATGATAGATTACTAAGTTGATTGAAGCAAAAGTGATCATAGTCAGTATTAAGTAGCAACGTTTTCTTATTTTCTAAAGTCTCAAGTCTGCTGGTTGACTACTATCCCCTCGTGGATTTCCACGTGAAGCCATCGGCTCATCTTCGTTGATGACGAGTATTGCTAAGAGCTTACATCGATGCTCATCATTAATCACAAATAATGACGGGCATTGTTCCTGTACTAAGATAGACAGTAGCATCCAAAGCCTTACTCCCATACAGTATCAGCCCCACCAATCAATCACCAGCCATCCATCCTTCACACACCCAGAACACCCAACCAGCAGGTAAGACACCCAGCAGAACAAGCCCATATACAATCAAGCCCGTCGGGTAGGATCCATACCCTCCATCTACAATAGCCTACCTTCATATTACTATATAAATCCTTCTTGCCCACCAGACAGATCTTCCTTCTCTTCCTCACACGATCTTCTCGTAACAGAAGGCATGCCTTGGAGTTTATGCTCGTTGCTGTGCTGCCAGGTTACGATTGGTGTTTTATGCTTCCTACATTGTGTGTCCCCGCATGCGCATATCGTATGATGTGGTGATGAGCTTCATTATTAGCGGCTCGTGGTGGTGACGTGCAGCGCTGGATCTTGTGAGTATATGGATTGGGCTGTGAAAGACTATCTGAGAGCACTGGTATGGAGCTTCGAGTTATACTTATAGAGTACTATAATACCAGTACTGGTCTATCTCTATATATCTATAAGTCTAGTTTATCAGCATGAGTCAACAAATCTAGCTATAGCCCTGATCTAGAGCGATCCTGTGCCCGTAATCATGAACACCCCTATCCGTGATGACCAACTCCACCTTCCGCTGACCATCAGACCCCTCACCTCTCTGCATACTAACTTCTCTGACCTGCGCGACCTTGTTCAGCGTCGACAAATTCGTGATTCCAGCACCAGCATTCGAGATCCCCTCGTCATTATCTCCTCTGCCTGAATTATACGCCAGAGTGATCAGCTCTGCAATCGAGTCCCACGCATCACTCGACTCGGCTCGCCATAGCATGAACCCGGCGTGAAGCACTGCGAGCAGCAGAGTAAAGAGCAAGACGGCAGCAGACACGTACTGCGGATAATCGTGCAGCATCCAAGCTTGGCCATAGCGATACCAATTGTGGTGCAGGACTGTGTAGTTGAAGCCGGCTGGCGGTCTGGCGAAGGTGGGTCCACCGAACAAGATGCGATCTGGGGGATCGCCCGCAATGGGCAAACGTAGCGTAGGGTCTATGATACTGCTGAGCGGATTACCAGTGGCTGGATCATGGGAATACTGGAGGTTGAGGCCAATGCGCGAAATGGCGTCGACGAAGTATAGATCGGTGATGAATCTTCAAAGAACTAGGTTAGTTGTGATATCTGAGACAGCATCTTGATGTGGCAAGACTTACTCAAGCAATATCCGGGGAAAGTCCGCGTTGATACTGGCTTCTGATTCAGTGCCAAAGCTAGGATTGTTCAACACTGTTACGTTGAGAAGTGTATCGAATGTCGACATTGTGTAACTGTCATTTCCTTGGCTAGCTGCGGATGGAGGCGCTAGGGCATCTAGCCACGTCTGGTCTGCTTTCAGAGTTGGTGAATGAAGATCTTTGAGCTCTGGGCCGAACAAGTCGAGTTGAGCAGGCAGTTGGATTGTAGCATCAGAGTCTGGCGCCGCAAGAGGACCAAGAAAAGGCTGCCAGGCGAACAAATTAGCCTGACGACCCTGTATGTATTGACCTGGCGTCCACCGAGCGTCTATGGAACAGCCACGGACTATTGTAGTGGATGCATTATGGCTTGTGAACACAAGTCCTGCCGTGGCGCCAAAATCGTCGGGCAGAGTAATCCAAGTAGCCTGCGCCTGGAGGAACTCGATGGGACCTTTGGTGGGAATTGATTTAAGATCAATCGCTTTGATGGGTCCATCAGCAAGACTCGCTACCGTAGTCTTGGTCCGCCAGTTTGCATCCAGGGGCAGCACCGGAAATTCAACACTCTTGGTATCATTATGAACGACCTGCGGAGCTGAGCAGACAGTCCGAGCTAATGCGACCGGTCCTTCACCTTTGGATAATCGCCCATCGACGAAATCACGTAACTTACGCGTCTTGTGGGCTTTTACGACCTGGAATGCAATTTCATTGGCATGTCCAAGATCCTCTGTGTGGAGAAGCTGGGCTGCTTTCAAAGCGTATATCCAGGTCTCCTTGGAGCCAGTCGTGTAGTTCTGCTCCGTCGCAGGACGATGGCCTTGAATGATACGAGGAGGCAAGTTGCCCTTAGCAAAGTAGTCCCATCCTCCGACATTAGGCCCAGTCGTCTCAGGGAGATTGCCTAACATACTGCGCCACCCTCCAGTAAGGCACCATTCACGCGGAGGTGGAGGAACTGCATGACATTCCTGGGGACCTATGTGGTCTGCAGTAAGCCGTTGTGGCCATAGTTGATCTTGCGTTCCCGCAATATAGTATTCCGTGCTCCCAGACGGCTGCCATAACTGAATAGGAAGGAATAGCAATGCAGAAAACGGACCGACAAAGCTTGCAAGAAGGCAAAAAACCACTAAGAGGACTAGTACTCGAACTTTTGCCCTCGCGGCGGCCTCTTTCGAGAAATGACTCCATAGCTCTGACGACCAAAGGAAGTTTAGGCCAGCAAACTGGAATGAAGATGTTAACAGACCAAGTCCAATACCGTCCTTAGTAATACGATGGATCACGATGTCGCTGACAATGACCGTAAGACTACCTGGTGCACTTTAGCTGAGATACATTACTTTATATATCGCTAGTGACTAACCTGTAATCGCCAGTTCCTGTTTGTTATTAGCATGCTGGCTCTGAAACATACGTTCACACTTACATGGAATTTTGATGCAACTTGTAACGCAAAGTTGCCACCAGTGGATATCACGGGGCCATTGTAAACACCAATGACATTCATCAACAGCACAAGAAGCGTGAAGACAGCGGGCAGTAAATGTACACCCAATCTCTGAAATGCTATCCAACGAGAACCACTGACAACGGTTTTCGGATCTTCACGCTTATATGCCCAGGATGCCGCAATCTTAAGACCGACAGCGCGGAGAAAGGTGTGACGAGGACTCCATTCTGCTTTACGTTGCCGAAAAGCTCGCTGGTGCTGTGTACTTGCGGATGATGCAGGTCTTGTGGTTGCCAATAAGGTTTTATGCTGCTGATCTAGTTGTGGTGCGTCGTGCGGATCATACTCGTCCTGCGGCTCAAATTCAGACATATGGTGGGACTCGTGCAGCTCGTAGCCACCACCATGATGACTAGACATCGTTTATTAGTGTTCGTAAGAGCATCACATCTGTCCCTGGGGGCCTCGTAGGCTTTAAAGGTGAGAATCAGACCGCGAGTGGGACCTCACACATTGGAGGCTTTAACTAGTCATGCTCTGGCGTTGTAAAGCCAATTACCACAAGAGTCTGAAGCGATACGATTTGGGGGCCAGAGATATTTATAGGCCAGGCAGCTTACACCCAGGATAAAGGACCGAGAAACGATATCGATGCTGAACCATTGTGGGAACGTCAACGTGTTCCAGCCGGCAATTACTAAACTGCATTCTCAGATATGCCGACCTCAACAATGCCAGCGTGAAGAAGTTGAGACATCGTTTAAGGCGCCAAGAAGAGTAGAGACCAAGAAACGTGACCGCGCGCAACTGTTCTCATATGTAATTCTAGTACCGACGCGCATTTCTCAGTCCAATACAAGTCCGACCCGAGCCGCAATCCTCCCTTTGCCGTGTCTAAACAGTATATCTCACTCTGTCTCCCCTATTCCCCTCTTAACTCCCAGCTCAAGTATATCTCCTCGCGCCATACCCACCACTCCCTCCCTCCACGCACCCTCCCAATCTCACGACTTTTCCCGCCTCGCAACTTCCACCACCACAATGCCCACAATCCGCATCCTCGACCCCAACACCGCCCTCCCCCCCTCAACCCTCCCCGAAGTACTCTTCCTCCCACGCATCCTGCGCGCACTCCCAGGCGATATCCGCACAACAACCACAAGACATCCCACGTCCACAAAGATCCTTCTATATACTACCGGGTTCATATGCCTGGCGTTCTTCGGCTACTGGTTCTGGATATACCTCGCGTTTGGCGGCTCGGGCAGCTGGTGGGATCTAGTGCTTCTTGGGGTGTATCTGGCGTTGCTGGGGAGGTGGGCGTGGGGACTATGTTGTGCGGTCAGGAATGAGTCGGTGGATAGAGGGGTTGTGCTGGGGGACGTTTGAGGGGTGGGGCGTGCTTATCCATTGCGAAAGACATTGAGTGGGTGTGCGTGGACGGAGAGCCGCTGACGCGGCTGCGAGGGTTGAAGAGTAAGCCCGGCTCTTAGTCATTACTGGATGCTGTGGGAGTCGGCGCTCCACGTACGCATTGACGGTTTTTGGATGCTGGAGGTGCTTTTGATGACGGCTGGTATCGATCAAAGTACCTGCTGAGGCTAAGAGGGAGATGACGGCTTTTAGCTTGATCACGCTGCTAAATCGATTGTTCGACGAGGATGAGCCGCAATTGAAACACGGGAAGATGTAAGAGGCGTTGTGTTCACAGCATGGGTGTCCGTACATATGTAGGAGGCCACTCTCTGCACAAAACACCATGGCGATGTCATTTATTAATTGTGCTATTTGTGTCGTGTCTAATTGACCAGACAAAGTTTCTGACAACTGCGCGTACACAGTGCGTCTGCCCGATCTATGCCCAAGCATGAGGTTTGCGTTTCGTATTATCATACAAAAAGAGAACGGTTGTAACCGAAATACCTTCTGAAAGACGCCTTGGTAACTTGTGCACCCAAAAGACTGCTTGCTACGCCGTATGCGTAACCTGCAGCCGTGGGGATGGGTGCGACGAGAAGCCTGGCTTTTTGCTCAGAATGTCCTCTGAATAAAGAATTCGCGTCGATTGGTTCTGACCTTCGCACCCTCGCCCTTGAAAAGTTCCACCTTGAACTGCAGTTTCATCTTGGTCTCAGGATTCTTGAACACAGTGATAATGTCACCCGTGTGAATGCGCCCGAAGTTGGTTCGACCATTCTTATCAAGTTTGGTCAGATGGACACCATTGATCCAGATGCCCTGCGAGCTCCACGTTGTGATTCCTGTGTGTAGACCCTCTAGCTGTGTGAAATCTTGTCCGTTCTCCAGATACTCTTTTATTTCTGGGTGATGAAACCATATTTCGAACGCCTTCTTAGGCACACGACTATCGTCGACCGGACGATATTGCACTGAGCATTCTGGCCAGCGGCCAAAGGAGGTATAGGGGCTATCTAGGTTAATTGTAATATTGGCGATGGAGTCAATACTAGTGAGGCGTCCAAGACGAGTATTCGGGCGGACGAATTGCGATGATGATTCTGCTGAGTCCGTCCCTGGAGCACTCTGTGATGAGGGGAGATCTTTTGGCGTGATAGGGTTCTCAGACCCCATTTCCATGGTGGTTTGCGTGATAAAATCAAGGCCCATATCCCGGGCCGCTTGATCTATGACGTCAGTCTCGTCCCCAGAAGCCATAGGATTGCCTTGAATATGTGCATTCGAGACGGCGGGGAGAGCTGGATACGTGATAGGTATATTGTTGTTAGGCACAGCCTCACCTACGACGTTCGCTAGGGCTATTGCTGCGTTTCGGGATGTCACGTAGGCGTGTGGTTGCTGAGAGAAATCAATTCCACTAACCCTTGAAGCGTATTCAACGTTGTGAGTCGAAGGATCGTGAGGATCAAAAAAGGATGAGGCACTGATCGGAATCTCAGCTCGACGATTGAAGGGTTGCGCTGTTGCCTTGGGAGTCTCTTCCTCTTTTCCGCTGCTACCACTCAAATTAGTTACAGTTGAGGGAGGAACATTGGGTGTATGCGGTGAATGGACTCCATTGGTGCCTTCCGAAAATGTATGAAGTGATGGTGCAGCCTGGTCCTGTATCAACTCCATATCGCGGAAGCGTGAGTCAGTGCCCTCCAAGCTAAGTCCTGTTGGGGAGGCCAGGTCATAGCTTCTTGACATGTTGAGATCAACAAACTCAGAATCGTCTGTGGATGTTGAAGCATCTCGTAGGTCTAAGGCTTGGTGGGTTCTGGCATTCAAGACTCCAGAGCTATGTAAAGCAGAGCCACCTATTTCGCCAAACAAGCGAGGATTACGGTCGACTTGTCGTGCTTGTGGATCCGGTAGAGTCTGACTATCGCCAGCCGTAGGACCATGTATCGAATCTGAAGAGTCGTCTCTCATGTCCTCCATATCGAGATCGCGAGTCTGATTTCGTGGAAATAGAGGATCAGACTTAAATCTTTTAGACGGATACGGCCTAGTGACCATCGCTTTGAACTCTGGTGAGTCCAATGGATTCGGCTCATATTCATCGTCGAAACCTTGATGTTGCGCACCTAGACTCATCTGAGAGAATTCTTGCTCTGCGCCTGCGCTTGCTGGGTCCCACGTGTGCTCAAGTCCTTCTTCAACGTCCGAATCCACCTCTTCTTCTTGAATGACACCAAGACTAGAATTGTCTAATATGACGCTGCCATCATTTAACCACGGGTGTTTGAGACAATCCACCTCTGTGAGTCGTCTCGATGGGTCAGTATCCAACATTCGATGTAGCAGATCAATAGCGTCATCAGAAACCACTTCTTGTCGTAGAGGAGTATCGTCCAGGTCAGTTGTCGTAATCTGGTTGAACATTCCTTTGCCATTGGTGTCAGTGATACCCTTAAAAGGAGGCTGTCCGCATAAAGCGAACCAGAGAACGGCTGCGAAGGACCAAATATCTACGGATTGACTGTAGGAGTGGAATGGCTTCCGGCCATGCCCTCCAGGTCGACGTCTTTTGGAGCTTTGCGTATCCTTGAAGAATGGAAAAACTTCCGGAGCGCAGTATAGCAAGGTGCCACAGAATGTCTTCAGGAAGGTTGTGTCGTCCTTCACGACCTTGGACAGACCAAAATCCGTGAGTTTGACCTCGAATGGATCAAAACTAGCAATGAGAATATTGTCCGGTTTTATGTCGCGATGTGTGATGTCTCTCTGATGTAGATAGTGAAGAGCTTGGAGAATCTGGCGCGCCATCTGCTTTGCCCGATATTCTGGTAAGACCTTGTGCTCAGCCAAATAGCCTTGGAGATCTCCATGAGGTACGTATTCCATGATGATATATAGGTATTTGTCGAAGTCGTGATAGTCAATATATTGCACTATGTTCGGATGGCGAAGGTCTTGCATGATGCGCATTTCATTATCAAGCCGTTGATCAATCTGCCCATTTTTGATAAATCTTCGCTTCTCGAGTTCCTTAGCAGCTACCAGATTGCCGTCAAGCGCGGTTGCCAATAGATATACAGTCGCAAAAGCACCTTTACCAAGCTGGCCTACCACATTGTACTTCTTGTCGCCGTTCCAGTGCATTCCGAAGGTTTCCCTGTTGGAGGATAAGACTGATCCAACAGCAGTCTGATTGTTGTGGTTATGAACCTTCTGACTGTACGGCGCCTCGTCAACACCTTCTGGTAGTGGGGTGCCCAGATGCTTCACCTCAGCAAGACGACATGCTTGTCTGTAATTTCGAAGATTCTGTTCAAACTCCGCTTTGTAACCTTCTCTTGAAGGAAGTCGCACGATGAACTTAATATATTCATCTGGCTTAGTTGAAACAATGTGAATGATGGCACCTGGCGTCAACATGCGCGTCGCTGTACCCCTAGACGATTTTGATTTGCCTTTCAGGTGGATATCGTCAATCATGGTCCCATTGGTTGACGTATCCTCTAACATAACAATCCCAGTGTCTTTGACGAAAATGCGGAAGTGTCTGTTGCTAACACGTTTGACAGAGTCAACGCTCATGACTACATCACAAAAATGGGCGTTCCTTCCAAAGACGAAGCCCGACCATGGCTCCTTAGTCTTAGTCGAGAAACGTAGTGCCAAGTCGAGCCCGAAATGCGAAGTATCCCCTGGGTTCTCAAGCTTGAACGTTTCTTGCTCTTCTAACGGCACTGGAGATCCATCTTTGGAAATAAGTGATTGGTTCTGTAGCACATGTTCCGGCGCATGTTGAGCTGTAGAAGCAACAATCCTATAGGCAGCCATAGAGGCAGGATGGAGAATGCAGATTACATCAGAAATGTCTCCCTCCACCAGGCCTGAGTTGTTTCGTCCAAACCGTCGAGGGTCATCCTTCCTTTGTGTTGACACTTGCGTTTGTGAGCCGTCCATCTGGTATGATGATCGGCTATCCACCTAACCTCCACGAGCCGCAGGAGAGATATAAGGGCACTACTGCTGGCGCCTAAAGAAGACCTTGGATAGACGAGCAAGTCTCTGGCCGTTGTGGATGTGTTATGTGAATTCGAGGACGAAAAAGACTTGTGACTGCGTCGAAGGTAAGAGCAGAAATGGAGGACAGACAAATGTGTAACTAATGTCGAGGCCGACTGCACAGTTGGAGCAGTGGTTTTGAGATATACTGAGACGTCCCACCTTGTTCAATTCGTCTCGTACAGCTCAAGCGCCAGTCCTGTATCTTCCCGGGCGTCACCGTCTACGACTCTCCGGGAGGGTCGACGTTCCACCCCCCGGGGCAATATGAACACGTCAATGGCTGTGGCTTTTGTATTGGTTCAAGCACAAGAGTTCCAGCTCTTCTCTGCGACGGGCTAAATAGTATGAGGCGGAGGGCTGAGCAGTAGGATCAGGGTCGATGACACTCGAACTCGTCAATAAGGGCTGGGTAATTGCTATAGAGCATAGCATTCATTTCATGACCGAGATGACGCGTGGCGAACTCAGCAGCTACGTCGGCGAACACGACGGTGGTAATGTGGCAGGTCTTGCGTTTGCTCAAGTACGGAGATGTGAAGCGGACAGAGTAGATGTGCGGCGATGTGGGGTGTGAGATTTGGGTATTTGAGGTTATGACTCATAAATAGGAGTTATCTAGAAACATAAAGAAAGCATTGCAGAGTGAAGGACGCGACCTTAGAGGAGCGGGGAGCGGAATCTGTAGGCAGAGTCCGTAACTTTTGAGATGGTTGTTGCTTTGGTGATAATTAAGCTTTCTGGTTGCCTGGCGCGCAAGCCTTCAGAAACCTGAGGCATACATAATCGATAGTGACTAGAAAGCCTATATACAGCTGAAGGGATGCTTCAGGTGTTTTGTTTGCGTATCTCGGATCCCAATGCGTGTATTTGGATACCCATATGCAATAGTTCTCATGATTAGAATCATCATGCGCGTTCGTTAGATCGTGAGTGCCCATAGCCCTTACACTGTTCCCTTTCCGGTGAATCCCTTCAACTCGCCCGCGGAGGTGACAGCTGATTCCAAGACAGGAACATCTTCACAACTTTTTGGCATGATCACCACGCCAGCACGGCCCTCTTCGCCTTCGGCCACAGTCTTCGAGATGATCTCTTTCACCCAAGACCGGCCATCTGATTCAAACATATGAGCCAATTCAGTGTCGAGGTGCTCATAACCTTCGCTGATCTTGTGTATACCACGCGATCCAGCGGAGGAGCCGACGACTACGGACCAAGATCTTCTTCTCCACAGATTCGCATGGCCATGGATTACGGGCGGGGCATACCATATTCATTGCATGCGGGCCTCGCGATCCTTAGATGCTTGCTGACTCCCGTCTCGAGTAATGTGACCCCCAGTATTGTTTGCCTTACCTGTGGAACATTCGCCGCCGAGTTCGGGGCTACTTGCTCACTGGGGTGTGTCTTTGCACGACTGATGTTATCATTGTAGTGCGTTTCTTCTTGATTGGCTTCTTGGTGTCAAAATCCAATTTTTCACGCGTGGCAAGGCTAGAGAAAGGGTGTATTATCCCAACTCCTCTGCTTGGTGAGCGAAATGGATAGCCGCGTCAACCCTTTTTGTTCGAGGTTCATTGCCTTTCAATGCACATGGCATGTCGCGCAAGGAACACACCATCATATAAAAGACCTGTCCAGATTGCACACTCGACACAAGTATGTACAAGTAGGCATACTATGAGGCATGTAAGGTAATCAGCGATAGTCAACGATGAGATGCATGTTCGGATATGCATGAACGTTGTAGTCAAAATTTTAGCGGATGGATTGGGCACAATAATTAGCATCTATCATGCATGAGTAGTTGGGTTGAGTGGATATCCATAATGATATAATCTCAAAGGCCAATTGGCGAGAGTGTGCACTGCCTAGTGTTGCGGCCTCAGGATAGCCTAAATACCTCGGGAGCTACTAATTAACCTTAAGAAGCTACCTATACACCCTTCAGCTCTGCGTAGATTCTGGAGCTTGTATTCACTACTACCTCAGAGCTTGCTTATCCGACAGGCTTGTACATTGCGCCCACCCTCACTGTTGACTTACTATACTCACTTGAAGCGTGGTCGCGCGTTGATACCTGAATCGTTCCACTGCGCAAGCTTCGCTTGTACCGAGGCCCATCGGCTTAGGAGGACTCACGGCGCGGTATCGCGAGACTTTGACAGAGTCGAGCATATCAGCACTCCCTCACCAACGCCGACTTACCATCGCCTCCAAAAGCATATGCCACTCCTATAACGTCATGGATCTTCAGAATGGCTCCAAAGGAGTGAAAAGAAGGAGGCGGCGAAGGCTTGATCGGCCTGCCATATCTGCTCATCTGCTCCTAGATGACCGTGCGAAGGGCGAGATTGGTACCCTCTCAGAGGATCTGTTTTCTGATCTCTTCCCAGGCTATGAGCCGCTTGCTGGTAGGACTATTATTCTACGAACGACCCAGATTATGCAGACTAGTACTGACATTTACAGGGCGAGTACACTATGTCGCCATTTGTCCATGGCTTCCACAGCCTCTCAGCTCTCCGAACGAAGCAGCTTGGACAATTCTTCCTGTAAAGCAGTCCGAAAAGTCAAGCTCGCAAGACGTAAAGCCTCACTCCACAGTTCAGTTCCCAGCTAGCTCGTTTGCTCTGCAAGCATTCATACACAATCTCAGCTCCCAATCCCCGCATAGAACCGTTAAGAGAGATGCCCCAATTGAAATACGAATACTAGATGTCGTACCTTTGGGCCTAGATACAATATATGTCAGTTTAGATACTGATGCGCTGTGCAGGCTGGACGATGTGCACGCAAAGTTTGGAGGTGGCTTTGGCACATCGCGGCCGAATGGAGCCATCAGCGGGCCTCGCCAGAAGCATTTAAGCAATGAGAAGGGCCCAAGGAAGAGGTCACTAGAGGAAGTCTCACAGCAAGAGAAAAATTGGAAAATAGCTGTTCGAGAAGCTCTCCAGATCCCGAGGGTTGTTCATACAGGAATCCTTCTCCCTCTGCCGTTACCAGCCCATCCAATCACACACGTCCCGCCGCCACCCGCAAAGATTACCGCCTGTGAGCCAGTTTCCCAAGGCCTCATACTTCCTTCGACAAAGATAGTAGTCTTGCAGTCCCATGGGTCTTCGAGATCTAGAGCGCTTGTTCCGACCAGTCCAGTTTTGAATGGTCCAGTCGAAGAAGATGAGGACACATCTAATGAACAGTTCTACTCTGCCGTCGAAGAGCGTGGCTCTTCCAATGGATCATCGCCTCCCGACGAAGCTGCCTCCTCGACAGATCAATTTGACTCTGAAATGTCTGGTACCGATGCAGGTGATCTCTCGGACGATCCCGAAGACATGATATCTCTAAGTGCGCCTACACTACCACCGCAATCCTCAGGAGTTCTCTCTGCCTTCACGTCGGCCACACCTAGACCCTTCGGTCTGCATACGACCGGCATACAGAGTCCAGGATCGGTCTTTTCTAGCTTTACCGCAACTACTGCTCGAGGGCCAAGCGCAAATGGGAAAGTGTTCAAGACGCAAGGTCTATTGGAACGAATTCCAGACGAGTCTTTGCATCCCAAGCCTGGTACTGAAGACGACGAAGAAGCTCGAGTTTTTGTAGATACCAACACCTTGGTCCGTCTTGGCTGTTTCTCAGGTGATTGGGTTAAACTCGAAGTTAGTGCTGAGCCTCAAAGCTTCAGCCTTGGGTCTTGGGGTCTAGGCTCATTTGGTAACGACGAAGATGAAGAAGAAGATACACTCTGGAGAGTCGCCAGAATCTACGGCTTGCCAGATATACTTGCGAAGAAGACTCAGCGATACAATCTTAAAGAGGCCGCGGATCGTCGTTCAAGTATCATCAACTTTCTACAACCAACCAGCCCTTCTCCCGTATATCTTCCTCCTACGCTCCTGACGAATCTCGGCGAGCCTAGCCATCTAAAAATTGCGTCGTTAGCGCTCAATCAGCAACAGCATGGCTTTGCTCGTGCCTCGGTGCAAAAACCGCGCCTGGGAACATCAACATTGCCACCATTTGCAAAGGAGGTCACGCTTCTGAAGCTGTTTACACCCTTGTCGAGTGAGAGACAGCTTCAACCAAGTCTCTTTGCGGCTCTGAAGCACCACTTCGAGCAAAAGCGCCGCTTGATCAAAAGCGGGGATCTAATTGGGATCGCTATTGATGAGAATCTAGGAAAAGCTATATTTCAGGGTAACAACCCTGAGGATGATGTAGAGAATGAGGAACTTCTTTCCAGACCGAAGGCAGATACGATATTGTCGGCTGACCCGGGTACGTGGTGCTCTAAGTCGGTCGCATGGTTCAAAGTTGGCGCTATATCCAGATATCAATCAGAGTCTGTCGACAATCAAGACGAAAACTGGGGTGGAGTCTTCTCGGTGGATTCAGCCAGCACGAAAATGATTCAAGCCGGAACCGAACAGGGTAAAGTACCCTCTACATTGACCGTACCATGGCAGTACTATTTCGGTGTAAGAAGACTGCCTGCATCGCAAGGCGGACCCAAGAATAAGGGTAGAGAATTGAAGGATGCACCAAAGTCATATGTCTCAAATCTACAGCGCCGATTACGGGAGCTTATTTCTGCTGCGACGAGCTCGAGGGCTATTCATCTAGGACTGCCACCGATCGCAATTTTGATTACATCAACTCAACGGCATATCGGCAAAGCTACAGTTGTCTCTCAAGCCTGTGACGACCTTGGACTGCACACATTTGCAATCGATGCATTTGATATCTTGACGGAAGGTGGGGCTGGAGGAGGTGGTGATTACAAGACGGACACATTCCTCAAAACCCGTGCAGAACGGGGGCTCGCTTGCGGAGCGGAATACACAGCCTTACTAATAAAGCATGTCGAAGCCTTGAACGCCGATCGGATGGTGTCATCGTTGAAGGAGATACTGAACGAATCACGAGTGCTGGTTGCAACAACGACCGAAGTCGACAAAGTACCAGACGGTATCCGGAGCATTTTCACACATGAGCTGGAGATGACTGCGCCGGACGAGAATGAACGAGAGGGTATTCTGCGGAACATAGTCATGAATTCTGGTGTCCCGCTGTCCCCCGAAGTCGAACTCTCGACGATCGCTATGAAGACTGCTGCCTTGGTCGCTGGAGATCTTGTCGACGTCGTCGACCGTGCGATTGTCGCGAAACAAAACAGAATCGAGGATCTGGCACGAACAGCATCGACGGCCCTTCCTCCAAATTCTCAGACTGTGCTTCCTCGTGACATTGAGCTTTCCGGTGGCATTGCGAGTGTATCCCTTACTGCTGCAGACTTTGTGAAAGCAGTGGATGCCGCTCGTAAGAATTTTGCAGACGCGATTGGTGCTCCGAAAATTCCCAATGTGGGCTGGTCTGATGTTGGCGGTCTGACCCATGTGAAGGACGCTCTTATGGAGACGATACAGCTACCCCTAGCGCGACCGGAACTATTTGCAAAAGGAATGAAGAAGAGAAGTGGCATTCTCTTTTATGGCCCTCCAGGTACCGGCAAGACACTCCTCGCTAAAGCTATCGCAACCGAGTTTAGTCTCAATTTCTTCTCTGTTAAAGGCCCGGAGCTGTTGAACATGTACATTGGTGAGTCTGAGGCCAATGTTCGGAGAGTGTTCCAGCGTGCGCGAGACGCCAGGCCTTGCGTCGTATTCTTTGACGAGCTCGACTCTGTTGCACCCAAACGAGGTAATCAAGGCGACAGTGGCGGTGTCATGGATCGCATTGTCAGCCAGCTTCTCGCAGAGTTGGATGGCATGAGCAATGGAGAAGAAGGCGGCGGTGGCGTCTTCGTCATTGGCGCAACCAACAGGCCTGATTTGCTTGACCAGGCACTGCTGCGGCCAGGTCGATTCGATAAAATGCTTTACCTGGGCGTCTCTGATGACCATGACAAACAGCTCACAATTCTGGAAGCACTCACGAGAAAGTAAGTACAAAGAAAAGCCTGACTGACGCAATAATGTGCTGACATGATCTCCAGGTTCACACTGTCTCCGCAATTATCGCTTCGGAATATTGCCAACACTCTCCCGTTTACCTACACAGGAGCGGATCTGTACGCACTATGCTCCGATGCAATGCTCAAAGCGATCACTCGTCGCGCGCTCTCGGTTGATGCCAAGGTGAAGGCCCATAACTCAAAGTTAGCGCCAGGTGCATTACCCATTTCAGTCGCTTACTTCTTCGATCATCTCGCCACGGCCGAAGATACGGAAGTAATGGTAGAAGAAGTCGATTTCATGGACGCGCAAAGGGAACTAGTACCCAGTGTCAGTCAAGAGGAACTTAACCACTATGACCGTGTCCGAAAGACTTTCGAGGGTGCAGCAACGAAGAAAGACGAAGGCTCGAATCTCCGTTTACGCGAAGCTGGAAACCCTGATGATGATACAGCTAAACAGATGACCCCAGAGCAAGCAGCCGAGCAGCAGGCGCTTTCAAGGATAATGGGCCATATTGATGGCCTCGTAGACACAGGCAAAGACGCTGGACTCTGGAAGGTGGACAAGAGTAAAATCAGAGGCAAAGGCCCGGTCATGAATCACACTGTATCTGACGGGAAACGCCTTCCTTCTCAAGGAAGCGACAAGAGTGCGAAGCCGCAATTCGATTCCACAGACGACGAGGATGAGTACATCATTCGCACAGATCATCTCAAGCGGAATGGTTCTATCAGAGGTAAGGGGAAAGGAAAGGGAAAGATCCCCGATGCAGAGGCCTCCGGTGATGGTGGTGATGATGAAGGGCTGTACGATGACTGATTGATGCCATGATGGGGACTGTAACATATTTGTATGGAGGTAACATTTCAAATGCCACGTTGCATAGCGAGGAGCAGATGTCGAATGGCAGACTCTACGGCCGTGTACCAATTATCGCATCTATCAGGAGTTCCCTGACCGACGATGTGGGAGATGGGTGTCCGTGCAGCAATCAGCATACATTCAAGAACAAGCTGAATCATAATGATACTGCATATATGGATGAAGCGCCAAGACTGGGCGACCCTGGCATTGAAAGAAGCGTAGAAGTATACTATGCATATCCGTCACTTACACTAGAACCTAACTGTTAATCTTGGCACTCGTATACGCGTGCCCTCTTCTCCCCATGTTTAGTAACTTAAGCTTTTTATACCCTTGTACTTATAAGTATATAGGAATTTAATGGCTAGATGGAATAGTTATATGAGTATGGATGAATACATCTATGAGACTAATTTATCGATTGTAAGCGTCTATTGAAAGCTAGAGAGATAAACGTCCTTGGAAGAGGAGAGGGGTAATCTATGGAAAGCTATGCTAGGTTATCTCTATTTCTCTTCTCTCCTAAGTGTTAACTTTCTTTCTTATAGCTCAATCAAAAGATCTAAAGACTAGAATCGTAAGTGCCAAGAGTGAAAGGTTCTAGGCAAATGACTGATAAGAGAGGAAAGAGTTCTAGGCCAGTTGATGAGTGACGCCAACGTAGTCAACGCCGTTCAAGCATCTCCGTGGACCTCTCTGCCGTTGCTTTCTCCGCTATCTGGAATCACCATTCCACCTATTACCATGGCTCCGACATTTCGCATCATACAGATTTCAGTTCAATCTATCATAAACTGCTACTTATCTGCCGTTCATATCCCGCCTGTTACATCCTGACCAGCCCTAAGAGCTTACTCACTCTCACGTTCGACCAGATCCTCTTTGATCTCCTTCATAATGAGGTATGGGTATGGCTGTATAGATATATTATAACGAATACTAACTCGATTGGCCTTGGAGTGGCTCAGGAGTAGACTTCCAATCTGAGAATTTCTCGCCTTACAGAAGCGATGGCAAGCTGGTATATGCCTCGGAATGCCTCTCGATCGTTTCTTTTTTCGCTCAGTACAGCTGACAAGTCTTCCCTCTACTCTAGCTAGGCTTCGTCTGTGTCGTCACTGGCGCCACACAAGCGATTGGAAAAGCAATTGTACGGGAGTTGGCAGGTATGCGACTCTCCACACAGCTCAACGGACATTGTCATGGCTGGGAGTACGAACTAACACTGATTGATATAAGCACATGGCGCAGCATGTATCTACGCGTGCTTCTCACCCGAATCAGGCGACTCTGCTGCTGCGACTGCGTCGTCGAATGCCAAGGAGTTTCCCAATACCCGCATCATTGGATATCCGCATCACGTCACCTCCGAAGAATCGACGCTCGGTCTTATAGACGACGTGCTCAACAGCTGGGGCCGGCTAGATGTTTGGGTAAGTCCCCCCAAAAAAGGCCGAATGCGCAGCAGCTTCGGCTTTTGACTACTGACGTTTGACAGGTCACCTCCTCCGGCATCCTGGGTCCGCCTAGCATCACCGAGACCAGTCCGGCGGATGTGATGAGGTGCTTTGAGACGAATAGCCTCGCTCCGTTTTATGCTCTGAAATGGGCTCCTGCTGCCATGTCCAAGACTACGCCTAAGGGGAGCTACGCGAATGCTGCGCCCAAGGATACGAAGTATGGTTCTATCATCGTGGTCTCCTCGGTTGCTAGCACATATGGAGGGTGCTGGGGTCCCGCGTTGTAAGTCCTTGGTTTCTTGTCGGGTGATCTGTGAGAAAGTGAATCTCATGTGTTCTCAGGACGATGTCTTCGCATGCGGCACTGGGTGTCGTGCGGTCCGGCGTCGCGGTGCTTAAGGGAACTGGTGTGCGCATAAACGCTATCAGTCCGGGCCAGATGGACGTGGGTGTTGATCTGAAGGACTTTGATCGCCGTGGCATGGCGCACCAGTTACCGCCAAGTCGACTGCAGAATGAGGAGATTAGCAAGAATACGATCGGGCTCGAACGACCAGGTTTGCCAGAGGAGGTTGCGAGAGTCGCTGGGTTTCTGGCAAGTGGGTTTAGCAGCTATATCACCGGAGCCAATATGGTGGTTGATGGCGGCGCATCGTAAGCACTCACCATTTCGGTGTTTCGGGAGCCAGCTGACAATTGTGAATAACCGAGTGATGAATCCGCTGACGGTTCCGGTCTGATACTTTACTCTAGGCCTAGCATATATATCTCCGACAAAAGACTAGAACGAGATGTGCTTATTGTCAGAAGACTCGTGCATGCTTACTAGAGTAATTCCGTTGACCTAACCAGAATGGATGCACCGGAGTTAACACCTTCTCCGAGGAATATGTATCACATCCGGCGCTGACCCATCCATCCATCCATCCATCCATCCATCCATCCCTAGGGGGAATCCAGACAGGTATGTCAGCACACATGTACGACGAATACGCACACCCGGGGGTCGAAACAATCCCCCACCACGCATACATTAACCCGATCCAGCCCACTGAGCATGGCCGGGGAGCCCCCCAGTCCCCAATGCAAGGGACGCCCGTCGTTTATCCCCGTCGATATCCCTGCCCGCACCAGGGATAAATATGTATCAAGCACTCTCAAACACGAAGAACTACCCTCTTCCCAAAGTCCATCCCGGTCTATCCGCGGAGAGCATGACGCTCCGAGGGAATTGTCCAGAAGAACGACAGAATACAGGCTCGATTGAAATTGTCTGTTTTGACTGCTGTGGAGCCAATGAGAATGCGAAATGATTGAAGGGCTGGGTGATGCAGGTTTTTATGGCTGGTAGGAGGAGTCATACCAGGGCCGAAGACTGCTGCGGGCTTTGGGCTGGATGCGCGCAATATCGCTTGGCATTACGAGTGCATTTTGTTCGGAGTTGGTCCGAAGGTTTGTGTGGAACGGTTGAGATGTGATGGGGTAATAGTGTCGGCTTTTGCTTTTGCTGATGCGTGGTGTATAGCGGGTAGCCTGCCCTGCGCATCATGTCGGTAGATGATATTGCTAACATTGTAGAAGCGGGCGCATGTGCCACTTTTGGCGTAGGTGGTGCAAAATGGGGCAGGGGGTGTTGTCTGTTCTCTCTAGAGACTTGACTGGAACCTGGTGATGATGAGGAGGAGGAGCATTATTTGTTCCCTCTCCTCCCTCCCTCCGCCCAATTGAGGTGAGTTGGTGACTGTCCGCATGTCTTAGCGAGGTGTATAAGGATGATAACATCTACTGGCACTTAGGAGCGTAGTTGGCTGGTCAAAGTGAGAGCGGTGACTGGAGATCTCATTGACGCTTTGTTAGTAGAGTCCCGATTCTCGTTATAAAGATTTTCTCTGCCCTTCTGCGGTCCGTGAACGGTGTGGACATACTCGTTTCTGTATCATGGCGTGTTCATACTTTGGCTACTATACTGATTACTGCAGATGTCATTAGCGTACCTATATAGCATATGCAAAGGTGAGTGTGACAGAGGGAAACCCAGAAAGCACAACCGGGAACCTTAATATACAACCACGCGAGCAGGTATTCGATGCCCACTTGAAGTCTTAAGGGGTTGTTGCTGATAATCGAATAGCTTACGAAACACCCGCTAACCATTATAGCAGAACTGGTATAATAGAAGACCACAGGACCAGAAACCCCGAGAGAACAAGACTGAGTGAAGAAAATCAGTGCCTGGAGACTATATATCCCATTGCACATCAGCAGATCACCATCACTGTATCCTTGTTCAATAAGTAGCAATACCAACGCGAGCTTATACGCGATTCTTGCCAACCACAATGCTCCTCGTATCGACCACACACGCTCTCTCGTACACACCGTAAGCTCGTATCACGCCAAACAAAAAACGTGATGCATTCTTCTAGCTCGGGAGAACCCAAAGTCTGCACGAGGACGCACCTAAAGAGTATAAATGAACAGAAACCCACTTCAAAAATTCCATACCGATAACATCCATCCCACCCAATCTCGCCACAGCAAAAACATCAAGATTCCACCAATGCACAATCCCATCACAAACACAATCTCTCTATCCAATTCCAAGCCTATAGACCAGAAATCCCATAGTAGGCTATAACCCAAGTTTGCCTGACTTTTTATGTCCATGCACGCTTACATGAGATATCCAAAAACAACCCCTCTGATATCTTTTAACACCTATTCTATTTGATCTAGATAGACTGTGTAGTTTGAGGGATCAACTTTCGGAAGGGGTTCTCAAAGTTCGTCTAGTGGATAGTACTGTGAATATCGCCGTAAGATTGAATTACCTGCCCTTCTGATCTTCTGAACGTACTACCCATCTCACCCATCCAGCCCACCGTACCCGACCGTGAAACCAGAAACAAAAGGTGTAAGGAAGGGTAAGCACGTCACAAGAACACAAACGTGGCAAAGCCACCATCTACCCATTCACCCCTCTATTACTATACCTACCCTCCATATCTACCCTCCATACCTACCCTCCATACCTACCCTCCATACCTATCCTCCATATCTACCCTCCATACCTACCCTCCATACCTATACCTACTTTTCCTCCCCACCCCCTTCCTCCCTCCCTCCCCTCCCCCCATTCTCATATCTATCCACTTATACATACCCACGTATACCACATCCACCCATCTCCATTGGCAAACAAGACATAAGTGACAAATCCCCATCATGGGTCTTGTCGTCGACTCTCTTGGCGCTCATGTTTTTTCTGTACCAGGTCATGGGGTACTTCATGTTCATGACAAAAGATTGGAACGAGGTGTTAGGTGTGGCTGGCGCTGCACGTGTCGTGTTTGTGGTACGGCATGATATTGGTTTGGATCTTGGTTCGGTGCGTGGAGGGGTTGGTGATGATGGGGATTGTTATTGTAATGGGTGTGGTGATTGTGATTGTTGTGGTGACGGCGGATATGATGGTGATGATGGTGATGATGGTGATGATGGTGATGATGGTGATGATGGTGATGATGGTGATGATGGTGATGATGGTGATGATGGTGATGAT